TGTTGTTGTTGTTGTTGTTGTTGTTGTTGTTGTTGTTGTTGTTGTTGTTGCTGCTAATGGTAGCAGGTTTGTAAGAGTCTAGGATGGTGAGGCCGCTGTCGATGTTTTCGTCGTTCTCTGAAGATGGCGTGGCAGTCAGCTCGTCGAGGGCCCAGTCAGTTTCGTCGGTTTCGATGGGCTTGGGTTCGTCGCTGATAACTTCGCCATGCTTTTCATCTGTTGAACTCTTTCGATGCTGTTGCTGCTGCTGATCTCGCATACCACCTTCCTCTACAGCTGTAGAGGGAGCTACGGCACCCGCTGGTTCGGGGCTGTTAGTAGCCGTTCCAGACGATGCTGAAGACTCCGTGCGCTGATGTTTCTTCCGCTTGTCCTTTTGGTGATGGGTAGCCTCGCTCACGAGGCCGATCCCTGAACCGATGCCCTTCACGACGTGGCCGATGGCTTTGACATGCACTGGCCGATGCTCAAAGGCATTTTTGTTGTAGCCAAGCTTTGGGTCGTAGCCTGCGTCGTAGTCGTCAGTTGTGGAACTCATAGCGCAGGCAGATGTGTCGGTATTTCTCGAGGAACTGGATCGTGTTTCACAATATGAAGAGGGCAAGACATGGTAATGCACTAGGAGATATATAATTTTGCACAGGGATAACAACATAGGTTCTTTTCTTCCTCTTTCAGCCACACCCTCTCAACACACACGAGTGTTGCTGCGTATGCACGCCACCACACTATCTCTGCAGCCACGGAGCTTCAAGAGGATCGAGAAAAGCTTGACGTGGCTTAGCATTGGCTATTAAGCTTTACCACTTCTTAGAATGATTCAGGCTGTTTCTGAGATGGGGCTTTCTGGCGGTTCATGACATGCTAATTTGAGTATCCACTGCGAGACGGCGATTACTGGAGGGTGCCGTATTGGCTGCCTGGCGCGTGAGTGGGGTAGCGTCGGAAGCGTGATTTTTGGGGGCCGTTGGTCAATGGTATTTGGAGTAAGGGATACTGTGGGGGTATTATAACAATGAAACCCTGGACGGTATCTTGTGCTAAATATAAGTGTTGAAATTGAAGTTAGAAGAGGTAGCAGCTTCGAAACAGGAGCTGTACTTGGATTTTGCTCGCGTGTAAGCATTGCGGTGCTATTGAAAGCTCTAAGCTTCATTAGCAATATCAACACTCAGTCGTCTTTAACTGAATCTAGAATACCCCGTACCTGAATACTCAGAAATCCTGATCAATGGTATCAAAGCATCAGTTGGTCGCCTTGCGGTAACCGAACTTTGTGCTGAACACGTCCATCAGTAGGCATGTAAAAATGTTACAAAGCAGAGCATACTTCTTTAAAAAGCTCTTAGGCTGTGAGGTTGCCATCTACTCCTATCACGAATTCGACGAGACGTTTGGACAGGATATTTAAAAATTGTTCCGTCCGCATCCATTGCGTAACAGCTATACCGACACCATGAATCATTCGCCTAGAGCACATTGCCGAGGCGAAGGCAAGAACACCAGCCAAATTCAGACACCAAACTCCTGTTTCCAAAGGCTGCTTGTGACCAACCCAGCCGAAATTTCCCCAATACCATGAATGACTCCCTACGCCCGTGCAAAAATATGATAACCCTTACGCTTCAGAGGAATGATAAAGTAGCAACCTTCTCCGCACCTCTTTACTTTGCTCGTGTTCTCAAAGTACGACCAGCGGTCGCGGCTGGTGCATTCTCCTTCCCTTTCTTCGCAGCAGCCGTAGCCTTAGCACCAGCCGACTTTGTCGTTGCTGTGTTTCGTGCTGTCTTCTTAGCTCCTGTAGCGGCTGGTGCCTTCTTCACGATCGTTGTGCCAGTAGTGGTATCGGTTGCGGATCCATTGCTGCTAGCAATACTGGCCCTGGTGGCTTTCTTGCCACGTCCGGTACCAGCAGTGGCTTTGCCCTTACTGGCGGGCTTTTCGCCGGGGCTGAGGATGTTGCTCTTCAATGGTGAAGTATGCTGAACGGCCTTGATAGCCATCTTCTCATCCTCTGCCATCTTCAATGGCGAGCGTGGGTACGTGCGAGAGTTGTTGGATTTGGGAGAGAGCACTTGAAGCGGTTGATCCTGGCGGGAGACAGTACGAGCGCGAGAGTTAGCCGCCGGAGGGCCCTTCTTCTGGTTGCCTGTCGTCTTGGCCCGCTTCTTAGGCATAACAAGTTCTGGCTCCTGCTCATGCTCTTGGTCGGCGTTCTCTTTGTCCCTTTCCTCACTGACGAATGCATTAGTATACGTTCCTGTCAAAGTTGCAACTGCTCACCTGCTACGCTTCACTCCACGTCTGGGCACGGGGCTTGATTGCGAAGATTCGGACGGCTTCAGGACGGACCTTGCAATGGTTGATGCTGGTGGTTCAGCGCGGGGCTCATCAGAGTATTTCTCGATCAGGTCCATAATGTTCGTCTTTCTCAACGCAGTAGGAATGCGGTTTACGCGCATTTCGAGGCGCGACCGCAGACCTTGAGCGAGAAGACCATATTGCGACCGCAGCTTGCGAGCTCTCTCGGTGACTATTGAAGCTGTCAGGCAAGCTCATCCTCCATCTGAACAGGGACCCATACTCTCAAGTTGCAGGTTATCCATGAGCACTTGCTTCTGTTGCTCAGTGATGTTGACTGTCCTCTTCGAATGCGCAATCCCATCTGGAGTCACGGCGGAGGGTGTGGCTGCTGCTGACGTCGTGTTCGCAGGCGGATCCGGAAAGCTAGCGACAACATCGGAGTCTAATGACGCGTTGGACCGCGAGGCAGGTTGCTTCTTGACGCGTTGCGGCGGCATGGCGGAGAGTTGTGTCGACAAATGGTGGAATGGGTTCGTTTCTGCTCGTGATGCAGCGTGTGGTGGTCGCGTCCGTAAACAAGGGCGTGCGCGCGCGCGGAGCGGGAGCCGCAAAAGCTTGGCACCAGACCCGTCGGGAACAACGTCCTGCCACCGCCGATGAGCTGGGCGACAGCTCCGTTCCATCGACATCACCGAGCTCGCTCGTCACCACCTCCGCTCAACCCGTCACGTACTCCTGCGCCGCATCTTCCCCCCACCACAACCATCGGACATCCTCGACTTCTTCGAAACCCCCCCTAGAGACTTTCGTGAACCTCGGCCAAGATGGTGTTGGAGGCGACTATGATAGTGTACGCGGAGCTACCTTGGCCAGCTGGAAGCTTCAGCCTACTGACGACCGGACAGGGTGGACAACAGTGAGAGCAGCAGGAATGGCGACTATGTGTAAGGAGATAATCGGAATGCTCATCAACGACTCATGCTTATGTGTGTGCAGCCCGTCGCGATTTGAAGCGCAAGAGGACGCCGTCAACCTCATCTTCTCGGCCAAGATCCAGTCCAACCCAGAGTCGTCAGTTGGTCTTATGAGCATGGGCGCCACCGGCCCCGAGGTTCTTACTACCTTGACTACCGACATGGGCAAGATTCTGGATGGCCTGCACCGCACCAAGATAAGAGGATCGCCGCACTTCTCAACCGGCATCAACATTGCGGCGGTACGTTCGTCGGCGAGCATTTTACGCCTGAATTTCAAATGCTAACAATACTTCGTGTTGCAGTTAGCACTCAAGCACCGCCAGAACAAGTCCCAGCGCCAACGCATCATCGTCTTCACCTGCAGCGCCCTCCCTGAGGACGAGAAGTCACTCGTCAAGCTTGCCAAGCGCATGAAGAAGAACAACATCAATGTCGATATCATTGCTTTCGGAGACCTTGCCCCGGAAAACGTCAAGAAGCTCGAGGCTTTCAACGAGAACGTCAAGGGTGGCGATGGATCGCATCTTGCCATCATCCCACCGAGTTCCAACCTGCTTAGCGACGCCATCGTCACGACACCCATAATAGGCGGAGAGGCCGCGCCTGGCGGTGGTGCTGGTGGCGCTGGTGCTCAGGGCGGCGAGGGCGGTGGTCAAGAATGGGAGTTCGGCGTCGACCCTAGTATGGACCCGGAGCTGGCGCTTGCGCTGAGGATGTCTTACGAGGAGGAGAAAGCCAGGCAGGAGCGTGAGAGGAAGGCCCAGGAAAGCAAGGAAGGAAAGTCGGAGCTCGAGGGTATCGCGGAGGAGGGTGGAGATGAGAGCAAGCCTCTTCTGGACAAGAGCGGCGAGCCGAGCGGCTCTGGAAGTGGCAGCAAGGACTCGAGCGACAAGAAGGACAAGGATGATGGCGACAAGATGGACACGGCATGATTTAGGAACGTAACACGCCGGCGGTGGTCGCGGGCGCTGATATCCGCGCGTAATGCGAGATTGTGGGTAGGAATTACTAACTACCTACCAAGACTCACTGTTTCAAAGAATGCGGGAATACATTAGATTCTACAGTATCTCGGCCGAAGTTATGGTCAATGTGTGATCCAACTATTCTAAGTGTAATATGCTGTGTATCCACCTAGAACTCATTTTCCTGTCCTAGGAGACTTCTGTCTTGGAATTCTCCGCGGGGTGCTGACGTTAGAATAATTTACAATAATCTCTAAAATGGGCGTTGTCAAGATACACGACGCACTGGAAGGAGATCCGCTGTTATTCTAAGGAAGTATTCTTCACGAGGCACGCGGCGTAGTCCTGGCAATGAAAATATGTTTCTGCAGCATAAGGAGTAGAATCATGTGGCATGGGCGCCGAATACGTAGGCAAGATAACGCTGGGCATCGGATGATGGTGCTAACTCGACATGATAGGCTAAACATTGCTCTGCTGCCAACACTGCCTGTATTCAGGTGCAAAATGACGTTTCAAAGATATTGCCGAGTTCATTGTGGTGTCATCGTGCTAGCAGTCATACGCATGCACCGTAGTGTTGTTTACGCAGCATACGTATGCTCCTCGACGGGGTATCTATTTCAACATGTAAATAATTGCGATCTATGCTGGCATGACCCATCAAACATCCAAGTCCCAAAGAATACCGATGCCCTAATCGGCTCACCGTAAACGTCACCCCTAGTGGCCTCCATTCTAGCCTTAAATTACGCATTACCGTTCATGAATCCAAGCATCGCACCTCAAGCCCGACTCCTCACAAAAGCATCCAGGCCGCGGTCGAACTTCTCACATCGAATTGGCATCTCCACAGTGTAGAAGGGATTCTTGGTGACGAAATCGGCGTAGAGCTCGTATATCTTTCTGATTATGGAATCGATGTTCGGCTGGCCGGGCTCGGTGAAGAGCAGGAACTTGGTACCGGTAAGGGTCTGGAAGCACTGGAGGCGAAACTTGGCCGTTTCGAGGACCTCTAGGCCGGAGGGCTGGGGGCGCAGCGACGGCGCCGTGTTGGAACTTGCCGGTAAGGCTGTGGGAAGTACCGAGGCAGGCGTGAGAGAGCGTGTTATGGCATGGACACTGGGGCACACGAGGAGTGGAAGCTTAGCAGGAGTCGCATGGCGATACAGCGGGAAAGGGTGCTTACCCATGGAAGGTTCCAGCAAGCATGAGCAGGTCGTTGCTGCGGAGCGGATTAAGACCCTGGTGGAACTCGCGGTTGTAGACCAGACCGCCGGCCTTGTTGATAATGAGGAGCGCGAAGACGACCCTGGCATGGAGGTTAGCGGAGATGACGCGGGGAGCTCGGAGAAGGGCGTACATGGCGGCGGGTGCGCGGAGAAGCTACGGGAGGCGGCGAGAAGGGGGCAGAAGAGGCTATGTTGGCGGCGGTCGCATCGCCTGTTGGGAGCCCTGGAATCTGCGCGCGCGGTTCAGGGCTCGTCGGAGCCGCGGTAGAGGTGTTCCTGATGTGCTGGGGTCGTCGGCGGGGATCTGCACGCTAAGGCCGGGCGCCGCCCGCCGCATAGCCCGCCGCTCTGTCACTTGGCCTCACAAATACCTACCCACTCTGCAGCTCTGCCTCGCAAACACAAGGCACTCAAGCGCAGCGTCGCCAGCTTCCATGCCATAAGCTCCCGCCTGGTCCTCGCCCCCGGAAGCTCTCACAACTTCCTCACCTTTGGCTGCCCCGCGCTACGCCGCCCGCCATGTCCAACCAGTCGATCCTCCGCATCACGCGTGTACGCTTGCTTCCTGTTGCCCCGCCTCAGCTCCCCCGCTAACAAAACCGCAGGAGCTGTGCGATATCCAGAAGGGCTCGGATCTCTGTTCGTTTTCCCGCTCCGTCCCGCTCCCGTCTGTTGCTAACTGAAGTCGCCCGCACAAAGCTCTCGCCGTCGCCTGTCGGGACAGCGACGTCAGATCCGTTCGCGCCTTGATCATTGGCCCGCCAGACACTCCCTATGAATTTGGTTTCTTCGAGGTGCGTCCGGCCTGTCTTCCAAGCAGCTCTGGAGCCTCTTATTTTCTGACATTTCTCCCAAATTCCACAGTTCGCTGTGCGCTTCGGCAGAGGTATGCAAGCTCCCGCTGCGAGCCAAACAATGCGACTCAATCCGCTGACGTGACGCAAGAATACCCTACCAAGGCCCCCTCGGTCACCTGCATCACCACCAACGGCGGTCGCACCCGCTTCAACCCGAACATCTACGCCCAGGGAAAGGTCTGCCTGTAAGTTCGCCATCGAATCATGTCATATGACCTTGCACTGACTGCGTTCCAGCTCCATTCTAGGGTATGAGCAGATTCGACAGCACCTATACCCCGAGCACCCTGCTGATCTTATTCTAGTACATGGCGTGGCGAGCCTGGCGAGGAATGGTCCTCGGCACAGGGCCTTGAGTCCATTCTCATCTCCATCCAGAGCCTCATGTCGCCTGACCCGTACGAGAACGAACCTGGATTCGAGGAGGCCAATTCCGACTACGACAAGAAGCTCAAGACTGCCTACACAGCGAAGATCCACCATGAGACCATCCGCATCTCCATCATCGAGCGCCTGGAGGAGTACTACAGGATTGTCCCCCCGGAGAAGAAGGGAATCGTTCGTTACAATGCCGAAGATGACGTTGCAACCTCCGAGGACCAGTTCGAACCTTTCCAGGATCTATGCAAGCGCCGCTTCCTGTGGTACTACGATTCCTACGTCGAGTCCATCAACAAAATGAAGGATCAGCACAAGGAGGGAACAAAGTTCGAGAAGATGCCCTTCGAGGGTCCTAGCAACGAGATGAGCGGAACATTCAACTACGAGCAGTTACTGAAGCGCTTAGCAGTCATTCGCGAAGCTGTGGAGAAAGAGACGCTCGGATGGGCACAGGAAGGTCTTCAGGCTACCAAGGGTGAGCTGAGCATTGCCAACAACCTTCAAAGGCAGTTTGAGCAGGTAGTCGAGCACTTCAAGCGGAGTGACAGCGTTCACATCGATCTGGAACTCGTCGACAAGAATCCCTTCGTATGGTCCTTCGTCTTGTTCGGCCCGCCCATGTCCAATCTCGACGGAGGAATGTTCCGGATCGTTATCTACATGTCTACCAGATTCCCGGACGTGCAGCCGCGTGTCAAGCTCGAGACCCCCATCTTCCACCACCGCGTTTCCAAGGACGGTGTCGTATGCTACACATCTCGTCGCTCGGACGATCTGCGGAGCCACATCGAAGCTATCGTTGAAACCATCCAGGAAGAGCAGCCAGCCTATGACCCGCGGACACTTGTTCACCCTGAAGCTTCAAAGCTCTTCTGGGGCAGCGCCGATGACAAGAAGCAGTACAACCGCAAGCTCAGGCGAAGTGTGCAGGACAGCGCTGAGTGAGTGTATCCAACCAAACTTTTTTTTCTGTGACCCTACAACTACACCTAGCGCTTTGAAAGGCTCGGGAGAAGATGAGTAAAACTTCAGTTGACACATTTGCAGGTACCTGTGAACTGCCGGACAGTGGCCATCACGCCGCAGACGCAAATATCACACCCTAAGCGCTGCGAGACATCCCCAAGCAACCCATCACTTCGAAGTAGAGCTCACAAATTAGGTCCCAAGGTTAATAGCGAATGCTCAACGCGAAAAAAGTCACTCCTTAGTCATGTCTAGAAACGGCCGCAGCCTCGATATCCTCCTCTTTACCACGTCAAAAAATTGTGACGATCGGGGTTTCTCTTGCATTTTCACCCGGAGTTTTTTTCACGGTCGCTTTGGGAAACGGGGAACAGGTCTACAAAGGCGAAAAGGGATATCAATGCGGCGGGAGAGATTTCTCTGTCTTCGACGCCGCTATTTCAATTTCCGGTTTTCCGCAATGGTCAATCCACGGCACAAAGGCGCGATTCGGATTAATAAACTGGCACTCAAGGGTCGCTTGCTGGTTTTGTTAGCATGGTGTCGTTTGGCGTTCCGGATTTCTTTTCCCCCCCACTCTTCTGTCTCCTACTGCTTTGGCAAACGGGGGCACAGATTTCGATGCTGGACAAGGTCGGAGACTGGTGTGATATACACAACAGAAGGGACGGAGGACAAAGCTCGCGAAAGTCCAGTTGTCCTCCCTCCTGATACTCTTCCGTCCTTTTCTATTCTCTCGCTTCATCGAAGGTCGATTTTCGGGGGGTTAATCTATAACACTCTCGTCTTCTCTCCGTCAATTTGCTGCACATATTGCAGTGGAGGCGAATAGGAAGTTTGCACTGCTTTAGCCGTACGATAGTATGCAAGATAATATAAAAGCTTGCGTAATAAATTGATCAAGAGTGACAATTATTTTGCACAAGACTTTCACATTTAACGAGGCTTCCACACTTTTGACTCCTCCTTTCGAGTGTTTGACTGCCCCCAACCCAGATCTGGAGTGTTTCCGAATCATCACTCACCGGCCTCTTCATCCCCAAATTACGGAAACTTGAAGCCATCTAAGAGCACCACTGATTCACTAAGCAACTTCGTAACTACTATACTATTATCGAAGCATCGCCAACGCACTCACCACAGCACGGGCGGTTACTTCTAGCTTAAGAAGCTATTAACTCAAGAGCGCTACGACAATACGTTTTCTGTAGCGGAGATTAGGTGGCACTTCCAGGTTCAAGTCAACATGTGGGTTGCGGGAGCTCAAAATCTGAAAATGGGGGGAAGTTTTTGGCAAGGGGTACGCATGAGAAATATAAAAGAATATAGCACATATGTGTTATCCTTTGAAGTAAATGGTCTTGCTTGAAATCGTATATAATTTTACAGAGACAGACTTTCCACCTTCGGTTTCCCGGCTACCAAATCCGTGTCAGGGATCAATGCAAACCCCGGCCTTTCCCTTTCTCCTTCTCCCGCCTGGAAATTCCTCACTCGGCCCGCCTTTTCGACGGGCAGTTGCATCACTACGTTCCTACGACTGCATCTTAAGCCTTCTATTGCTGCTCCTGCGATGCCGGCATCAAGCCCAGGATGGCGTCCAGCTTGCCAAGGAACTTTTCAGCATCGGCACCGACGTAGCTGCCGTTGAGATCGAGCATGCGGGAGGCGACGTCCCTGCTAGTCGAGCTGGGCTCCTCTGTGCTGGGCTCGACGGCGCGGGCACGGACGTTGTAGGCACCGCCTACGACAGCGTCGGTCGTGGCCTTCTTCGCGGCACCGTCGAGCTCGGCGAACTCGATGGGTTTGGGGACGATCTCCTCGCCCTTCTTGACGGACAGCTTCTGGGCGATGCGGGCCTGTTCGTCGGCCACGAGCGCCATGACGGCCTCGCGCTCGGCGTCGGACGTGAACTTGACGAACTGGCCGCGCACGAGGCGGCGGGCCTGCGCGAAGATGGGAATAGGAGTGTCCAGCTCGGCGCGGTCGGCGAGGGCGCGCAGGCGGGCATCAAGCAGGGCCGGGGCGCCGCCAGGCTGGCCCAGTGACGCGGACAGGGCCGACTGTGAGACAAGCTCCTCTTTGGTCGTATCGCGGGGAGTGTACGTCTTGACGGCGCGCCGCTTGGCCTTCAGCTCGAGCAGATAGCGCAGCATAGTGTCTGACAGCTGGCCAGAGCCCGCATTGCTTTCATTGTCGTCCTTGTTTTGCGCGCCGCGCTGCCTCCGCTGTCTGTCTTGCCGCCGGCCCGCCGGTCCCCTGAATCCACCCGGTCTGCGAGCGCCTCCTGCTGCTTGAAATCGATTGGGTAGGCCGCCTGGGCGGCCAGTCACGCGGGTTTGTATGCGGGGTGTGCGCGGCGTTAGGATGCGCGGGCCCGAGGCGCTGTCGTTGTTGCGGGAGGGAGTAATGATGCGGCCCTGGCCTGATGGGAACGAACCACCGGCCAGGCCGACGACTTTCTGGGAGGCGTCTCGTGGAAGGCTCTGGATGCGTGCGCCGGCTGCTTGCGAGCGGGCGCGGGCAGAGTTTCCGGGGGCTGTTTCGGAGACATTCGTTAGGTTCACAACGCAGGACGAGCTATTGGAGACGAAAAGAGAGCCATTGGCTGTGTGGGTGTGGATTCGGAGGCATACCGGGCTCGTTGCTGCTGCCGGAAGATTCGTCGTTGCGGCGGGCGGAAATGTGGAAGGACCGCACGGCGTGCTGGAGGGCGGCGACATTGTGGGAGCGTGTCCGAGTCAGGGCGGCGGAGGCCACGCCCCGGCAGCGCCGTAAATGCATGGCGGGTGAGCTGTGGGTGTGGAGGCGGGAAGTGCGGAGGATGGACGTGCGGTGGTGGTTCGTGAGGTTTGGGACTTTCGCGGTCTTTTCTTGGCGCGGGAGCTTTGGTTCGCCGCCGTCGCCAGCGCGCCAGCCCGCGACACCAACTTACACTCATAGTGAAGGTGTCATACAAAGCTCCAGGCTACACTAGACTTTCGACTTCTTCCATCTCCGGCCTGGTCAGACCACAGCTCTTCAACGGCAGCCCGCAATCATACTTCAAAATGCTTCGCCGCCCTGCCACCGTCATTACGCTTACTGCGGAAGACATCATTGCGTACGAGTCAAACCGCCAGCAGCGGAATTGGCAGCAACAGCAGCAGCAAGGCCACAACGACTCCTACATGACCGAGCCCGTCTTCTCGCAGTCCCAAGACACGGTAGAGCAAAGTAACACTCAAGAGAGGCAGCGACCTGCGAGAACGCGTGAGGACAGGATCCTGGGTAACTCCAGAGGCTAGCCGAGGCACGAGAAAATAGATTATGCTTGCAATATGGCTGGGGAGTATGTGGCGTTGCGTGGAGAAGGCCGTGTAAGTTGAATCAGTCTTTTTCAGCCACCACGCCTTCTGCAAGCTAACGCTGACTAGAAGGAGATCCGTGTCTGGACTCGGTTTTCTCTTGATCTATACTGAGTCCGTTCCCACCATTGCTTTCAACGAGCTGTCTTCAACAGCATTCATTCCATGATGCCTCAAGGGACGGGAAACGCGTGCTACGTAATGAGGCACATTCCTCAGTTGCGGCGGCGAGGGGCAAGTTGGCTCAGCAGCAAAGCGCCACGTGGGTGCAATCATAGTCAAAGAACGACCGTGTAACTGGCTGTAGCTTGGACAACGCGAAGTCGTCGGCGCAACCAGCCCTGCGTCCAGCCAACCCTTTTTTAATTGAACGAAGACTCCACGCTTCATTCCACCCGTGACAGCCTATCATTGTCTGTTTCGCCGTCTCTTTTGGGCCCAGCGTCAAACGCGCTAGGAAGCAAGGAGTAGGGCACCTCCCCGTATAATACCAGGTATACATCCACCATCGTTCCTGATGCTAAGAATGCACCGTTTGCGAGAAGAGAGAACCAGCCACAGCCGGAATGCTTGATTGCTTCGAAGCATCTATAGGACGACTTCGCTGCTGTGTGAGAGCCAACTTGGTCTCTCCAAAGACTCGCCGTCATGTCTTTGTCTCTGCCACGCCGCCCACTATGGGCAGTACCACTCATAGTAACCCTTTTTGTTTCCAAATCCACCGGCCAAAAGTACGCTCTTGAGGACAACTACTCGCCGGAAAACTGGTTTGACCAATTCAACTTCTTCACGGTACTGCAGTGCCTCGAAAATGATGGCTTGAGTCACGGACCGCTGACACTTCATGATAGGAAGGAGACCCGACAAATGGACACGTACAATATGTCAACCAAACATGGGCGGATCAAAACGGCCTTATCAGCGTCAATTCGCAAAGCCACAGTGTCTACATGGGCGTCGACCATACGAACACGTATAAAGACAGCGGCAGGCCTAGTGTCCGTCTGCAAAGCAAGAAATTGTACAACCATGGCCTATTCGTTCTCGATTTGAACCACATGCCCGTTGGCTGTGGCACATGGCCCGCCTGGTGGACACTTGGACAATCAGCTGAGTGGCCTGCGGGCGGAGAGATCGGTATTCCTCCAATATGCATATTCTACCAGAGTCTGAGGGGCTGACTGTGGAAAGACATCATCGAGGGAGTCAACGACAACCTGAACAACACGAACAAAATCTATTCGGGCACTGGCTGTTCGATTACGGGCAAGGGTCAAACCGCAATCGCCGATTCGTTCGACTGTTCCCAGGGATGCGGTTCTGCCAGCACCAGGTCGGACAGCTATGGAGATGGATTCAACAAGGCAAACGGAGGTGTAGGTGCCGTCCCCTGGAGCATGTGAGGAAATTGAGGCTGACGACGTCATAGGTCTATGCCATGGAATGGACTTCGCAGTGGATCCGTGTGTGGTTTTTTCCGCGCTCCAAAGTCCCTCGCAGCCTCGGGACAGATTCACCGGACATCTCAGAATTCGGAACGCCGACGGCCAACTTCCAGGGGGGCTGCGATATCGACCGGCATTTCAAGGACCATGCCATTATCTTCGACATCACCTTCTGCGGCGACTGGGCTGGCCCCACGTTCGGCAGGTATGCCGATTGTCCCATGACAGACAGCAATGCCTGGACAAGCTGCAACAACTTCGTTTCAAACAGCCCTGAGAGCTTCAAGAATGCATACTGGGATGTCAACTCGATGCGCGTCTTTCAAAAAGGGAGCGGAGAGCCCCCGGCCAACAATTCACCCCTCTCCCTCTTGGATGCTGTCCCCCTTAGCACAAGCATGGGTGTGCCTCTGGGCAAGAGCCACCCTGCACCCGCATCCTCAGTGAAACCCTCTTCAGTCAAGCCTGACCTCAATGATGCTGGAGACGCCGACGAACATCAGACGGCCACCAGCCCCGGTGCTTTCTTCGCCAACGACGCCGGCGTATCCTCAGGTCACCCGCAAAGGCCTGTTCCGTTGCCGCCCTCATCCGCCCCCTCACCAAGCAACGGCCGCAACCCTGGTCCCGCCAGCGCACCCTTCAGGACCGAGACGCCACAACCTTCCTGCACCCCCATTTCGGGCTATGACGGCACTGGACAGATTGGCTACCGCCATGGCATCGGCTCAGTCGAAGGCGGGCTGGCCATGTGTCGGGGCAATTGTGCAGACTCGCACAACTGTACCGCCGTGCTGTACACACACTACAAGGGCGATTTCGGCTCACCGCTTGGCTACTGGGACTGCTGGTGGGGAGCACTGAAAGTGGGTAGCGTGCTTTGCGGTAGCGATGGGAAGCCACTGGGTGGTGGAGCCCCTCAGGGCGGCGGAAGTCCTCAGAGTGGAAACCCTCAGAGTAGCCCAAACCCTCAGGGTGGCGGAAACCCTCAGGGCAGTGGAAAACCTTCCGGGGGCGAAACTCAGGGCGGCGGCAATTCAGGACGCCCCGCATTGGTGAAAAAGCAGGATACCGACACGTCACCTAGTCCGAACATGGGCCTTCGGGATCAGGATTTCCATGTATTCATGAGTAAAGGCGGAGTCTTGTCTCCCGACTTGTCGTCTCCAGCAGCAGTTGGAACATCGTCTCCTGACTTGTCGTCTCCCGGTTCATCGTCTTTCGCAGAGCCTGGGCTCTCATCTTCAGCAGTGCCTGGAGCCTCGTCCCCTAGCTTGTTGCCTTCAGCAGGGCCTCCTGGCTCTTTCCCTTCAGTAGTGCCCGGTTCTCCCCCTCCAGTAGGGCCTGGCTCTCCCCCTTCAGCAGGACATGGAGCCCCGTCCCCTGGCTTGTCGTTTCCAGCGGGGCCTGATTCCTTATCTTCGGCACCACCTGGAGCCTTGTCTCCGGGCCTGTCATCTCCAGCAGGACCTTCGGGACACCCTTCAAGCAGCTCTCCTTCCCCAGCCTCGTTCTCTCCCTCCTCCTCATCGCATGGCGCTTCGACACCTTCGATAAGCAGATCTTCTGCCCTAACGCTTCCGTCTCCCAGCTCCTCATCAAACCACTCCTCAACGTCCCACACCACCTACCTCAGCTTTGTCGCGGATCTCATGCCTGACGGCGCCCAGTCGCCGGTCGTCACTCCTTCTATTGTTACCAACTTCGGCGCCACAGCCCTTGCCCAGCCACCCGTGCGAACAAATAGCGCCAATAGCTCTTCTTCCTACTACTCGTCTCTCAGCTCGAGTATCAGCTCGAGTCTGAGCTCACGACTGTATTCCTCAGCCCTCAGCTTCTTGCCCTCCACAATTCCAACGTCTGCGTATTCTGCTGCAAGATCCGCCGTGACGGCTGCCTTGGGAGCGCCTTCCGTTTTGTTGCCCTCCGGGTTTGGGCCACCAACGGCATTGGCGCCGCCGCCCCTTTACAAGCCCGCTGTGAGGTCCAGCCAATCCATGTCTGGGTCGGCTGTGCACCACGAGTCTTCTTCTTCCTCATCTATTTCAACGCCAGCCACGAACGATCAGTCATCTTCCTCGTCCGTCTCAACACCGGTTCTAAACGAGTTTTTGGGAATTTCAACTGCCGCAATAAACGACGCGCCTTCTTTCTCACCTATTTCAGCGCCGGATGCAGGCAGCCAGCTCTCTTCAACTTCGATCTCGGCTATAAACAATGAGTCGTCTTTCTCGTCTGTTTCGACAATGGTCGAAAACAACGAGCCTTCATCTCCGCCTGTTGCCGTACCTTTCATAGTCAACCCTGTTTCGGCACTCAACATAGATTTTGCACCTGCTTTCCAGTCATCTTCGGACCCGGTCATTGACGATGAGTCTTCTCCTTCGTCTATTGCGGTGCCGCTTACAGACGACCCTACTCCAGCGATAATAATTGCCCATAAGCCTTCCTCAGTCTCGCCTGCTTCGACGTCAGTTATAGAGGACGAGTCTTCTTCCGAATTGTCTATGATGCTTCCACTTATAAACAATCCTATCTCAGCATTACTTATCACCCACAAGCCTTCTCCCCCCTCGACTTCTACCCCGACTTCTTCTTCGCCCTCTTCTTTGCATTCTTCTTCGACTTCTTCCTCGACTTCTTCCTCGGCCCCCAGCTCAATTCCCTCGACTCTCTTCTTGGCTCCCTCTTCGACATCCTCTCCGACTCGTTCTTCGTCTCGTTCGGTGCCGCTTATAAACAACCCATTATCGGCGCTAATCGTTAGCCCCGCGTCTTCTTCATCGCCTATTATGGAAGAAGCGTCTTCTTTCTCGTCTCTTTCAACGCCGATCATAGTTAATGCTGTTTCGGCGCTTCAAGTAAATGACGAGTCCACTTCATCGCTTGCTTCGACGACGGTTTCAAGCGACGAGCCCTCCTCATCCGTTTCGACGCCGGTTATACGCGATGAACCATCTTCTTCGTCTATTTCGGCGGCGAATATAAATGCAGAGGTTTCTTCTTTCTCGTCTGTCTCCGGCGGCGAGACTCCTAGTCCAATGCCAGTTATGACGCTAGCTCTAAACGACGGAGAGTCTTCTCCTTCTTCGTCTGTTTCAACGCCGGTTCCACTCGACGAGCCTTCTTCTTCCTCGTCTGTTTTAACGCCGGTTCCGAGCGATGGGCCTTCTCCCTTGTCATCGTTGTCATCGCGTTCGCCGGTGATGTTCAACGGAGGCCTTGAGGCGTCATCACCGACGACTACCTATTCGTCGTCGTCGTCGTCGAGCAGCAGTAGCAGCAGTCTCCTGACGGACGATGACGGCTCTGTCTTCCGCACCGATGCGCCGCCCACTTCGATCGACATTCCGTTCTGCAGGATCCCTCCGGCCGTGAGGACGGTAACGATTACCCTCACGAGGCACATAGACGCCAATGGCAGGATGTTCGAGCCTGGAATTCCGGCGGCGACGAGGCGGCGAGGAGGAGGAGGAGGAGGAGGAGGAGGAGGAGGAGGAGGAGGAGGAAGAAGGCCGCCAGGCCCGAGAGGTCCCTAAACGGGTCGAAGTGAGATTGCTTCGTTGATATGGAGAGTTGTCCTGGTCACGAGCGGACTTGTTGACTTGGTTGGTTTGGGGTTCTGCTCCCCGCTTCTCTTTTGTTTTTTTTTTTCTTTTCTCTTTTACCTGTTTTGCATTATACTCTTCCAGGCCTTCAGGGTGTTGGCATTGTCTTTCGCATATAAGCTTCTGTGGTGAGACGACCGGATGGAGAAGAGCCGACTCATTAGGGCTTATTTTGGGAGCTGCAGGGAAACGGTAACATTATCCCTTTTTAATGGGTAGCATAGTTCCCGTCTGGAAAACCAGTAGATAGGTGCGATTGGTTCAGATCGGATGCATCAACGGGATAGATGCGTTTGATAGCTCAATGGATTCTGCTTTCAGATAAAGTCAATCCAGTTAACGAGAGACGCGGGACAAGGTAGTCCAGGCATCGCATCCGCACTATTAAGGTTTCCGTGATATCTTACGCCTGAGCCAATCATAAGAAAGGTGTAAACCGTTCTGATATCAAATTACCGAAGCAGGAAATATAATATCCAAAGAAAAATCCTGCGGAAGTCATAGCAAGAGGCCGCAACCAGTGGTATCACGTCTTTTCCATCCTCCCCCACCCAAGCCTAACCCAGCGAAACAAAAGCCCATCTGCTCTACTCCTTCCTCTCGGTCTTGTGGAACAAATGCTTCACCTTCTCCCCCAACCCCTCCTTCTTCTCCTCGCCCTGCGGCGCGCTGTGCCCGCCGTACTTCTCGCGATGCACGTTGCCCTCGCCGCCGCGGCCGGTGTGGTAGTTCTCGTAGCCGGCGCCGGGCTGGCGCAGGGCGGTCTCGGGGATGACGTCCTGGCCGGTGGTCGTGTTGGCGCCGGCGCCGCCGTTGGGCTGGGGAGTCAGGCGCGGCGACCCGATGTTGCCGGCGCCGCCGCGGCCGGTGCTGTAGTCCTTGCCCGGGCGCTCGGGCTCGCCCTGGAAGCCTTCGCGCACGATCTCGCCGTCCGTGTAGACGGTGGGGTCGCGGCCGATGTTGCCGGCGCCTGCGTTTGTGCATTGTGTTAGCGCGCCGAGTGGGTTAAGTGAGGGGGCAGGACTTTTTTACCTCCGCGGCCGGTGGAAACGATTGGGTCGGTGCCAGGCATGGTTTGGTGGGTTTGCGTGGTGTTGTTTTGGTCTTTCCCTCGAAGGGCTGTCGTCGTGGTGATGATGTTTGATGGTGGGGCAAGTCGGAGTCAGAGCTTCCGAGGGGTTGTCAAGCAGTAAATAAAGAGAGCTTGCGGCGCAGTAATTCACCAAGCGACGTGATTATGTGGCTGTGACGTGCAGTCAACCTCAAAAGGCAGGCGCGCCGGAAAGCAGGCAAGGACCGGGCTGAAATACACGACCCAAGCCAAACCAACCCTCTGTCAACCCAATGACGCAACCCCAGCTGGGGAGACGTGGGATGCCCGATGCGCCGACGTCGCTCGCATGCTTCTCGGCGGCGTCAGAGCTGGACGAACGGGATCGAGTCGCGACGCCGAGGGGCCTAGAAAACCCACGACGTGCGCATGTGCTTGGGCAGAGAATTTGTCGTATGCGTGAGGTGATCACGACTGGATGAATGATATGGAACAAAGATAAGGTCGGGTGATGTCATCCTATTTGCCCGCGCTCAACGCACGTGTTCCGCTCCTCCTCCCCACGCGCCCGCCCGCCATTGCCAAGACCATCATTGCTAAACCGCATTACACTCCCGCCCGCTGCTTGACGTCATGCGTCCGCTTCAGCAACTGAATTGAGTCCTGGAATTTCCATCTTCCTCACGTATAGCTTGCCACCAAAAATACAAACGTGGTGTCTGCTTTCGAAGATAGCTAAAATCAATGTCCTGCTCCTATTGTATAATTTTCAATACATTGGTGTTCCGGCTCCAACAGCTATTTCGAGATACTGGTAGCAAAGAGTGGAACTGCTTTAGGTTGGTGGGCTATGTATCGTCTTAGCGACGACAGACAGGAAAATCGTCCATTTTGACATATCCAAGGCGTTCTTATGGACGAAGAAACCTGGACAGTAGCTCGATACTAAGATTTTTAATAGATAATGATCATGCATATTCATTCGCTTAAGTTTTGAAGGAAATTGGGGTAGAATTGGTCGCTATCTACCTATTTGGAAAGCCTATAGTGAAAAGAGCCTTAGGGTATCATCGCCGCAACCCACCAAGATGCCCACTACGCCAGAAAAAATTTCAATTGCATGATCAGGGGAAAGACGAAAGATTGCAACCCCACTTCTCGAATCGTAATCCGTAAAGCATCGAAGGAAGAAAGGGGGAGCCTGAATGGTTGTAACCACTGCAGCTCGCTGACCTGGCTGATAAAACCATGGGAAATCTGTCTTAGGTAGGCGACCTAGGTTCCCCAGTTCTTGGAATCAGCACCAGCGTCGACAGCGCCCCATTGACCGTTGTCACCGCCACCAGTACCGCCGGCAGGGTTGACAGCACCCCATCCACTGCCAGCAGTATTATCAACAGTTCCAGAAGTAGCATTGCCGGCGAAGTTGCTGTCCCACTTGTCGGTGATGGTATCGTTGTTGCTTCCGCCGCCGACGCTGCCGCCACCAGCATTGCCATCCTTCTTATCTGATCCCTTCTGAATGCCAGGGAGCGTCTTGTCCGTTTCCTGGGGGCCCTTGATTCCATTACCGAGGTCGACATTGTCCTTCCACTGAATGAGATCGTGCGAGTCGTCGTTGCAACGGAATTTCCTTTCAACGCAGGCGCAGCAGATATCGTAGTCGTCGCCGCAGCCTTTGCAATGCCACCACTCGCCGATGAGGTTGCCTTTACATCTGTCGCACGTCATCGGCTCCTCACTCCTAGAACCGGCCTTGCTGCCCGGTGCCGTTGCGGCAGCGACATCATTCGCCCACTGATGAACGGGCTGCGGCTGCGACGAAACACTCGGTGTCTTCTGCTGACTTCCGCCTGCCTTCTGCGATTCGGCCTTTGCTGACTTCTCAATCAACTGCTGGATCAGCTCGTCCTTACTCATCAGCGACAGCCTCCTCTTCTGCTCCTCACCCCTCTCCCTCGCCTTATCCTTCTCCATCTCTTCCTTCCCTCCCTCGCCCAGAATCTGAGAGAGCATGTTCCTACTGCGATACTTGAAGCGGAACACTGCGTACGGCTCCTCCCAGCTGTCGATGTAGTCCGGACGACCCGTGACGTGCGCGTAGTCGTAGCCCTTCCCATGGTGGACGTAGCTGTCGACGAGCTTCTCACGGACCGTCTGCTCGGGCACAACATACGGCACCTCTGAGGGGGCGAAGATTTCGGTCGGCGCATCCTCGTTCTGCTTGGGTTGGCGTTGAGGGAGGGCTGGAGGGGCGTTCGGCGCCTTCGCCCAATTGTTCCAGTAGCCCTTGACGAACGGCTGCTCAGGGACGAGCGGCTTGTGCATGAAGGAATTGTAGGGCATCTTTGAGACATCCTTGTTGCTAACGTTGTGTAAGCTACCAGCTTTCGGAGCTGCGATGGACTGATGGGCGGGAGCTGTCGTGAACTGATCAGCGGCAGCAGTGGTTGTCTGGGTCTCCCAGTTCGAGTTGTTGTTGTTGTTGTTGTTGTCTGTAGCCTGCTGAGCATTGTTATCATTGGGAGTATCCCAATTGGAGTTAGTATCCTGGCCAGCATTGTTATCCTCGGCAGGCCATTTAGAGTCGGTGTCCTGCGTAGCGTCGTTGTTCTTGGCACTGGAATTATCGGTATTGTCGGGCCATCTGTTGTCCTGGTCGGCATTGTTCTCCGCGTCGCCCGAGTTGTTGTTTTGTCTGGAATCCTGCCAGGCCCCGCTGGTGTCCGTGTCTTGCTGAGTACCACCAGACTCTCCCCACCCTTGCTGGCTCGTCTGCTCCTGACCATTGGTCGGCCCCCACCCTGCGTTGCCGCTGGAGTCGGCATTCAAGTCATTCTGGGTGTTCTGATCAACCCCACCACCGACATTATTATCACCGCTTGTGCCCCAGCCAGTTTCTTGGCCGCCGCTGTTATCACCACTTGTACCCCAGCCGCTCTCTTGACCACCGCTATTATCACCATTTGAGCCCCAGGTGTCATCTTGACCGCCGCTATTACCACCACTTGCACCCCATGCGTCGTCTTGACCGCCACTATTATCACCGCTTGGGCCCCAGGCATCTCCTTGACCAGCAACGTTAGCTGCGGCAGAACCCGAGCCACCACCCTCTTGACCACCACTACTTTGGCCGTGCTCGTTGGCCACACCCCATCTAGAGCTATCGACAGCTGGGAATGAAGTAGTGGCTCCTCTAACAAAAAGTGATCCAGACGGCTCCTCATTAATAGGGCCCGTGGTGTATGGGTTTGCGGCCTTGATACAGTCTTTGGGATCTTCACCCAGCCAGCCACCGGGCATCTTGCTGTTGCCATCATGACGGTCAGTCTTAGAGTTGTGAGTCTGTAGAGGAGCTGCGTGAGGTGCCTCGGGCGGGTAGCGCGGATTGTACATGGGGTCCGGAGGGTGGGTGGAGCTGGAGAGGCTGCCATCTGGCTGACCGACGCGGTACGACGGTAAACCGTTGGTCCCGAGGGCAAACGGGTTCAGGTTCTGCTTAACGGAGTCGGTAACACATCTCAAACGCCAATTCGGGTATCTGTCTGCCCAACGGACATGATGACTGCTTACCTGCATTGTGGGCCGCGCTTGAGGGGTTGCGGCGGAGCTGTCAATGACACTTGAAAGAGGACGTTGGGTGGCGCTAGAGCTAGACGTCGAACCTGACGGACGGCGGATAGGTGAGACTCGCGGGACTGGGTCGTCTGCATCAAAGTTAACACTTTCGAAGACCCAATAATCCCGGGGCTTGTTTTGAGGGATACCATCACTTGCTCGAGCGCGACGCCTCTGGCGGTAAGCATTGCTGGTATAGCCATGGTGTGGATGTTCCCTACTGTCGTCACTACCGCTGGGACGATACTGCGCATAGTAGCTGCTGGACCTCTGCGGGTCTCTGCTACGGGAGTGGACAAGAGCATCTGGGTGAGTGTCCCTCCAGCGCATGTAGTCAGCGTACGAAGGACCGAAGTCACGACGAGGAGGCGGACTTGGAGAGGCCCTCCTGTGGTGATAGTAGCGAGAGCGATGAGGCTTATCGTCGTAATAGTAATAAGTCGGATCATGGTAACGATCGTCGTTGGGACCATCAAGGCCAGCTTCGAAGTTCTGGTCCCCGGCACCGTCATTGCCGAAGCCCATTGAACCTGGGAAAATGGCGGGCTTGATCTTGAGACCTTTTTGCTTCTCTTTCTGCTTCCCAGAGGTTGACTTGACCTTCTCGCCATTGGCAGGCTTGGTGGGAAGAACAGACTCAACATGAGGAGGGTAGAGGCGACGGACAACAACTTCAATGGTTCCGATATTTCCCAGAATGGTGTCGGTGACGTTTGGTGTCGTATCTGCAGCAGCGAGGGTGTTGAAGCTCCAGGCGCGGCCAAGAAACTTGCCTTTGCTGACCTTCTCCTCCTGCTGGAAGACGTGAAAGTCGACCTCGTAGAATTCGGGGGTGACGGTGCCATCGGGGGCGAGGAGACTATTGCGGTGGCGATTGCATTGGTAGACGCCATCGATGTAGACGAACATAGCTAGGCCTGGGGCAATATAGCCGTGTGAGTGGAGATGGATGCCAAAACCGGTGCGCTCATCGGGAACGGCGACATAGGTCTCGACGAATCCATCACTGTAGCTGGTGCTGTACTCGGTCAGAGGAGTGCGGGACGGCTCCTTCTCGAGCGTGCAGGTGAGCTGCTTCAAGGTCGGCATGGCGCGAGTGAGCAGCAGAAGATGTCGCGCGCGCGACGGGGTGTGGTTTGCGATGAGGCGTATTTCAGTGCCTTGGCGGTGAGAAAGGATGGAGTTGGAGTTGGAAGAAGAGTAGAGCAAAGCGCAGCAGGTGATGCAGTTAGCTACGGGAGTTGAGTGAGCAACACCATGTCGGCAAGTGACGGCGCAACAGCAGCAGCAGCAGCAAATTGACGCGCGCGCCTCGTGTTTCTCAGCGCGTATGCTCTGGCGAGAGTTGCGCGTCGAGCAGTCACGAGATGCAGACAATTGATATTTTAGCGTGAATGGTCGAAGAAGCAACGGGCGCGTGGAAGCTGGCCAAATGCGTGATCCATGGGTGCTTGGGTGACGCAGAGGACCCTGATCCAGGATCCGTGAAATGAGGCAATGGTGTCCTACCCGTCTCGGTCCCTGCGAAGCGCGGCGAAATCAGGCCACGCGGCTGCTGTGCCCGCATCGTGGCGTCTAGAGCGATGGACAGAGGGATGGCGAGCAACGCGTGGTCGCTTGGGCGGCGGGGAATTCTAGGCCGGAAGCAGAGCCGCCGTTGGTTGACCCTCCCTTGGCCTGCTCCTGCGCTGCCCCTGCGCCACCCCAGATGCAGCCCTGCGACGCTGTGCGCGCGGCCAGGGAAGGCGCGAAGCGTTGAGATGCAAACGCCAGCCGCGATGCCGGTAGCTATGCGGACTATAACCATTTGACCTCGACTTCCATTCCTCGTCGTACCACGGATCTGCTCTCTTATTTCCTGGGCCATGACGCGCCCCGCCTTTCACTGCATTTTAATTCCTGCGAGTCCTCTTTCATACCTCTTTCCCCAGACATGTCCCCATGACAGCCTCGACGAGCTGCGCCAGCAGGCAGGACCTGCTCGCCGCCTTGACCCTTGCCGTCGAGACGGTCCATCCCGCCGCCGTCGCCGCCATCGTCGACTACCTGGCCAATCCGCTGTCCGACGACGACCTCGCAGACCTCGTTCAGTCTCTGGGCCCTGCAGATGGCATGACGCCTGCTGCGAGCGCCCGCCTGCTGGACCGCATCAACCGCGCGAAGACGCGCTACGCTACCTTCCTGCGCGCTCGCAACCTGCACGACGTCCGCATCCAGTGGCCCTATGAGCACAGCCTGCAAACCCTTGGCCTGCTCCACAGCAGGGACCTCGCAACTTTCTTCGAGGGCCTTTGGTCGCGCCGCTACACGCATTGCGCTGCCCCCCGCTCCTACCGCTCCTTCAGCGTCGTCGTCACTTCTCCCGACTTCGCCCGCCTTTGCACCTTTGCCCAGGACAGGCGCGTTGCCGTGACCGAGAACGTGCTTCAGACCTTTGGTCCTCTTGAGAGAGGCTCCACGCCGCGCTCCATGCAGGACATCCACCTGCAAATGGCTGCAGCTCTCTGCGACATCCACAACCATCGCTTTGACTCGGCCACGCCGACAATTGAGCGTGGCAACGAGCCCTGGTTCCCCTTCCCCAATGTTGTACGCCAATCCAATGAGATCATTGCCCCGCCTCGCTTTGAGAATATGCTTGGCAGAAGGCTTGACTCTATCAAGGACTGGGACCGCGGCAAGGCTGCCGACGTGGTGCTAAAGAACGTTGCTCCGCCAAAAAGACGTGCTGCACGTCGAAACATTGACAAGACAAAGATGCCTTCCCACTGGAAAGACCTGGACAATGGCCAGCGGGAAGACTTCTTCAGCGGAAAACTCGGCGACAGGAGTGCTCGTGGTCCCGTTCGCTGGCCTGAGCTTCCCGTCATCAAAGAAGACCGTCAGTATGATAAGGCAGCTCGCAAACCGCCGCCGAACGGCTACCAAATGGACGCTTTGTCCAATTCGGGAGAGGATTCGGCCTCAGTTGCTGTTGCAAGTCTCTCGACTGTTAACGGCGACCTGAGGCGAATGAAGTCGTTTGTCCGAAAGCCTTCACGCGGCGAGCTCATCATGCCAAGCGCAGACGTCGAGATGGCGCAAGCGGAACCTCTGCCAACACCTCCCTCTCCAACCTGTGTCGTCCCTATGTCCGGCCGACCGCCAAGCGACACAGGGCTGGCAACTCCACCCGACTCGGCATCGCCAGTCAAGCCCCAAGGCCCGAGCAAACGGTTCAATAGGCGAGCTCCAAGCGCAGCATCAAGGGTCAAAGCACGCCGTCCTCAAATCCGCCGCTCCACCCCCAACAAGACAAACAGTAGCTCCACCACCACGACCAGTTCGCGTGCTGAATCCATTTATTCGATGGAGGATCTCAACAAGACATCTGCCCAGAGCAGTTCTACGACACCGTCACCACCGCAACTCTGGTCGAATCCCTTCGAGTGCTGCAAGATCCCTGAAAGGCGCACAAGCTCTGGCTTAACCACTTTCTCGCCTACAAAACAAGCGACGACCAGCGTCCAACACATCGAAGCTTCTGCTGAGCGTGCTTTGTTCGTCGGTCAAGGCATCGCGGTACTGAGTGAGAGGAAAGAAGAGCAATTTGACGAAATACCCCAAAACCCACGGACGGAGAGGATCGACTCGGCCATTACGCCTATACATCGTACCGCTGTCGATGCTCTGAAAGACAGCATGAGCCCAAAGGATGCCGTAGCCATGAGCGGAGAAACCATCAGCGAGGCGTCACATCGCTGGTGAAATATCAAGAAGACGACTACTATTCCACTCATTGATTCGCGGAATTTGTCACAGCATAAGTACACGTCGTCGGCTCTCGCATAGTAGTGCCTAATTGTCGACAGCACTGCCAGAGTTGGCGTTTCTCATCTATTTCGCAGCGTCTTTCTTCTCTCGTATGTATTCTCCATGCAGCGCCAGATTCGCAACGTCTTCATTAGCAGAAGGCGCTGCTCACATCCATTTTACTGTTTGGAGGTTGAGGGGACTCTCTTTCGTTGAGGCATTATTTGCGGATACCCCTCATTGGGAACCAATTGTTCATTGTCTCTGCTTCTTGTGTTTGATGATTCTTTCTCTTTTCAAGGAAACGGTTATACCCCCCGATTCACTCTCTGCGTTTTGCTTTCGGATGATGTTTACGAGCGAAAGGCGAGGCGTTCAGGAGCGTGAGTGGTAATCAGGAGGAGGTGTCAAACGGTAGACAGGTTCGGTTGTTAGTGAATGCACTATGGTCAAGGTCAAATCTTGGCAGACAGTGAACAAGAAATCGAGGTGTTACAAAAACGGCGTAGCAAAGGCATCTGGACCGACGTTCCTGTGTAGTGTACCTGTCTTCCCCACAAATTTAGCCTAGACGCCAGCATCCGCAATGGAGAATGAACGGGCCCCACATCTAGCCAGCCAGCCAGCCATGCCCCGTTTTCCGCTATCTGGCCCGGCGCCACCGTGCGACTCCCCTGTTCCACCCCGTCGGCGTCCACCCCCAGTCGGACGTCCGACACCGTGTAATTGGCCGGCCAACAGCATGCATTTTACCGTCCAGCCCCCTGGACGCCGAATTACGTGTTGTTGGACGTCCAAATGGGCGCTCGGGCCAACGATTTTACCGTCCAAGTACGTTTTTCGTTCTTAAAGAAAATCTGCTATCTTTTTAATAAATTACTAGTATATTAAGTGTACTATGCTTTTAAAAATTGAAACTATATATCTTTTTAACTTGTCTTTATTTCTATATAAAAAAACATAGAAAATAACGACGTAGATAATATAAAAGTAGGTTTCTTTGCGATCGCGACAAGTTTTTCTTTTTACCCCTTATGTGGCAAAACTTACCCCTTGGACGGTAAAATCGTTGGCCCGAGCGCCCATTTGGACGTCTAACAACGTGCAAATGAGCGTCCAGGGGGTCTGGACGGTGAATTACACGGTGTTGGCCGGCCAATTACACGTTGTCGGACGTCCGTTGCGACCGGACGCCAACGGGGTGGAACATCCCCCCTGTTCTCCGAGATCTCCGAGCAGCCAGCCACAGCTGATATCTATCCCTTTGTCGACTGTGCAATCCGCTATTCGATATTCTACTGCATCTACATGCCAGACATCTAATTGTTCTCCTCTTCTCGAATACCCAAAGTCTGCGCAGAATGAAACTCTAAATGCAAGAAAAGCATCATCGTCAAATCATGCATTGGAAAGGGCGCACAAGCGTGGATGATGAGAGACAAGAATCACGCGCGCTGGGCTTCTCTGCCGCGTGCTGTGCGTGTGAGATTCGCGACGAGTGTCATAGCCCGTAGCGTCGGAAGCAAGCCGTCGCCACCTACAATACATCCATCTCCTTGCCGGGGATAGACAGGCGCATTATTGTTTCCGGCTCCAGGGCATGCTGCGTGGCTCCAAGATGCAGGGTTGCCAATCGTGCGACGTGACACAAAAAAGACGCAGGGTCGTCGCTCCAATTGCTTTTTCTTTGCCCTGCATACATTGCGGATCTAGCCCCGAGAGAAGGGAGCGAATCGTGGGGAAGGAAGGAGGATCAATAACGATGATAATATGAACGAGAAGCGGTGTGCGAGACGGCAGGTCTGGTCACTGATGGACTGCTCGGTCTGCCGTATGCTTTACCGAACGCTCATCACGACAGGACGGGTACAGCACACGGGATTTAGGTTTTCGGAGGTTCCCGCAAAGAGCTATGGATGGTTGGGATGAAGTCCGCATTCCAACCCCGGGAGAGCAACCAGCAAACAACATCCCCTCACCATTGCAACACCGTGCCGGGGCCTGTATGCATGTGCATTGCATGTGTAAGAGGCGTTCGCCGCCGCGAACTCCGGGTTTCACGAACTCCTCTCCGAGTTGGATAAGCAACAGCAATAATTCCTTCTGCTTTGATCATGCTTATGAGAGGCGAATCAGGAAAATACAAACAGCCGGTCCTCAGCAACAGCTGTGTATGTACGAAAAGAGAAAAAGAAAACGAAGTGAGGAACCGGTGCTGTCACACCGTCCAACTCCCTCCCCTTTTCAAAAGTCAGAATAAAATTCAAACATCTCTTGCAGCGGCAAATCCGAGCGCCCGACCATCCACACTACATGCCACATGCCACAACATATAGATGCCCCACTGGGCGCTCGCTCGTGCCGCGGCTTAGGCCGTTCCCGCTTACTCGGTAGTCAGAGCCGACGGCGAAAAGGCGGCACATGTGTGTGTGCCCCCGGCTTGTTCCATGCTTACCGTGAGGAGCTCCGCATGCGGATGGCCTCGGCCCTTCTTTTGCTCGTGCTCTGCTCGGATCGTGCACCTCGACTCTATCAGGATCAAAGGAATGGCGGATGCAGATGCAGATGCGGGTGGCGGGTTTTGCGGCGTGCTGCGGATGCCGGCTGTGGAAATGGCTTTATTTCCGGATTGATGGCTATGTGGGCGATAGGTAATCATGTAGGGGATTAATAAACTGAAAAGGAATCCTGTGATGTCAGAACTGCATGCTGATCCGTGACGGCGGTTTAAACTACTGCGCCTCGGGCGGGTCCCAAAAAAGAAATATTCATTGCCGCCATGGCCCGCAGCTGAGTATACTGCATGTATAGTAATAGTGCCGCGTGGAAATAGCAAGCCGGGTTAGACGGAAAAAAGTGTACAACAACATAGTAGCAATAGAGAAGCTAGAAGAGATGCTGACGCGATGACGAAACCGCCAAGTCTGCACCCATCGGGCTGAACACCTACTTTTTGCTCGGAGTCATTCCCTTTCGTCTTCAGATCGACCATTCTCGCTATTTCGGTTGAAAGATATCACGACGGGAACCGTCTTTGGATCCTTCTTCCCGTCGCAAGAGCCCAAGACGACACCCTGCCACTGACCGGAGAAAAAAAAATAGGACGCATCCACCATTTGCACCTCTTCCGTCACAGTAACGGTGAGATCTGCTTTGACCATCCCCCTATCTCAAAGCTCCAGAGTCATCAAAGGGGTAGAATAGGCAGCATGTGTTTTCATCTTCCGATCTCGATCAGTTCCCCTCCCTTCCTTCAATCCGCCAGATAAGTAATCATTCACGTGTCATACGCAATATATAATCACGGGGATCGACTGCTGGTCTAGGCTCCCAGCTAATAAGCTAGGGCTGATTGACAATTGAGGCTGAGAGCCGCTCTAAAAATCCTTTCCATGTGCTCTCTCTCGCTACCGCATCGGTGGCATCGGCTAATAGTCCGCCTTCAGGACCTCGAGTCAGGTAAACACCTCACTCTCCTCGAGCGAGTGCCATTGTGGCAGAGCAGAAGGAGCAAGATCCCTGACGTCCCCAGTCCCGGGCGGATGGGCCGGGAAAGGCGTGTCGGCGGAGTTCCGCTGAGCTGGTAGCCAGCTTTCAGCCGTAGGGCGGGAAGATCTGGCGGATCGCGGGGGGGTTTCATGTACACACAGGAAGATCTGAAACAAGCCTACGACCACGTGTGGCTGATGAAGAAGTATAGTCGAGAAAGGGGATTTCTGAAGTCATGGCCCATTGCTTGGAGAAAGACGGTAATGACGACAACATGTCGATCCTTCAGACCGGACGATCATCAGACTACTGATGCGGGGGGACACGGGGAGCCACGGAGAGCAGTGTCGATCTCATGACGGCTTGACGTCGTCTCCACGCGCACACCCGGCCGATCAATTGAATCGTCACGAGGAGGAAGGAGGCACGAGTCATCAACCAACAGGGAGGAGCGTTCCAGACTCAAAAGTCAGGAAAGCATCATGCCACCACCTCTCCCTATCGACGGCCGTAACAGTGCCACGAAAGCTTGAGAGAAAGGAGACGAGATAGGAAGAGAGCAGGCGCCTTGCCAAAACGGATGACACCAAGAGCCAAGGACTATCCAAGTCTGGAGAACGTCTTCGCTAGACCAGCCAACACCATCTGATGACGGGAGGCTTCCGCATGGCCACGAGGAGCAAATGCCAAAACAAGCCATAAACGGAACAGGAGCCGCGCTCCTTCGTCCCGTTGATATCCGCTCGTCCCGCATCCATACAGCTCTGATCGGTCGTTGCTCCGCGTCTTGTGACGGCAGTTCCTGCATCCCACAGGCGTATTGATCCTCCGCCAAACGCCATAGCATCATCGCACCCATCCAAGCGGTGCGCGGCGCGAGCCGGGGTGGTGAAGAATGGCTCTGCCCTTCGGGCCGTTTTGACGTGAGGTGCGTGGCAGGGGATAGGAAAGAGCAGCAAAGGGAAACAGAACGAACGAGGCCTAGAGCTGACGGGCAGCAGAGCCCTTGGTTGGTTGGATTAGACTGAAAGAGGGTATAGCTGCTGCTGCCGCTAACGCGGGTGAACTTACCGCCAGGCCGCTTGTGCAAGCCGAGCGCGCCATGCTCCGCGGCGTGGCCTGATGCTTGAGGTGCGGGTTGGGAGACTAGACACGCTAGTCTACCGTTCGACTTGCAGAACCCACTACCACCTCCACACGAATCCTTCCTCGCTTAACACCTTGATCGCGCAGATCGAAGCAGCTGAGGAGGAGGGAGACAGTTTTGGAGACCGCTGTGCGCCTCTAATCCTCGCTTTCGCAAGACAACCAGCTCGAGTCGTGCCGGGCGTGATTGGCCGGCTACGGCTGTATTCTCCTGTCCGTTCTTGTGATCGTGGGAAATTTTCCTCATGTTTACTGGCAACGACGTCGTTGCTTGCTGCCAAGAATGCAGTCAGAATTGTGGCCCAAGCGCAGCACGGGGCACGCGTTCCTTTCTTCCGTTCCCACTCCTCACTTTGCTGGTGCCTTGCTTCGAAACCCAACGCTATGGATCACGGGTGCTTGTGCTCTGCTTTGTTTCGTGGGCCGTACGATCGCGTCTCATCGCGTGTCGATCTGCTGCTACACCCCTGCCCCTGTGCATCAACCGGGATCCGATGCTTGATGCCAGCAGGTGAAACGGAAGATACCTTTAAAGAATGTAAATAAATGGCTTCTGAAACACAATTACGATTCAAGCCAAGAACCGTTGGGCACTTTTGCTGCAATTGTTCAAAGAGACGAGAAAGAGGCTGCGGTAAGTGGCTGCTCGGCGCCCCCGAGCAACGCGTGAGCGCCACGTCCTCTGTTCCTGCTGACGGCGTCGTGGTCAAAAGCGCCAGCAACCGCCCGGAGGTTGCTGCCGCAAGCTGAGGCCGCTCCAATCCTCTTACCCGAAGGGGCGCTGGGGGGAAAGAAAGGGCCGCGCGCCGATCGGCTGCCCTAGTCGGAGGTCCCGGTAGCCCTTCAGCCCTCTGGATCGATCGATCATGCTGGAACGGGAGCATTATCCCGTTCCGGGGTAACACTAAGGCGTCGGCTTGTGGCGTTTCCAGCGCACACCCCACGCGTTCGCGCTGCTTAACCCGCGCTATCTCGGCCCGGGTCAAAGAGGACGAGACCGACGGACCGTCGGAAAGGGAAAAAAGAAAAAAAAATAATGAAAGGGAACCACCGCCGCGGGTAAGGCGGACTCAAGCGCGACGATCCTCTGGGGACGCTTGGATAGGTCGGGATATCCGCAAGCAGCTAAAGAGTGGCATTGGCGTGTTTCGCGTCTTGTCCAAACGCATCCACATGCCTTCTTGCTTTCCAACGAATCCAAAACTCCGGGACTGCCTGCTCTTATCCTTTTTCAGACCCCGGCGCTGACGAGGGAAAGGAACAAGAACGGAGATCTTTTCTTGCGCTTTCTCCTCCTCTTCCTTGTCTCGGACACCTTGACCCTCGTTCCTTCCTCTTTTCGTAATCCTCTCCTCGTCGTTCTCTTTCCCCCGACTTTTGAAGCTGGGCGTTTCCTTCTGTTCGGTGAAAACTCACCTTCACTCATTGCCCTCTTTAATACCTAGTAGACCCCTTCCAACCGAAGAGGAAGGGTCATTAATTACCCCCACCCCCAACCACCCTATCACGCGGAATTCACGGGGCAGTGGCTGCGTGCCTTCCTCTCTTACCTTCTCAACCGAAACATTCCCAACCGTCTCCTCACAACACCGGCTTCGGCGGTGGGCCTCTCTGCACCACTCCATATCATGTCGACAATCCGATTAAAACCAACCCCACCACCCCGACCCAACCGCCCGGACGCCAACCAGACGCCCCTCACACCAACCTCTCCACTGATTCCCGGAGGCTGGTTGGCTTCATCTCACTCCTTTCCACTACCGCACCCACCTCACCCCAAGTCCCCACCTCCATCCCCACCCGTCAGTGCAGGCCTGAGTGGTGGTTTCTCCTTCTCCATGGCACGGCTAGCGCTTGGAAGCGGGGCTGTCAGAGCCCCGACCAAAGGAGGAGATGGAGATCCGCCCAACACACCCGTCACGCCAGCAGCGTGGCTGAGCGGTGTGAAGCGGAAGGTGGCGACCAATCAGCAGAAGCAACAGCAGCAGCAGCAGCAGAAAAAGAAGAAGCACTTGCGGAGCAGAAGCAAGCGGTTCAGCGTCAGCAGCAGCGATAACAGCGTCGAAAGCAGCCCGCAGGTGGACCGCAGCAGCCGGCCGCGAGCGTTGACACAGCCGACCAAAACACACGCGAGCGACTACCACAACGCCCAGCAACCGTCACTGCTACCACACCTGCGCGAGCGCCGACGCGGCAGCGCGACGAGTCCGCGTCACCCGCACATAACCGAGACGAGGGGTTGGAGCAGCAGTAGCGACAGTGATGATGCTGAGGATAACGCCTCAGCAAAGCAGCGCAACGACCGTCCTCACCAGATGTTCAGAGCACCGAGTGGTTCTTCTGATACGGCACCGGCAACGGTGCTGCAGTTGGAAGGCGTCGGTGCAGTCGTGATCGAGGAGGCGCCACGACGGGCAATCACCGCAAAAGCCGGCGGAGGCGTCAGGCTTGTGGATGCGCGCAGACCTTCCAATTGGAGCATTCCTACCATCTTCAAGGATGGAGAGGTGAATGTAGGGGAAGCCGAGGCTGCCGAGGTCCAAGAAGAGGCGAAGTTGACCGAACCCGGTCCAGGGCTCTCGGGCAATGAGAGAGTCAGGAAGACGCTGAAGTCGAAGGGGATGGAGGCCTTGCAAACGGGCAGGTTGTCGCCAGGCGGTGTTCTGGATTTCTCCGAGAAACCGCTACCGTCGACGCCGATGAGCATGCAACCGACGCCCAGAGAGCTGTATCATTCAAGCGACGGCTCTGCTTCCACCTCGTCATCCCCTTTGCCGTCGCCCGCTTGCACACCTCCTCCGGCAACTTGTCTGCCATTGAGATTCCCAATGCCTCCGTCCCATATCCCCGGACGAAAGCCTGTTCAGCCATTGTCTGAACCCTATATTACCATTGATGGCAACATCGACAACGACATGATCGCATCGGCGTACCCGCTGACGCCGATCGCCACTGACCTGGGCTCGCTTTCCGTCATTGCGGGACTCGAAGAAGAGTCTCCATCCGCTCGACGGAAGGCACGCTCTACTTCGCGTTCGTCGAGGTCAGACAACAGCAGCCGTGCACGAAAACACACACGCGCATCTCGTTCGAGCAGTGTGTCAACAACAAGCATCCGCTTACGCAGTGGGTCGGTGGTCACTGTCATACCACCAGAGCAGAGTGCATGGCAGCGAACTGCCTACGTTGCGGACCCGATCCAGCTTAACAACTTGGCGAACAACAGCGCTGGGGCCTTTTCGGGTCTACCAAATATTCGAGGCAAGGCGGGCAGTGTTGCGTCTTTGGACGCATTCCAAGACGCAGTAGAGAGCCTCTTGGACAATCCTGCGACCCAAGGGCGGCGTGCGAGTGACGAGAGCGTCGTTGAAGAACTGGTCACATTCTTCGAAGACTTCGGCTTCGGCCCCGCCGCCGGAGAGAAAGATTCGTTGGACTGTTTTTGGTCGTCGGATCTCAACAATGAAGCTGTAAGCCCTGGTAGCTTCGGCACTAGCTGGCTGAGCTCGCCACCCGAGATACCGGTTCCTGCCGTGCCTGTGCATCTCCCAACAGGGTCTCCCTTGGCTGCAAAGAGAACGAGTACGATGAGCAGTGGCATTGGTGCTGTGGAGATGATTGAGATACGGGACGCAGATAGAGAGAGCTTGAAGCGGACTTCGAGTTTGCTGAGCAAGGCGAGCAGGAGTAGCAGCGAGAGAAGGAGCCGTTTGTCCGGGGCGAATAGCCAAAGGACCAAGCTGAGGAGACTCATGATGAGTGCAGGTGGGATTTTGTGAAGGGCTTTAGCTTAGTGTTAGTAAGGATACCATTGGTCAAACATGATTTTGGGCATCAGAAATTCAAAGGAGTACCCTCTTTCGGGCCAGGATCACGAAAACAAACATTTTGGCCCAGTGACGGATGCCTCGTGTTGTGAGAGTGTTGACCGCTCGCTCGGTCCCAGCCGAGGATTCGCACGATGCTCACCGCACGCACCGCAGCCGGTAGGCGACGGGTTCTCGAAAGTGCCCAACCTCGTTCGGTGGGTCTCGGCCGCGTGACGACAGCAGCATTCCTCCCCGTGACTCCAGGAAGATTTTCGGCTCGGACCGCCACTTTCACCGCTCAGCAGTAACCGCACTTCGCTGTCACCGACAGGACTGGCTATCGTCGATGTGGTTAGAGCCCTTCGCCCGGTTGGTGTTCCGGCAATATTGTGGGACAAGCGTAGCAACTACGTAGGCATACGTGACGCTTGCAGGCTCCTCTTCCCTGTTGGTCGCTGCGGTTATCGCGGAGGTAAATCCGCTTGGAACCAGTCGGTGGACCCTGGATTACCCAAAGCGTGCTGGCAAATGCAGGTTTTCAGACGGATGAGGCCGTGAAGAAAGCCACTACGCACCAGGTACCTCTTGGCTTGATGACCCGGCACCCCGGCACCCCGGAGCGTACGCACCCCACGCAGGGTGTCGCTCAGCGGCAGATGAAACAACAACCCACCGTCGGTGCTGCTGAGATGTCGGCTCGTCGTGACCGCCACTATGATGGCAGCTCGGAGATGGGTGAAGTTACACGACAGCTTTCCTTTGTCTGTTTTCTGGAACCTCGGCGGCCCGAGCCGTGTCTCCGAATTACCCTTTTTGGTAGCCAACAACAATCTCCTCGGCAATTTCGCAGCTCACTTGACGCAGGTGCAGGGCAAAATGCCAGATCACGGATGGTCTTGCGATGCGGAGTACTTTCCGGGTGGCGTTCAGTTCCAGTGTTTGGGGACGGCTGCACCCCCAGGGCCGGATGGTTGCAAAATTCAGGTTTTTTGATCTTCTCGAGTCGCGCAAAAGTGGGCAGAGATCGTCCAGGCCCCCGGGAATCGCAGATCCAAAGGAAGTTTGTCGGGGTGAGTCTAGAAACAGGAAGAAGCGGAGGCGGTGACTCGAGAGGAGCGCAGCTGGTATCAGACAGGCCGCTACGCCGCCAGCGTCAAGCCGGTGGTCCTTGGCGGGCCGGCAGTTGGGAGGCTGGAGAAGCAGCTTCCATCAGGGGCACGCTCGCCCAGCGGATGCAGGTCCGGGAGCAACTAGCGGACCCTGAAATTGAGAGTGTCACGCTGCTCAGGCGAAGATGATGAAATGCCGCTCGCTTTGATGAAACAGGAAGGCTTCTAGAATGGGGATGAGAAGGAAGCGTTGAGCCAGGCGACAATCCTTCGGGGCTGGCAGTTGGCTCGGACTGTGCTCTGTTGCTATTCTGGACGGCGCTCGGGCAATGGTTGTGACAACGGCGGCTACACACGAGCAGCAATTTCGCTATGACCTCACTTGTGCGGTGTCCGTCAGTGCGTGCGGCGAATCTCTCGAACGGCGAAGAAGCAGTCGTCCTCAGGCTCCACTTGCAACGTCGCGGCCGCACGTGAGGAGCAGCGCTGGAGGAAGCTACAAGCGCCACCAATCAAACATGGCGGTGAGCTAGTCCTGAGACAAGACAGCGCATCTCAGCTCTGGGCCGAAGTTTCAACGGCTTTTGCGGCTCTAATTTCGGTCAATATTGTGCCAATAACAGATGGATGGAGGCTGTAATTGCGCCGATCTGATCATTCCCGACAAGGTTTGGCCTCGGAGCAGCACGAGGAACCCCGTGGAGAAGGGCTGGAGGAGTATGTAGCTGCTGCTGCTGCGCGGCGGCGCGCCGGTGAGCCGCGTTTTGACGTCTGCGTGGGCGAGGCCACCGGTGAGGGCGGTTGCGGGCGTACAAACGGGGGCGGCGCAACGGTGGTGGTGGTGCAGGCGGCGCTGCGGTTCGCGGGCAGGCAGCGGCCGAGGTGCTGCGGCTTGCGTCGATTGGCGCTTGGGGCGATGCGAGCGAACCCGGCGCGGCGGCGCGCATCTTCTTCGCAGCGAGACTCGTGGGGAAGGATGGCCGGCATCATCGAGTTGCCGTAAGCAGCGCGCAAGACGAGGCGGCCAATGGGAGGCGGCAGGCGGGCGGTGGGCTCTGGCGCACGCACGCGGCCGGCTCTCGAAACAGCGTGGGCGATCAGCAGCGGGCTGGCTGTCTCGTATTTGGCAGGCCGGGAGCCCAGCCGGGGCCTTCCCTGCAGCCCGGGAGGTGACAAGTGACGCACGCCAGCCCGGTGCGCGTCCGTGCCAGCGCATCCCGCGGGCCAGCGATAATCAAAAGGCACCCGCCCGCCGCATGCTCGCTTTGCCCATCAAACACCAACCAGTACCGCTCGCCCTGACTTTTTCGGTAGCAGTAATTGCAGACCCGTATTGTATGCGCTTCGTGCCACGCTGCAAGTGCTTGTTCTCGTGCTGATCTCCGCCAGCCGCTGCACATCTTAACTCGACCGCCCGCTTTCAATGGCCACCGCGACCACCCTCCAGCCCTCGGATCCCTTCCTCCAGATCTTCCAACGCGAGAGGCAGTCCATCTGGGAGCGTCACGCCCACCTGTCCGACTTCGACCGCGAGGCCCTCTGGCACCAGCGCAAGGCCGAACTGGCCTCGTACCTAGCCGCCGACCCGACCCAGCATGCCCACACGCCGCGGTCCCTGTCCAGCGTCCCTACTGTACCGCGCTCCGCCCTCTTTGGTAGCCATGCTTCCCTCTGACTTGAGCAGGATCTCCACCTTTCCATGGCTATGAACCGCAGCGAGAGCGCCTCGATACACTCTGCTCCCGCCGGCCTGTCCATGTCTCACTCCTACTCCGCCCTCACCCGCCCCGACCTCTTCTCGAGCAACACCGATCCCGCCGGCGCCGCCTACACCCTGGCCTCCAGGAGTACGTCCGTGCACCAGCCCATGCCTCGCCTCGACGAGGTCAACGTCTACGACGACCCCTCCGAGTACATCGCCACCTTCAACGGCCACGCCTCCAGCCTCCCCGCCCGCTTCGAATCCTCGACTCACCCCATGCAGCGCGCCTGGAGCAACCTCAGCTCCATGTCCCCCAGCACCTCTGTTGGCGAACTGACTGCAGGCTCCACCCTGGCCAGTGACAGCATGAGCCGCCAGAGCTCGTCCAGCGCGACCTTTGCCCATCAGTTCGACATGATGCGCGTCCAGTCGCAGTTTTCCAACACTTCCGATTCTGTTTTTCCTACTCATGATTTCTTCGTTGCCTCACCATCTGCGACCAAGTCCCACGGCTTGCCAGCAGATGGTGATTTTTCCTACATGTCTTCTGCTTCTGGCGCTGATGCTTCCATCTCATCAGCGCATTTTCCTATTTCGTCTTCTCCTTTTGTTCCTTCTGATCTTGTTGCCAGCAACTCTGCTGCACTTTCAAATCCTCACTTCTCTCCCCCCGCCCCCATGGCCCGCTCAGCTTCGATCGAGAGCAACGACTCTGCAACCTCTCCCTCTCGTTCAAAGCGCCGCCACATCGAGCAGCTCGCTTCGGGAGCGAGGCCCATCGCCCCCAAGGCCTCTGAGAGCAGCATGCCCCTGAACGCTGCGCAGATGGAGCGTGCTCCCTCTGCTGCGACTTCGGCCTCTCTCATTCGTGTGCCCACGTCTGATGGCACCGGCACCAAGTCGGTCGCCGCCATCAGCAAGGCTCCCTATGTTCGTCCTGTGCACCCCAAGATCATGTGCCAGAAGTGCAATGAACACCCTGAGGGCTTCCGTGGCGAGCACGAGCTCCGCCGTCATACTGAGCGCGTGCACGCTGCCATTCGCAAGGTGTGGGTCACCGTCGATGCCTCCCCCAACAAGCAATTCCTCGCCCACTGCAAAGCCTGCCGCAACGGCAAGAAGTACGGCGCCTACTACAACGCCGCTGCGCACTTGAGACGCGCTCACTTCAATCCTCGCAAGCGTGGTCGCAAGGCTAAGGGTGACGAGCGCAGGGGCGGCAAGGGCGGTGGTGATCATCCTCCCATGGACGTGCTCAAGCAGTACTGGATGAAGGAGGTCGAGGAGTTTGTCCCCGAGAACGCGAGCAGCAGCAACGACCTGAGCGTCGATGCCGATGGCGACGACGAGGAGCCGGTGAAGCGTGCCAGGGAGTTTGGCATCAGCAGCGACGGCATCCCCACGGCCGTCTTGGAGGGCAACACTGTCCCGTCCAATGCCTCTCCCGCCGTCAATGCTACCCCTGAGCTCACCGGCGACCTCTCCAACCCTGCCATCACCTCGTTCGACTCGCAAGGCCTGACCTTCGACCCCAACGCCACGTTCAACGCTGCCCCTCACATGCAGTCGAGCGAGTTCTCGATCCTAGACCAGTATGCGCCGGCCATGCACACCGATGCGACGCTTTCGCCCACGCAGTTCCAGCTCGACCTGGGCGACCCGTCGACTATGGCGCAGCACCAACAGCAGATGCCGCCGCAGCAGCAGCAGATGATGCCGCAGACTTATGATGTCAATGCCATGCCTGCTACTACTGCCGGTGACTTCAGCGGGTACTTTGTCGCTTAGGCTTCTATTACTGTGCAGATACCTTCTGGTGCTGCATAGTCTTTTCTTCCTTTCATCTTTTCGTTTGTTTCTCTTCTCTATTTGGTTTTTTTCTTTCTTTAGGCTGCGAGCGGGCTGAGCGGGAGCGCTGGCTGGTCGCTTACCAGCTCGCCCGTTCGCTGACGGCTGTGCGCTAAGTACATACCTTTCACTTCGTCTTTCTTCCCCCTTGTCATTTATCGCCATTTTTTCAGACTTTTCCCTTTTCCCTTCCTTGAGGCGATAAATCTTGGATTCCGAAGCAACACAGAAGAAAGAATGGGTCACGGCGTTGGGGGTTCTTGTCAGAGGTTTCATACGTTCTCCTTTCCTACTCTGCAAACTGCCTTCTCATAGCTCGGTGTTCTCGGTTCATCGGCTCGCTAAGTGCATTTGACAGCAGTCAGGTGGTGGCGTTTTCCAAAAAATGTTTCCTCTTCTCCTGGAGCGTTCAGCAGAATTCCAGTGCGGAGCTGAACTTCTCCATTTTCCTCTATTTCCTTGTATTTCCTTGTTTACCTACAGGGCGCTGTAGCGACTATTACGATGTCATGAGCCGAAGCGAAAGTAATTTTCCCTTTCGACATTCTTCTTTTCCCCCTTGTACTCTCTCTGGTTTTTTGAGTCTGTACGTATCTATCTCAGTCATTTCTTGAGCGATCGATTGTCTTCACACCACCATAGCTGTCGGAGATAATGCAGATGAGGGGAAAAGAGAATTGAAATTTTCCAGAAACACTTCACTCATGATTGTGCAAGCCTATGTGCTATCTGATATCGTTTGCATCTTCCCTCCTGCTCTGCCTTCACACGGTGCAGGCTATTAGCCATGCGAGACACGGCCGAAGCGTTGTTGACTGCCTCAATGCCGATTTCGCTACAGTGCAAGACGGCCCCAGGTGGAAGAGAATGCGGCATCGGCAAGGCGGTGGCGAAGTGCTCCATGGCGTGCTGAAACTGCGGTGAGAGGCATATTGTTGGGGCTGTTGGATCAGTGGCTTTCAGCCATGGCGTTGAGGATGTCGGTGCAAAGGCAAAGTACGGGTGCGGCGAGAATGGTGAGGCCCCCGTTGACGCACGTTTGGTGATCCTCGTTATGGCTGTGAGGATCGGCAGGGTAGGGTTTTCGCATGAGACCCTGTAGAAACGGGCTGGAACAGAGAGGGAAGGTGAGGCGGATGAGGGATGCGCAATGATGGGGGTGGGAGTAGGGATGTTTGGGCCGTGTTTGTGATTGTTCACTTCCTTGGTGGTGCAGTCTGCTGTATTTGGTTTGATGACGATGAACAGGGGACGCCGTTGAACCATGTCTTTTTTTTGTGATGGCAACGGTAAGGGGCATGCATTTGGCAATGTAGTGAGATGAGGCATTGAGCGTAACGGGGGAGTTCAGAAGGATGAGGACAGAGTCGGAAATTGATCGACACAAGCGTACCTTTTCTATGTCTTCCCCATCAGCGCGCCGATGACGAGGCGGCTGTCTTGGGCAAGAGTGGTCGATGGCGGGTGAGAAGACGATGGTGGAGTTGAGCATAGGCGGTACAAAACATCACCACGCAGCTCTTTCAGGCGGGCCGGGATGCAGATATCGGGATGCACTGCAGTTGACGGATGCTGTGCAGTCTAGACCGAGCCGTGTCAGAGATCGGCAAAGCAGTGAGAAATGTAATGGCTTCCACAATGCGGCGGAAGCAGCAAAAACGTGGGATGGCGTTGACGAGAAGACGTTGCACAAGGCTGCAGGCTGGCGTTCGGAACGCAGCCGAGCGAGGTCTAGAGCGGGCGAAGACTATCATTCTCCAGAAAGAGCGACCCAGAGGAGTGGAGATGTGCAGCGCATGAGATCGTGATATTCAGAGGCGCTTCCGGTGGTGGTGGCTGACAGAGAGTCGGGATGCCGGGTTCTGAGCAGACAGGGGGGAGAACCGGGCAAAAACCCGGTCGTCTCAGCCAAAGTGCGTAATGGTCCCTGGGCAGGCGAGTCGGCCCCTGCGCGACGTGTCGTACGGTGGCAGTGACACTTTTTGCTTTTTCCTTTCGGAAGCGTTCCAGCTCGGTGACGTCACTGTGTGACTCGCGCGACCCTGGCGATCCTCTCTTGGCTTTGCGCTCCCGACATCCGCGCTGCACAACATGCCCTTTGCTTTTTCGCTGGAAGCTGCACTGCGCCTTCGAAACTTGGGTACTTCCACAGCGTCGAACCCCGTCTCAAGTATACCCACTCGCCTCATTTTTGTAGCATCTTCAGCTCTAGCGCCTTTCTCATGAAAGTCTAATCCGCCTGAAACACCCAAGAAGAATCCAAATGTAGTAAATCTATCTCCTGTCCGTGGCTTGGTCCGCATGGCTGATACTGTGCCGTTTCTGGGCCCCAGAGATATCCACACCTTCACCTGACTTTCCGAGATGGACACACACACGGGCCATATCCGGAAGGTAAGAGAGAGAAAAGAAAGGTTCTTGTGAGAGGCTCACCGCCGAGTTAAGTTGTTGCAGGACTGACTGCGCAGCTACGACGTCTGAGCAAGGGGCATGGTGGGATTCAAATGGTTTCGTCCTTTACAACTCACCCTCAGAAAGACTTCGGCGTGCTCAGTCAAAGCCTCTGAAGGCCGAGCCCTTGCCATGTCTTCCTAATTCAACAACTAAATATTAAAATTTAACACACTTTAATGTGTGGTGAATTGTAGCATATCGTTCGACCCATTGAGGCTCGAACCACCCTGTCTCCAGTAGCAAGACCTCATATCTATTTTAAATTTACACAAGTAACATTCTTATCATTGTAATCGAATCCTTGGTTGTGAGGGCAGCTTGAAAAACAGTTGCACCCTCCCCCCCCCCCCCCCCCCCCCCCCTCCTTTTTTTCCCCTGTTCGAGCAACACACTTAGAAGTTACACGCCTACATCCAGCGTAGTCATATAACTTTCTTGCTCCTACCCCGCCTGAGGCATCTATTGGAATGCATGCGGTTCAGCACCGGGGTTGAGGATGAATATTCCGGATGACTTGAGCAAGAGACACACGATATTCTGTGTTGGCTAAGGCGCTAGATATGGTGCCTCTTGACAAAAGACTAAATGATGATGGGTTTTCGGGAATGTGGAAAACCGTGAAACGTTGAAGGCAAAGGCGAATATCCAGGAGAGTGGTGTTTTCAGTCGCCATATATAGAAGATTACAAAATAAACGGTTTGTCTCGGGGTTTGTCTCGTAAGGAAACCTGCATTCTGCCACTGTAGGTAGTGCCGTTGTCCAGATATATGTATACGCTTTCAATCATACCTACAGGCGAATGTAAACCTCAACTGCCTGTGTCGGTAAATTAAGAAATGAAGTTCTTTGCGCTGCTGCGGCAGTTAGCGCGGACCCTGAGAGAAGGTGCTCCGGGGAAGGCACGTTGGAGCGGGCAACACCCCCAAAAAAAATTCGTGCCTGCAAAAGCTCCTCCATAATCTCACCTTGCCATTTCATCAAACCACAAACCTGACCAAACGCACAACGCCAAACGAACTGCAGACATGCGGCGCACCAAGGTAAGATGCACCGTATTGAATAAAGACTGCCCGCTTGCTGATACCATCAGAAGACTCGCAAGCGGCGGCAGGAACACCTCAGATTCATGGACTTTCCCGCAGAGCTCCGAAACGAAGTGTACGCTTATCTGCTTTGGGGAAATGCAAAGAGAAGCAATTCAAAAGATGGAAAGCCATGCCATGTGGTTGTCACGACTAGAAAGGACTTCGAGGACCTTTAAGGCTGGAGCTTCAAAAACATGGCCGCTTTTTCCGGGCAGAGAGAATACGAGGCATTCTTGACTAAGGGTTCGGCTCCATGTTATAAAGTCGCCATCGACTTATTCTTGGTCAACAAGCAGATCAGCTGCGAAGCGCTCTCAGTAATGTACGCGCGAAATATGTTCGTCTTCGCGCTGCTCGACACCTTTGTCCGCTTCCGTAACATGATCGGCCCTACCAACGCCGCTTCACTCCGCCACGTTGCAATCCTTGACCTTGGACGCATTAGCAAGACGGCTCACCAATCGTTGACCGAGGACAAGTGGTTTCAAATGCCCGACAACCCTGATGCGCGGACGAACGCCTTCGCTGGGCTTTCAAACCTAACGGATTTGGAGCTGTGGTGGAAACCCTCGGCTCACACTGTCGACCCAAACCTCGCCGCTCACTGCATTTGCTTCTGCGTGCGTGGCTTTCTGGATGCGGTCACTGAGAAGGAAGGTGACCCTTTCGCGGCTATAGAACAGATCACTGTCCCGTGGATGAGCTGCCCACCGTACAGCAACAAGCAGTATCTCGAAGAGATGAGAAGCAAGATGCGATGGTTGATGACAAATGCACCGAAGACTAAATACTTGCAATCAAACCCTGAGTTGAGGGATCTGGAGTATGAATTGCAGGCGTGGAAAGCTATGAAACTGGAAATGGCCTCCAGAGTCCTGTAGAAGCTGATGCGGGAGCATGCAGCAGGGTTCAAACAGTCACGCGGGCTCTACACACGTAGGAGAACCGAGATTTGAAGTAGTCATTCCTCATTTCGGGACATGTATAACTGCGTACGTCTCGATGTTCCCTCATCAGCAAATGGTGTTGAAAATCGAACCGCGCAGAAGCAAGCAAACTTGCCAAAGGTTTGTACAATGCAAACACTAGCTTGGCCTTTGAAAGACCTCGGGTAGACCAAATAAAGACACTATAGCAATTGTTTCAGCAGCTAAGCAGAAGCGTAAGGAGTTCTCTTCACCTATCAAATGAGGCTGAAACAGTGCAGGTGTTTGTAAGGTGTAAGGTACCGACATCAACTCTGAAGTAGAGTTGATTATCATGTACAGTTTATATACTTCATCTTCGTGACAGAAAAGCCATTCTGGTATGGTTTACAATCACGAATACACCAACACTTGTCATACTTTGACCACAATCAGACACTTTCAGGTGTTATCAGTTTCTCATTCTCAAACGCAGACCCGTTTTATCTTGTCTCAACTCTGGTGGACTCTTCCTCTATCAACTTTTCAATCCTCCAGACTTTCAAACTGAAACTCGACCGCTAATACAGAAAATACCATCAGTGCACATCTTACCTATCAGCCACTCTGCAGTAAAGATGTCAGATCGCCGCGTACTACATGCACATAAACGGAGACTCTCAGGTGTGAGTGCTTCCGTTATTTTCCCACGCTAACTCAATTATTCGTACTGGATGAGAGGTCAAAAGCTGATACATACTAGATTTCTTCCAGAAAATCAGAGCAGAAGTGCCAGACAACGTCAGACCAGGCCTCCAAGCTCCCAAAACCTTCTGAATCTCCCATCTGCAATGATTACGTTATTCTCCCACACTCTGAGCAAGCCAAGTCATACGTGCGCACCGATCCTACCAAGCTCTGTCTCCTAGACCTTCCCGGCGAGATCAGGAACATGATTCATGTATGGGCCCTTGAGCAGCACATTAATTCGCCCGAGCAAGCAATTGGACCGCTTCCGCTGGGCCTCGTCCTCACCAACCGACAGATACACAGAGAAATTTCCTCCTGGATGTGGAGCTTATGCGAGGTCATCGTGGACGATATGATTCAGCTAGCCTGGATCACTGCCAAGATGGGGCCAGCCAACGCCTCGTACGTCCGCCACGTACACTTACATGGTCTGCTCGAGGGGTTCAAGAAGGAGGAGTGGTTGATACGACCTTGGGCTGTTGCGTACGCCGACACACTTGCGCCGTTTGTGAGCTTGGAGCGTGTTACGTTCAGCTGTGCCGGTACCCAGCGAGACGCTGACCGTGTGATGCGCATTGCGCGGTGCTTGTACTTTTGCGCCAGGGGGTGGATAGAGGCAGTGGGAGAGAGGGAGGGTGATCGCTTTGCGGCGCTGACGGAGGAGCGGATCACAGTCTCGAGCGGGTCGACAGAGCTGATGCACGGGCTCTATCTTACGAAGGAGGTCTTGGTGTGGTTGAGGATGTTCATTGACAATCCGCCTATCCCGGCACGCTTGAGGTCGGCAACGAGGAAGCTGCCCGGAAGAGAGGTACTTCTTGATTACAGGGTTAATTAGGTGAGACATTTACTATAATAGCGTGTGCTGGAAGGAGAAAGGGAGGGCTGGGTAGAAGAGCGCTGGTGTTGCTGCGGAAGATGCTGCCGTTGGACATTCTAAAGCGCGTTACCATACCGCGCATGGATGCGGAGAAACAGCATTACTATATGGAGACATGTCTAAAGCAATTCTAAATACCTGTCATTGAATTAATTTAATGATAGCGACAACATATTAGCAACAAAGGATTGGACTGGCAGAGCCTTGGCGGTGCAAAGGGGGCATAACACTTCCCGAGTGTAGCTTTGGCGGTAAATTCAGTGAATTGAGAGCACCTTAATTGAGCTTCTACGATATCCTAGTATTATCACAGAAGCTTAGATACCAACAAACCGGTTTGTTGTAGACTTGTGTAGATCTGCTGTGGTTTTTCTTATACTTTCTATTAGCCACTTTTTTCTCAATACTACAATTTCGTTAGACTGTTCCGCAAATCCTATAGTTAAAGCAATCACTCTTCAAACACTACCAGTATATGAACAACAGTTCCTTTTTGTTGATACGTCTAGCCGGTATAATATACGTTCAAGTGAACGTTCATCATCAGTGGTAGGCTTGTAGTCTCTACTCCGTACGCTACAGGGTGAGTATACACATCTATCTCCTTAATTTGTGAATTATATGATTTCATGAAGTGAATGAGAACTATATAATGCTGAAGGCCCTCGAAACATCATAATACCAAAGGCCACCAAGAAAAATTCTTAACCGCAAACGTCACCAAACCAACTTGGCAACGCACTAAAGCTACACATGGAGGGACCTACTCTAGAACGGACCCGACTAAAATATGTTCTCTAAATCTTCCGGCCGAACTTCGAAACATGATATACGCCCTGGCCATCATCACGATGCCGGAGCAACACCAAGCCATAATTTTATACGAGCTACCGGCCGAGATGTGGAAGCTAGACGGCGCGTGGAGGAACGGCTCCCAAGTTCTCATCCAGCTTGAGAGTCTAACACATCTGCATTTCCACTGGGTCGGGTAGCGGGGGAGTACTCGGGGATTGAATGGTCCGCTGGGGTGATTCACAGCGCCGTTTCCACAATCTGGTATACATCTCCGGATCAGCGCACGCCGTGGCGATTTCAGAGGGTGATTTACCTGACGTATTTTCCTCATAGAGGTATTCAACCGGGGGGATGGGTTGCGCGACGTGAATATGAAGGTCATGTAGAAGCTGGAGAGCATCGCGATAAACTGCCGGTCGACGCTGCCAGCGCAGCGTGATATTAAAGGCTTCGTCTGCGCTGTTCTGGAGGATGAAACGGTGCAAGGAGGTGAAGGTATCGGCTCAGCGGATCATGTTATCACAAGGTTCGTAATATCCCGTTTGGCCTTCGCCTCTGATTTGGGTGAGGGAACAGGTTCGGAGAGGGAAGGGCTGTGATAGCGAGCGCACCATCAATATGTGAGCACTTTTCGCCCGAGCGCGCGCGAGTGTTTTCGTGGCGACTTCCTCCTCCGGCAGCGGGGTTTACGGGCTATCACTTGCGGGCAAGCAGGCTCCTTCCTTACCAGGCCATTTCTTTCGCTACGCTTGAATCACTCGTCCGCCCACCACATCTTACTGCGTTTGACGTCAACTTCTTCCGTGCGAGCACCTGCGCTTGCTCCGGTCCGCCTCTGCACCATTCTACTCCCCTCAAGCAACCGGCGTGCTCAGTCTCGTGCGTCGATCGCCCAGCCGCGCCTCGCACGCGCGATACTCGCACTGCGCTCAGAATGGCTTCTTCGAGTGACGGCACCGCTTCACCCGCCAATCACGACAGCAGTGGCGCAGAGCAGACTCAGAGCCAGCTTGTCGTCAAGGTAGAGCTTCACGCATTGCAACTGGTCACAAAAGTCGAGTCTTACTAACGCGCGTATCACCTCATAGCCCAGTCAAGAAGAGTTCGATTATGAGATTTGGCGCGAGGGAAACCGCACAACGCATGTGAAATGCTACAGTAACACTGGCAAACCATTCAACGAGGTGAGCGTTATTCGAAGACACTGGATTCGCTGCTCTGATGCTGACTTGAATACCTAGCGCGAGTTGAGTGGAATGTACACGCAGTATATCAAGCTCGTGTCTCCATTTCCGTTCCAGGTGCTCCACACAGTATGTGTTTTTCAGCCCCCACCCTTTGATGCGTGCCTGCACTCTTATTTATGTTGAGCTTACTTATTTCCGTGTTATTAGAATACTTTGACAGAGGGTACTCTTGCGGGTTGCCAAGCTATTATTATTAAACCCGAGCTCCCATTCCCCTTCTTGAAGCTGCCGCGCGAGCTCAGAGATGAGATATACACCTATGCCATGGTCCAAGGAATCCTTCCATCGGAATTCACGAGAAAAAAACGCTTAAACGACGGCATGATCCACTTCTCTTATATTTCATCATCGCCAATCAATACGCCGCATTACATGCATCTCAAGCCACTTAAAAGCAACAGCACGAGCAACAAAAAGCTCAAAGAGTACATCAAGCAGAAGCAAAGCCTTACGCCAGGTTTGCTTGTCACCAGCCACCAGATTTACCGAGAAGCATTGCCAATCCTCTACGGGTCCAACAAATTCGTGATGAACGCAGACGAAGTATTGCCCGCTATGATCACGCAATTTGGAAATTATGGCAACCACCTGCGAAGTCTCCATCTGACCCGATTTTGGGAGGCTTCCGGCGTTGGAAAGTACATGGAGCCTCTTGTTCACTTGCAATCCTTAACTGTGGATTGCTCTTCTGATCTTTTCGATCAAGCACAAGACATCGCACTTATCGCCGGCATATTCTTCGACAAGACATATCGTTGGATTCGAGGAGTAGCTTCGGCACACGAGGACGAGACGTATGCTGCAAACTTAGTCGTCATCAACTGTAATAGGGATTGCACTTTCGAATGCAAAATAGGGTTTTGGCAAAACTGGAGAAGATGCGTTATGGCGGACGCATTTCAATGCGAGCTCAAGAAGATAATACTTGCCCGCTCCAGTGTCTCTTTGCCGCTACTCAAGCTTCCACGCAAGGTTCGAGATCTGGTGTACCAGTATGCCATGGTATACACTCCCCCGGCGACTGTACAGCTTAACGATGGTGTCATCAACATTGAAATTGATAAGGAGCGTGGTCCTTTAAGAAAAATATTGGATTGGGATGACGATGAATTCAGAGAGGTAAACGTATATGATGGATTCTTATGGAGTGAGAGCCTCACGCCTGGCCTTCTTCGCGTCAATCGTCAGATATACCAAGAGTCCGTTCAGATACTATACGGGAAGAACAGATTCGAGCTCGAAGGTTCCGAATCAGCTAAGGAGTGGCTCGACCGTATCGGATACTCTCACGTTTACCTGCGAGATGTCAACATTTGCTACCTTCCAGACGACCGCACTATCTTTTACAAGCTCCTTCATGTTGATCGTCTAAGCTTCTACGATTTTTCCTCGCCTGATTTTGATGGAAGCATGTCCGGCTCGCCAGAGGAGAAGGCGGAAATGTTCTTTGCGCTTGCTGGCCACTGGATTGAGGGTGTTGGAAGCTTCCGAGGAGGAAGAGCTGCGGCCATTGATCGGATTCACCCTTCTGCTCCCGTGTCCGAGGACGAGGAAGAACAGTGGGTGAGCAGATTTAGGGTGGAGCTCAAGAAAATCTGCGGTTGAAAGGTACTGGTGTGTGGGGCTGTTTTTCTCACGATAGTAGGAAGTACTTGCAAGACATTTCAAGTCAGAATGATGAGGGGGGAAAGAGCAAGAAGGTAGCTTGAGGCTTCTCTGAGAAATAATTGCTCCAAGAATTCGAAAGTATATAAGGATATAAAATCCATGAATGAAAAAATTACACGGAATCTGGAACGAGAAAAATTTAGGTCTGGGTTCACAAAAGACGAATGTGGGCTGAGATAGCCCGTTGTCCTCATTACTTGAGGTTCCATCTGCAGTAGAGCGCCAACTTCGCAGTTCCTTTTGCAAGTGAGCCACGTATAGAAAGGTCTCAATCCTACCTCGAATCATGGGTAAGGGCAGCGAGGGACGTGTGCGGGATCTAGCAACACACCCCAATATTTCAAGGTGATATGACCATTGATCACAGTAGGCGAGCACGTTATTTGTGCACAGGCGCTGCTACTATGCCGCACGTCTGGACTGGAGGGCGCGCCATGACGCTCTTACCCGTGTGCCTTCCTCATACGGAAGCGTCGGTGCGCCGCGTCGGTGTTTATTTCCTCCAGCAGACGCGCTCTGCTCGCCTTCTCTTCGCAACCTCAACACTTGGCCTGGACCACGCTCTTCCGATCGCACCAACGCAAGCGCAGTCTTGCTGACACGCAATCATGAGCGCGTCCAGCTCCCGGGCAGACTCGCCCGACGCGGCGCTGAGCTCCGACGGAAGTTACGATGACCATGAAAGCGTCTCGGGTGTGTCCATCAACAGCTCGATGTTGCCACAGGTAGTCTCCCCCCAACAGTCTCCAAAGAATTGCTCAGCTGGATTCAGGTGCCGCTACTCTCAGACTATCAGCTGCTGGACGACGAGCTGGATGGTGATTCGTGCGACCACGAGGAGCTCGAGGGAGATGAACCCGACAACAGCGAATCCGACAACAAATACGATGACGATGAGCTCGACACCGATGAACTCGACACCGATGAGCTCGACACCGATGAACTCGACACCGATGAACTCGACACCGATGAACTCGACACCGATGAACTCGACACTGATGAACTCGACACCGATGGACTCGATAGCGATAACTCAGACAACCAGATTGCGGGCGATGAGTCAAACGTTATTTCTGTGTCGTATTCGCCCGGTCAAGGCAAAATGGTCGAGGTACCGCGTGTCCCGCCGAAAGGACCTCGAAAAATATTCAGCTGACAAGTTAATAGAAGAATGACGAGGGAGTCTTCAGCCTGAGTCTGCAGCTTGAGTCTCGCGTCCCGTTCTCTGTGCTTCAGACGGTATGTAGAATAGTTCAAAGAGGCCGCAAGAAGATATAAACTGACGTCTCCCAGGTGACCCTTATGGAAGGGCCGCTCAAAGACCTCCAAGTCATCCTCATCAAACCTCGCCAGCCGTTGCACTTTCTCGATCTTCCGCGTGAGATCAGAGATGAGATCTACACGTACGCTATGGTTCCCCATACTCAGTGTCGCGCCAGCCCTTCTCGCAAGCCTTACATCGAGAGCCGCATCTTCCTTAACGTGACCGAAGCTCGGCCAGATCAAGCCAAACGCTATATACCTCGCGAAGTTAAGACTGCTAGAGAGTATGGCTTATCGGTGTTGTCCAGCATGTTCCAGGGCCAGGAATTCACCTTGCAAGAAAGCGTTACCCCTGGACTTCTTACTGTAAACCGTCAGGTTTACCTTGAGGCCCGACAGATCCTCTACGAGAAGAACACTTTTCAGATGCAGCTGTGGACAGTCGAGCGTTTCCTCGCCCGTATTGGTCCAGCGGATCAGCAGATTCGCTACCTCAACGTTGTACACTTAGGCTGTTATGGAGTTCAGCGAGCCAAGGAGACGCTCGCAAATCTCACACACCTGAAGCACCTTACACTCGTCGGAATGCCCCTCTCGGACGAGGGCGAACGTTACTCACCCTTCATAGCGGCAACAGAGCTCTACAGGAAGATGTACATCTGGATTGATTGCGTTGGCAAACTCCATGGAGACCGTTTCGCCGCTCTAGAACGGCTCACGGTGCAAGCGGGTCCTTTGCATGCTCATAAGGCCTCTAACGCTTACCATGGCGTGCTTACTTTGCGGACGAACTTTGTGGCAAAGTACTACTCTAAGATGCGTCTATCGGCGGGACAGCTTGAATGGGACCAGCATTTCCGTGAGCAGCTAAAGGCTCTGATCACGCTCGACAACTCGAACAAGACTTTCCAGTTCCTTGCTCTTCCCCGCAAGCTCCGCGACAAGATCTACCAGTTTGCGATGCAGCAAGAGCACCATTGGAACGGATCTCACGAGAATCATGGCAGGCAGATTTCGATCTGGCAGTTCCTCAAAACCGGACGAGTCCGTCGGCGGATTCAACTTTACGGTAAGAACTGCAGCGACAACTTCCAATTCTGTGACAGCCTCACTCCTGGACTTCTGTTAGCGAATCGTCAGATTCACGATGAGTCCAAAATGATACTGTACGGCAAAAACCACTTCAAGTTCGACCGGGAGGACACTCTCGACATGTTCCTCAGCATCATTGGAAGCTCTTCTACTCTTCTGCGATCCGTGGATATCGGCACTTATCCCACAAACGTGGAGTTATGGTCGAAGCTCTGGCACTTGGACAATTTGGTGCTTTACCACATGCCGATGTACAACAGCCTCTCTACTTCTTGCACCTTTGGTCATCAGCTCACTCTCTCGCATCTGGATTGGAACACCGACGCTGCTCTGGATCTCGACGTCGCCCTGGACATTGATAGGCCTATTATAAGGCCTGATCGTGCTCAGCTTGCGGCGATCCACTTCTTCAACAAAGCCCGCTCATGGATCGATGGCGTCGGAATTGTTCACCAGGACAAACTTTCCGCTGTGAGCCGTGTCTGCATCACCATCTCGATGCGAGACCGTACCCCGTCTGTTCTCAACGACCGGTTCCGTACTGAGTTGACCAGGTTGATTGCGTCCGAAGACGGAGAATAGCCTTCTTCATTCCGCTCCGCCTTGTTCCTTAGCACTAAGGACACAGCGCAGCTCTGAATTCCTATACCTTGGCAAGCAGGACCAAGATGATTGAATTGAGGCTTGTGGCTATTGGAGTCACACTTCGATTTACGGTATGTGGATTGGTAGAAGACGAGATTTCTGTAGATGTGCACTGTTTCTACGGAGATACTGGGCAGTACTATAACGTGTAGCTCAGCAATATACTCGTCCGTATAACTTTCTTTGTCTTTGAAGTAGTTGTGAGTGAACGAACGCTTGATTACTAAGCTCTCTAGATTTTGAGCGGTGGGTACCAAGAGGACCAGAGCAAGGTGCTGCAAAAGGTCTGGAAATACCATGTTCGAACGGAATTGCAGCTGAAGGTTTTAATTTCTTATGTCAGGTCTTCGAGGGAAGGTCGCAAGACGTGAGGTTGACCATGGTCCGAAAATGGGCCGGTTGAGCAGCGGAGCTCTGACAGGGATCTCGAAAGCTCGCCCAGTGCGCGCGCAAACTAACGCGCGACTCAACCTCGACTCCACATCAACACGCGCACGCCCATTGACAGTCTCTCACGCGATATCTTTCTCCGCCGCCGCACGATCTTCAAACATCTCGAGTGTTTGATATTTTCCCATCATGGCCGATCCCAACGCGACGCCTCTCCCAGACGGTGTCGACGCACAAATGCCGCAGCACGATGCTACTGCTGCTGCCGCGACGACGAACGGCACCGACACAAATGGCAGTGTGGATGTGGAGATGAAGGAGGATACACCAGCTGACGTATATGAGACCCTCATTTCCGCCCTGTGCACCTGATCATTCTTCCTGCGCATCGCTTTTCTTTTCCTGCCAGCTCCAGTTGTCGCTTCTTCCTTCGCGCCTATTCTGCGACCTGGACCTCAAGCGCAACGACAACCCCAAACACAGAGCTGATAGCGGACGGTTTTCAGACGGCCACCCTCCCACCCGCCGGCACCGCCACCGCCGTTGCGCCCGCCACCGCCTCAGCAGACACGCCGGGCAACGCAACGCCGCCCGTCGCCAGCACCTCGACGCCGCCCCCGCCAGCCATAGCCGCGCCCGCGCCCGCCGCTGCGGCAGCATCCACGACCTCTTCCACCATGGCCCGCACCGGCTCCCCCCGCCCCGGAAGCTCGACGCCGAGCCGGCAACAGCAACAGGCGCACGCGGCGCAGCTACAGCAGCAACAAGGACAGCAAGGGCAACCAGGGCAGCCGCAGCAACAACAGCAGCAGGATCTGCCGACGCAGCCAAACCCGCACGGAAGCCCTACGCGCGTGTATCTGAACCAGAACGTGACGCCGCATTTGTTGGAGGGCATGAAGAGGGTTGCGCTCTTGGAGTGAGTTTCGCTCTTCCCCACCCCGTTCCGTTTACCTTACTTCCTTTCTTCTCCATGTCCCGCTACTACTTTTGGGGGCCGAAGGTCGCAAGGAGGTGTATGAGGAGAACGGACTGGGCTTTGGAAGTGTTCGTGCTAAATGAATTGATCAGGCCCGAGAAACCCTTGAAGTGGCTGTCGGACTTCCTCGCCGAGAGGAGCAAGGAGTACGAGCGCGATTAAGAAAATTACGTGCTCAAATTTGGTTCCAGAGACGTACAATTGGGTGGAGGGACAAGGGGACGAAGGGCATTTTGCTCATGAATTATCAGGCGTTTCTTTGGTGGGCCTGATGAGAAAAACATTGCGTGGGGAAACCAGCGGAAGAAAAGGATTGCTGGAGCGAAGTCGTCATGTGGCTGGAGAAAAGACAAACTAAAATACCCCGGGATGAAGGTGGGTCTGCATAGCGGACGGCGTTCAATTTTCGAATATGGATTGAGATTCGAGAACGGTTACGGTGTTATGGAGTTGTGACAAGCTAAGCCGGTGCAATGCGGGGACGGCTTGAATGATAAGCTGGAGCTTGGGGCACATTTTTTGTCAATCATGATCACTGTTCAAAGATAGCTTCGACGGTTCACGGCACAATGCAGAAGGCAAAGGAAGTCGTTTCCATTGATCGCCGTTTTTCAGGCGACTCTTGACCTTAACCGCTTATCCTAAGCCACTTTTGACAGCCGTTTTTCCTCCATAGTGGGGCAGCCTGATCTACGCCGCCGGGTAATTTCGCCGTTCATGCATGAACCCACACAACTCCCCAATCAACCATGCCAGACCAAGCCACAAGCACTGTTGAGCGCTTAAGCGACGAGGGTGGAGGCGGTGGCGCTCTCGTACTTCCAGGTCGGGGGCAGGACACCGACGGTCTTGTAGTAGCGAGAAAGACGGTGGATACGGGACTCGATCAGAATGAGGCGGAACTTGGAGTCCCTGTCCTTGCGGTTCCTCTCAAGGTGCTTGCGGACGGAGACAGCCTTGCGGATGAGGCTAGATAATACGTTAGCCCGCCAGCTACAGGTACAGATCTAGTATTCAAGACTCACAAGTAGAGGTCCTCAGGAATCTCAGGGGCGAGACCTGTAAGTATCACTCTGTCAGTCATTGAGACCAATCAGAGGCATATTTTGTCTGTTCCTAGCAACCATTGCACCTTCGTACGTCCATAGAGCACTACCTCCTTTGGAACAATACTCCAGTGCGAATGTGCCTTTCAAACAGGATTCAACTGACCGTTGGACTTCAGGATACGGAGGATCTTGTTGCCTGTAAAAAGTCAGCAACATAGAATTTCGAATTCTCAAGAGCAGAGCACATACCGGTGACGACCTTAACCTGGGCAACACCGTGGCTGTCACGGAGGACAACACCAATCTGCGAGGGGGTGGCACCCTTCCTGTATGGACGTTAGTGGCCTATTCCAAGCCCATTCCCAACGCCAGCAGGTCAGAAAATCGACAGCCCTCCGCAAATTTTGGACGCGCATTGCCCGGATCATCTCAACAACAACCGCCCGACTCTCTCGACTCCATCGGAGCATCCTGCGGATCCTTGTGGGCCCTGCTTCCCGATTGTACTTGTGCGCTGATGCGACTAGTGACATGGAGGATGCCGAGCGACTCGACGGTGTCCGCCTTGGAATGACTCCAGCGAATCCAAGCTGGCTCGAGCGGCCGTTCACTCCCACTCGACCCGTCAAAAATAACCAAACACCCCCAGCAATGCGCGTTCAAGTTTTGCGGAGCCCAATCCGACTTCATATCCTGCTTCAAACTCCCGGCGAGACGAACCTGGCGAGCTTGCAGATCTGGTCAACGACCTGCTCGGGGGTGGTCTTGAGCCACGCGGGGGCGGTGCGAGAGTAGGGGATGGCCGAGCTGGCGATACCCTAAGGTCGCTGTTAGCATAATACGTCCTGAAGGATGCTTCTACAGCGGCACGAGGATGTCTGCGGACGATCGCTGGCGGTTCTCGGCGGCGCTGCATGCGATGCTATGTCGTACCTTGCCCTTGGAGTGAAGACGACCCATTTTGACGGATTTGGAAGACGGCTGTCTGTCGTTGAGATTGGCTCGGTGGAGGCTGTCGTCGCTGGTGTTGGAGGGTTTGCGAGAGGTCGGCAAAATCTTGGGTGTTGTGTGCCGGCGCTCGCTTGTTTTTCCTCCGACTGCGGCCCGTGCGCCCACCTCGATCCTTCATAGGCGCCTTTTCGCTGCTAACTCGCAGTCTCTTTCCAACATCGCAATTTTTTTTTCTTCGCCCCGCGACCGACAAAGGCTCTGCAGGCCACATTCGCGCCATGTTTCCGCATGCCTTCGCAGAGCCCGATGTCTCGAGAGTAGCTTCATGGCCCCATACGTCGAGTTAACGAGTGCAGAATTGCGCCGTTGTCACTAACAACCTCAGAGGTAAGCTCTCCACCAACTATACCCCTCCGTCCCCCCAACACCCGCTTCAATGATGAACGAACACATTTGTTTTCTTTTGGCACCTCTTGATAGATGGACTATACGCTTGCGTGTAGCGCCAGATGATCGCAACGGACTTCTGATCAAGCACCAAGAAATACGCTTTGTGATTGCACCTTTCACGCTTCATGTGCTAATGCCTCGCGTCACAGATTTCCACAAACGCCCAAGCGTTCGAATTGTGCTTCACGAATAGCCTCACGGACAGGTCTGTTAGTCTTGGAGCTGCAGTCAATGCGCTTCATCCGAGTGGCATGAGGCAGCACAACCTGGTGGCTGATGCATACTTGTTTGCGTTGGGTAATGCGGGTATGCCTGTGCCAGCCTTGGCTCTGGTGCTCTAGGCGGCAGGGCGTTGTGCTTCTACAAGACACTTGCTGTTCAGCAATGTGCCCGTTACTACGAGAGATGTATCACTTTTGAGCAGAGTCCTTGGCTCTGTCGTGGAAGTGCGTCCTTGTTCTACAAACTTCAGCTGCGTAGACAAGTGTAAATGATGAATAGGCATAGTCCCGTTCGAGAGAGTGCTCAATGGCGTCATCAAATGCAGTTGCACGTATTAGGCAGCAATAGGTCTCAATAATCCTTGCGGTTGACTTGCCACATGTCGCGCGATGTGTTGTCTTGATATCCCTTGTTGTTGTACCCGCCGAGTTTTGCCTATATTGAAAGGGAGGTGTTACTCGTGACAGCCAATGAGCTTCAACCATCTACCTGAAAGTTGTGCGGCGCAGCTGTTTTCACTCTTACCTTTTGTGAGACAAGAAAGAAAGTTTTCGAGGAGCTTGAGTCTTAGCCTTGCAAGACGCGGTCGTTCGCAAATTATATCATCTCTCACACTCAGATATCTCACGAGAGAGAGCCGTGGTGTTGGTCTGCGCGCGATGGCCGCAAGATGACCCGGTGGCGGTCGTATCTGACGGCTGATATCGGCTGATATAGTCGCGACGTTGGATCGACTCGGCCCATGCCTCAGGCACACCACTAGTGATCGGATGGTAGCGGTGCCACAATCGATATGCCTGCCGTACATCTTTCTGTTGCAACTCTGCTACATGGCCACTACCACTTTCGCGCGGCTGCATCAGGTACAGGGCCGATCGCAACCAGACAGCGAAAGACGGCCCGCCGCCTGTCATTGCTCGACGTGTCGCGTCAAAGTGTGTTTGCGCCGCACGGCATAAAGAACACATGCGCCGGCGGTTCGGCAAGAGTGGCGGCTGACGCAGGAACAAGAAGTTGGCCCTCCCATTCGGGCGCATGCATCCGCGGCGCCCGTGGGCTAGCCTCTCCGTGGGGCACAGCCGCCGCGATAATTGTTGGTCACGGACATGGGGCCGGACAGAGAGCAACACGGGCCATTTTTCGAAATGCGGTGCGTGGAACGAGCGAGACGCAGTCAGAATCAAAGCCGTGGAACGACCAGCCTTACTGAAATGACTGGCTGACCTTCCCGACCAAGCGTAGTCCACGTTGCCCTGCGGCGCGGCTACGTCCGCTGGCCAGGTGATTCTGATCGGCGCGAGCGCTTGCGAGTCGTTGGACACATCACCTTTTCCTCGAGCGCAATTATCACACCGGAGATTGCTCACAGCGTGAAATTGGCCGGCTCCATAGCGTACGCGGCGGATTTGACTGTTGGCAGTGTTGGCGGACAGTTGCGTACTGGAGTCGTCAGCATCGGCGGCCAAGAGCAATTATATCGACCGCGGGCTGCGGCTGGACGTCTTGGTATCCCTGAATGGCGCGGCACCGCAGAGATTGAGGCGAGAAAGTCAATCTTATGGCCGCGTTTCAGCGCGACGACCATAGTTTTTGGGGGCGATGCGAGAACGAAACGGCCAGTCCAAGACTCCAAGGAATGCCTGAGCAGCGCAGTGCTCTCTGGGCACTTGGCGGGGGGTTCAGCTCGCACAACAGCGCGCTGTGCTGCAGCGGGCGGTAGACACGCAGGCGGGCTACGTGGTTGCGAGCTGCGAGTGGCCGGTCGCGCACGCGCGCAACAGCGAGGCAACCTTGGGATGGTCAGCAGGGTGGTGGAGGCGATGGCACACGATTGGCTCGCGGGCGGTTCCTGACAGCCCGCGGGTGCCAAGCAGATCGCTAATTTAAGGAAGCAGGGTTCTGCAATGCCGAGCGGTGTGGTCTAGTCTGCTTCGGGCCGCGCGAAACACAGCAACCGATCCACGGAGACAAGGGAATATATCGTTCGGCCTGCGCCCTCTCTCTTCGCTGCCTCACCTGCCCTCCAACTGTTGTCGCACGCTGCAGCGCCGCTCATTTTCTTTACACTCTCACCAAGTCACTCATTCTTCTACACACTTTCTTCGCACAACCCGCTCCCACGCCTGCGGCGATCTGCGACCATCTTCTTTCCATTTTCGGAAAATTATCCGCATTCCAGCTCGTGCACCACCAACGTCACCATGAAGCGGCTCCTTGCTATCAGCGCCCTCACCAGCGGCGTCCTGAGCATGACCAACGGTTGCTCGTCTGACCAGACCAATGTCTTCGACGAGTCCGGCAACGCCTACTGCGAGCCCGCCGTCACTACCATCAAGTACACTGGCGTCGGCGGCACCGGCCAGTACGACACTGTCAGCAGCATCGACACGGCCGGAGCCTGCTCCTGGGCCTCGAAGTCCTATGGCGGCTCGCTTGCGCCCTATGACGAGGAGGTGCGCTTTCGATGCATTCCGATTGCGCGTCACTCTCGCTAACCTTGGTAGATCGGTATCATCTTCCGTGGCCCTCTGAAGTTGCGTCAGTTCGCGGCCTACAGCGCCGACAGCTCCGCCAGCAAGCTGAAGAAGCGCACCGAAGAGCGCAAGGCCGAGAAGGCGAAGCGCTCTGCTCGCCCCAGCCCCCACGAGCGTCGTCATGGACACGGCCACCAGCACTTCCACGAGCGCCAGAAGGAGAAGCGCGGCGTGGGCGACATGGTTACGGCCGTCATTGACGGTCAGCTCGTCTCGTGGATCAACACTTACGCTGGTCCCACTGCTGCCGCCGACGCGAACGCCGGCGCTGAGGACTCTGGCGCGGTTCTCAGCGTGGACCTCAGCGTTGGTGTCGCTGAGGCTACCTCGACTTCCTCATCCGTCGCCGCCGCGACTGCTACTTCTTCTGCCTCCAGCGGTGACAAGGAGAGCGTTGACAGCGACGACACCAGCGGCGAATGGACTCGCATCTCTTACTACAATTCGGAGGAGAAGACCAAGGAGGGCCTTACTTTCCTCACCCACCCTGCTTGGCAGAATGTGCTTGCGTTCGCCGGTACTTCGGGCTCCGATCAGGCCTCTGAGTCCACTTGCTTTGGCGGCGAGCTCGAAAACGCCGACGAGATGATCATCATGACTGACTCTCCTTGCTCTGAGGATATTGGCACTGAGTGTGCCTACTTCAAGACTGGTGATGAGGCTTACCGTGAGTAGTCTAAGCGTGATTTGTACCTTTGACCATTAGCTGATGTTTGTAGACGGTTTCGGTGGCACCAAGAAGGCCTTCTTCTTCGAGTTCCAGATGCCTGACTCTGGCACCAACTGCTCTGTCAATGAGATGGCCAGCAAGTACGTCGCGGATAACATGCCCGCCATCTGGACGCTCAACGCCAAGATCTTGACCGATCAGTATGGCTGCAACTGCCAGGCTACGGGCTGTGGTGAGCTTGACCTCTTCGAGGTCCTCAACCCTGGCAACAAGCGCATGAAGTCGACCTTCCACGGCAACACTGGCTTCAACGGCGGTGACTCCCACTACATCGAGCGCCCCTTCGATACGTACATGAGCGCCATTGCCGTCCTGGATGATGATACCCTCGTCATCAAGGTGCTCGAGGATGGCACCGAGGCCCCGAAGAGTCTTACCCAGGCCAAGATCGACGAGTGGACCGGCAAGGACAACGATAGCGAGCTGGCCAACATTCTTGGAGAGCTGGCCGTCTTCGTCATGTCCCTTTAAGTGCGCCATTGGAGTTGGACTGGCGGATTTTAGCGCCAAAAGATACCTTTGCTTCTATGGATAGCTGGTAAGCTCTCCAAGCGTAAATAAAGGAGGCTGGACATGGTCGCATTCTAGTGGGACGAGCTGATCTACACCCTTCTGTATAGTTAATATCTTCTCAAATGGAGCGGGAGCTCTACTCAGCCTCGGGTTCGTGACCCGAGCAGCTTTTACGAAGTCGATGACTGGCGTGGGCGGGGTACCCATCATCGGGTTGCAGCGGTTTACTTTGCTTGCTAGTGTGTACAGTAGTTCAATCAAATTACGGCGGCGAGAATGCCGACCTACTCCCAGACGCGCGATTCAAAGATGAAGTGAAGTGAAGATACGCTGTTTTTGGGGCGCCAGCGAAGAGATGTCAAAATAAGTGGTGGCCGTGCTTCACGTGGGGAAGCGTGCAGGCGGACTGGTTGGTCAGAGCCGTTCGGATCCGGCATCACAGGCGGGCTGTGCGCCGTCAAGCCGAGGCAACCCGCCGTACGCGCGAGAGGCATCCGCCACCCAAGACCGCCGCTGGTGTTTGTCATTGAAGGCTTTTCGCCTTGGCTGCGAGCCATCTGCCCGCCTCCATAACAAACTCCGTCAAATCTCATCCTGTCCCCGCGCGATTTCCTCTGTTCACGCTGGTGGGCCGCGCTGTGCAACCGAAGACCCATCCCCGCATTTTGCAAGGTGCCGGTGAGATTCTCGGCTTTTCGCTTCTAGATTCAACCTCGTACCGCCGGGCCTTCTTTGACATCACCGCGAGCGACCGCATCCCTCTCACCGACACCGCGCGCCAGCTGTCCAGCAAGCACATGAGAGACGTGCCAGCTCGACCCTGAGGAGACGATGGCTTCGCCGCCGAAGCCGTGGGAGAGAGCTGGCGCTGGAGGCACTTCGACCGGTGAGTCTCCGCCCCAAGTCGCCGCCCGTTTCCACAGACGTGAACCGCGGGACTAACTTTGTTCCAGGCGTGACCGCTGCTGCTACTGCCCCTACCACCACGGCCGCATCCGCATCGGCTTCTGAGCCTCCCGCCCTCCCTTCGCGCCCTAGTTCCCTCAGTAGCACCGTCAATCAAAACGCCTCCAACTACTCAACCATGAATCGGCCCTACGGATATGGGGGCGGCTACGGGAGTAGCTACTCATCGCCCTATTCGAGCATGGGAAGCATGGGAGGCATGGGGGGATACGGCTACGGGAGCTCGATGTACGGACGGTCCATGTATGGTGGTGGCATGTATGGTGGTGGATATGGCGGGTACGGAATGGGCGGCGGCATGTATGGCGGGATGGGAGGCATGCCCGGCGATCCGAACAACCCGCAGGGCTTGACGCAATCATTCAGCCAAAGCACTGCTGCCACTTTCCAGATGCTGGAAAGCATCGTCGGTGCGTTCGGCGGCTTCGCGCAGATGCTGGAGAGCACGTACATGGCGACGCACTCGTCATTCTTCGGTAAGCACCGCTCTCAAGATCAAAAAAAAAAAACATCAGCTAACATCAGCTGCCAGCCATGGTCTCCGTCGCCGAGCAGTTTGGAACCCTGCGTCAAACCCTTGGGTCCGTGCTCGGTATCTTCACCCTGATGCGGTGGATTAGGACCGCTATCGCCAAACTCACGGGACGGCCTCCTCCTGCATCCTCGAAAGAATTGACACCTGCGAACTTTCATTCCTTCAACGGCCGCATGCCTGATGGCTCCCCTGCTCCTTCTCGCCCGTCAAAGAAGCCCTTTATCATGTTCATGCTCACCGTTATCGGCCTTCCGTACCTGATGGGCAAACTCATCCGCGCAATGGCGCGATCTCAAGAGGAGGAGGAGCGGCGCCGTCTGGAGGCCATGCCTGCGGATCAGCAGCAGCAGATGGACCCATCGAAGCTCGAATTCTGCCGCGTCCTGTACGACTTCACACCCGAGGCCAACACCAACGCCGTGCAGGGAGTCGACTTGGCTGTCAAGAAAGGCGACCTTGTCGCCGTTCTCGGCAAGACGGACCCCATGGGCAACGCCTCGGAGTGGTGGCGCTGCCGCTCCCGTGACGGACGCACGGGTTACCTGCCCAGTCCTTATCTCGAAGTCATTCAGCGGCGCCCGCAGGCGCAGATTCAGAGTGCAAGCCAGGCGGGCAGCCCGGCTGGTAGCAGAGCGCAGACGATGACAAGCAGCACCGGCATCAGCAGAACCGGCACGATGAAGGCCGAAGCGGAGAAGGTGCCGGTGAAGGCGCCGCCGCCAATTCAGGGCAAGGCCGGCGACATGGGTGTCGAGAGCTTCCAGAAGAATATGTTCCAATCTTAGGAGGTGTGTGAATTGAGCGGGTGTTGATATCCAGATATTTGGGAGCGACGTTTTGCTGGGACGATGTTTATCGACCAACGACTGGGCTTCAGTATTCTTTTTGCTAGGCGTCGGAGGTGTTCCGGCGGGGATAAGCGACGAGCCCTCTTGCTGTTCTCTTTTCTTGTGTACAAAAGCGCTTTCCGGTTGAGGGCTTGCGGAAAAGCTTGGTATTTTCTTGTCTCTGCTTTTATTTCTGTGGGTTGGGTTGTTTTTCTTTGGAAGCTCCCGTGGTACTTGATCTAGCGAACCTTAGGAATCTAGAGGTTTCTGTGTAGGCAACACGACTCAAATCAGACCCGTGCAGATGTTTCTCTGGTGATTCAATCATTGGAATGCGTTGCCTGAAGCGTTTAGCCTTCGCTAGCAAGTTTTGTATTGGAGCTTGGAATCAACGGGTGCGCATTGTTGTCCATTGTTCCCCGGGAAATCTGCTTCCTAGTCGGCTGCACGTGAAGCGGGATCGCGGGCGGTGACGAGACGCACCTATTTAGCTGGAGACGTAGGGCTGAGAGTCACCAGGCCAAGTGCCGCCGCAAGTCCGCCCGCCGACACTTTTCTACGACCTTGCACGACAACTGCAGCCTGTGTTCCTTCCATTTTCAGCCCCTCAGTGTCCTTCCGCAGCAATCAACTTAAGTTGTTCACCTCCGACGCCTCCATCTCCCAGCAAGTTCCACTACGCAAGCTCCGGCCTTGCCCCACCAGCCACCTCCGCCCCGCTTTGAACACAACGCGAAACCACCATGCTCGCATCCAAGAGGTTGGCGAAGGCGTGTACCATTTTCCTCATTTCGAGGCATCCTTGACTACGCAGATGCTAACTTGTGCCCTTAGGAATTATCCAAAGTACGTCTACTTTCCCCGCATCCTCCCGTTCTCGATGCACGCTCTAGACACATACCCACGCCTGCTGCTCGATATCTTCCATACGAATCTCGAGTTGTCCACCTGAGCCGCACTTATCGCTTGCCATGTTCCCAGCGCACATCCCTACATTTGACATCTTCGCACCGCATGGAATACGCACATTTGGACTGGGGATTAACATCTTGGTTCTAGCTCCAGCTCGGGGAAGGCCTGCCACCGGGAATCACGCTCGTTGAGGCTGACAACTTCGAGACGTGGCTCATGGACATCCGGGTCATGGACGACAACAACCCCATCTACCGCGGCCAGACTTACCGACTAAAGTTTAAATTCCCCAACAGCTACCCAATCGGTACGCTCTCCTCATCTCCCCTCCATTTCTCCCTTTTGATTCGCTAACGCGAGTGGAACTTCGTACAGAATCGCCCGAAGTCACGTTCGTTACGGTGCCGGCGCAGAACATCGGCATCCCACTGCACCCGCACATCTACAGCAACGGCATCATTTGTTTGGACCTGCTGGACCGGCAGGGTTGGAGTCCTGTGCATAACGTACAGAGCGTGTGCATGAGCCTGCAGAGCATGCTCACCGGCAACACGCTGGCCGAGCGGCCGCCGGGAGACGAAGAATTCGTGCGGCGCAACACACAGAGACCAAGGGATATCAATTTCTACTTCCACGACGATAAAGTGTGAGGGGCACGCATGTCTGGATGGAGGGGTTTTGGTGGCTGCGTGGCGAGGATGTCGCGGAAAACAGGCCTCATTGCCAGCGTTTATTGACTTGACTACTAAACTTCCATGGCGGGTGGGACGCTGCATGGAGGAGTTATGGCGTTCTATCTCTTCTAAAGTCATTGCTACGGCATGGCCTTTATGACGTGTGGCTTTGGGCATTGCGGTGGTGTCTTCTTAGTCTGCCACAGTGCGTATCATTAGCATTCGGCGCTTTCATTTCCTAGTAATTACTCGGAGTCGGGTCTGAGAGACTTCATGATCCCTCTGAGCTAATCGGTTCTTGAATTTGAAGAGACAGTCTTTGGTTCTTGAAAGTATGGCGCATTTGGACACGTGAATAAATCCATGAGTCCGAGGACAAGCTTTAAAACTACTTGCATGGAAGCTAGCTGGTTTCTATGTCAGAGTGTCTATGAGCGGGATGCCATATTTCTAAGAGGAAATTTTGACGTCATCGGTGGTGGCTTTGCATAAGCCAAAAATTTCCATCACTGCCTCGCTTCTGTATCTTAAGCTCCTCCATGCACCAATTCCTCCGCTGACTTTCCAACTTTTGTTCGCCACTGCAAATTCCATCTACCAAACGGCCGTCCGCTCCTGCATAACCCACCGCTCAACCATATTCAGAAGATATGGGCGTAGGTCACTCGGCGCCAGGCGTTCATTTATTTCATGATCGCTAACGGTCCACTCAGGAACCACCCATACCGGATCGTCGCACGATAGGCCGACCTACCACTACGTCAATACCACCCGTACCGACCATGATATTCTGCGGCCCAAGGCTTGAAGCTCTTCCGCCAGAGTTGTTGATGATGATCGCCGCCCACATCTCACCAACAGATATGCTCAGCCTCCGTGCAACCTGTAAATCAGCTTCTTCCTCTCTACGCAATGCTTTTGTCGATTTGCTACTTGAAAACCGCATCGGAAGGCTCCAAAAGGGTACAGTTGTTTACACCTTACCGGATAGCATGCGGACCGTTCTTGGTATCACCGAGGATGATCGAGTGGCCCGCGAACTCCATACTCTGGTCATCGGCACCGGAAACCCAACCCGCCGTGAAATCCAGGTGTACGCAGCGAACATCCGTCGGCTACTCGTACAAGCCGGAAACCCTCCCCCAGAGAAAGTGCCGCCGGAAGTCGGGGTTTGGGCAGACATGTATTTCAGCGAGAAGCCCATGGTTGAAGACTACGAACATCAGGTTACAAACAACCTCGACACGACCAACCTGATCATGCTTTTTAGACGGTTGAAGCAACTTCAAGGCGTCACGATAGGCAAATTTCCTCTGAGAGTTGGTTTCCAGAAGCCTGATCTTGCCGACTTCCGAGACCGTCATCTGAACAATTGCGACAGCATTTCAATGCTAGAAGAGTTCCAAAACTTCTACAGGCCTGATTCTTCAGGAACGGTATGCGAAGAGAAATCCAATGCCGACCGTATGGTGCTGGTCACTCTTATTGCTTTAGCTTCCTGTCAGACCACCCTGGACAAGTTCTGCATCTACCGCGACAGACTTACCGACATGGTCAGTATCAATACCTTTGAGGAGCTTCCTGAAGGTTTATGGAAGAAGCTGCCAGTGTGCTTCACTCGGCTCAAGACACTCAGCCTGGTCATCTGCAATGCGAAGAGCTATGATGCCGTTCACTGCTTGGAGACCTCTTTGCCCGAGGACTGGATGGATGATAAGCCGTCGCAGGCATTGCAACGACTACTCTCCATGACGCCAAGCCTTGAATCATTTGAGCTGGCCGCTAATTCTAAGACCTCCTTCGGACCTGAGTTTACCCAGAGCCTTTTGCATGCGCTCCCCGACGGGTTGAAAGATATACATCTTCACAACTTCGTTATTCACCGCAGCGCCCTGCTTCACTTTCTGCAACAGCGCGAATCTACTTTGTCTGGAGTTGGACTTACAGATGCGCACATTATGGGTGGGGGCTGGGAAATGGTCTTCCAGCACATGCTCAATTGCCATCTGAACACCTGCAAGCTCGGGCCGCTGTATACTCTGTGTAAGGACTTCTACTACCTTGTAACGTTTTCAGGGCACAATCCAGCATTTCCGGTTTCCAAAGTCGACCTGACAAACTTCAACGTCGAAGTTTCCGATGCAATGTGTCTCAACGGCTACAACAATTTCAGCAGCCCATTCAACAGGTTCTCCGTGCGATCGGTGAGAGGCATTCTATTCGGGAACGTTTACGACAACTGGAGCACGAATGAACTGTTGGAATATGCAGCCATGTGCCTCGAAGCGCCGTCTTGGAAAGACTACGATACGGCTTTGCTAAGATGTATTACAAGGTGGCGAGGGGATGGAAACCAAGGCTACGTATGTGCCGATACATCCAGAAAATGATTTGAATACTAACGGGGCTTGCAGTATGGCATATCCAAACAGATGGCCATCTTCGCTAAGAAGCATTGCACTGAGCAGTGTCCTGACAACGACAAGAGCGCAATGGCCTAAGAAATGACGGCAGTAAGCTTAGGGTATAGCAGGACAATATGGGAAGAGGCATGGAGATGCATGCTAAAAGGTATCGAGTGGGCTTGGTTATATCATGAAAAATCAATGGATACGAGACTCTTGTTGTTTCCCAATCACTGCTGCCATGAAGACAACTCTCTGATCAGGACATCATAATGGAGCCTCGCTCTTCTATTCTCTGCAAAGAATTGACGCTTCAGCCTGGATTGATCCCATCGTCCAGGCTTCTACATCACATCACTCCATAGTTGCTGGCCCGGGCGTCATCATGACTCGCACATGGCCAAACAATCTGCCTAAAAGCGGCAACCAGGGCAGCTACAATGACTCGTTTCTGTGGGTCGTTGAACGCCCTTCATCTGTAGCAATGCTCGAGAGACGGCGCTGTACCGGCGGAAAAATGGTGTGCCGGTCTCAAAAGTTGGCGGCTCCTGCAATTCCTTATACACACTGACCTCACGATCTTCGTACCCCGAACCCGTGTAAAACACGGTCCAAAGCCAAGACCCCTGCCTGGTCCAGAATTAAGCCCAAGCTCTTTCCGGTCGGACCGCGAGAGATCGCCGCTCTCTCCCAGTCTCCCTGCGCGTGGCGCATCCATTCTTTCTCCGCACGCTTTCTTCTTCCGCAATCGACACGCTCTCCGGCACTTCGAGGAAAAAGGCATTGACCCGAACTCTGATCCGCCCGTTTCAATTTGCCATGCGAGCCTAAAGCAACGCACTAGATCGCCGCCCCACGACACTTCTCGGCGCAGACCGCAACGGTAGCTAGAGAAACATGGCCGTATCAACAATAAAACCAGGCGGTGCCGGTCCGCTCACGACCGTCTTTACGACGCCAGACTTCTGCGCCGCGAATGCCTGGACTGATGTCGGTACGCCGGCGCTGTCGAGCTCGATATGCATGCCAAACGGGTTCACCGAGTACTGGAACTACAAGGCAGGCTTCTTCTCACCGGGAATATGCCCCTTAGGATTCACGCGCGGATGCTCAATTCCTGCGGATTTGGCGACGGGCATTTCTCTCGGCGGCCCGTTGTCCAGTGGCGAGACGGGGCAAATATGCTGTCCAACGTAGGTAACGAACAACTCCAACAGACAAAGCTAATTTTTTAGGGGATATACGTGCTTTCCCGGCGATCCATGGACAGAGCCTTGGCCATACAGCAAATGCAGGTCAACCGCGCTGACTACCTACACAACATCCAACGAGATCACGCCGGCATTTCTGACGACCACGCTGGAGCTGGTGTACGCCATCCAAGTGCGCTGGCGAGAGTCGGACCTGACGAACCTGGAGACGAATCCCACCGTATACGGCCAGACCATGACCGCGTCCGCAACAGCTTCTGCAGCCGCCCGCACCACCGCCACGGCGACCAGCACCAGTGTCGCCGATGAAAACGGCAATGATAGCAACGACACGGGCCTCTCCACTGGCGCCCAGATTGGCATCATTGTCGGCGTCGTGGCCGCAGTCATCGGCCTGGCAATTGGGGCCTACCTACTTTGGCGGCGGCGGTCCGACAAAAAGCGGCAACCCCTCGCCCAGGATGATATGAAGCCAGGCGACCACTACCAGCACCTGTCCGAGGAGAGCTTGACGGCGGCGAACAACAATGGGATAGCGCTGGCAAACAGCCCGGCGTCGCCTCTTTCTCCAGAGAACATGGCCAGCGCGCCTTCCACGGCCATGACTCTGGCGTCGGAAATGCCGGCGAGTACGGCCTTCGCGTCAGAGATGCAAGGTAGCCACATGCACCCGGTCGAGGCGCCGGCGTCGAATTCTGTGATTGCCGAGTTGCCAGGCGATCACGCCTACTTCGAGAAGGACACGGAGCCGGATGGTAAACGGTGAAAGTCTGGAGGTAGCGACATCCGTTCAAAAAGCAGGCCAAGGATTATCGGTAATACCTCGATGGAGAGGCTTCGAATCAACGCGGACGCGGTGGTTAGAAGCCCCTATATCTAGGTTCGGCCTTCGATCTGTCTGGCCTTGAGGTGCGCTCACTGGCCTGATTGACCTCCGTCCACAGACTTGGCTACGTCGAGCAGCTCAAATGCCCACTAGTCACGCCCGGTCCACGCGGTGCCACGCCTCAGCAAGGGGTAAAAGGGCGGCAGAAGTCAGGAGACAGGTGATGGAGAGTAGGTACGCATGTAGTGCGCCCTGCGAAACCCGTGCCCGGAGAAGCTACGTTTGCTCGACCCAGCGGTGATGACCATGGGGGGTGAAAAGAATGGTAATCAGAGAGGGGCGTGTGGAAAGTGGTGGGATTTTTTCTCCTTGCTTTGAGCTTGAGATGAACGGAATGAGTCACCGTACTCCTTTCATTGACTAGTTCCGAGACCTATTCGAGAGAGGTTCCGTGGAAGTCGGATTGGAGGCGGATGAAGACGGTTAACGACCAAAGGATTATAGAGATGGTGGCGACGATTGAATGGGGCGAGTTACGGCAAGAACAGTGCACGCATGGGAAGGCAATGTTATGAGTAAGCTGGCAATGGATTCTGGGCCTCCAAGCTACTATGCCGCTTTCTATCTTGGACTTTCATCCCGTTGCAGAGACCTCGACGGTTGCTACCCCTTTCTTGATTGCCCCTGTTGTATCATTATTCGTCGACCAGACAGAGATGGCTGGCACATTCTACCATATCAATGCTGGATGCCGCGCAGTTAGGCACGGCGCCTGTAATAGTGCAGTGTAAGCAAACAGGTTGACGGCCTGCAAGTGATTTCTAAGAAGATGCAAGCTCAGAAGCTCTCAGGACGTATCCATCGGTTCTGCTGCCGTAGTTTTCTTTTCGTTGTCAGGCTGGGCGGGCTTGGTGCCTTCGAGACGTGCTCTCTTAGCCTGCTTCTTGAGTTGGCTCTTTGATGGAGGCTTGCTCTGATCGGCGGCGGTTTCGGAGCTCTTCGCCATGCCCTCAGCTTTACGTTTCTGACTTTCCTGCTTATTCTTGGGCTGGTTCTCTTTCTTCTCCGGCTTCTCGCCTCCATACACAACGTCAATGACGCCTCTGAAGCTAGTCCGCTTCATCTGAGCGCTGACGACAGCAGCGCGCGCCTCTTTCGATACAGCCTCGTGGCCGCGCTCCTGGCCTAGGCCCCAGACTGCAGCAAGGTTGACCACGTCCCAAGGCGCTCGACAGCCAACGGCAGACTTAGCCTCGCTGCTTATTATCAAACCCCTACCTCTTGAGGCGCGAATCAGCTGTGTCGTGTTCATGATGAGGTTCCTCCGCGCAGAGCTGTCCTTCGCCATTATGCCTGGGGCGTAGCAGATCTCGAACTTCACGCCGCGCTCGATGGCTTGCGACAGCATCTTAAATTTGAAGAAGAAGCCAAGGCGCTGGGTCATGTCGATGGAGATGATGTCGCAGTCTAACGACTGGCATGCTTGCTGCAGCGTCTTCTCGTCGACGGGTCTTACGGCGAGCACGTCGTAGGCTTGAGCGAGGGTGTTGACGCGGTGGTTCTGCGCAGAGTCGGCCAGGACGAGGTTACAGCGGCGCAGGATCCGGACGTCATTGGGGACCGCGAAAGGCAGCGGATCGGGGATTGGGCATGTCTGCTCTGGTCAGTGCTTGGCGCCAGGTTTCAGGGCGATGCCAGCGGTACCAGGTCGGCAGGGAGCTTGCCCGACAGCGTATGGGACAGGGCGACTACGTTGTAGCCCACTGCGAGACGTTAGACGCCTCATCTGCACCGGTCGGGGGGTGGGGCTCACGATCGGCGAGGAAGGCGACGGTGCGCGGCAACTCGGGGTCCTTAGCGGACCAAGGGAGGTTCAGGTCGTAGAACATTGCGAGTGAGGCAGCCGGCGATCGTGGGCAGAGCTGTCGCAAAAATTGTCGAGCGTTATGCGGTCCGTTGAGACCCTAATTGCGCCTCAGCGGAAGAATGCGGTCCGCCGCACGCGTGGAATCCCCCCTATTTGCTGCCTATAAGGCGCGCCCGGGCTCACTTGGGACACTAGAGCTTTGCTTGGAGTAATAACGGCAGAGTCACAGAGCGATGCCTCGACTGCTCAGGTGGGCACGCCAGTTGTGGCCTGAGGCCCCAAGCTACAGGGATGCCGGCGATCGCGGACCCGGCCCCGCGATTGTCAAAACCGCCGCAACCACCACTTCCAACCACAGCCCGCCTGCAGTAGCCCAACCACCACGAGCCCGCGTCTCCAGCACCACCGCCGCTTTTGCTTTCGCCGTTGCTGTTGCCGTTTTCGCCGCGTCCGTCTCCCTCACTCTCTACCCCAAGAGCCCCCAAAATACCGCCAGGGTGTCGGAGCTACGAGTGGAAAACATAGACCCTGCGCCCAGCATGGCGCGTGTTTACGCAGGTCGGTATCTGCCCACGCCGTCTCGACCCCCTTCTGACTCTGAGCAGATGTGAACGCGAACATGCCGCGGTCCTACTGGGACTATGACTCGGTCAACATCTCGTGGGGCGTCCTCGAGAACTACGAGGTCGTCCGCAAGATCGGTGCGCTTCCCCGCTCGCTCCCGCGCACTCAATAACGCCTGCTGACGCTCACCTGCCAGGCCGAGGCAAATACTCCGAGGTCTTTGAGGGCATCAACATCGTCAACTACCAGAAATGTGTCATCAAGGTCCTCAAGCCCGTCAAGAAGAAGAAGATAAAGCGCGAGATCAAGATCTTGCAGAACCTCAGTGGCGGACCCAACATCGTCGCTCTGCTGGATGTCGTTCGCGACAACCAGGTTCGTGTCCCTCACCTCGCTGCACCGTCTGGTCTGCGAAGTAACGGTGGCTAACCGCACGCTTAGAGCAAGACTCCCTCTCTGATCTTCGAATACGTCAATAATACCGACTTCAGAAGCCTATACCCCAAGTTCCAGGATTACGATGTGCGCTTCTATATTTTCGAGCTGCTGAAGGTGGGTGCACCAACTCCGACTCCCGGGGCAAGGCTGACTCGTACAGGCCCTGGACTTCTGCCACAGCAAGGGTATTATGCACCGAGACGTCAAACCTCACAACGTCATGATCGACCATGAAAAGCGCAAGGTCAGTACCGCCGCAGCCCACGTGCTTGACATTCATGCTGACTCACACTAGCTGAGACTCATTGACTGGGGTCTTGCTGAGTTCTACCACGCCGGCACTGAATACAACGTCCGTGTCGCGTCCCGCTACTTCAAGGGCCCTGAGCTCCTTGTCGACTTCCAGGAGTACGACTACTCGCTTGACATGTGGTCGCTGGGCGCCATGTTTGCATCCATGATCTTCCGCAAGGAGCCCTTCTTCCATGGAAACAGCAACTCGGACCAGCTGGTCAAGATTGCCAAGGTCTTGGGTACTGAAGACCTCTTCGACTACCTTGACAAATATGACATTGAGCTCGACGCTCAGTATGACGATATTCTCGGCCGCTTCCCCAAGAAGAGCTGGCACAGCTTCATCAACGCTGAGAATCAGCGGTTCGTCAGCAATGACGCCATTGATTTCCTTGATAAGCTCCTCCGCTACGACCATCAGGTAAGATCCAGCAGGCTTATCTTCTAACGCGAAGACTAATGTCATATAGGAGCGTCTTACTGCCAAGGAGGCCATGGCCCACCCCTACTTCAACCCGGTCCGTCAGGCGTGCATGCAGAACAACACGAGCTCTTCATGATCGACAGAATATGGCCTTTTTTCTTCTCACTAAATTCTACCTCTTCGGGTGCTCGGAGTTCCCGAAGATGCGGCACCTCGGTATCGCTCAATAGCTGCGTGAACTAAGGACAGAAGACCCACAGCCAGAGCATTCCGCCTCCTTCTGATCCTCACAACATCGGTTCGGTATTTCTCGAGGCAGACGAAGACACATTGGCAGGAGCAATGGGGGAGGGGCGAAGCGCGGAGACTCAAGCGACGGTGGGAGCATTGCGACGGAGGAAATGTTTTTTTTTGGGCTCCAGTTGTAGATACCAATATTCCAACGATAAAGTTATGACACGTTGGATAAGACTCAAACGGTGGTGACCACGTGATGGTGAAAAAGAGCAGCAATTTGCTCATTAGTGCCAGCCATGGATGACACAAAAGCCGCTGACTAAGGATGCAAACGAAGCAAAGTCGGCGCCAAGATGGAGATTGTCCCGCGGCGGCGCCCGCAGAAAGTTGGAGTCACTACCCAGTCATTGCTCGCCCTTTGCCCCTCCCCCACTTGCAGCCCGCGGGCAAAATATTCAAAACGCTGTCGCGCGCGCTCCTCGGGCGCCCTCTCCTCCGCATTTCGCGTCCTCTGCGTCCTACACGCACATTTGCCTACGGAATGGCTCTCAACCACGCCTCTCACAACCCGAGTATGTCCTCTGCCTCGGATTTCTCCCTGCGCAACATTGACTGACGATGACACCACCATATAGCGGGTGAGAAGACTGGCCCCGCTACCGGTCCTCCTCCTCCCGTCTCGAGCGAAACTGCCGCTGCCGTCGCCGAATCGGCAAAGCAGGATCCTGTGGGACAGCAAGCGCCAGGCAAGGATGGCGAGGTGAAGGAGGGCGAGAAGCCCAAGACCGCAAAGCAACGTATGGACCTTCAATCCTCTTCAAGCGCCTGTTGGATTTACAGGGTGCTTGGTTCATGAATCGAGGGCTGATTTGCGGATATAGTCGAGAAGGAACGCCAGAAGGCCGAGAAGGCGAAGAAGTTCGCTGAGAAGGAAGCTAAGAAGCAGGCACTGGCTGCCGCCACTACGAAGAACGCCACTAAGAAGAAGACCGCTGCCAAGGAGGAGATTAAGCCCTACGTTGAGGAAACTCCCAAGGGCGAGAAGAAGAGTACGTTGAGGCCCATTTAGCACGACAGCGAGTTTGGTATAGCTGACGCTACGCAGTCCTCAAGTCCCTCGACGATGAGTACCACAAGGCCTACATCCCGTCCGTCGTCGAGTCCGCATGGTACGACTGGTGGGAGAAGCAGGGCTACTTCGAGCCCGAGTTTGGACCCGATGGCAACGTGAAGCCCGCCGGTTACTTCGTCATCTCCGAGCCTCCGCCCAACGTCACCGGCGCCCTCCACTGTGGTCACGCCCTGGCCAACGCTCTCCAAGATACCATGATCAGATGGAACCGTATGAAGGGTCTGACCACTCTCTACCTGCCCGGCTGCGATCACGCCGGTATTTCCACCCAGAGTGTTGTCGAGAAGATGCTGTGGAGGAGAGAAAAGAAGACTAGGCACGACCTCGGCCGCCAGGCAATGGTCGAGAGGATTTGGGAATGGAAGGGCGAGTACCACCAGCGCATCAACAATGTTCTGAGGAGAATGGGAGGTTCTTTCGACTGGTCGAGGGAGGCTTTCACCATGGACGAGAACCTGTCCAAGGCCGTTACCGAGACCTTCGTCAGGCTTCACGAGGAGGGCCTCATCTACAGATCTGACCGCCTCGTCAACTGGTGCACTACCCTTAGGACTGCGCTGTCGAACTTGGAGGTGGACAACAAGGACATCGAGGGCCGTACCCTCCTCGATGTTCCCGGTTACGAGCGCAAGGTCGAGTTTGGTGTGATCACCCACTTCAAGTACCCTATTGAGGGTTCCGAGGAGACCATCGAGGTCGCTACCACTCGTCCGGAGACCATGCTTGGTGATAGCGGTATCGCCGTCCATCCTGATGACAAGCGCTACAAGCACCTGGTTGGCAAGAAGGCCAAGCACCCCTTCGTTGACCGCCTCATGCCTATCGTTGCTGATACCTACGTCGACCCCGAGTTCGGTACGGGTGCCGTCAAGATCACCCCGGCGCACGACCCCAACGATTTTGCCCTTGGCCAGCGTCACAAGCTTGAATTCATCAACATCCTTACCGACGACGGACTGCTGAACCAGAACGGTGGCCAATTCGCTGGCCAGAAGCGTTTTGATGTCCGTTACAGTGTTGTTGATGAGTTGACCAAGCTCGGCCTCTTCGTCAAGAAGGAGAACAACCCCATGAGGATTCCCCTTTGTCAGAGGACCAAGGACGTCATTGAGCCTATCGTCAAGCCCCAGTGGTGGATGCGCATGAAGAGCCTTGCTGAGCCGGCCATTGAGGCCGTCCGCAATGGCGACATCAAGATCAGGCCTGCTACTGCTGAGGCCGACTACTTCAGATGGCTTGAGAACATCCAGGATTGGTGCTTGTCGAGGCAGCTGTGGTGGGGTCACCAAGCCCCCGCCTACTTCGTTGAGATTGAGGGCGAGAACAACAGCGATTCCGATGACCAGTACTGGATCGTCGGTCGCACCGATGAGGAGGCTCAGGAGAAGGCGGCGAAGAAATTCCCTGGCAAGAAGTTCACCTTGAGGCGTGATGAGGATGTCCTGGACACCTGGTTTTCGTCTGGTCTTTGGCCTTTCTCCACCCTTGGCTGGCCCAACGAGACTCCCGACATGGCCAAGCTGTACCCGACCAGCGTCCTCGAGACTGGCTGGGATATCCTGTTCTTCTGGGTTGCCCGTATGATCATATTCGGTCTTAAGCTTACTGGCAACGTTCCGTTCAGGGAAGTTTACTGCCATTCTCTCATCCGTGACTCAGAAGGCCGCAAGATGTCCAAGTCTCTTGGTAACGTCATCGACCCTGTGGACATCATGGAGGGCATCCAACTCAACCAGCTTCACGAGAAGTTGCTGGAGGGTAACCTCGACCCCAAGGAGCTCAAGACTGCTACCAAGTACCAGCAGACAGCTTTCCCTCAGGGTATTCCCGAGTGCGGTGCCGACGCGCTGCGCTTCTCCCTCGTCTCGTACACCACTGGTGGCGGTGACATCAACTTCGACGTTAAGGTCATGCATGCCTTCAGACGTTTCTGCAACAAGGTCTACCAGGCCACAAAGTATGTCCTTGGCAAGATCGATGCCGACTACGTGCCTCCGGCTACAGCCGATAAGACTGGCAAGGAGACGCTTGCGGAGCGTTGGATCCTTCACAAGCTCAGCATTGCCTCCAGGGACGTCAACAAAGCTTTGGAGGACCGTGAGTTTGCCAAGTCGACTCAGATCGCTTACCACTACTTCCACGATGACCTTTGTGATGTCTTCATTGTAAGTGCCGCTCAGATCTGCCATCACGACAACTGGCTCTAACTATCATATAGGAATATACCAAGCCCATCATCCAGGACGGAACCCCCGAGGCCCGTCGCTCCGCCATCGACACGCTGTACACGGCTCTCGAGGGCGGTCTGACGATGCTTCACCCCTACATGCCTTTCTTGACCGAGGAGCTCTGGCAGCGTCTGGCGCGCCGGCCCGGCGACAAGACCGAGACCATCATGCGTGCGGCTTACCCGCAGTACCGTCCGGACTGGGACGACGCGGCGTCGGAGGCCAGCTACGAGATGATCCTCGACGCGGCGGCGGCGGCGCGCAGTCTTGCCGCCCAGCACGGCGTCAAGAACGCCAAGGCGGCGGTCAAGCTCCACAAGGGCGACGACAAGGAGGCTGCTGGTAGCATCATCAGCGTGCAGTGGCTGTCCGGCAAGGCTATCAGCGAGGTCAAGCTGCTCGCCGAGGGCGACGCGGAGCCCGCTGAGGGCTGGGCGAGCAACACGAGCGAGAAGGGTAGCAAGGTGTTCGTTGAGGTGCCCGCTAGGCCGCTGAGTGAGGAGAAGAAGGTGCAGGAGCTGGAGAAGAAGTTGGAACAGACTAAGGTGTAGAGTAGACAAAGACCAGATTTGACCAAGATGGATAGATAGGCTGGCTAAACCCTATCAGAGAAGAGGAAAAAAAATTTCACGGGTTTTCTATTTCAAATTTGAGGATATTGGTGCATAGTTGGTGCATAGTTGGTGCATAGCTGTATTTCCGCCACATTTTTCGTACAGTGTATTCACATGGTTTCCCCTTCCTTCTTTAGGTCCTCCGTCTGTGAACACGTGAAAAGATCCAATCGCTCGTCGCATTTACAAATTTTCCTATCATCTCTCAATCCACGCTTTATTTTCTACCTTTTACCGAGTTCTCACATTCACCCTACCTTTTTCACGACGCAGCCTCGAGCGGTAGCGAATAATTGGTCGCCGTGATCCTCGTCCGCCACTCACCGGCATTGACGGGCTGGTACTTTGCCTTTTCGCCCTCGGCCTCCTTGACGATGGGAGCGACGGTCGTGTCGGCGCTCGGGTGCACGAAGAAGGCGGTCGAGTAGCGGGCGGGCAGCATGCCGTCGGTGGCGACGCGGGGCGGGGAGACGACGCGGTGGCGCGTGCTCCGCAGGCGGTCGTTGGACCAGCGCTGCAGCAGGTCGGCGACGTTGATGACGCAGGTGCCCGGGATGGGCGTGGCGGGCACGAAGGCGCCCGTGTGGAAGGGGTCGACTTCGAGGCCGCCGGTTGCGTCTTGGAAGAGGATGGTGCAGAGGCCTGGTTGTGTGGTGTTAGAGAGAGTAGAAGGAAAAATAATAATAAATGTAATGATGGGGAGGAGTTCAAGATGTTGGATTAGATGGAGAAAAGAAGGGACTTACCGAAATCGGTGTGGGCGTGGATGCGCGAGTGCTCGTCAGGGTTGGCGATGGTGGCGGCGGGGATGGGCATGTAGTGCAGCAGGCGCAGCTGGGGGTCGGCGCGCTCAAGGTGGCGGGCGAAGAAGTCCCGGCTCAGGCCGATGGAGAGGGCCAGGGCAGACAGGACGGAAAGGGAGAGTTGGTGGCATTTGTCGTAGAAGGAGCGCAGGCGCGGTTCGAATTGGGGAAGAACTGCTGGGTCGGGAACATGGGGGTTGTTGAAGCGGCGGTATTCTGAGTTTGGTTGTTAGTGGTGTTCATTGCGTTAGAGGTATTTTAGGAGTCTTACCGTAGCATTCCTTGTGGTCCGGCTTCCTGCTGGCACCGACTTCTGCGCCGTCTGCTGTATAGCCTTGGTTTACGGCAGGGTCGGACAAGGTGTTGGCAAGCTTAGCTTCAATGGGCTGGTCAAAGTAGGTTTTGCTCTGCGAAGTGTCATTAGCGCGGTGTTCTGCAGGCTCGGATGCGCGAGGCGGCTGAGTCATTACCCAAGGCGGAAGGCACTTACAAGGGCAAACATGTTGGCGACTTCCTCGTCGCTGATACCAAAGTCCCTCAGGTAGACCCAGCCATAGGTGTGGAAGGCATCATACAGCTTCTGGGCGACAGCCCGCTGCTCCGACTCGGGAGCATTGGGGTCGAGAAAAGGCGCAAAGGAGATGATGGGAAAATTTGCAGACTCGGCCATTTTGGAAAATCAGAAGCAAAGTTGAGGTTCGAACAGAGCGAACGGGCCGGAGGTTATTTGACTCAGGCATTTTCCCGCTCGACCCGCAGGATCAATTCCATAGGAGGGCGTCATGCGAGGGTGGTGCCGTCGAAGGTGGGGTCCTTGGTCGAATTTGACGCGGGGTACAGGACCTCAACACCAGCATATCATCGCCCATTCGCCCACCTCTGCCTTGCTATCAGACCGCACTCGACTTATCTGATAGCCCGCGGGTATAATCGAAGCCTCTCGCAGCATCATGCACCCCACCTTCAGAGCCTTCTCCCGTACCTTATGATCCTCCGGGGCCGCCCATTCCGAAAGCGCGTATCCGGGCCAAGAGCAGTGGAGCAGGTGCCAGGGATGGCAACGCTTATATGAGGCGTCGATCTAGGCTTTTTTGTGCGACTCCGCTAGAGTCTCTGCTAAAACAATGACTCTTCCGCTACAACGTCGGCTGATCATCATTCCACGCCTTGATTTTTTTTTTCTGCCTCTCTTCTTCTTCTGCTGCTACTGCGCGCCTAATCCCAGCCATCTCATCTGCACCGCATAGGGTGTGCAGCCATGGCAGACCTGCAGCCACACGCCATGGACGAAGAGGCGGTGATTGAAAGAGCTCGGGACAGCGAAAGCGGCAGCGACGGCGCGGCGGAAAAGCTGGATGGCGTTCTCGCGGTCGAGGATGAGCTGGCCGCCAATGATGTTGAAGCAGAGAATTCGCCGGTGGAAGAGGTCCGAGCTGCTGTCCCGAACACGGACGATCCAGACATGCCCTGCAGCACCTTCAGGGCCTGGTTTCTGGGCGTGTTGTTCGTCCTGCTGGGCTCCGGCGTCAACATTTTCTTCTCTCTGCGCTACCCGAGGTATGCTCTTCCTTGAATGACGTCTCGCTGGGGCTGACGGCAGCGCAGCGTGCAGATCACCTCGTTGGTCGCACAGCTCGTAAGCTATCCATGCGGCTGCTTTCTAGCGAAAACGCTTCCTATTGGCCGCTTCAACCCGGACCGCCATTTCAACGTGAAGGTAATCCATAAATTGCTGGCACAACCACGCTTGCTTATTGCTTGTAGGAACACACGCTGATAACCATCATGGCGAATCTCGCCTTCCCATACGCCACAATGGCCAACGTCATTGAAATGCAAAAAGGCTTTATGGGCGTTGACGCACCTGCCGGATACATCTTCATGTCCATCCTGTCCACGCAGTTCCTTGGCCTGGCCATGGCCGGGCTCTGCTCCGAAATCTTCGTCGATCCTTCTGAAATGTACTGGCCCAGCACCCTCGCTAACATGGCTCTCTTCCGCACACTGCATTCCAGAGAGAACGCTGTTGCCGACGGCTGGAGGATTTCCCGCTACCGTTACTTCATCTATGTTTTTGTTGCGTCGTTCATATGGTATTGGGGCCCAGGCTTCCTGTTTACCGCCCTCAGCAATTTTACCTGGATCTGCTGGATTGCCCCCAACAATGTAGTCGTGAACCAGCTCTTTGGCCAAATCTCCGGACTGGGCTGGTCTCCAATTACCTTCGACTGGGCCCAAGTCGCCTACAACAACTCCCCACTTGTCAGCCCGTTCATTGCGCAAATCAACGTCATCATCGGCTGGGCTTTCTTCTACGCCCTTCTCCCGTGCATCATTTACTACAAGAACATCTGGTACACTGGCTACTTCCAGATCAATGCGAATGCGGCCTACGATAACACGTGAGTACGCTTGGTCGAGATTCGGTAGTGTGTTGCCGCTAATCTTTCCATCACAGAGGTGCCAGCTACAACATGTCTCGCGTCATCGATTCCAATGGCGTCTTTGATTATGAAGCATACCGGGCCTACTCGCCAATCTTTCTGCCTACCTCGTTCGCCATATGCTTTGGAGTTGCCTTCGCACTGCTGACGTGCCTGCCCGTCTACACGATCCTTTTCCATGGACATCAGATCCGGGCTGCAATCACTGGCCAAAATACTTACGATATCCACCAGCGCTTGATGCGGCGCTATCGCGACGTGCCCAAATGGTGGTACGCACTCATTCTTCTCGTCTGCTTTGGGATCGCTGTTGGTTCTGCTGAGCGATACGAGACGGGATTTCCGGCGTGGGCCATCTTCCTGGCTTTCGTTTTGGCAGGCGGATTTGTCATTCCCGTGTCGATTGTCATGGCGACATCGAATCAGAATGTCAACATGCTGTGGGCACTTGGAGAGATCATAGCGTATGTTCCCTCGTGTCCCAACCCCGAGCAACAAGTCACTGATGTACAATCTGCAGCGGATTCCTCATACGCGGCCGGCCCATTGTCAACTCGAGCTTCAAATACCTCATCTACACGGGCGTCTCGCAGGCGATGTCCTTTGGCGCCGACATGAAGCTGAGCGTCTACTCCAAGGTACCCAAGCGTGTCACCTTCACGTGCCAGATGCTTGCGGCGCTGCTGTCTACGGTGGTCCAGACGGGCGTCCTGACGTGGGCGCTCAACCACATCCCAGACATCTGCACGACGGACCAAGCGGATAAGTTTACCTGCCCGCAGGGCCGCACAAACTTTGTGGCCAGCGTCGTGTGGGGTGGCGTCGGGCCGGCGCGGCTGTATGCCGTGGGCCAGCGGTACAGCGGTCTGCTGCACATGTTCTGGATCGGAGCGTTGCTGCCGCTGCTAACGTGGGCGCTGCTGTGGTTCCGGCCACGGTTGAGGGAGAGCTGGGTGCGCCATGTTTCGTGGCCACTGCTGCTGGGTGGCACGGCGAACATTCCGCCTGCCACGGGCATCAACTTCACCTCGTGGTTCCTCGTGGGAAGCGTTTTCAACTGGGCGATCAAGCGCAGGCGCGGCCAATGGTGGGCCAAGTACAATTACGTCACCAGTGCAGCGCTTGATAGCAGTGTCGCGCTCGCTGGCCTGGTGATTTTCTTCGCTGTTAGCTACCCGGGGGCGAGCGTGAAGTGGTGGGGAACAGTGGGTTATGCGAATACGGCGGATGGGAGAGGGGAGAGCTACTACAAGATTCCTGAGAATGGAACTATCGGCCCGGAGACGTGGTAGACGGTTTCGGTGGGCTGGGTTGAGGTTATAGGTCGTGAGTAGAGAGACTTGATTGCATGCCTTCTCTTGCCGCAAACTTTTTCGTAAGTTGTTAATTTCAGACAAGCTTTAGCAGGTGAAGATCACGACGGGCAAAAGGAATGCGTTTCAGAAGAAATGCCGCATTCTCAAAATAACCCAGCTTGCCGCAAACGTGCACGTACCAAAGGACTGCAATAGTAGCCACGCCAGTCACGCGGTCAGCACGCTCGTACCAGATCCAGAACGAAGACGTCCGGGTTAAAGCCCAGCCTCTTACCTCACTGCTGCGTGGCAGCCATGAGCGTTCACTTGGCTGGAGTGAGGGGTATGAACAATGTCGTTGTTGTATCTCATTCCTTTTCGACACAAACTACTGAAGGGAGCACGTTATTGCGTGTTGTCTCATGCGAAAGGGTCATTTTCTCCACGATCCGTTGCGGAACCAGTACCTTTTCACCCCCCTTATAGAGAAGCCACGCGGTCCTCCCAATCAACTCGGCAGTACACAGGGCAATTCTCCGGAGCTTGAGCCCATCAGGATGAAGTAGGTGGCTCAACTCAATAGGGTGCTGCCCGTACGATTGTCGGTGATGACCGCTTGCGATTGCTATGAGCGGCGACACCCTTGCCAAGCGGCTGGCATGTGTTGCGGAGCACTTTAGTGCGTAGACGTTCCCCGGAATCCGCGGCACCCCAACCGCGGACTCCACCTCTTGGCCGGGCTCAATGCAGGCTCTTGGCTCTCAGCGAAACGATCTCGGCAATATTTTGTCCCAGTGTCATCGCCTGGGCCGGCTTGATTGGCAGCTTGGCCCACTTTCAGCTGCTAGGGGACTGCGCCTCCTTGATACAGCACAGGGCGAGGAGGGAGCGTTCAAATTGCTCATTGAAAAACGATCTGCCGCGCTACCGCATGCAATGGCAAAAAATAGCTCCACAGGCGGGAGCAGCAGAAAGACAGCCGAACTCATCTGTTGGAGGAAGGAACGGAGAATGCGCAAGGAGGCGGCTTAGCGCGTAGCTAAGCCTCCGCTAAAATCGCCAGCTGAAGCTTAACCACGGGTCGCAGCTGCCGCCCCACAAGGGTTCAGCATAGCCCTGCAGCCCGTCCGCCAACCTCTCCCCACGATGCATCTTCAACACACGATCGCCGCAGGGTTCCATGGTGAACGGGCCGCGGCACCTCGGAAAACGGCCAATTGAGTCTTCACGGAAGGCACAACCACTGAGCCATTTTCCTGCGTGGCAGTGCCAGCGGCTTAATTGGCGCGTATTCGCTTCGTCGCAGCTATCAGCCCTAGAACAAGCCATGAAGAGTTGACACGAGTGGCATGTCTTGACGGGGCGCCAGGCGTGGTGCCCAAGAGGCTCTTCTGGCTCGACTAACTGATTCTGGAGACATCGTTGCGGCCTACCCAAGGGTAATCTGCTCGCCCGCCTACCGCTTTCGGCCACTGCGAGCCGGAGCGTTCTGGCCACCTTCCAGCAGCTTTCGGTCGTGCCTGTCAATCGACGTACTTAAATCACTCGCCCTGCAAATTGCCTTCACTTCAGCGCTCCGCCATTCTTTCGTCCGCCATATCATCATCTTCCCTGCATCATGTGGCATCACTTGACCTCGAGAAAGGCTCCCCACGTGGTGCACTTGGAGAGCAGCTATGTGTCCAACCTCGCGTCTTACGCCGGAATCATCCTCGTCGTGTGCCTCGTCATCATCTTCCTGTTCCGCATGTACGTCTTCGAAGGCTTCCTCCTCAAGCGCCTCTATCGCACCATCTACACGCAGATGAACGACACGGTGCGCCGGGGCTTCGTCAACCACCACGTCGCCGGCTCCATCAAGATTGTTCTTTTGGCAACGGCCATCTACCCCTTCATCGCCGTCGCCTTCGGCCACTCAGGCATGCAAGCTCCCATCGTTCCACACAGCCGCGTCACCATGGGCGACGTGCTCGTCGTGTGCTCGCAGATCTTCATCGGCATGTATGTCTTTGAGCTCTTCTATCGCACCAAGATCTCGCCCGTCAGCGTTCTGCACCACATTGGAGCCATCCTCATCGCCCAGAGCGCCGTCATGATGAGCCTGGACCCTAAACACCAAAAAGACGCCGCCCTCGAGTTCGTTCTCTGCTTCGTGTGGGGTAAGTTTCGCGCTTTTAAAAAAAATAAAATAAAGCCCGACTGACATGGCTCGCAGGTGCTTTCGACGTCATTGCCGAGTTTCTTCCACACATCGCCATCATCCTCTATCGCGTGTATAACGATGATCACGAATTCCTCGCCAAAGTCTTCAAGGTCGCGTGCTTCACCGAACTGGCAGGCACCACGATCGAGACGGCCGTTGTCATGTATCTCTTCGGCTCCCTGTGGCACAAGTGGACGCTCGCCCTCAAAATCGCCACGCCCATCCTCCACGTTCTCTTCAGCGCCGCTCAGATCTGGGGTGCCATCATTTTCCGGCGGATGTGGAAGCACCAGGAGAGCTTGATAAATGAAAAGAATAGCGAGACTGAGCCTTCGCCTTAATTGTATCATGTAACACCATTTGTTTCTTAATTTCTGCACAGATATCCGCCCTAAAGCGAATGTTATTTCTATTTCGTTGTCTCGCAAGCACCCTCAGCTGAATCCTTCGCGCACGGGCCAAATTCCCAGCTTACTTGCTTCTGCCTACATTCCCCTGGCCGAAGAAACCTGTACCATGAGAGGAAACAAAAATTACACGTGTATTCTGTCTTGTATTCGCCACCGGACTTGACGTTTCGGTATCTCTAACACGCAGTGATGAAGTGTTGTTGTTGGCCGCCAGCCCCACGCTGATCGGCTAACCGAACCATGCTTGAAATAGCTACCGCGCTGCGATTTCCAGCCCCCGGATTCGGGAGGCTGCAGACAACTATTGCAGCCGCTGCTTACCTGCGTCATCCCCGTTCGCATATATTACCTTCACACATCCGCCAGCCTTTCCAATGTTTTCGACTCTTCTTCCTCCGTCATTGACCGCAACGCTAGTATCTCTTGACGACCTTCAAGCGCCGCCATGTCCCCAGATCCGTGGTTCGGAGAAATATTCGAAAATAAGGACAGGTTCGCACCCGAAACTTGCAAGTTTGTTGAACTCTGGCAGCATGAGAATGGCCATGTTTCCACCCGCTATGATGCGCTACGACCAAGCGACATCGAGGATTGGGCGAAAGAAAAAGTAAGCTACTTGCGAATCATTTCTCTTGCTTGTTTCCTTTCGAACCACAGACACTTGCTTACTTAATCGTGCAAGGATGCCTGGAAACGCCCAGCCGACAGCGTTGGGGGACTTCGCCTCCTGTAAGAAGCTCCATGATCGAGCACAACCAAGTTGCCAACGTTCAAGAAACAGTCTCATGCACTCTATTCTCAAGTCCTGGGAACACCTGCAGTGGCCTCTCTCCCAGGCTACCTGCAGCATGCTGGTCTCAGAATTCGACCTCTTGACTACCGTCTTCTACGCATGTTCGACAGGAAACAGGCTTATGGTCTGCTGCAAATCACAGCTGGCTTCGAAGGGTGTTTTGAGTAAGTGTACTGCCTCGATTCAGAGGTAGTGTGCTGACTGTTGCCGCAACAGAATGGGTGCTGCGCCAGCTTTCGTATGCAGCATCTTTATCATACTGTAGTAGGACCAATACGGTGAAAGGAATCGTGCTCGCCGACCCGACCAGTCTCGACGAGCTCGCCAATAGTTGCCTCGAGTTTAAACCGTATGCTTGCCAGCCAATGCTAGTCCCACTGATCATACTAGCGCACGAGACGGACAGACTGGTCCGCTTGAGGAAGCAATACAATGCGAAAACCTTGGAACTGGAACAACGAATTGGACTGCGCCGCGACTGGACAGCAGACGAGAATTTCTTGAACCAAACGGAAATGGCCATGCGCGAAACCCTAGAGCGCCTCACGATGATCACGAATTACAAAGCAGATACAGAGATGATGGACAAAAATTTCATGGGCACGATAGCTAGTAGCATTGAGCTCGTCAGCCAACAAATACCCTCGATTACGGGCAGCGCAAGTCGGGAACGTATGGAACGACAGTCGTTGGACTTCGAATACCTTGCCGAGTATCTGCGCCAATCCAATTCCAGCATTGCAGCTAGCCTTGGTGCGCTTCAGAAAAGGGTTGAGATACAAATGAGCGCTGTAAGTGCATATTCTCCGCTCGGGGACAAAGCTTATGATTGCGAAACAGCTTTATACTCTAATAGGACAGCGTGACAGCAAACTGAACCTCGAGATGGCTCATGATTCTCGCCGACTGGCTAGTGCATCTAAGCGCGACAGCTCGTCAATGAAGACAATTGCCGTGTTGACTACCGTCTTCCTACCCGGCACTTTCATCGCGGTAAGCAAACATCGTGGCTTCGATTTGCACACAAAGTCTTCTCACATAGATCAGACTGTCTTCGGAATGCCAATGGTAGAGTACAAGCCTGCTCAGTTCTGGATCTATCTGGCCATCGCGATTCCCCTCACCGTGGTTGTAATGATAATCTGGGCAACGTGGATGTTGTGGATCGAGCGCCGAAACGAAAGAGAAGACAAGAAAGCGCAAGAACGTCTCCCAATCTACAACAATTCAGAGGAAGATGGCTTGGACAATCACCCGGCTCTTAGGAGGATGAAAAGGGTACTTTGTCAAGAATGAATTGGAGGTCACCGGCTTGCGCAACGGAGGGACGGGTCAAACATCATTCCCTCCGACACGGGCGAAGACCCCCCGACACGGACGAAGATTTGTCCGCAGATGAACACAGCTACCTCTGAATACTGCTTTGGGATCTCTTTGGGAGAAACGGTCCGCTCAATGGACGCTCTAATTGGCAGCTCTTCTAACCGAAGTTTCCCCTCGGCCGACAGCTATGCAATGTAGGCAGTTCATTCCTGCCATTATTGCTCCGTTCCGACTTTCAGTCTATCCACATTGGGAAATTTGGATCATACTACTATCCTGAGCGGCGTCCGCGGACGGCGATGGGCCATGTTGTATATAGGCCTCTAAAGCAGTGCAGCATCCAAAGAAAACCATCTCTCAGCACCACCAATCAAGATAGAACAGAACCCTCCAACAGCCTTCACCATGGTCAAAGTAGCAATTGCTGGCGGCACCGGCGACCTTGGTCGGACCATTGTCGAGGTCATGGAAAACCATCCCCACCACCAAGCCATCATCCTTTCTCGCAAGGTGAACATCACATAACCCCATATTCATTACAACTCTGGCTCACAAAAGCCAACCTGAACCAGCCAAAAGAGCCCGTGGCCGGCGCCCCCGTCCTCGTCGTCGACTACACGGACGTGGCCGCCCTGACGCGCACCCTCGAGGAGAACGGCATCCACACCGTCATCTCGGCCCTCGGCTACCACGGCGACTCGCTGGCGACGGCGCAGCTCAACCTCATCCGCGCGGCGGCGGCGTCGGCGCCCACCAAGCGCTTCGCGCCCAGCGCCTACGCGGTGCGCTACCCGCGGTCGGCGTGCGCCATGCTGCCCACGCTCAACGACTACTTCGGCGCCATCGACGCGCTGCGCGCCAGCGGGCTCGAGTGGACCGTCTTCCTCAACGGCCTCTTCCTCGACTACTTTTCCCACCCGCACGCGCGCTCGTACCTCAAGCCGCTCTGCTTCGCCATCGACTTGGCCAGCTGCAAGGCCGCCATCCCCGGCGACGGCGAGCAGAAGGTGACGTTTACCTACACCTTTGACGTGGCGAGGTTTGTGGTCGCGGCGCTGGATTTGGAGGTGTGGGAGGAGGAGAGTTGCATTGCGGGCGATACGGTGACCTGGAATGAATTTGTGAGGATGGCGGAGGAGGTTAGGGGTGAGTCTTCCTTTTTCTATATTTTCTCTTTGAGTCCATTCTTTCCCTCGACTGAAAGGCTGATGTGTGTGAGTTACAACAGGCACCAAGTTCAACGTCGTGTACGATGACGTGGAGAAGCTTAAGCGCGGCGAGCTCACGGAGCTTCCGGGCCACGTTGCCACCTACGGCTCCTTTCCGAAGGAGTTATTTCAGGGGTTCATGTCCATGTTTGAGCAGTTTACTACGGACGAGAAGATCAGCGTCGTTCCGCCAGAGTTGAACAAGAAGTTTCCCGAGATCAAGCCGTTGACGGTCAGGGAGATGCTGAAACAGTATTGGGCTGACAAATGAGCTCTTCCGAGATGTCACTCTGATAGAGTATTCTAGTAGAAATGAAATTTCTTGCAAAGGGAAACAGTTTTGCCGCCAGAACAAATTCGAAAGCGCTGTAGATAGAGTTGTCCGTTCTCAGAGCTTCTCGAGCCGGTCTTTTGCTTTTTGGAGCCGGGTACTTTCAAAAGCCTCTTTCCGCTCATCTCTAATTTCCGAGGATTTGTTACCAAGGTGGAAAATCCGGCAGGCGTATTCTTGTATGGCATAGCTCGGAGCCTAGATAATTGATTAGCACACCGAGTAATAATAGCTATGAAAGAGCAGCACGGCGAGGAAACTTACTTCAAAATGTGACAAATTATTTGATGGAATAGTGTTGTATTTCATATGCGGATTCGCACTGCTTCCTATCATTTTGTTGAAGGACGAGGCGCATCTTGAGATTTCTGCCGTATCCCACTTCGCGCAATCCTTGCACGGGCGCTGCACGTACAAGAGCGAGACTGCACGAGGGAAACCTATGCACCGATAGCCCACCACCAGTAGGTTATGTAGGTTTGCCATTCGGGCATAGTGCAAATGTAGGTTTTGATAGAAGCCATGCAGAAAGGTCTCCCAGCGGCCTTCAGCTAGGGCTCCATTGCTGAGCCATAGACCCCTGAGGGAAGAGCTGTGCGCAGAGAAGAGCTGCTGTAGTACGCTCAAAGTCGTGACAAAGTGGGTGAGATGTAGTGTCTTCAGTGTCTGGGGGCGCAGCTCGGCCATCAAGGCCGATATCGTTGCTGGATCCATGCAAGCGTACTGAGTTCCGGAAAGCCTGAGTTCGCTGAGGTTTGGTGCGAGCCGTATCAGTTGGGAAATAATGACGGAACCTTGGAGGTTGTGAGACTGTCCAAAGGAAGCGGTCCTCAAGCCCCAGGCAGGCAGAACAAGCGTTAGCGAAGTGAGATCAGCCATGACTCTAAACATATGGCTTGTCCACATCTTTGTGCACCCAGTGCCGTATAGTCCAGGGAAGACTTCAGCATCATTGCTGATTTCGAGGGCGTGGAGACGCCCAGAGACGTGTGAGACAGCAGCGAGGATGTCAGAGAAGACCCTCTTGGTGTTTTTTGACACTGCTACTGCATTTTCCCAGAAGCCGGGCAACAAGGCCCGATCGGAAGCATATGTGCGGAAGAAGCCTTGATGTGGTAAGTCGCACAACTCCAACCGAATGTTGCGAAGATTGACCAGACGGCAAAGGACAGTTTTCAATGTTCCGGTAAGGTGCAAAAGAGAGCCTTTGTCATCGGCGAATTTATTATCGTAGTAATCGAAAAAATTCCACCGGGTCGTCGCAACTGGATCCTCGGCATCGAAGGCTTCGCAAGCTCGAGCTACGAAGAGTACTGCTTCGAGTGGCAGGGGGAGGGTGACGCAAATATGCACGGCTGATATCGCCCCAACAACCTCGGGTATCTCTGATATCGCTGCTACTCGGGCCAACGACTTCGGGAAGGTTGGCACGATCAGTACTCCAGGCTTGGAACGTATATCTGCAACGCAGAGCCGTACAAACCGGCTGTGCATGGCATGGTGGAAGGCTCGAGACACGGCCCGGAAGTTGCGGGTGCTGGCATCGTCCAGGTACTCTCCCACCATCAGTACCAGTTCGATAGAGAGATCGTGGAGCAACATGGGCGGTGTTCTGGTTCGTGCATTATTTTTGCGGCGGGTCAGTGCATCATCTTTTCGGCGGGTTCGCGCCTCGTCTCTGCGATGAGTCGGTGCCTCGTGCTTGCGATGGGTTGGATAGCAATACATGACGGGCGGCAGGAGATGCGGCACGCGGGACGTTTGAGTCGTGCATTTGGACATGGCGAGGAAACATGTTATATTATGGACGCAGAACGTGGAAAAAGAAGCGACGTCTAGTGAAAAATGGAAGTGAATCCAAGCCCTGGGACGGTATCTTCGACTGAACCACGTTTGAGGTGGGAAACAGGGTCCAACGGTTCCACTCGAGAAGACTTCACTGGGGAAATCCAACAGATTTTGACCAATGAGAATAAGCCTGGAGAGTTCGACATTCTCTACGCTCACCTTGCTAGCTACAATTCCTGGATGGACGACGCAACGTAAACGGAAAGCATAACATCAGCTGTGATGGCGGGAGGCCGCCGACCCCCCGAAAAGCAAGACGGATCCATCCCGAGCTCTTTCGCTGATGTCGTGGTAAATTAACGCATTCCTCTTGGCGTTGTGTTCAGGCAGCAGAATAAATGGTGGCCAGGAGTGGTTTCGGCGGGTTGGCGTGCGCGCGGGAATACGCCAGCGGCTGACGAGGACTCGACGGGGGCTCAGGCAGCAAGAAAAGGACCAAAGGGCGGGCGGGCGAGGACACGCGTTGTCTTATAGTGCGGGGGATCAGGATGGCGAGCGTGGTGTTCAGTGCTTAGGGCTGGCGCGCGCGAGAGGAGTTGCCCAAGTCGGCATTTGCTGGGCGCATTGGCCAATGGGCAAGGGATTGGCGAGATTGAGCAGCAAGCGACCCGCAGCACTGCCGCGACGGCGGGGACGGCGGGACCCGGGGCAGCCAAGATGGACTGGAGCGCGGTGCGACGTGGCCGAACAATGATTTCACCGCGCGTGGGCGGTGCACACAGCCTGTGTTTGATCCTTCGCGGGCAAGGCTGACTCACGGGGCAGACTTGTCGCGAATCAGGCCATCCGCAGGAACCAACAGCAGCGCCGCGGATTCTCGCAGCGCACTGGCTGGCGAGTGCCGCATGGCGTACGGAAAGCTTGATGGTGCGGAGAGTGGAGATAGCCCGGCGACTGCGGTGATTAGAAACGGACAGCGAAAGCGAGATCGAAGACGACGTTTCCGCCCCCACAGACCCCCGGTTTGGTCTGGTTTGACGACAGCGCACGAGACAGCCCTGGTCGGCGCGCGCCCTCACCGACGCCCGTCGCAGCGAGCGCGTCGCCGGCTCCCGGCCATGCGGCTCAAAAGGCGGGCAGTGGCCAGCCCTCGCAGCAGCTCGTGATGCCGCCGCTAGCCAATCCGCGCCCTCCATGCCGCTCAGACCCGCCCTGCCCAGCAATCTCGCGCTTCGGCCGCTCGCCCTCGTCCGTGGGCCGCAGCACAGCCTTGCCGCACATCAGCGCTCGCCCCTCTTCCGGCCTAGCGCGCGTGCGTAGCTCGCGCTGTTGCCTAAACCCTCCGCCGAACGTCAGTCACCACCTCCGCCGCCGGACAGCACCAAAACCACTGCCCTCCCTCTCGCCCCTCGCAAGACTGCTCGACCGCGTGCCGCACCCGTCGTTTCCGCTTGTCGCACGGCCTCGTCATCGCCGCTTTTTGCTTGGCTAGACCCATCGTTCGCCCGGGGTCCCTCTCATACGCCAATTTCGAGCGCCCTTCGCCCTCTTCATATACCCTCAGCCCGCCGCCAGCCCGCCCGCTCCCGCTTCCCTCGCCCGACCGCTCCTCGCTTTTGGCCACCCCCACCTCGCTGCTCGCCCGCTTGGATGAAGCCGCATTGGACAGTCCTGCCATCCTTCCAGACTGCTTCGCCCTTCTGCACTGCCATCCCTAAGGCCGTTAGGCCCGATCTGGAGGTTCCCATATCAACTGATCGGTCCTAAGTGATTCACCTTCCAGAGCCTCCCTCCAGTGAGTCATACCGAAACGGACGCCGCCCGCAGCGACTAATGACATCGCAGCGCAGCAAACCATCCTCCAACATGGCCTCCCCCAACCAGATCCACCCCCGCCGTCGGCCTCAAAACTCCGCCATGGCCCCTCCCTCTCTCACCACCTCCAACCTGCGCAAGTCCGGTACCTTCCACTCGCCCACGCACGTCTCCAGTGACCTGGTCGACCCGCTTGCGCACTGCTTCTCCATGCCCAAGCGTTCCGAGACCAATCCGCAGGCCCTCGAGCAAATCCTCCTCGACGCCGGCGAGAAGAGGATCTCCGACCTGCTGACCTCCTTCGACAACGTCCTTGCTGGCAAGACGTCGTCGGATGCCAGCATCTTGACCGACAGCAGGGTCCTTCCTGTCCCCAGCTTCATGCTGGACAACCACGCTCCCGTCGCCGACCCGGATATGATGGAGCTGGACGTCAAGCCCAAGGTCGAAGTGGTCGACCACCACCACGCATCCGACAGCGGCCTGGGTTCCTCAGTCAGCGGCTCCGTCTACGGTACTTCACTCCCTGCCTCCTCGTCCGCCCCGACTAACAGCTATAAAGACGCCCACTCTGCCCGCCGCTCAGTACGCTCCTCGGCCACCACCACCCGCTCGGCCGTGACCAAGTCCTACTCTGGCCTTTCCGTCAGTGAGGACAAGATCCGTGGCCTGAGCGAGTCGGCCTTCAAGCACATCCAGAGGCGCATTGTGCGCCCCATCCTCCAGGAGGCCGCCCTGAAGGATTTCCACCCACTCATCAAGGACGTTCCTCGTCGCATCGGCGCAAAGGAAATCACCAACCTGCGCGACCTTGAAAAGACCCTCATCTTCCTCGCTCCCGTAAGTTCAGCTGAATTCACCTTTCGCAGTGCTTTTGCTCATGTGCTTCGACGCATAAAGGAATACGCCGCCTCGCCAGCCTACTATCAACGATTCTGCGAAACGAGCGTCACCTTTATCGCCAACACCGTCGGCTACCTCTGCGAAGCCGACCAGCGCCTGCCGACTGACCGCCCTTACACTAACAACTACTTCCTCGATCTTGTTGAGCAGATTCGCCGCTACGCCGCCATCATGGCTGCCACCAGGGAGAGGGAGGCCGCCGGAGAGGCCCGGGATGAGATGGACTACCACCCGTACGTTGAACCAGTTGACTCAAGCCTCCCCCATGAGCCACGGGACTCGCGCCTTGATGAATTGGAGCTAACAAGCATGTTCAGAGACGAGAAGATCACCCTCCGCGGTGGTCTGAGCCACAACGGCAAGCCCGCCGAGCTTGTTCGTGAGAGGAACGGCAAGATGATCCCTATTGCCACAGAGGCGGAGCGATCGGAACTCAACGCAACGTTCAAGCGCCCGCTGGAGGAGGACGACGATGATGAGGACAGTGTTCACCGTTCGATGGCCCGCAGGCGCAAGTCTGACCGCCCTGGCGACGTCATGCACATCTGCGCCGACTGCAAGAAGGAGTTCAAGCGTCCGTGCGACTTGACCAAGCACGAGAAGACGCACTCGCGGCCGTGGAAGTGCCCTGAGGCGAAGTGCAAGTACCACGACCTGGGCTGGCCGACCGAGAAGGAGCGCGACCGTCACGTGAACGACAAGCACACTGCGGCTCCACCCCAGTACAAGTGCTTGTTTGCTCCGTGCGCGTACGCCTCCAAGCGCGAGTCCAACTGCAAACAACACATGGAGAAAGCTCACGGCTGGACGTACGTCAGGTCCAAGGCGAACGGCAAGGGGGTGAAGAAGCCCTCGGGCACCTCCACTTCTCTTACTCCTACTACTCCTCTCACTCCATTCATCAACACTCCCGCTTCTGCTCCAATTCACCAAGTGAACACGCCCGTGACTCCATTCGATAACTCGCCCGCAATGCCGCCGTCGTCGTACGGTGGGGACTTTGAGTTTGACAACAACTTTGGGTACAGCAACAACAACCTTCCGCTGCTGAACACCGACTTCCAGCCGGACTGGCGCCGTGAGTCCGTGACCACCGCCGGCACTTCAATCACCGGCTCCTCTACGCATTCTCCTGCGCAACCCACGTCCTTTGAGGAGGCCATCACGACTCCTGACACCGACTTCAACCACTCTGCGGACAATCTGCTGTTCGATCAGACCTTCAACTTCAACTCCAACCTCCAGCAGCCAACGCCTGCCCTCAGCAACGATGACAACATCTTTGCTGACCACTTCCCTCCGCTGCTGAACAGCCAGAACCTCAACCTTGCAGGCTTTGGTTCGGGCAACAGTACGCACCTGTCTCCGGGTGGGCAGCCCGACTTGACGCTGTTCAGCCCGGGGACGAACTCCAACAGCTCCAACAGCAACCACATGCACATTGACGAGGGCTTTGGTGATGACTTCCTTCCTTCCGGAGACTTCACGCTCTTTGACTCGATGGGCAATGCCTCGGCCAGCAATGGCGAGGGAAGCAGCAAGTGGTTCCAGGACCTGTCGAACTTCGGTGGCCAGTTCGACAATGTCTTCTGCCAGCCCGACGTTCTCAATGATATGGCGGCATACGACTTCGGTCAGTAAACCATGGGCCTGAGTGCAATGGTTTGCCGTGTTTTGCATAAGATTTTCCGTTTTGTTTGTTCTCCTGCCACGCCGCCTTCGACGGTCGTGTTGAGGTTTCTTAACTTTTGATGAACGTTTTTCAGCGATTCCATTATTTCTTATACGATGTGGTGAGAAGAATCACCATAGATTGATGATGACAGGAGTGGCTTCAGGAGAGAAGCTCCGCATCCTACGGGATGTGTTGGATGGGATACCACTTTGATCCGGTCTTGAGAGAAAACAGGAGAAGCAGGGGGGCAAAGTAAACGAAAACGCCAGGGAAAAAAAAAAATAAGGCATGAGTTTTGTTTGCCAGCTTTTGCACGCTTTACCCTTTTCACATTTCTCCCCACCAGATTGGATCAGAATGTGCTTTTCCGGTTGAGGAGGTAATATTGGGTTTTTACGAGAACGGGTATACTCCCAACTTCTTTACGGCTTATATAGGCCCACGGGTATTTGGGCTCTAGAGCCAATACCACTTGTAGCATAGATAGTACCACGGGCTATGGGATACGAGGGATGGATACGTCACTCCACAAAAATCACATTTCTAAAAACTTTCCGGTGCCACCCACGTCTGGTGACGAATGTGCTGCAGTTGTTGGGCCTCTATGGGCGTCGTTCACTTCTGCGGCGTTGAGCAAGGTGCACCTAACACGGTCATAACTCGGCTATCCTATGATGAACAGAGTTGATCTACGTGGAGCGATTGTACAATAAGATCGTGTTGAAGGTCAGATGGAAATAGCATGAATACAATCTCACCAGTAGTTTTTTTTTTTTTTTTCTCCGAGTAATGATAAGACAAGCCCCCCACAAAAACGTTGAGTCAAAGACAGCGCACTCATCTTAGGAAGTCAAAGACTAAATTAAAGGAGAAATATTCGAAATGCATTAGCGCATAGGCGAAGATGTAACCTTATAACCTTTTCTTTTCTTCAAGTTTCGACGGCATGCCATACCATCCGGCCACGTAACGCTCACTACGTGAAATAAGTACGTTTGGGACCCTGATACAGACAATCGCTGAAAGTCACCGAGGCGAGTGACCATGCTTGCCCCGTTCGTCTAGAACAAAGCAGCTATTATTGGTAAACAACATCTCGATAAAAATAAAGTTTGGGTAGGGGGTGTAAGGCTCTACTAGCTGAAGGTGATAGAGTGAGTTTACGGCTCAAAACGCTTTGGTGGTGATGTAGATTCACCGAGGTCTGGGAGAAAGAAAAAAGAAATCAGGGTACAGTAATAGAAGTTCTCGTCTTACCATGGTTGAAAGGGTCAAATTGCCCCACATTAGATTAAGTCATGAGTTCCATTCAATGTCCCATGTCCTTTGATCGATGAAGTAATCCACGTACACAGGCCATCAACATAAATAAACAGCTTGCACTTCCACACATCAACACGGACATAATGCCCGCCGCACAACACCCCAGCAAAAGCGACGATATGGCTCCACTCCAAAACCCCCGCGATGAAGTCATCCAGCTTCCCCAATCGAGCGTCCAACATCTTGGTGTACACAGCACTGCCAGCATTCGCAGGAGCAGTAGCATTTACTCTATCACTCTCGACACCGACATATCCCCACGAACGTCCGTCATCATGGGGCAGGACGCTCCGAATGACGACCGGAGAACCTTCACCAGCAGACATCCATCAGAATCGGCGCGAAGTATAGATGGGCCGAGCTTTCGAGACGTCGACTGGACAAAAGGAAGGCGGGCGGAGACTCGCCATCCAGAGAAGTCCACAAACTTGGAGACAACACATGAACGTCAGGAACCGAGGGAGCTCGTTGAGGGATTCTGCCTACTGAGGGCGAAAGCGTCGATGGGAAGAAGGAGGAAGGGGGTGAAAGGAAGAACAGACACAGGAGCGAGCTCAAGTGATGCGCAGCCACAACGGGGGCCACAGCCAGTAACATCAGAGGCATACAGCACTCTGACCGGGAACGGACCATACGGGATGCAGATGCAGACGGGCGTCACTACCACTGAACGCGAGCACTCCTCACTAGACCACCGCGGGTACGACCTAGAAAGAGGATTCGATCCCGGCAGCGGCTACAACGACAGCACCAGCAGCGATGATGAAGAACCCGACTGCATCGGCAGTGATCAAGACGATACCGACCAAGCCTCGGCGGTCTACCTCAACAGAGAATATGCCGAGACCGATGAGATCAACAACGCCTTCGGCGACGGCCGCTACGTGGTGAGTCCGGACGGGTCGCTGGTGGCGCACAGGGACTTGGGCCCGCTAGACTCGCTGCACGCCCGGGCTGCGCCGAAGATCCGGGCCTGGCGGCAGGCTGAAGCTGCTGTCATTGGGCGCGTGAGCGATGGAGCAAACGGTATGGCTCGGGCGATTAAGCGGATGCTCGAGAAGGCTGGCGCGAAGTTAGCATCGGTGCTCACGAGCAATGAGAGCGAGGAGGATGAGCCGGCCGTTGAAGTGAGGATCCATGAGATGGCAGAAGGTGCACGAGAGTACGAACGGCGGGTTTTGGCGACATGCTGCATGAATCATCAGGTAAGTGAGCGCAGGAACACGATATGAAAAGCCGGGCCGTCTTGCCTCTAAGGAGAGCTCTTTGAAGGAGGACGACCACTATATTGGAAAGCAAATTGAGTTCGGGGATTCCCGCTGGCTGAAGTGGTTAGTGACTGGTTCAAGTTAAGGGTGAAGTCGTTTTGATTGATGTATGGATTATGGAAATGTAGCCAATGCATGCCGGAGACGCCCATTCATCTTCAAGCTCATTAGAGAGAGTGCCGGCACTGGTTCCAACCGCATAGGAGCCCCAATTCCCAACCTACATTGATGTCCTGCTTATACTCAACCTCTTTAATCCATCTTACCATGCTCTCACTTCTGCTGCTCCGCGTTCATCCCTCCTCCCTTTCCTGCCGCTTCCCCTTTCATTACCCCTCACTGGACCTCATCCTCCCCAAATCTCTCCAGCAGCCCGACATTCCATTCCTGAAACGTCCTCGCGCTAGCCGGCAGCCACCTTCCGCTCTCCTCCAACCCCTCCTTCAACGCGTCAAAGGCAGGCAGCGGCAGGCTCAAGTCCTCTGTCGACAAGCTCTGTCTGTCCAATGCTTGTCCAGCGGCGGACTGCGTAGATTCACCGTTCTGGGCCGGAGCGGGTTTCCACAGCACCTTCATAGCGCGGGTGGGGTCGTTGCGGTGGCTGTTACTGTCATCGTCGGACGAGGCGATGGACGAGGAGAAGGAGAGATCAGGAGTGAAGACCCAGATCATGATGGGGTCGCGTGCTGCCACCGCCTCACTACCACCTTCAACCTCTTCCCCAGGAAGGACGCCAGACTCGGCCATGACCGTGAACTTGCGCACTGCTTGGTTCTCGATGAGGTAAAGTAGTTGAGCGGCCACCCACTTGCGTAGGCTGTACGTCTTCGTGTTCGTCGTTGAATCTTTGGGGGTAGCAGCGATGCTCCATTTCCATATGCGCCAGCCCTCGGCGCGCGGGTCTGTCACGCCGACAATGGTTTTGCAAGACGAGCAGGTCAATTGCTGGCGTTCGGCAGCGCTGTCTGATGGCGATGTAGACTTTGAAGGCTGGAATGAAAAATGTCAGAATATCTGCCTCGGGTTGGTTTAAAAGTCACATGTTGAGGATACGGGAGAATCAAGTGGTTGTCGGTCTAGTGATTTGATTGTGTCGTCTCCGCTAAGATAACTCCGATTGACAAAGTATGTATCATGTCTTAATCATCCTGCGTCTTGGAGTTCAGAGCGCAGGATTGAAACCCATGACGGAGTAAAGGAAATTGCACATGGCAGGAAGACGGAAGAGTAACCACAGCAGTTGATCTTGAAGATCAAAAGGGGTATGCAGTTCCAACTTGCCGTATGCTTGGAATTAATCTTGGGCGATTGTATCGAAGACCACGCCACTGAGTCGAGCACAAAGCTCTGGCAAGGCCTCCTTCTTGTCACCCGCCATCCAGCGCAGCAATCTCAACGTAAGGCGAAATAGGGTAAACACGGGGAGGGACGGCGGAACAAACTTGCTTGTAATCGTGATCTTACCTGTACGCCCAAACAGTCTTCTTCTGTGAGGAGCAAATATGCCAAATCAACGTACCCCACGCCCTTCTTTGCCATGATGCGATTACTCGCCGCATACCCCTTCTCTTTGCCTACACCGTCGCGCGTGTGCGTATGGCCCGGAAGATGATGCTCATGCGGCTTATGGCAGTGCCAAAAGTCCATCATTTCCGCCCAATTTTCATTCGGCAAATCCATCCACTTCTTGACGCCGCGGCCGCGCTCCTCGCTTGGTGCTGCCTCGTCTGCCTTCACCTCCACCTCCTCAGCTCCGTCATCCCCGCTCTTACCTACCTTGACAACCTCCCTCCCACACCCGCGACACTCCACCCTCCCACACTCCGCAAGCCTCCCCGCATCCCACGGCACCACATTCTCCCCGCCACCAGCACCGCCCTTCAGCAACCCGCCCGGACTCCGCTCCTTCAGCTGCAGGCGCAGCGACAGCTCCTTGGCCGGGGATGCGGGCAGGGTGAGGGCGGCGCTGCCGCCGCCAACGACGCGGGTGGGCAGGCGGATGGACGCGCGCTCGCCCTCGTGGGTGAGGGTGATGGACTCGCCGTCGGCGGAGAGCTCTGCACGCGTCTGCTCGGTGTGGTCGGTGCGGAGCGAGGCGAAGAAGGTGACGGTGCGGATGTGCAGCAGGAGTTCGGCGTAGAGGTGGAGGATGGACGATGATGGCGATGACGAAGAAGAAGAAGGCCGCGGCGCGGACGCGGGAGGTGAGGAGAGCGACATTGGGGCTGAGCGAGGACCGAGCCAAGAGAGCCAAGCGCGCTGCGTTCGGCGACCGTTGCGGCGGAAGGGTCGGGTAGGGAAGAAAAACGGTGGTCGATGTGTGGTTGAAGCCACGCGGTTGAGAAGACAAGGCCGGCGGCGAACGGACCACCGCTTACTTTCCGTGAGCCACAGCGGGGCCCTTATCACGTGCTGGACGACTGCTGCAACGCGATTCACGTCGAGTCTGAGCTCTGCAAATCACACCAGACCCTCTTGACGTCAGCGGCGTCACGGATTAGATCTGTGGTTCTGTGGAGTATTGCCATCAGCGCCACAGTGGGTGCCGAAAGATCTGAGCCGTCGTAACTAGTTGCTATCATCAGCATCTAGCCTCCACTTACGTGGGTAGTTGAAGCTACCATCTGGGCGTAGATGTGTATTATTACGTATGTCGAATCATTCCGCTAGAGAAAATTGCGAGCGATCATTTCTTTTAGCACCCACGTGGCGCGCGACTCATGGCGTTCCCGAAGCTAAGCTTTCAAATAAAGTGGTGCGATTAAATTAAGCTAGGAATAGTAGTCTGTACAACGTGTCTCATGGATTGGGGGAATCTACATATCTGGGGAATAGCGTGAAAGAACAGAATGAAACCGCAATCAACCGATACCAGGGGAATCTGCCAATGCTTAAAACAGGAAACCAGACCCAAACACCCTTCCGCTGGCTCTCATGAATTGATCTAGTCATCATCCTCGAAGAAGCTCAGGATCGCCTTCACAGCCATGGGACCCAGCCCATGGGGCGGGTAGCACACGTAGATCGGATCCTCGTGCGCGCCCAGCTTTTCGCGGAACTCGCTCTTGTTTGTGAGCTTGAGCTCCGTGGCAATCGCATGATAAGCCTTGCTCAGCACCTTGACACGCGGCTTCTTCATGTTGTGCCCAGGCGTGAACTTGGAGCTGGCACCACCACCGAACGTGACGTTGGTCTCGCCCTTCTCCGCAAGCTTCTTGAGAGAGTGCGTGACAATATATTCAATCGTGCCCGACGCGGCTCCCGGGAAGTCGAGCGAGTACTTGACCTGCCACCCGTGGTCGGGCGAGAGCTGGGCGAGCGCGACGAACGCGGAAATGTTACCCTCCTTGTCCTGTGCGTAGAAGTACCACCGGTGCTCCATGTCCTGCCATGGGTGGATGTCCGTCAGGTGGACCTGCTTGCCCTTGCGGTTGTTCAACCAATCCTGGACACGCTGGTCGACCTTATCGCGGATTTCTTGCGGTGGCGGCGAACCGAGCGGGTAGTCGACAATCTTGATGCCCTCCTTCTCCGCATGTCTGATCTTGCGCTGCAGGTCGTGGTCACGTTGTGCAGGGTTGTTGGTAGGATCAAGACGCTGCTCAGCGGCAACCGAGAACGTGCGCCAGTTGAAGCGAGTGGCCAGCACTTCCTCAACTTCCGGGCCGACCAGCAGCCACAGCGGCTTGAGGTTACGCTCCTTCTTGATCCACCTGAGATATCCGGAAATAGTCTTGACGTACTGAGACTGGTGACACAGCGGATCGCCCACGGTAATTGCGTAATCACCCTGCGGTACAAAGCCGACGGCAGCACCCGTGAAGTCATCACGCCAAATCTGAGTGCGCGGCTCGAGCCAGGATGTGTTGGAAGCATCGCCGTAGTTGGCGATAAGCTTCTCGATGGTCTGGAAGTCGATGTGGGCGGTGACACGGTCTTGGCCCTCCCACGGCGGGTGAAGTGTGCTTGCTTCAGGGTGACGCAACTGCTTGACCGGCGGCTTCGCAGGCAAGCTCTTGGGGTCCCTGGGGTACATGGAGGCATGTCTGATGTCGCCGAGGTTGAGGAAAAGCATGAGCATGCGCTCCAAACCAATACCACCACCTCCGTGGGGAGGAGCACCCCATTCGAAGCCCTGGACATACTCTTCCAGAACCTTCGGGTCCATCTTAAGCCTTTCCATGTTCCTGATCAGCATGTCCGCGTCATGGATACGCTGTCCACCAGACAGGATCTCCTGGCCACGCAGGAAGATATCGAACGAGTTGGTGATGTCCGAGTTCTCGGGGTCTGGCATGGCATAGAAAGGACGGGCAGAAGCCGGGAACTTGTCAATGATGTAGTAGTCAGTGTTGTATTTCTCCTTGATGACCTTGCCAAGCTGGATCTCATCTCTCGTGCCAAGATCCTCGTTTTCGGGCAGGGGGTTTCCTTCTTCATCTCTCCACCCGGACTCGTTCAGGAGACGGACGGCCTCGGAAAATGAAAGAGTGAGAGTCTGGTCCAGCCAAACAAGGTCTTCGTGAGGGAACTGGCGTTTGACGACATCGAGCTCGTGCCTGTACTTCTCGTAGACGCCCTTGAAGATGAACTTAAACGTGTTGTCGAGCATGCGAAGAACTTCGTGGTAGTGCTCGTCGATAGCCATCTCGAGATCGAGACCAGTGTACTCAGTCAAGTGCCTGTGAGTGTTGCTGTTCTCAGCACGGAAGACGGCACCGATCTCGTACACTCTGCCAAAGTCGGCAGAGATACACATCTGCTTGGCCAATTGCGGGCTCTGGGCTAAGAATGCGGGGCGACCGAAGTAGTCAATTTTGAACACGCTAGCACCGGATTCGGTCGCACCACCCTGGAGCTTAGGGGTATGAATTTCAACGAAACCTTGGGTATCAAGATAAGTACGGAAAAAGTTGCAAAGACCGGATTGAATGCGGAAGATAGCTTGCGAAGTGGTGGACCGAAGGTCGATGACGCGGTTCGATAGGCGTGTCCGGTCAGCAACGCGGACTCTGGTGTCGCCCTCCTGCTCGGTCTCGGCCTTGGTGACCTCGGCCTCGGCGACGCTGAAGGGAAGTGGAGTAGTAACTTTTGATTCGACGTGGAGCTCGTGCACTGAAATCTCGACGTCGTGGATGGTGGTGCCCTTGATCTCGCCTTCCTTGGCCTTGGGCGGTTGTACGATACCCTTGACGAGAACGACGGATTCGACGTCCAGGTGCTCGGCCCAGTAGACGAAGTGGGGGGAAACGGAGCCGTGCTCGTGAAGCACACCCTGAATGGTGAGAGTCTGCTGGCGGAGGACAAAAAAGACAAGATGGGCGCTCATTTTGCGAATGTGGTGGAGGCGGGCGCGGAAAACGACCTCCTTGCCCGCATCGTTGGCGGACAAGGAACCGATGTTGCAGCGCTCCTGGTGCTTCCACTCGCCGGCGTAGTTGTTCACGGGCAGCTCGCCGTACTTGGCCCGCTGTTCGGGGGTCTCCTCCTTCTTAGCGCGCTCCTCCATCTCCCGGCGTTTGCGCAGCTGGGCCTCCTGCTTCTCCTCGACTTGGCGCCTGTGCTCTTCCCACTCGGCTTGCTTTTCCTGCTTCTTGAGCTGGGCTTTGCTCATGGGTTCGCCGTCGCGGTTGAGCGGAACGTCAGTGGAGTCAGAGTCGGAGTCGTGGCCCAGGTGCAGCTTTTCACGGAGAGCGCGGACAGGGCTGTGGGAAGCCTTCTCGGTGAAGTTGGTACTGGTGCGGTGGTTGCTGCGGTCGAAGGTGCCGCTGCCGCGGTGCTCCTTGCGGTCGAAGGTGCCGCTGGAGCGGCCGACGACCTCTTTCCTGTCAAAGGTGCCGCTGCTGCGGCTGAAGATGCCCGAGGTGCGTGGCGAGGACTTGGGCGAGTTCTTCACGACAGGCGAGGAAATGCCCGACGAGGGAGCGACGGGCGAGTTGACGCCATTGGGCTTGGGGCTCCTGGTCGAGCCGTCCTCGTCGGAGGACTGGCTGCCGGTCTTGAGCTTGCTGAGCGCCTTTTTCAGGGCGGCAGGCATGGCGGCGGTGCGGGAATAATCAAATGTGGAGCGGGTAGCGGCGGAGGCGCGGGCAAAGGCGCAGCGAGGCTCGCAGACGTCTTAGACGAGACAATGTCCACGGCGAGGTGTTGAGGGTGAGGAGGAAATGACGGCTCAGGCAGCGGCGGCGCGGGTGGATTTGAATAGTGAGCGAGGTGCTGGCGGCGGGCCATGGAACCCACGTCATAAGCATCGGCCGGGTTCCCTACCCTACGCGGCGCGGGAAGCTTGGAGCATGCAGCCTCCGCGTGGCGCGTCATCGCCGCTTGGCGAGGCTTCTCGGGGCCCTACTCCCGCTTGCAGCGAATAACAAAGCCGCAGCGGAAACAATCGCCTTTGCCGGGCTCAGCCCAGCCCGTTCCTGGCGCGACGTGCTCATCCGTCAGCCGTGCGGCTTGCTGACCGCCCACAAAGAAGCCATCTTGAAGCGGCGCGCCGCGTCCGGCTCATCCGGCTTGCCTATCAGTCAGCACGCTGCTGGCCGTTCGAGACTCGCATCTCGTCATCGGCCGACCCGGACGGAAGCGCCAGCGCCCCGAACTCCGTCAACAAATTTGCACCCTGCGCCAGACCACATGCCCCCTGCTGCTGTCACGAGGGAAATTTAGACCTTCCTCAATCTTCCGGCGTACCGCGGTCCCTTGCGGCCGGGCGGTCGGCTACGGAAGCGCCCGCGGGTGCGAGAGAGCTCTCCGGCTTCCGATGGCGATCGATGATGGCAGCCATCACCACTCGCGCCCAGCCCCACCCGCCACTTTTCCATGCCACAGAAAGAGATCTCTGATGCATCGACAACCTGTTCTCGCCCGCATTCCCGCATCATGCATATCTTCCCCCTCGCAGTTAGCCACCGCCACACCTCTGCTCCAACGTGAAACCTCAGCCTGACGAATTGGCCCTCCCCCTCCGCTCGAGAAACCAGCTAGCTTCCTTGCAAATGTCCTGCATGACGACCCTGCTGCCGTCACGGAGGATCTGCGTTCATCTCGCTGAGAACCTGTAATCCCGTTGGAGATCAGGAAGCCTTCTCTGTGGCTGGTGCCTCAGCAAACGCGTGCGCAAGAGTGACATCACTCCTTATCAAGTCTGGGCCCTAGGTGCACTGTGTGCCCCATCTCACCTTACTCTCACATTATTGGCTCGCCCGGCCAATCGCTGGCTTTTCCGTGCCATAGTTGCGGCCCCGGGATGCTTAATTCGACCTTTGTGTGGAGAACACAAAACAAGAACTCTAGCCAATGCTATATTTGCTACTTTCGGCGCTTGATTCGCGACTATGCCCCGGACTCGTAACCAGGCTCGCCTGGACCGCTCTATGTGTGCGTCACATGCATGTAATGCAATAGGGGAGAATGATCACTCGCAATTTGTCCGTGAAAGGGGCGATTCCTGGGTTTACCACCATCACCGCTCAACCCTTCTCCCGGGACGCGTGACACTTGGTGAGCCCAGTCGTAAACCGCAAATGTATGTCATTCCTGGAGATCCTAAAGTGAAAGAGTGAACGAGTAGGGTATATCGAACTTTTGAACGTGCGCAGCCTCCCAAAAACAATCCAGTCCCTCCTAGTGACCCAATAAACGCCTCATGCCGTACGCTATATGTGTACTACCCTTCCTTCGCGCGCGCGATCCCAACGCATCACCGTTGACTCCTTTCCCCCTTTTCTAGTTGGCGCCCCTAGGAGCTTCTTCGGCTACTCCCCTCACTTCCACTGAGCGTTGGCGCCCAGCTGGTCCGTCTGCCGGGGCCAGCTATGCCTCCAACACCACTGTCGCCAATGATGCTGGTCCTCCTGCCACCGCCGGCGCGGTAAGCGTCCTCGCCTAGGTCTCCGACGATGCTGGGTTGGCGGGTGCGCGTGTGGAGGCGCACGTCCTCGTCGCCGAATTGCCCGAACCCTCCCCATCCGTCGAATTCAGTCGCAAAGCGCACTGCTGCCTTCAAGAAGAACCGCTTGTCGTCAGGCCAAGTTTTCGCTGCGTCTTGCATGGCGCGGATGGCTGTTTTGAATTTTGTTAGCTTCAACACATCTCCGGAAGCTACGCTATGTGAACCATACCTTTGACGTAGTTTCCGTCCAAGCAGAAACGTCCCTTGAGCGCGCAGCTCTGCACGTCGCTCCACCCCCTGCCCTCTTCCAGGTCTTCGTTCTCGAACGCCACCACGTCAACCTTGGGGCGCTTTTGTGCAATGTATATGGCAAGCACGAAGAGCCACCATTGCCTCACCAACGGAATGTGGAATTTGGTCGGAATCAAAGGAAGCAGCACTCGTACGGCGTGGCTTGTCGTGACCAGCTGCGTGGCATAGAAGTCGTACCGTCTCTTTCTGTCACCACTGCTTTTTGCCATGAGCAATGCCACCACCACCTTCTGCGCTTCAAGGAACTGCTCCGTGAAACTGATCTTCTCCCGTGGGCTGGTCGGGCTTGTGGATCCGGTGGGGCTGGAACTACCGCTGCTGCCGCTGTTGTAACCATAGATCTGCCAGTTGTTCCAGTGTTCCAGCACGGCTTCTTCCTTCAGGTCGAACAAAGTCTCGATATTTGCGCCTCCTGGACTGTCGAATAAGCCATCGAAGCGCTTGTCCGCCGCAACGCGCTTCAGAATCTCGGCAAGGGACGTCGTCGGGTTGGTGGGAGCGCGCGTGTACTTGGCATCGTCGAGGTAGCGGTGCATGAAGTTGTAATAGCAGGTGCTGAATGCGAGCGCCTCAATCGCCAGCGTGCGCGATTTCAATTCGAAAGCGTACCCAAGGTGAATGAGCGGGTGGCCGACTGCGCAGCAAAGATATTAACGCAAATCCGGTCCAGTGACGATTTCGATAAACTTACACCCAGCAATGAAGTTGTTGATCAGCGGTTGTTCGCCGCCGAAAAGATAGTCTTCCAGCATCTTCTTCCAGTCATAGCTATACTGCACCAACTGATCTTCAAAGAAGTCGACGAAGGCGCGTTGGTACCTGCTCCAAGTCAGCGGCCGGTCTTGAGCTTTCCTAATGCGCCGGATGTACGAACTCTCTCTTGCCCAGAAAGTCGCGCCAATCATGCTTCGCGATCTCGCACGGCGCATCTTGCCAGGGCTCGAGCTGCTCGGCTTCTCTATCGTAGATCTCGTTCAGGTGCTCGGCAGTTGCGCCGAGGACGTAGGCAGCACCTAGTATCTGGGCTAAGTTAGTCCAGTCCGTGACCTCGAACTTCGACGTCCAGCTCCATCACAGCTGACAATACACGGACTCGGAGCTCGCAGAAGCTTTGACTTTGGCATAGCTAGCTCCTGCGCTATGGAACTAGCTTGCCGGTCTGGCCAGCTCGCAGCTCACCGCTTCTTGTGCAGGGAAGCCGAGCACACGACTCGCAGGTGACAACAGACCACAACAACAACATGGGAGGCGGGGTGACATATCCAGGCAGGCAAGCAGGGCAGCGCGAGCAGGACCGGAGTGGAATGACATCTGTCGAGCAGTAAAAGAATATGCACGTACGTGAGCAGTATTGTTCCGACACCTTCCGTCCTTGTACACAATGCTGTGGTTGGCATGGTTTGCGCGGAGCAAGTGCTTCAGCGTCCGCGGACGCTTTTCCGCCGCGGTTTCGACATCATGGATTTCGACGGATGCAAGCTCGACGCGCGGACCCTTGGAGCCTAGGCCGAAGCTGGGGAGGCGAATTGAGGGGAGCGTGAACATGGACGACATGGTGAGAAAGCTGCGCTGCGGCGACTGCGGCGCCTGCGATTTGTTGTTGGGCCGGTGTGGCGGAGAAAACCGAAGGAAGGAACGGTAACCAGTGGAGGATGGGTCGTGAAAGTCGTGACGCGGGTCCTGCTTTTTGAGTGTTGGAAGAAAAGGGGTGAGGACTGCTAGCTGAAGAAGCTCTGAGACATTGATATAGTAAATGTAGAAGGTGAGGGCAAGCGCGAAGGTTCCGTAGGGCTGCAATGCGCACGTCAGTGTGGGAAACACTCGGTGAGCTGAACATGCGTGGCCCAACACGCGCGCCCCGCGGCAAATCGGTTCATCAGTATCGGCCTTGCTTCTGCAGGGGGCCTTGTTTCGTCGGCAGCTGGTAAACCTACTTAGTGCATCTTTCGGCGCCCGGCGTAACTTTTCTTTACAGCTAAGCTTCCCGACTAGTCGACCACCGTTCATGGCCCCAACGTCTCTCTGCCTCACAATGGAACTCACCTGCGAGGGGTCTGGAAGCTTGCTTGGATATAAGGAGCTACTACAGACGCCGAGTCGCTAGTGAGATTTAATTGTAAAGCTGCTCGTTCTTAGGATGTGAGGACTTCTTCTCGGTGCCGTTGCTGGGGCGCGCCAAACAACGGTCAGCAGCAAAATACCGAGCTACATGGTTCCATTTGCAAAACAAAGAGTAAACAATGAAATTTCCAATTTAAAGCAGATAGACTGGCTTATCTGGCGCTATGAAATGTTCTATGCATCGACCCCTCTGGCTGTAAAGTAAGCGTAGCCTCTCCGCCGAACAGTCAATTGGGGTTTGGTTTTGATTCTCCGTTTCGCTGCGAAACCAAACCCCCCCGGAACAGCCGCCAACCGCACCCTCGTCCGGTTCTCAACGGCGTACCGGTGCACGCGCCCCACGCTGCCACCGACCGTTAGGCGGGACTTAACAACAGCCAAGACTTCAGGCCGCGACCAGGGGTTCGTGGAACTTCGCCCAAGCTCCTGTCAATTTCTCGGTGATCATGATATCACACACGCACCACAATTATTATGCCTCAGCACACTCTCTCCCATTTCCCAGTAAAAAAAACCTTCCGCCTTCCCGGGCCGCCGGGCCAAAATAAACTACAAAAACGTCAAGAGCACCTAGCTCTGTGACTACTACTAACCTCGAAATCTCCCGCGACACCACTACGTTGGTTGGGATGGAGGAAAACGAATAAAAAGAGAAAAAGAAGGGAATCCGCGCTCCTGCTGCTCCAACAAAATCGCTCGCTGCTCAATGCCCAAGCTTTCCTAAAACAAAGGCCCCACCGGGCCTGTGCAGATTAAATCGCAAATCTGCCGTCCTCCTATGCGGCCGCCTCGACATGTGATCCAAACCCCCTCTCCATTATCAACTTTTCTCCCGGTGTGATTTGCGCACTGTTCCCCGCAAGAAAACGCCTCCTCGCACCTTCCCAAGATGCTGACCTGCAGTGGAATCTGAAAAACGAAACATGAAGCGAATACATGAGAAAGGTGCCCAAGACTCCAAGCCGCATGCGTGAAGAAAGCCTTAACATCTCGAGCGCCTACCCGGCTCCCGTAACTCCCACCCCGGGCCGCTGGTATTGTGATGACCGGTTCTCCCTATATCTGCTCGGCGATCCGCGGTCGCTGTGTGAATCCGACGATGCGTTTCCGTACGGCGGCTGCGGCGGTCCCAGCTCTCCATTGTCTCTTTGTCCTCCAACATGCCGCACCGAGCTCTCTGCCTGGTATGATGCCGGGTCAGATTCGATGCGTGCGACCACCGGCGCAGACGACCGGCTGCCCGAGTTGCGGTTTGCCTGCTGCGGCCCCGGCACCGTTGCTTGCGGGATCTTGCCGAGCTCGCCAACCCGCTTGAGGATCTCTTTCGTTGTGAGTTCGGCGTTGAGGTCGAACATGGATGAATCTGCCAGGATCGATTGAAGGTCCTCCGGAACCTGTTGATGTCAGCTTCAGTCAAAAAGTGGGGCCCGATTCAAATCACTTACCTCGCACATGGACTCGTTGCACTGGATGAGAGAGTGCACTGCTTCGATTGCGAGGAAACTGGAGTCCATATCCGGGCTTTTGGTGCTGGAGTACAGGATGTTGGGGGCGATGACCGTGGCCAGGTTGTGGATGTCCATTTTGCTGCCCGTCTCCTCGTCCACAGTGTGGAAGGACGACACCCAGTTAAGGAATGTGAACAGCACTTCCATGGTGTCGCGGTGGACCTTTGGCATAAGACAACAGGTGAGATGTAACACACGCCTCCGCTTGTCTTCATCTTGAATCTTCGCTCCGGTGATGAACAGGCGGTGCAGCTTGAACGTCATGACGGGGTCGGGCAGCTCACGAAGGAATTTCTTGAGAAGAGCCGCAACTTGCACCGGACTCTCACGTGTCAGGTCGACGGCATCCCCTCCCTTCGCGTCGATCTCTTCTGTGAGTTCGCGCAGGCGCTTGATGTTTCCATTCTTACGGAAAACACCCTCAACCGACATGTCCATGGTACGCATGGCAGACACTGCATCCTGTACCAGGGCGGGAACCTTGAGAGTTCCGGGACCTACGCAATCGGTGGATTCGGCGCCGTCCTTTTCCACGACGTACTCCAAGCTCTTGCCGAAGACGCCCTTCCTCTTCCCGCCCTTCGGCTTTTCGTTGCCCTTGAACGCCTTGCCAAACTTGCCCCAGAACGTGGGTCGCTTCTGGTTCTCGATGAGCTCCAGAAGCTCTTCTTGGTTGAAGTGGCCCTCCAGCAACGGTTCCATGGACAGAACTGCCACGTGGCGGACAATGAAGTATTCCAGAGCGGTGAGCTCCGAGAAATACTTCTTGCCGTAATGGCCCTCTCCAGCTGCAGCCTTCTCCAGCTCTTGCGCCCCTGATACATCTCTCCTATGACCGTTAACGAGCTTTGGCCTTGGTTCTTGCCCAACAAGGTGGTCGCGTGCATACTTTGCTGCATTTGGTCTTTGGTCCTTCGCCTGCTCCGCGGCGACAATACGGGGAATATCGTCCAGGGCAATGCCTCCATTGGTGCCGAAAGTCAACGGCCCGGTCTCGTTGTAGTCGCGTCCCTGTTCGATAGTCATGTTGTTAGGACCGCTGCCTCTCTGTGCGTCACCAGCAGATCCAGGACGGATGCCCTCCGGGCCATCCATGACCCGAGAAGTCCTCGCACGTTTCATGGTTTGAGATAAATGCTTGTCGAGTCTTGTAGACCGCAGTCTTCGGATATCGCCAAGGGTCTGTTCGTAGGACGAGGGGGTGGCCTTCTCATTGTTGTGACCAGTGTAGGACTTTGATCTGGTGTCCGACCTGAGCAGCGGCGGTTCTGCTGCTGGTTCAGAGCCTGCAGGGGAGACACGGTGGCCGGAGTTGGAATCATAGTCCATCAAGTTCGGGTCGTCTGGGGTTCGTATCATCAGTCCAAGGTTATCTCTTCCTTCTTCGCCGCGACCGGGGCTTACCTGAGGTGTGAGGAAGCGCGCCGCTTGTGCGAAGAGTTGCAAGGAGACGTGCGTGCGCAACTCTAAGAAGGTGGACGTATTGCCGTAGCCTTGTCACTTGCACAAAGCCGGATTCGGCGTCCGAGACACTTGCCGCGCAGCTGGCGCACATCAACTTCTCGCTCGACGGGCTCCACCGAGCCTCATGGTGGTCTCGAAGTTCTTTGTCGCATGTCCGGCACTTCATGCAAGCAACATGGAAGACTCTGTTGTTGGCCATGAAGCATTTGTCTTCGACCGGCTTGTCGCAGACTGGGCAAGTATCCGCAGTCCGCTGCACCAGGGCCACAGATTCGCTGCTGGTATCGATGATGGTGTCTTGCTCAAGCTTCGATTCGAGGGAGTTGATCTGGTCCATAAACCCACTGAGCCCTGATGCACTGCCGGTTTCCCGCTCGAGTTTAAGAGCACCCTGCAGGCAAATGCGGATCAGGAGCTTGAGGTAATGCGCGAGGCCAGTGACTAGCGAAAGTAGTTCCTGCGTAACGCCCAGTCGTCGCACTCCTGTGTCTTGTGATTGGGCGAGGAGCTGGAAGAACGCTACAACTTTCTTGCATAGCAGCTTCGCCTCACGGGAGTAAGACAGGCCTAGATCGCCGGTGTTAGACGGTCCGCTTTGTCTGGACTTTGGAGGGGATTTACCTTTTGGGGTCTGTTCGACCAAGACTTTGTCGAGCTCATCAGCCCCCTCAAATAGAAGATCGATATGCACGATGAATCTTCTGGCAGCCAGAACTCCGTCAAAATATGCGCCGTTGCTGACATGAAGCAGCATGTCAGAAATACAAGTGGCGGAGCGCTCCTCAAAGGCCGACAGCGTCTTCCAGATCCAGTTGACACGTTCTTCGATTTTCTCCTCTTCCATCCTGACGTCTTTTCTCAGCTCATCGGTGTCTTCCTCTCCTGCCAGCGCTTTCTCGACAACGGGCTGGCCGGTTGTGTGGAGGCGCACATTCCAGAACTTGTGAATCATGTAGCACTCCGGATGCCAATGCTGGTTCTGGCCATTTCTGAAAATCTCGACAAACTGCTTGAGGATGGCGGTCTGGCAGCCGTTGCAGCGCTGAGCAAATTTTGTGGAATAATGAAAGTGGCAGTAGACGCTGCCGTCGTGCTCGTAGTAGCTGTCCTGAGCACCGAAAACGGTGGGACAGACGGAGCAGGTGAAATGTTCGATGTGGTATTTACGGTCGAGGGCTGTTATGTACGAACCGCGGAGGGCACCGCCGCAGGAGAAGCAAAGGAGGTCGAGACGGCGGAAGTAGTCAGTCTCGCACAGCGGGTATTGATTGGGCCCCTGCTCGGGCACGGGGAAGAACTTGGACGCTACAATCTTGTCACAATCCTACAGCGTGATATGTCAGCTCCTCGGCGCAACAGACAAGTGCAGGGCTGCAACTGACATGACAAGTGAAGCACTCAAGGTGGAACGTGTCGCCCAATGCGCGGACGAACTGGCCCGTCAGGTGTCCGCCGCATTTCCCGCAGACCCTTGAGCCGCTGGGCCTCCGGGAGCCGTTGCGCGAGCGCTCGCGCGACGGGCGCGACGAATCACCACCATTCTCCAGGCGTCGGGACCGCTCGCGCTCGTCCTGCGTGTTGTTGTTGGCCATGTCGCCGGGGCCGAGCGCCGCATCGTCGGGCGGGGCGAGCCCGTCCCTAGACGGCGGGCCCTCTGAGGGTGTAGCCATGGTCGGATGCCCGAGCCCTCAAGCTGTGCGGCGGCCGGAGGTCGCGTGGGCGAGCGGGCGGGACGGGGAAGGCACGGGGGATGCGGACGGTCGCAAGGGCGCTCTCAGGGCGTGGGTTCCTGGGCGGACTCGCACGCGGGGGTTGGGTCGAGCAGGCGTGGCGGCGCTCTGGGGCGCTCTCAACGGGCGCTTTTGCGGTTGCTGGGCGGAACTGGGGTGTGCTTGAGTCGGGGGCAGCGCGGGGGGGGCGGTGGGTGGTGGAGTTGGCTGCTCAGCTCGCCGTCCACAGCATGCGGCGAAAGGCCTGGGGTTTAGGCGCGGTGGTGTCGGCAGCAGGTGCTCGATCCCTGCAGGGGAAAGGGAAGCGGACGAGAGGCTGAAACGCAACTTGGGTGTGGCAGCGCGACGAGACGCTCGCCGCCATGCAACAGCGGCGCGGTAGGCCTCTCGCTCTCTCGGTCGACGAGAGCAGGGCTGGTCGCGGGCGAGAGAGGGCGGGCGGCGTGCGAAGGGTGGGAGCGGGTGGTGTGGATGGAGGTGGGTGTTAGTTACGGGGGGGCTTGCGGGAGGTGAGCGCTGCGAGAGGAGGCCCTGGGGGCCGCTTGGTCGTAGATTGGATGGCCCCGTGCTTGAGCGGCAGGCGTGTTGATCGCAGCGCGACAGCGCCAGAGACGACTGACTGCGCGCGAGAGAGCGCGCCCGCGCCGTGTGCTACTCAGCGGCCATGTGCTGCGCGACGCCCTATCGCCCTCCGCCTGCGCGCCTGCGCCGTGGCCTCAGGTTCCCCGCGACTGCCGCCTTTCTCCGCCCTCACCATCCATCCCCTCCGCCGCTGACTCGACGCCGCGTCTGACGGCATAGCTCCACCGCCCCAGCCAGAGCGACAGCAGACCTTCTCCGCCGCAGCCTCCGCCACGCCCGCTCCTCCACTCCACCCACCGCACCCGCCACAATGTCTGCGCGACGCGGCCGCGGCGATGCCGCCGGCGACGAGGAGGCTGGTGTCGAGCTCAAGCTGGGCGAGTTCCAGAACGTCACCACCCTGACCCTCTCCGAGGCGCGTCTGATTATCGACGCCATCGTCGAGCACCGCAAGAAGCACAAGATTGCCCTCAACGAGACCGAGACCCTCACCAAGATGCGCGCCTACCTCGACGTCTTCTCGCGCTTCAAGGACCGCGAGGACTGCGACTCCATCGACAACCTGCTGCGCACCCGCAACGACCTGGCCGGCTTCGAGCGCTCGCAGCTCGGTGCGTCTTCCCCGTCTCCTGCACCTATTCTAGCGCTGACATGCAATCAGGCACTCTTTGTTGCGAGACGGCCGACGAGGCCAAGACCCTCATCCCTTCGCTTCAGGACAAGATCTCCGACGCGGACCTCCAGCAGCTGCTCACCGAAATTAGCCGCCTGCGCCATTTCTCCGAGTAACCTTCTCGGACCAGCGTTGGTGGAATCGGGAATGTCAAGGCCTGGGGGCTACGTGCATGTTGGAGTACCTTCGGCGGCACTCCGCACGGCGATCTGTGGCGGAGCACTGCTATTCTGAGAAGACTGCAGCGCTACGTTGCAGGCGGCCGCGTTGCTCGCAGAGGACATGACGTTGGTGCCGGATCGCGCGGCAGCCGCCTCACTCAAAAGTTGGCTCGATAATGCCCAAATGTCACCGGTCATTCCCATTGTTGGTCTGGTGTGATTGGGCGGGATCCAACGGCAGGGCTTACGACCAGGAAAGAAAGGGAAAAAATAGAAACACAAAAAGTGTGCGTTCCAACAAGACAGAACCCATGCTCACTACGCAAAATAGTACCTGTATCTCGAAACAGCGCACGGTGTGGCCTACAGATCGTACCGCCAGACGCGTGGTTGATTTTGATTCACTGTCCTCTGCCTCCTATGAGAAGCGTGATATCTACAACCCATAGCCCTTTTCTCTGCTTACCGTATACGCTGATCCCAGATACAGCAACACAAAAAGTAAGCAAATCTGTGTTGATCTTTGATTGATAGAGAACAAGAGCGCTTTTTTACTCCCGTCTGCTGATTCAGCTGAGGGCTTTTTTTTTTCTGCAATCTAATCTCACTGTTGCTTTGGAGAAATTGTACACTTGAATGCACCATCGAAAGCGCGAACATTTTTCCATCTCCCAGCAAGCCATCCCTCTTACTCTTGATGGTTTGCACTGCCACTGTTCCAAAAAAAAAAAAAAAGGAAACTCCGAGGCGAAAAGAAAAGTACATCGGCCTACTACAGTCTCCAATTGAGGTGAGAAAGAATACTAAAGGAAAGATTCGGACTTGTGGCCACCAACTCCTCGCTTGCTGTCAACGAAGAAAAAAAAACTTGGGTACTCATTTTGAAGGAAATTTCTGAAGGCATATAATGAACGAAAGAGGAAGCCTTGACAATCTGAAGAGGCTACCAGCTAAGTAGAACGCTCCACGCGCGCAGAGTTAAGAATAGAATGATAATTTGAGTGAAGCAATCTGTTGAGCCACGACGCTTTGAACGCTCTTCTACTCTCGGTTTCGAGACGGAGATGTCGATGCCTTTGGCGTGGGATCTGGATCAGGCTCTGTGTGGGAAGCCTTCGGCGTGGCGTCTGTATCCATTTCAATCTCCTTTACCGCATTACCGGGCAAGGGGGGAAGTATCTCTGGAGGCGTGATGGATATGTTCGCCATCTCGGGCTTTTCTTTTTCATCCCCCTCTTTCTTCGTAGGCGTCTCGGGGGGCGCCTCGACCTGGGAATCATCGATCGACTGCTCCTCAGAGATGGCCGGTGGAGGCGAAGCATTCAGATTTTCCACCGCAGCTATCTCCTCTACTGAAACGACGCTGCCATGGCTGTTCGTGCGCATCATCTCAAGGCCTAATTTCGAAGAGCCTCGCGTTCTACCTTTTGGACTCTTGGTCCGTGCCTGTGCATTTCCCAACTCTTCGTCTTCGTCATCGCCAGACTCGGCCGACTCATGTTTCTTGTTCTCTAGTGAGCGCCGCTTGGCATCGATTTGCTCGGAAGACCTCTGCTTCCGGATCGGAGCGTGCTCCAAAGCAGCTGGCGCCGAGGCTTCCTGGCGTAGAGGAACGCTTGTCGGAATCGCCAGGAGACCCTTCGGATCTTTCGTGATAGCTGCTGGTTCATCGGAAATACCCAGTCCACCGAAGGCCTGGGTCATATCACGATCTCTCCATTCGTCAGTTCCCTGGCGGTCAATTACTACAGCAACTTCGTCGTTCTTGTTCTCGTTGTCCCCGAAGAAGCTGGAGCTAATGGAGTCTTCGCGACTGGAGCCTCGGTAGCTACCGGAGGGCATCGCGGCAAAACTGGACGAGTTCGACGTTGGACTATCCTCCACGCGCGATGACTCTTGGCGGAGATTGGATGGAACAACAGATGTCAGCATGGATGGTGTCCAGTTCGGCGGCGGGGCTTTCCATTGACATAGTCGTCCGATTACTTCCGTCAATTTGGCAATGGTGGGCGGCTTCTCGATCAGCGCGTCGAAATGGTGAGGTGCTTGAAGCTCTTTGAGATAACCAGTTACGGCAACGATTGGCGTGTGGCTGTTGGCGTTCTTAGTTTCTCGGATCATGCGAGCGACGTCGGCTCCATTGACTTGTGGAAGTCGATACTCCATCATGATGATGTCAAACTTGACTTCACTCATGGCATAGCGCATCGCTTCCGGCCCTGTCTGGACCTTGATCGCGCGACAACGCAACTTCTCCAATAGCTTCTCCATGACCAGACGCGAGACGGGATGGTCCTCGCAGATTAGAATGTCTAATGGCCTGAAATAAGGTCCATCTGCTGCAATGTGTGACATTCTGCGAGAGCTTTGTCTGCGGCGGTGCACCCGAAGAAGAGCCTTCTGACGTGACTCTTCCGTATCGGACGATGATGGAGAAACATCCAAAACTTGGCTTCGTCTCTTGTGCTGACTAAGTGCGGATTCTCCATCCTGGGAGTCCAGAGTCTGTGAGCGAGCTCTTGGAGAAGATACTGCTCCTAGAGAGAGACCATTCTGCCGTGGCAGCGAGCTTGCACTTGATTTCTCCGTAGGTATCGGGACACCCGGCGTTTTCGCAGGTTTACTAGCCATCTTTGCATCGAAAAAGCTTCCGGGCTGCAGGGAACTGCTAGCCATGCTTGCATTGCTAGGCTGATGGGATAATGACGAAGTCCCGCTGGAAGTCTTCCTGCGTTCATGATTTTGCCCGGTGCTGAACGATACAAGTAGGGGCGATGAAGGTTGAGAAGCTCGACTAGGAGAAGAGCTGACCTGACTGACGGATGGCGATGATGGCCTGCCTCCCTTTCCGGCTGTTGATTGTGTTCTCTTCAAGGGCATCGGCACCATCGGGCTTGATTCAAGCGAAGGAGTCGGCGAAGTGACGGATGGGGAGGTTGCTGTCGATGGTGTCTTGCTTTGGGCTTGCATGGCTTCGGCACGAAGCTTTTGAATGACATCTTTGTTCGCCTTCTCGAGCACCGGCAAATTTTTGAATGCGAAAGCACCGAAATCATCCGTAGCCATGGGTTCGCTGAGTCGCCTGCTTCGGCCCTCCCGCACGTGCGGCGGAATGTGCAGCGGCATCAGGCTCCTCTTAACTGAGTTGACTTGGACCTGAGAGCGTACTCGTGATAATGCATCGTGAGGCCTATCAGGGTAGTCCGCACCCGGGGTTCCGCTAGAAGACACTGCTTGGTCTTCGAACTCTGCAGCGAAGTTCTGCATCGTTGCTCCTCTTGAATCAAAGTACTCGGTATCTTCTGGGTTCTCGGAAGCAGGCACGAAAGACGCTTCGTCCTCGCGGAGCGTGTCCCAGTTGATATCAGCGAACCAAGGGTGGTTCTTGATTTCCTCGCCTCCACTGGAGAACTTGTCATCGATGTTGGCGCCCAGCCTCTTAGCTGGATCGGTGCACATTAGGCGATTCATCAAATCTGTGGCCTCCTCAGACACCTCGTATTCATCCTCCGGTGGCCAATCGATCTTGCGCTCCAAGATATTCTGGAACACCTCGTCAGGGGTCTCGGCGTGAAACGGAGGGTAACCGTAGAGACACTCGAATAGAATACACCCGAGTGACCACCAATCGCTGACCTCGTCTTGGCCGCTTCCATTGATCGTCTCAGGGGCAAGGTAATCAGGTGTGCCCACAAATCGACGATTGCTGTCTTCAGGATCGAAAAGGGCCAAAGGAGGAGGGAGCATTCCAGAGTTTTGAGGAGGAGTTGCATTCTGTGCCGCACTGGAATGGCTGACCGTTGGATGGAGGGCATAGGGATCTGGGGAGCCACCATCTTCGCTCATGTAGACCTCTTCATCGATAGGGGACCGGCGTTGGCCACCGACAGTATCGTCAGCTATGGAAAAGCGACGGAACATGGTCTGTAAGGCATCGCTGTCTCCGCTGTCACTACGGTTGTTCGAAGTTCGGCGCGATGGTTCACGCGTTGGCTCTTTCGACAAGCTGAAGTAAGATGGTTGGTTGAGATCACCAGACAAAGCAGGCATTAGTGACGGTGTGTTTTGGGGCGAATGTTGAGATCCCTGCGCATCGAAAGAGGCAGACCTAGAAGAGGTGACAGACAGTGCGCGATGAAAAGGCCCTCCTTTGAGAAGGTCCGGTGCTTGTTCATCGGACTTGCTATTGAGGGCTCTCTTCTGTCTGCCAATCAGACCCATACGAGATAGACCAAAGTCGGTCAATTTGAGGTGGCCCTTTTGGTCGATCAGAAGATTGTCTGGCTTCAGATCACGGTGGACAATGCCACGGCTGTGGAGATGCTCTACGCCGAGTACAACTTCCGCCAAGTATTTCTTTGCCCAATCCTCCGGGAGAGCACCGAGGACTTTGATCAACGACGCGCAATCGCCACCATTGAGATACTCCATCACGAGATAGAGGTAGTCCTTGCTTGAGAATGTCCAGTAAAGCTTTGCGACGAAATCGCTCTCGCCTTGCCACATCATGATAGCTCTCTCAGCCTTGACGTTTGTTACTTGGTTTTTGGCAACCATGTCTGCCTTTTTCAGCACCTTGATGGCAAAGTAATCGCCTGTAGACTTTTTCTTCGACAGGTAAACGCTACCGAAAGCACCTTTGCTGATAGGCTTGATGATCTCAAAATCTTTGATTGAAGGCGGCACGGCCCTTGGTTGAGGATTGCTGCTCGGGATCAACCGCGGAGAAACCGGGGGTTTGGCGATGTCAGAACCGGCAGTCGAGGACTGTCGTCGATGATGGTGGATAGGATATGCTGCAAGAGCAGGAGAAGAGAAGTCGCTTGTTGAGAGGACGGGGGATGTGATGGGAGAGTGGATAGAATCTGGTCCTATGGAGAGACGTCCTTTCGACATTCTAAGGGGTGACGGAGGCGGCTGCATACCAGCTCTGGCAGGAGACTGCTGCCTACTTGACATGACGCTTGGGAGAATGAGACTCCTCCGCTTGCGCTCGCGGGAGCTTGCAACCCTACTGAGACTCACCTCGGAGCCAGGTGAGTCGGCTCTTCGTGGCCCAGACAGGACTGAAGACCTAACGCTACTGTCACTGTCGGCTCCGGCATCACTCTCGAGGTGCATCGACGTTCTCTTGCTGTGGGACACTATGTTCATTGCCCCTGCGTGTGAGCGAGGCGTTTGGCTACCACGAGGGCTGCTCGATCTGGTCGACGTTGCTGCTGATGAAGGACGGCGGTCCAGGTGAGGGGACGAGGCCAGAGATATTTCGGACGAGTTTCGGAAAGCCTGGTTCATGGCGGACGGATTTTCTAGTGAACAGGAGAACATGCCTTCTTCCTGTGGACAATCAGGAAGATCGCCCTCCGTAGGTGTTTCATCCGGTTGGCTGGCTGTATCAGAGGTATCTGTAGAGTCGCTCAGCTCGCCGCGAGCGATACTCGCAGCCTTGCTTATTGCGGCCTCGACGCACTCTTGTACCAGAACTTCGAACTCTACGCGGATGCGTTCCGAATACTCCAGAATTCTGCGGTACCGGAAGATTGCATCTACTTTTGCCCTGCAGAACTTGGCGGTATCTTCACAGAGCGACGACAGGCCTTGCTCTCCATCGTTAGCCCCGATGTTCGGCGACTGCCACTGCAGCACTTGAGATATGCGATTCTCCGACTGAGGCGACTGCGTTCTCAATTCCGTGGAAAACTGGCCGCGAGTGTCCTTGATGGCAGGTGTGTTGATTTCCAGAGCAGTGTCACAAAGATCCAGTACCAGCTCAACAATTCTCGACAGAGGTCTCCTGACTGCAAAAGACCTGGCTCGGCGGTGCCCTAGACCAGTCGAGCGATCTCGGGAGCGCGAAGGGGGTGAAGCGGGCGACGCCCTTCCTGAAGATACGCCAGAGGAGGGAGTCGAAGCAGGGGATATGGGAAGTCCTTTGTATTCTGCAGGAGGTCCGGTAATGGGTTGATTGGCATCTCCGGCAGCGGCCCGAGTCTGGCGTTGCGAGGTTGCTTCCAGAGCGTCTAAAACTTTGACGATTGCGTTGCGGTGGTCAGTAAGAGCTTCCTGTGCCATTTGCACCTCCATCTCCGCCTTGTGCTCTTGCAAACAAAGATCAGTGTGCTTCTCGAACCACCACGGGGTGATATGGCGCTCGCAGATGCGACACAACACGGGGGGCGGTGGAGGATGGGTGGAGGGATCGCCAGTTCCGGCTTCTGCTAGCTCGGTCAGATACCGTGCAAGCACTTCAGCACCGACTCCAAGAGACTCGACTAAAATCTCGGGGAGATCAATGGTCACCTCCCGAACCACGGAAGGTCGCATCATCCACATGGTCTAAGGCATATCAGTATAGCAAGTTTTGGGCCGACCAGGAGGGAAGAACCTACATGGCAGTCGTCGCCCGAGGCGGGATTGTAGGACATGATTCCTTGGGCCTCAAGATTCAAGATCTGCTCCGATTCTTCTTCAGGCTGGCTAGCCTCGACATCCTCTCCAGAGGGGCCTTCAGGTGGGGTTGGCTTGCATCTCAGCTTGGAGAAGGGACCCATCTTCATGGAAAACCTGATGACGCGACTTCGGGCATCGTCCTGGCGCATGGTCTCCACGACGTCGGTAAAAGCACGCTTGTTGCCCAGGAGCAGGTCGTCGATGGGCTTCCCAATGACCGAGTCGGGCTCGGAGCCCACGACCTCGCGCCACGAAGGGCTGACGGAACGGATGGTGCCGTCCAGGTTGAGGTCAACGAGCACATTGAGCGTCTGCTCGGCGGCCTCTTTGAGCTCTTCCATTTCGTCGCGGATGTTCTGGCTGACGGTCCTCTCCATGGGCACCTTGGGGTTCTGGGGGTGCGAGGCGCCCAGCCTCAAGGCTGCGACTTTCGGCGGGGCCAACGTCTGATGCTGAGGGTCGTCCATGGCTCTGGTGTATCGAGCGTCGAAGGAATGGGCGGGCCACCGCTCTACCCGTCGCGGCAGGCCGCGCCGCGGGCAAGGCAGGCAACACTAGCAGTTATGCGACAGTGAAGCGGCCGACCATCATGGCGGGAGGCGCGATGGGCGGAATTGGGGGGTCGACGGGGCGCGCTTCGGGCGCGCCTGGGGCTGTACGGCGGCGGGCGAGGGCAGGGCACGAGCCGGAGGCGTGGGCGGCGATAGTCGTGGTTGGCGGCGCGCTCAGCAGGGTCGGGGCATGGCCCGGGTGTTCGCTGGGGGGAAAAGAGCGTGTCGTGGTTGCGAGCGAGCAGTTTCTTGGGAGGTTCGAGCACACTGGCGGCAGAGCGGCGCCCAGCGGGGTCCGTGGGCGGTCGAGCAGGTTGAACGGTGCACTGGAGTCTTGAACAACGGCTGGTGCGGCACTAGCAGGGTCATGTGCGGTGGGCCCGCGGCGCGCAGCACTAAAACAAAGCGCCGCATCGGATGGCATGGCCTGCGAAACTGCGCCCTCGTCCTCACCGCGGCATCGAGGCGCGCCAGGAACGAGCTGCCAGCCCATGCCGCCCACACCTCACCCAACACCTCGCACACCCACCTCCTCTCGCCCGCCGTCTCGCCATCGCACGCCGCGCACCCGTCGTCGCCGATCTGCGCGCGCCAGCAGGGATTGCTCTCGCGCCGCCTATGCGAGTCGGCCGTGTGCTCGCAGCGACTGATCGCCTTCTTCTGTGAATCTGCAGCCCGCCGCCGGCCACCCCTCGTGCCCGTCGCCCCATCGTCATACGACGGCCGCCTCCGCAAGAACCTCACCGCCGCTGCGCCTACGTCTGCGTCTGCGACTGCGCCTGCGTCCTTTGACGGCGACCGACGGGCACCATCCTTATCTTGACCATGATGCCCGCCTCCGTGTACAGCAACATGCGCTTGCTCGTCATTGCTTACATACCTACCCAATGAACTTGCGCCGTCCGTACCTGCAGTGCTCAACCCCCACTGAGGGACTTCGTCCTGTCTCCGCTACAGGAGAGGCTTTGCTTTGGAAGACAGAACGCGTGCTGTCGTTGCTGCCCCGCGTCGTGGACCTGAGTCGCTTGCCGGGTCCGGCTCTGAGCCGGCATCTTCCTTCGAATACATGGCCCGGTTGCCGTGACAATCCTCGTACACGTCCGCTTTGATCCTTTCCTTCCGTGGACATTTCCATAAATACGCAGCAACGTATGTGGCTCCAATTGTTGTGTTCGTGAGGTGTGCGTCCGCTGCTGATTGGCCCGGGCAGCCCTTCCCGGCTGCAGTGGCAGGGCAGACCATGCGGAGAAGCTGGATGTGCCACTATCATGTGCGGAGCGCGCGGATCTCGACTCGCTGGCTCTATCGGCGCTTCTTACTGCACACCAGAGAAACAGGAGGCCCACCAATCTGCAGATCGACCGGGCATGCCCATTCCAGCTGGTAAGCCGAAGAAAGCCATCCTACCCAGCTATCCATTTTGGCCCTCGAAGATGGTTGCACTATATCACTACAGGCGGCTATATCCACCCGGCTAAACTCTTGAGCCATTGCCGTGCACGTGAGCAGTTGGACCCCCGTCCGGATGACATGACCGTTCGCCTGCCTCAACCGTTCCTCGACCACATTCCGAGCAGACCCTGGGCCGTGGAATCAAACAACGGCCGTTGCGTTTGATTGAGCGATATTTCCGCCCCTGTGGAGGCGTCCTGCTGTACGTCGACGCCGTTTTGCATCAGAAAACTGGGGCAAGCGCGCCGTCTATTGGATTTTGCGGCACCTTGCAGCTGGCCGACCGTCAAAAAAACGTGAAACCCATGCACAGCTTACACATCCATGCTCGGCAGCATTCCTCGGGCATCCGCCGAAGTTCCCCGGGCCCGAGCAGGTTATTCGCAATAAGATTGAGCCAACACCACGCCAGCCCACGCCATCGATACAGTCGCCCCTGAGAGTTCGTGGCCATTATTCTGTCAAAAAAGAGTTGCGGCCATGACTCATTCACGAGGACAACGGACGACTTGGTTGCTGACGCTGGTTGTGACTGGCCAACGTCTCCACGGATGATACGGCCATGTGGGGTATAGCAAGCCACATGCTTATCACGCGTTCCTGTCACTGTCTATCGGATGCGTTGTTCGCAGTTATCAACTCTAGTGCCATTCAAGAGCTGCAGGCGAAGCAATCTGGAAATTCATAAAGCAAAGGGGAAAGGGAAATGAACATGTCGTCGTCGACACAAATCAGGGAACTCATCACACTGAACACCCTGTGGACATAGCACTTGCACATCACATCAAGCACGAGCTTATTTCAATGTTCAGCACGGTCTGTGCGTTTGTTGTCCGAATCACATTCTCACCACCGTGGTCGGCTGTACGGAATTCTCAACCTCAGATTTTTGTTATTTTTACCTTTCATCTCAGTCCCTTGCAAATGTTGTGCTCATGCCTCGGACTGGTGCAGTCATCCTGCACCCTCATCCCGTTGCTGACACTGTTCTGTTGCGCCATCGACCAGGCTTATGTCCGCTGACGCCCCAGGCTGCTTTAAAGGATTGGTACCAAAGCTATGGGATAATTTTAGTGCACGAGGCCCCTCATTCAGAGCTAATCGGGGGTTTTCTGAAGCTGACTGCATACGGATGTCCTTAGCTTCCCGTCTGCAAGACTCTTTCATCGTTCATCCGAGGATGAAAAGGTAGTCTGGGTTTACACTTACCCTCGTTAAGGATAACATGCGGATGCAGTTTCAGCTCTCTACTATCGGGCGAATCAAGCCGGAGAAGAGGTAGGAACGCCCACAAAGTGATTAAAGAAGAATGTCAACGCAGCAAAATTGGTAAAGCAAAACAGCCGAGTTATTGCGGCATTCTACCACTAGACGCAACCGTTCTCACCATGGCCCAGTTGATCACGCAATCCTACTTTAGTTTCCTTCCATCACTGCGCTTACCGCGCCGTGATTGCAGTGAGTCTTCTTTGTACGCAATATTAATAACGCCAGTATCGCAGAACAGTATCAGCAGCTGAAGAGCCAAGAGCCAGGCATCATTCAACTGTTTCGTAAGCACGATACAGAACAGCAAGGTCTTCGTCACATGTTAAGGCGTCTCGAGCTGAATGGTGTCGTCACAACATCACAAACTAAGCTCTGACATTGGACGCTAGCTACTTCAGTCAGTGGAGAAAATAGTCTTTTGAATAATGCCATGAGCCAAAGAGCAGAATAAATTCTCAAGTCATTGAAGCAATGTCTTAGGCGGAAGGGCCAGTGCACACGACCGTTGCCTGTCTTCCATTTACGCTCTGATACATGCTCCCTGTTTTCAGCTTCTGACTTGGTGGGTGGAATGTCTGGTCCCTCATGATGGGTAAAGGGTGTGAAAAACGATTGATTGGGCGGGGGGCTGGTTCGCAGCGGCAAAGGCATCCAACAGAAGAGTGTAACGGTGGCCCAAGGCAGCGGCTGAGTAAATACCAGGGTCCGGTGCGACGGGCAATTGGATAGGCAACTATCCATGGCGAGCTTCGGACTCCGGGCGTTGGTGGAGTCAGCACAAGCCACCTAGAAAATCAATGCCGCCTGTCGGGCTGCGTTGGGAATCGCATGCGGCCAGCAATTGGCGGCTTGGGGCCGACACGCCATTCGGACAACCCCAGCATCAGCCGCTTCGGGACCTACCCACATATACCACCATGTCGCTCAAGACAGCCATCCCGATGCTTCCGTCCCTCCATAGTCTCCCGTCCCTTCACCCGCGCTGAGAGACGCGACCGCAAGCATGGGCACCACAACCACCACAGACCCCACCCTTCACCTGCCCCGCGTCCTCTGCCTGCATGGTGTGTTCCCCGAGGCTGAGAGCAACTGCATGTGCTAACCTGCGACAGGCGGTGGTGTAACAGGCGAAATCTTCCGGCTCCAGGCACGCGCCCTAGTTTTCCATCTCTCGTCGTCCTTCCGCCTCGTCTTCGCCGATGCGCCGTTCTTCTGTGACGCCGGCCCCGGTATCATCCCTGTCTACGCAGGCATGGGCCCATACCGCCGTTGGCTGCGCTGGCTGCCCCACCACCAGGTCGTTGACGCCGATACCGCCGTCGAGGAAATCCGCTACCAAATCGAAAGCGCCATGGAGGAGGACGACAGACAAGGAGCCACGGGCGAATGGGTCGGCTTCATGGGATTCAGCCAGGGCGCAAAGGTCAGCGCCAGTCTGCTGTTCGAATCCCAGCGTCGCCGCGACCTAAAGAGTCGCGGTCAGCTTGTCAGAGGCTACGAAGGCGACAATGTGGAGACAAAGCTGTGGAGCCAGGACTGGAGCTTTGCTGTGCTCATGGCCGGCCGTTCGCCTTTGGTGGCATTCAGTCCGGACAGCGAATCGTTCCCATTTCAGACTGCCCGCGATGCCGATTCGGGCCAGGACAGAGGCCCCGTGCAAGATGAGGCATTGCTCAAGCTTCCGACCCTGCATGTTCACGGGCTGAAAGATGTGGGTATCCATCTGCATCGCCAATTGCTGAACCAATACTGTTCCAAGGATTCGGTGGAACTCATGGAATGGGATGGCGATCACAGGGTTCCGCTGAAAACATCGGATGTGGAAGTGTTCGTGGATAAGATGCTCTCAGTTGCGAGAAAAGCCGGGGTCGAGCCAGGAGTTGGTAGGAAGGCATGAAGCACCGGTTCAATATTCTTTGCATCTAGACTTGGTCTGCTCTTTCCGTTTCTTCCGCAGCGGTTCCCTGCATTGCCGGAGACTTTCAAGCAAGCGTTATAGATAGACTTTCTGCCATTCTCCTATTCTTACCAACCAGGCGAACTCTATTGAATGGACTCGCTTAAGAATGCATGCGTCAAGATATGTGGTACAGTTTCAGGTCTTGGGTTCTTTGTGAGACGCCGGGAGTCCATTAATCCGTATTACCATAACCTCCAACACTCCGGACAACGGAACAATGAGAACTCCACGGTCTGACGGTCGGCCGGCTGTCAGAGGGAAGGATGTCTTTGCTTTTTCTTCCCCTCCGAATGTTGTGGAACATAGACGGCCAAGCGATCGAGAACAGTGAGTCTGTGAAACCATTATTAGTGCTCTGACAGTGGCCTGATAAAGCCTTTGCTTTCAGCGCATTAACGCTACAATCTCAAGTGCTGACCGGCGCCATCCGTCTGCGTGCTTACAGGAATAAGCAAAGTTTATCTTACGTTCCATGGGTTACAGATATTCGTCTCTTCTTTACCCGGCAAAGGATGCTATTCTCCTCCCACGTGGGTGACTAGAGAACACAGGAACTGTACATATATTCCTATCCATCTACTCACGTAAGGAGGGTACTATTTTACCAGCGCATGAGTTCAAAGAAAATGTGACACCCATTATGTTTGCCTTTGAAGAGTAAGTTATTCATGCCAAGACAAGCATTCTTCAGGAACACGTCCGACAAGATCGAACGTGAAAGGAAAAGCTCCTGACATGAATCTTTCGCCAATCCAAGAGCTTGAAGGATCAAGACCAAAAATGGGTGAGAGTGATATATACAGCGCTTAGGTAATGGCGAATCTCGAACCTTCCAGTACTCCGGAAGCTCCTTCCGGAATAGGAAACGAGAAGTGGATCGTCACTCCCCTCACGAAAGCTCAGTGGATTGCTCCTTCCAAGGGCCTACATGATGAGCTGCGTTTTATGAGCAAAAGGCTACGCTAAGCCACTTCTGGGTTTCTCGATTAAGCTAACTACTGTAGTACTGAGATTGAAACAAAGCCAACAAGCGCTTCGTCTCTGTAGGAGAGCGGATTAAGTTTGTTGCTGCCGGTAGCAAGCCAATGTATAGGTAGAGATGGATTGCGGGGTCCAGCCGAGCCGTATCAACGACACCCGACGAGGCGTATGCACCAGGTCTGCAGCACAGCACGAACCTTATCGGATTACGGATCAAGTTAAGTGGGCCGAGCTGAACAGTCACCGCCATGTATAAGTCTCTTCTCGCGCAATCCCAGGCCTCTGCTGCAAGTTCTTCTTACGGCACTTTGGAATCAGCGCCCCCGTCCGCCCCGCCTACCGATATGTCGAGCCCCAAAGTCGCTTCCGACACAGAGCTCGCAGAAGTCAGCCAGAATGCCGACGCTGGCTCCGAGACTCCGAGCGATGAACAGGCGATTCTAGAGAAGCAGATCAGGCTGAAGGTCGACTTTCGCCTTTGCACGATCGCTGGAATCCTGTGCAGTCTCAACCTGCTTGATAGTGGCGTCATCTCCAGCGCCTCGGTTACTTCCATGTTGTCGGATCTCGACCTTGACAAAGGCAACCGATATTCTGTCTCCATTTTCATCTTCACGATCGCAAGCATTTGCTTTCAGCTGCCATCGACGATTGCTGTGAGGACATTTGGTCCCCGCCGCTGGTTTTCGTTGATTACTTGCTGCTTCGGCTCAATTACCCTGTGCACTGGATTCATCCAGACCTGGAAGCAGATGATAGCGTTGCGCATCCTTCTCGGCGCATCCATGGCAGGCATTTACCCTGGACTCAGCTATCTGATCAGCACTTGGTGAGCCCAGCTCCGTGACAGAGACTTGGCCCATTCTCTAACAAACATGCAGGTACACCAGAGAAGAGCAGCAGCTCAGATTTGCTTTTCTTCAGAGTGGTCAAGTCATCATCCTTGCAACGGGGAGCATTGTCAACTTCGGACTGAACCACCTGAATGGCCACGGCGGCCTTGAAGGGTGGCGATGGATGTTCATCGTGCAGGGCGCAATCACTTGCTTCATAGGTGTCGTCACATACTGGTGGATGGTCGACTTTCCGGAAAATGCCCATCGCAGCTTCATGTTCCTCTCCAAGGATGAGAGTGCCATTGCTGCTAGCCGCATCCAAAAAGATCGCTCTGATGTGCACGCGGATCCGTTCGCCATCAACAAAGTCCTCGTCCATGCTCTTGATCCCAAAGTCTACGGGCTCTGCTGCCTGTTTTTTCTGCAGAATGTCGTCAGCACTGCGCTGGCCTACTTTCTTCCGATAATCCTGCAGAGTGGTATGGGCTTTTCGTCCAACGCGTCCATTCTTCTGTCAGCACCGCCCTACTATTACGCCGTTGTTCCTGCGTTACTTTCATCCCTGGTAGGAGACAAGTACCGCATGCGCGCCCCTATTATTACTTTCAACTGCGTCTGCGTGGTTGTTGGGTTCTGCATGTTGGGGTTAGCGGACCAAGTCACAGTGAGATACATCGGGACCTATCTCGCCACAGGGGCGTATGTGGCCAATTGGGCGGCTCTGATGGCATATCAGGCAAATAACATTGTCGGGTACGTGCACTACCATGTGTCTGATGTTCATTTGCTAAGGCGACTGCAGGCAGTGGAAGCGGGTGTTCACCGCGGCGATATGCACTGCATTCAACGGAGCAGGGGGCATAGCAGGCAGTTACATAGTGCGCAGCAACGAAGCGCCGAAATATGCTACCGCCGTCTGGGTCTCGATAGGGTAAGTCAGCGTGTTCTGGTGGCGAAATCATTGCTGATCAGCTGCGACAGCTCGCATCTACTGATGATTGGTATTGTGATGGTCTTCTCAGTCTATTTCATGGTTGCCAACAGGGCTCAACAGCGGGGGATGAAGATCCTGGAGGCGACAGTGAGTTCCCGGCATCAAGTCTGTCCGAGGTCGTCATACTAATCCCTGAGACAGGAGGGCTTTCGGTTTACGATATGACGGTGTGTCGTTTGAGGATAGGCGCTGGAAGGCATTCAGGATTGAGATAGTGCGTTGCTCATAGAATCAAGTCTCGGGCGGTGCTTCTCTAAACGATATGTTTGAGCGGAATGTACGTGCTTGTTATTCCTATCCTGGCGAATCAAGCAGCCACGGATATCCTACAACGCCAATTATATGCAGTCGGAAGCAAAGTGAATCGAAGGGCAAGTTGTTTACGGACGAGCGGGCTCATGCGCTGGCGTTCGGCGGGCGGGCGGGCTGGTCGGGGACCTTGACGTCTTCGAACTCGTCCTGGGCAACGGCGCGGATAGTGAAGGCGTCTTTACAGGTCAGTGGGTGGGAACGAAGGATGGGGCCAGCGACGTACAAACGCCAATTGCGAAGCTGAAGATTGCAGCGCCGGTGACGATGTTTTTAACCAGGTAGGGCTGGCGGGCGCGGATCAGGGCGGGCGCCTGGCGGTAGTTCCGGTCGTAGTAGGAGGAGCGTGGGATGCTGCGGACGATGTCAGTGGCTTTTGGGGTGTGCGCAGCGGAGAGCAAGACTCACGCCATGGTGAAGTAAATGTGCGGTGGTTCGAGCGGGTGGTGGTGATGCGATCGTCACCGAAGCCCTTGGATTGTCGCGCGCGCTTCGCTTGGCCCGCTCCGCTCCGCTGCTACAAGCTCCAGACCGCGGCAAGCTTGCAGCTTTCCTCGTCCACAACACCAACGCTGCTGCTCCGCGCGTCTGCCCGCGCGACCCTGATCCCAAGCCTGCCGCCGTCCCGGCCGACTGTTGCGCCGCCCGTCACTCCCCGGATTTTTGTGCGCAGTGAGCGCAGCCGATGGACTCGCCGCGCGCATAGCCATCATGGAGCCCAGCATAACGGAGCAGCTGCGCCAGGCGCGCGAGGTGGTGCTCAACAATCCAAACAACTATCCGGCCATTGTGCCCAGCATCCTGCCCATCATCGGCACCGGCGCCGATATTGAGCTGCGTAGATGGGGTGCCGAGTTCCTTGCTGAGACGTTCGCCTCGCCGCTGCTGCCCGCCGACCAGAAGCAGCAGCTGAGCCTGCTGGTGCTCGACAGGCTGCGCGAGTTTCTGGAACAGCCCGCTGAAGATGTCGCTGTCGTCAAGGCCATCGTCCAGGCAGCTGCAAGCATCTACCCGCTGCTGTTCCGCTACATGTAAGCCCATGCGTCAAGCCCGCCCCGCGCGACGCCCTCTGACATGCCGCAGTATCAGCAGTCCTCACGACAGCGGGAACTGGCAGAAAATGGCCCAGATCAAGTCCAATATCCTCCGCCGCATGGACACCGCCCCGCCTGGCGTGCGCATTTGTTGCATCAAGTTCGTCCAGCGCGTCGTCCAAACACAGACTCCTGGCCTCATCGCCGACCCACGCGTGCGCCTCCCTCGTCCCCTTCGCTTTGCTCTCTCTGACCCGCAGTAGCGCCCCGAGCATAACGAAATCTCCCTCGCCCTTGTCCCGCGTGATCACCCTCTGATACCGCCTCCGAATCTGGAGGCCGAGGCTTCAGGTTTGCTGGACAGGCTGTTGAGTATTCTTCAGGACGAGATAAGGTCGGTGTGCAGCACTCTATCAAGCTCCTCGCTCTGACCGTGTGTAGTGATGCTCTTCTTATCACTGCTACCCTCAACAGCTTGGGCAGTCTTATTCGCACCCGAGCCTCGGTGGCCAACAAGATCGTCTCGACTGTCCTTAACTTTAACCCGCTCAAGTTGGCCAATTCCCCCATGACGTCCAAGACTAAGGTCATGATAAAATCTATGGAGCGGACCGTTCGTGCTCTTCTTGTAAACGTCGTCAAGAAGTAAGTCATAGCATCCCCTTTTTGGATATACACGCTAAACAGCCAGGAACCCCAATCACCCACTAGCCCCGAGAATCCAACAGCACGTCGACAGACTCCACCATACCCGCCTGGAAATTTTCGATGAGACAAATCGCAAGAGGCCTGCCCCCATTGAACCAACCGATGGTCTAGATCCGGCAAAGAGGCAGCGTCTTGGGGCGGACCTCCAAGCCCCTACCCCGCCTGGTATCCCCCCGTTGGGTCCTGGCCCAGTGAGCTACGCACAACTATACACTTTGACCCAAGACGAAGGTTCAAAGAATTTCGACGTGCAAGCTATTCCAATTGATCTTCTCGTGCGGATCTTGGTACCTATCCTCAGTTCTCTTGACAAATCGCAGTTGGACAACGCAATCAACGTGAGTCCTCCTCTTTCACTCTCCACAGCTGTTACTAACATATCAGCAGGCTGTTCGCGCGCGGTATTTGTCATTAAGTAGAGCCCCACCTAAAAGCGCCTTGGACGCATCTGCAGCAGCAACGCAAAGAGCGCCTGTTATAGATGAAGATGACGACTACGAACCAGTCTTCCAGCCGACCGAAGATACGGAGCAGATTCTTAACAAGCTGGACAGCGTAGCATCGGATACAAACGCCATGGAACGGCAGCCAGACATGGCATTAGGAACGTTCAATTTGCCCCCACCACCGGCTCTTACTCAGCAGGAAACGGTCGAATACAGCAAAGGCACCATCAATCGCGTCTTTGGTATCATGTCGGCTCTCGATGACGCCGGTCGTGGAAAGGCCCAAAAACATGGCTTCAACCGCCTGGCGGCCAGCGGGTACGATAGGGACGCCTGGGTGACGATGATCACGCGTCTGGCGACCCGCGCGTCGGCCGGGTTGGAGGAAGGAGTGGTCAAGAAGGAGGAAGGCGGAGAGCTCGTCGACCGGAAGGGAGGAGCGTTCTCGATAAGCAACGCCATCCGCGACGCGCTCTACCTCTACGTCCTCGAAGACTTCCGGCGCCGCATTGACGTCGCGGTATCTTGGCTCTGCGAGGAGTGGTATAATGACCGGCTGCAGTCTGAGGTTTCGGAGATCGAGCCGGTTTTGCACTACGAGAAGTGGGCGCTCAAGGTACTTGACGGAATCTTGCCGTACCTCGACGCGAAGGACAAGGTGCTCATTCGCTTCCTGTCGGAGGTGCCGGAGCTCATCTCTGGCATGTTGGACCGAGTGAAGGGGCTCGCCAGGGATCCGGAGAGGATTGCTTTGGCGGTTAACGCGATACAGTAAGTTTTACAGTCGCATCTATTGGCAACGATTTTTCTGACGAGTCGTTCAGCTATCTCATCCTCATGAGGCCTCCGGTTCGAGACCTGTGCATAGACGCCATTGAAGACCTGTGGAGGAACTGTGAGTATTACACCTAGAGACTTCTCCGTGTAATGGCTAACTCTGTGTAGACGATGGCGCAAAGGGATTGACTACCAAGCTGCTCACCAAGTGGCGGCCGCATGTGCTGCAGGAGGCGGCCAATGGCGCTGCTCCTCTTGCCGGTGGGGTCGTAAAGACGGAATGATGATGAAGACATATGCGGTGGGGCTCTATGTTTCTTCGGGCAAGATACCAAAACTCGATTTTTTCATTTTCATTTCTCTCTTCCTCTTCCGCAGGTATGGAACAGGTGTTAGCAGAGAATATGCCCAGAGCAATGACGTCAATGGGGTTGGTTTCTATGATTTTTATCTTTGAGGTGCACTGCAGGGTTGTGAAGGTTTTTACGGGCGGGTAAGCTCGATCGGGGCGCATTTTAGATTGGTCAGTGGACATGGGCATGTATCACCACAGCGATTTGCACAAGAATTGAACCTTCCTTCTAAATATTTCGCAAAAAATTTATTGCACCCTGCTTATGGAAGTGATCAAAGTCGGCGTCTATATATCACCATGTGATTTGGAAAGATAGCTTTACCTTGATATTTGCTTGAATTGTTTACACAGGAAGAGTGCAACACATAATTCCACAAACATGCAAAGCTCACATTTTCTGGATGTGAGGAATAGCTGAGATTTTTGGATTGAACTATTTACGTGGCATAATACCACTCAAGTTTGTACTCGCTGAACCACGGACCAGAGCAATGCCATTCTCTTCTCTCAAGGTTTTGTTTGCTCAAAACAAGCTATTATCGTCACCACCTCCCTGAAGAATGGCCCGGTCGAACAACCTGCGAGCATTCGTTGTCTTGCTACCAGTTGGCCACCTTCAGAAATATCGGTCGCTTTGGTGAAATACGTTCTTTGCTTCTCCGCCGACATTAAGCATGCCAAACTGCAGCATTTTGTTCCCTGGTAAAAAGGTGGTGAAGTTTGTCGGAGAGCATGGTCAGTAGTTTTCTTTTTCTTTCTCATTCCTTTTGTTCAATGCGGCACAGAAGCAAGTGTAAGGATTACACTAGCGACGTTGTACATGGGTTTGCTGGTGCTGAAAGTTTCTTTGTGCAGTTTGGCGGCCTGCCTGTGTGAAGGTCAATTCACAGTGATTGCTGTCAGCGGAGCAAACGAAATAGAAGTGATGTGAAGCTGCTGGTCTTGCTCCGGAAGCTTGCCTGCCCTGACGGGTTAAGCCAGCCAATGTGGCGATACCGATGCTTTGTTTCTTTGTTTTTTATTTTCCTGATTAGGTGCGGGCTGTTTACCGTCTTTGTTGCCGCGCGTACACGTTTGGAGTTACGCTTCTTATCCGAAATCACATTTGCGCGGCTAGTGATACTCTTGCGGTATTGAACTTTCTCAACACCAACGTTTAGGATCGTGATATCCCCGCGATAGGTTCCGAGCGTCGATTGCTCCACTGCTTGTAAGTGGGGCTGTGTCCGGATTCCTCGTTGTAAGATTCGGACCTTTTTGTCACGTGGAAAAGTGGTCAATACCATCTAGGCGCAAAGTAGGGATGATAATACCCTGAAGAGTGAGGGGGTGGAATCTGTTCAGGTAAGTGATCCCTTCTTCCCTGCTCGTACCGACTTCGAGGGTCATGATGCGGGACCCCGGAGCCATGCCCGGTGAATGGGCGTCTGTCGCTGGATGGAGATGCATGGTTGAATGGCCGCCCATCATCTCTAGGCTCGTATCCTCCACCACGGCGACCATTCCTTGAGCGGCTGCTCCCATGGTAGCTTGAGCGTTCTTGTAGCCTGTCTTCAAGTTCTCTCACGCGGCGAGCCCACTCGTTGTTAGTTTCCCTCTCGGAAGCCGCCTCACGGCGTGCCGCTGCCGCTTCACCCTCCCAGTAACTTATTTGAGCCAGTTGGTCCTCGATCTGCTCCCACTGGCGTTGAATAGTATCTGAGTCGTCTCTGGTTTGAGCCTCTAGATCTGTGATTTGGTCTTGTTGCTGCTGACTCTCTGCCTGTAGCATCTGAATCTGAAGTTCGGCCGAATAAGTCTCCCCGACGTAGCGGCCACAAATGTCTTTCCACCAGCGGAACGGCTTGTCAATGTTCGGGCAGGGTACGCCTTGGTGGCTGTTGGGTCCCGTAATGCCTCGATTTGTCCTGCAGTGGAAGCATTCCCGGTCGCAGTTTCTCCAGTGGCCATGGAGGTCTTCGGCACATGTGAGGCAGCGGTTGTTCCAAAGCCTTGAGAGATTATCAGTCCATGCGGCCGCGAGGTATCGGTGGTACGTACCTTCTTTCTGTCGCTCTGTTGTAATTCTGATAGCTATCCTCACCTGCTTCGGAGCTGAGCAGAATACCCGGGTCTGCCACTTCGGTTTCCGTGACAGTGTCATCGGCTGTAGGCAACCCCGATGGGTCGTCCTGTTGCGATAATGGTGAGAGCAGCGGCGGGAGCGCCGGATGGAGCATGCCAGAACCGCTTGGTGAAGCCATACCGACGTGGGTGGTGTTTCAAGGAAGAGAAGTGTGTGAGTAGGACGGGTATATTTACCACCCAGACGCGACGGCGCATGACGCGCCGCGCCTCCGAACACCTTACTTTGCCTTACATAAGCACCCATCATATTCACCGTTCACTTTTCACCGCCTGTCTTTACACAGCCTTAGGTGCTCGCCTCTGTCTCACTCCAGCATCCTGAATGGAACTGAAAACCACTCAGATCACTTCACCTAAGAACTTCGCCACAGAAAAGATTCTAACATACCTATACCGCAGTTGCCCAGCTCTCCTCCAGCCGTAGATTCACATTGACAGCGGTAATCACTGATCAGAATGTACCCTGTCTTGTTCTGTCATGAGCTAAGGCAACTATCCGACATGGAAATATGGAATTCCTTCAAACACAAGTCCAAACAGTTTTTCTCGCCCTCCATAAACATGCTTTTTGTCCGAACCAGTCGGATGATTAGCCTCGCTTCCGATAGTATTAGTAAATTTCCCTGCGAGCTATTAGCGCTGATAGAGTTAATAGAGCTAAAGCTGACGGATAGCCATAACGGCAACTCGAGTCGCCGTTAGCGCCTCCAGCTCTTCCCGCTCTTCCCGCTTCTCCAGCTCCTCCAACTCCTTCAGCTCCTCCACCACTATTAGTGCCGTCAGTACTACCAGCAGTAAGGTTAGTATACATTCGTCATAAATGAAGGCATGAAGGCACGAGGGTACGAAGATATGAACAAACGAATAAATAAACAAATAACTTGATAAAATGGTAACCGCCAGTATTTACGCTCATGTCGAGTTGTAATAAATCGCGCGAATTTCGACTTGCTTTTTTAATAGCGTTGCTTTCTAAAGAACGAAAACTTTATCGAAAAAAAAAGACGCTTCAACCAGGTTAAAAAGAACTTTAAAAAGACTATTGTCAATGGTACTAGTAGCTCTGGTGACGTCAAAACAGCTAAAGAATTTGGAGGAGCTGGAGAAGCTGTCTCAAATCACCCGTGCTTCCAGCTTCGCCTACCAAACCTTAATTCATATGGGTGGGAAATTTGCTAATGTGGCGATGTATGCGAATGAAACACGAAGGAATCGAGAGGTGGTTAATGGTTCTTCAGCGCATGTCTCGCAATGCGTCACACTGTTGAGAGCCGTGAGGGTTTCAAGGAAATTCATGAATTTCAACTAAGGTTTAAGTACATCGCGGTCCCATTTCTCTCCCGTAGAGGAATGCTGGTGCCATTCGAGCTACTCGCGCTGGTCAAGAAATGAAACCGGTCCGAAAGAAGCAGAATCAAACAAAGGACTAAGAACGATGCGCATCGAAGAGAAAGGGTAAGGACTGATCCATCAGCTGCTGCTGTTTCATCCGTGTTTTGTCACATCTCCAAAGCCTTTTTGGTGAGCATCACATCTCCTCACTGCTGTGAATTTGGTCTGGCTGCCAAGGAGGGGCCGGTCTCCGAGGCAGAGCAGCAGCGATTCGATCATGCTGGACAGCATTTAGAGGACCTGGGAGCACTCAAGGACGCCGAGGTTGACGTTGATAAAGCCCTGGCGAGGTGTAAGTAAAGCTATCGGAGTGGAAGTGTAGATTATCACTTACAGTCTGCTTGTCGCCGCCGCAGCACTGGACAGAGTTATCGGCACCGCAGACAGAGCTGGCGCTGGAACCGAGGATGCCGCTCACTGAAATATGTAAGTTGAGGGTGAAGGAATAGAGTGGTAGTAATGCCACTCACGGACGGGGACACTGAGGCCGCTGCAGCTGTTGCCGCTGAGAGTGTTGCCGAGGCCGAGGAGAGTGAGGACGGGGCTGAGGATGCCGCCAACGCTGGTCTGCTTGGTGGACGTGTTGCAGCACGAGACAACCTGGTTGGCATTGCAGGTGTTTGAGGCCTCGCCGATAGTCTTGTCGGTGCGGGCCTCAATGGCGACGTCGGCGGTAGGGATGGCAGTGGCAACGACGGCCATGGAGATGATGGTAGAGCAGATGGTGGAGGCCTTCATTTTGGCTGGGTGGTTTTGGTTTTCTTGAAGAAGAAGGGGTGTGAAGGTCTGAATCGTCTGCTCTGCTGGATGAGATGAGGAGATGGATGCTGAGGATGGCTCCTTGAATGAGCGGGTTGAAGGGGTTTATATATTCGTCGAGATGGTGCTCTTCCCCCTTTCGTTGTCCGATTCAGCTGTATGGTCTTGCTTTTTCCTGGCCTTGTTGATCATGTCTGTGGTGCTCTTGGTCTTGGTCCGTATGCATGTCGGCCTGCCCGTGTCGATGCCATGGGGGCGGCACAATGGTTGCAAGGATTCGCGAGGTGGCGGCCAACAGTCTACTTTGGCGGGCTGGCTGAAGCCTAGAATTCCTCTTTCCTGTACGTACATGGGTAAAAGGTGACGGGGATAGGACGATTATCAGCCATCCAGTCCCACATACATCATGCTACATGGGCAAAAACGGCAAGGCCAATTCGCTACGTATGAGTGCGCTGTCCGATCCTCCACATGAGTAGACATCACAGCTCGCTCGCCTCGGTGGGTACGTTTTGGATCGTCAGCTGGGCGCGGTGAGGACTCTGGATCAGGGGACTTGCTTGTTGGGGGGCCAAGCCAATCTTCGAGGTAATCATCTGCCTGGACTGCCGGGGGCGATATCCCCGATGGGCCCACCGCCAGATCACGATGCTTGCCTTCGCCGCAGGAACATGCAGACAATCGAGATGCGATTCCCCCCGGACCTTGTTAAAACATTGGTACCACTCTCCGCAAATAGCCATGCATAGATGAAAAAAACTTCACAGGTGCGCCGTTAAAGCAATGCCTTAGTGGTAAGGGGGTGAAGTGTATGGATCAGGCTAAAGGCGACAAGAGACAAGCTCGAGTAGGCGCCCACGAGTGCTTCAACCGCTTTGCGGATAAGTCGCTGGGTGAATGATTCGGCTCTACATGCGTCATAGATGCACGTGCAGAAGTTTTCCATGGTAGCACAGGCACTCCTTTAGAGCGACAGTAGTCGTGAGGCTGGGCTGAGCGACTATGTTTGGAATTACAAGTGGGTATCTGAACAATACTTTTGACATGCATGCTTTTGATTTGCCAGTGAGTCTACCAAATGGAGCATGCCACGGCCGGCGCTAAGGCACGTATGGGGGCGTAGAGGAAGTAGCCCCGTCCTTGAATCAGGAGCGGTATCCAAGTTTGCAAGTGGCTTGAGGGGAGGGCGCGTGGAATAGGGACGGGCCGCAGTAGAGCCTGGTCGAAGCGGAGGAGGTGGGCCCACCTCGTACTTCATCAGTGATCAGGCACGCTGCGGGAGATACCCGCGGGCCGCAGATTTTATTGACGCCAGCGATTATGAGCTCGGGCAGCGTCATTCCGCACAAGCTTAATTTCTGTCCCTAACTTGTCTTTTGAAAGTGCAGTAGTACTGTGTACTACTAAATTAGCTTCCCTAGTTTCACAGGCAAGCGCGGCCAATCACTTCCGGTGGAGGAGAGAGCTCCGGCTGTACGCGCGCAGTGGAGCTGGAGCTGTGGGGAGGATACGAGGCTGATCAACGTCGATTGCCCCGTTGAGTGTTCTGGACAAGTTCTGGGAGACAGGGGGTGTCCGCATCGGGCAAACATTCACAGAATGGTGAAAACAAGAATTCGAAGGAATAAACAGCCGCGTGGCTGGAGAGATGGAGAGCTGCACGCGCTGTTGGCGCTGGGCCAATGGTTTGCAGCGAAAGATAGCCGAGCCGGCCGTCCGGGTTGGGCGGAGTGCATAGAAGGAGTGTGCATCGATTTCCCCAGGAGCGTCAATCTAGATGGGCGGGAGAGGGGGAAATCCATGGGTGGCCTGATGGGCAAAGATTTTCGAGGGTAAAATAGTCGACGTTTGCTGTAAGCTTTGGACGCCGCCACCCGCTGCCTCCCCGGACGCTCTCCCGCACAGCCGCCCGCGCCCACGTCGCACCCTCTCACGCACCCTCAACGCTGCGGTCCGTGTTCCGTAGTGCGCTTCCGGCCAATCCGCCCGCCCTGTAGACGCCTTCCAGCTGTGCCAACGGCCGCCCTCGCCTCCTCTGCGCCGGTACCGCAGCTCGTGCGCCTGTCAGCTGTTGTCCTTTCCTTGACTCTGGGGTGCATCTGGCCCTCTTGGGTTTCTTGTCTTGCTCCGTCAGTCGATGGCTTGCGTCGTGCAGCCGCAGCTGCCGTTTGCCCGGAGCCGCACTCGCAGCAACAAAAAGCACAGCGCATATGTGTCTGCTGTGCAACGGCGATCAGCCTGGACACCGCCGTTGCCAGCCGCACTGCTCCTCTTTGGTGAAGTCTTGATTTTATCACGCGGCTCAAGCTCCGGGGAAATTGAAGCTCATTGCACCACCACAGCCTCCTACGTATTGACACGAGCCCTGGCGTTCGTGCATTTTCTTCCCCCCTTATCGTCTACTCACTTCCGTGTGTCATTCATCACTATCGTTGACCGGTCGAACGAGCTTCACGCGGAGGCTGAACAGCGTGCCTTCCATTCTGGCCAATCAGCCTTGCCTCCACCAATTGCACCCGTCACACATTCTGGACTTATTGTTTCCGCTAGCTTCACGCTCATTCCTGGAAAGACTGATCCATTGACCCACTGTTCTGGTGGAGAAGCTCGGATGGCCGAGTCTCGGGCTTTGGGAAATCCTTCACACGCCTTGGCTGTGAAAAGCAATTACATGACATTATACGCTACCGACAAGGATTACAAATGGATACACTCAACAGCGAACACTTTTTTTTTATGAAAAAAAAATAAAAATCACCGGCTCCTGGCATGCAATGCATAGCTTAGCGCGAATCGAATAGGAAAGAACAAACACCGAAATGCAGCCATTACCATGCAAAAATGAGTCAACTTCTAAACCGCATCCGCCCACCTAATCTCTATACCGTACCTTCTTATCTCAACTTCAACTCGTAACGTGGTGATGAGGGTATTGGTTCTGGTGCTGATACAGCCCCTTGATGGCTGCGCTCCTGTTGTCCGTCACTGTGCCCGACTTGCTCCCACTGCTACCATTTCGCGAGCTCGCACCGCCGGGGTTGATGCTGTCCATGCTATCTGCGTATCGGCTGCTTCCACGCGCGCTGCGGTCACGCAGCGACGCCTCGCTCGCCGGCGTGATCGGCTCGACGGAGGGACTGACGGCCGCGAAGGATGAGTGCCGGCGGCTGCTGGTCGCCCCCTCGCCCAATGTGCGCGGCTTGCTGGCCCTGTGGCTCGAGCTGCGCTCGATGACGGGCTTGTCCCTCATCCGATAGTGCGGCCGGTCGTCCGCCTCGGACCCGCGCCGCGAATGCGAAGGTCGTGACGCCGTCCGCGTTCGCGACGACGGCCGCTCGCTGCGCATGCTTCGAGGCCTGTCCTCCGAGGGCGTCGGCATCGTGGGGATCGAGGAATCGCTGGAGCTGGCGCCGTCGTCGCCACCGCCTTTCAAGCTTGCTGCGAGGATGCTGGCGGCCGCGAGGCCTTCGACAAGTCCTGGTCTCGGCGTGCCTGGTCGTGAGGATGAACGCCTCCTGCTCGAAGAGCTCTTGTCACTCTTGATACTGCGTACGCTCCTGACGCTTGGGGCCTTGCTTCTTACGCTCTCAGCCTTCCTGCTGGGGGCAGGGGATGGTGCCCTGGCCTCGTCAGGCGGAGGCGTTGGTGGCTTCGCCTCCTCGCCATCCGCTGCCATCGCCGGCGTCGAGCCGATCTTGCGAGGTAGGGCGATGTAGCCGTCGCCCTCAGACTCTGCCTTGGGCTCCTCAGCAGGCAGTTCCTCAGCTTTGGGCTCTTCAGCGGGTGACCCCTCAGCAGGAGCTTCAGCAGGAGTCTCCTCAGCAGGGGCCTCGGCAGGAGCATCCTCAGCAGGAGTTTCAGCGGGAACCTCAGCGGGAGCCTCAGCGGGGGTCTCCTCAGCGGGGGCTTCCTCAGCTTTCGTCTCTTCTTCAGTCGTGACAGGCTCCTCGGCAGGCTTCTCTTCCTCCTTTGCTTCAGCAGAGGGCTCATCAGCTGGCTTGGCTTCATCGCCATTGTCAGCAGCGGCCTCTGTCTCTGCGGCTTTCTCCTCTGTCGACTCAGCAGGCGGGTCTTCTGGAGCCTTCTCTTCAGACTTCTCCTCCTCAGCCGGCTGGTCGTCGCTCTTCTCTTCGCTCTTTTCCTCTCCGCTAGGCTCATCTGGCGACTTTTCCTCGCTGGGCTGTTCGTCTGCCGGCTTGTCTTCACCTGTATTTTCCTCACTGGGCTTGTCCTCTGTAGGTGCCTCCTCGCTTTGCTTCTCTTCGCTGGACCGCTCTTCGCCGGATTTCTCTTCGGAGCTCTGCTCCTCCGCAGGCTTCTCCTCGCCTGCTGGTTCTTCGGCAGGCTTCTCCTCTGACTTCTCCTCGGCAGCAGCGTCTTCTGCCGGCTTCTCCTCAGCTTGCTCCTCCTTGACCTCCTCCGCTACCACCTCAGGCGCAGCTTCGCCCTCGGCCGGCGCTGGGGGGTCATTGTTCTCCTCACCTTTCTCAGCCTCCTCCTCCGATTTTGCGGTCTCATCCGCTGCCGCTTCTTCTTTCGCCTCTTCTTCTGCGCTCGCAGCCGCCGGCTCTTCAGCTGGCTTCTCCTCGCCGTCCTCCTTCTTTTCTTCACCCTCATCATCTTTCTTCTCTTCCTCTCCTTCCCCCTCCGCAGCGGCGGCGACACCAGCCGCAACCGCCGCCGCAACCACCGCCGCCACCGCAGCATCGTCATCCCCACCACCCCCACCCCCTTCCTCAGCTGCCTTCGTCTCCTCCTCAGCAGCTGGAGGGTCCTTTGACTCCGATTCAGCACTCGTGTCTTCCTTTTTGTCATCATCGATAGGAGGAGAAGCGGAAGAAGAGGAGTCGTCCGTACCTGACAGACCACCAGCCAGCTCCGCTTCGCGCAGACGAGCCAACACAGGCGCCGAGTCCTCGTACAGCGCCAGCCCGTAGCAGTACACGCACCCGTCATCCGGCTTGTTGTCGTCGCCGCTACCACCGTCGTTGCTGTCCTTCCTCAGCCTCGGCTCGCGCTCGATGACCGGGAACAAGCGCAGCAGCACCTTCGACTTGGGCGACAGCTTGGACTCGTCCAGGTCGGCGATGGAGCTGACCGGGTAGTGGGGCATGTCGAAGGGCTGCTGCGGCCAGTGCTTCTCGTGCGCGTCGTCGGCGCACACCTCGCCCGGCGCGGGCATCGAGGCCGAGATCATCTCGCGCTCGATGCGCGCGAACCGCCACGTCTCGGCCGCCAGCTTGACGATGCGCCGGATCTCGACCCGCACCCCCTCCTCGTCCATCGGGTCGGCGAGCGGCTGGATCGCCTGGCAGATCTCGTCGACCACGGCCCCCGCCGCCTTGTTGATGCGTTGCTTCGCGTCTGGCCCGCGGAAGAGCGTCGACAGCGTGTGCTGCCGCCAGGTGGCTTCCTTCAGCGCGTTCTTGGTCCGCAGCTGGTCGCTGACTTCCTGAAGGAGCTTGGTGGTTGCGTCTTCCATGCCCTCTGGACTGAAGAGGAAGGGCGTGAATATGCGGAGCGTGATTATCGACGAGATCTTGTGCATCACGTAGGAGATTCGGATGTGAGTGGCTGATGGGCTATCATCTATGAACGAAGGAAGCCCGGCGGGGAGGACGCCGACCTTTTCCGCCTCTGGAGCTGGATCGGGAAGCTTCTTGAAGTGGTTGTTCGAGAGGGAGAAGACCTGTTGCTGCAGACGCGCAAAGGCGTCAAGACTAAGTTCGGATGAAGACGTTAGCAGATCTACGCTCTAACGTCGAACATGCATTGTGACAAAATGACAAGAAGAGCGCAACGCTTGAGACCAAAAGATAGAATTAAATTGGCCGCTAAGTCGAACCACTGAATACAATTTGCCAAGCCAAAGAGGAAAACTCGCCTCGTTGCCTTAGACGAACGAAAGGAAAACTCCGAAAATGCAACTTTTTTTTGTTTTGTTTCAAAGACAGACAGAGACCAGGGAGAGGACTTACTAGTACGCATCTCCCTTGCTCTTGACGACAGCCGCCTCACCGAAGCCTTCGATGATTTTTTGCATCCGCTCCCTCTCATTACCAAAGTTACCGGCTATGCTCCTGAGCTCGCCGATGGACTTTTCGAGACGATCCTTTTCCTCATCCCATTCTTTGCTGATCTTGTCACGCTCCGCAACCAGCTTATCCCTCTCTTCCTGCGCCGCCTTCTCCGCCGCCTCCTTCTCCGCGGCGAAGGCCTTGCGGAGGTCCTCCTTTTCCTTGTTGAGCTGAGAAGTCAAGAGCTCGCGCTGCTCTTCGAAGCCCTTCTTCATCTCCTCGCGCTCCTCTTCCCATCCCTTCTTCAAGCTCTCACGCTCCGCATTCCACAGCTCGCGGCTCTCGCGCTCCTTCTTCAGGGCATCCTCGAAGTTGCTCTGCGCCTCGTTGAGCTTGTTCTCGAGCTCCTTGCGCACCGTCTCGAAGCTCTCCTCAAGCTCGCGCTTCTGGCGCTGCAGATCAGCACGCAAGGCCTCCTTGTCCTTAACGTGCTCATCGATAAGCTTGCCTTTCTCAGCTTCGAAGGCTTCCTCCTTCTCTTTCTGCAGGCGGTCGAACTCGACGGCAAGCGCCATCTTCTCGTCCTCGGCTGCCTTCTTGGTCTTCTCAGTTTCTTCCTCAAACTCCTTGGTCATGCGCTCCTTTTCCTCGGCCGAAGACTTCTCGAGCGCGTCCTTCGCCTCCTTCTCCTCGGCGAGCGACTTCTCGAGACCCTCCTTGTCCGCCTCCAGCCCCGCCTTCGCCTCTTCGAGACCGGTCTTTTCGCCCTCGAGCTCGGCGTTGGCCTCTTCCAGCGCCGTCGCCTTCGCCTGCATCTCGCCGAGCTCCTTCTCGAGGCGATCCTTTTCCTCACCCAGCGTCCGCTCGAGCTCCTCCTTCTCGGCCTCGACGGCCGTCTTCGCCTCCTCGAGCGCCGCCTTCGTCTCCTCCATCTCCTTCTTCGCCTGCTCGGCCTCGGCTATGCTCTCCTCCAGCTCCTTCTTCTTCTCCTCGAGATTGCCAATCTCGAGCCGGAGCTTGTTGCTTTCGGACGAGTGGTGCTTCGCCGCGGCCTCGAGCTGCTTGGTCAGCTGGTCGATGTGGTCCTCCTTGCGCTTGATCGCATCGGCCTGCGCGGCCTCGGCCTTCTTGATCAGCTCCTCGCGCGCGCCGAGCTGGCCTCGGGTCTCGTTGTAGCGCGACAGCAGCATGTGCAGGTCGGGAATGGCCTGCGTGATGCGGCCGAGGAGATCGGCGGCGCCGTCGTCCTCGACGGCGGATCCGTTCATGCCGCCGCCGCCGATGCCGCCACCGCCGCCGCCGCCGTTGCCAAAGATGTTTGGCGGCATGGCGAAGTCACCACCCATCTGGCTGCTCCGCCGCGAGCCGGTCGAATTCTGCCGGCGCGCCGTCGGGCTTCCTGGGTATCCCATGAACGGCGGTCCGCCATTGTAGCCGTATGGGGATTGGGCATACCCAGGGGGTGTGCCTTGAGGTGGTGCCATCGCCATGTGGGGTGGTGGGTAAAAGTAGCCTTGCGGATACCCAGGCATCGAAGAGGAATAAGGGTCTGCGTAAGGACTAAAGTAGGGGCCTCGGGGCGGTGCGTAAGATGCAGCCGTAGGCGACTGAGGTTGCTGGAACTCGTCTTGGGCTTCGGCGTATGACAGTGACGGTGAACTCCTGGGCAGGTCCGTCTTGATCGATGCCGCCTTTGGCGACTTCAGCGCAGATGCTGCAGTAGGCGATCTTGGCACTGGTGTAGCTGCTGAATGGTATGAAGTTGCGTGGCTTGTCCCGTCGTCGTCCCCTTGTTGCGAAATGCTATCCTCCGGGAGAAGCGGCTCGGCGGTACCAAGGTTGTCCTCGCTCTCGTGGGCTTCGTCGCTATGTCCACCACTGACCTTCTCGTCTGATGATGACCCTCCTCCTGAAGCAGTTCCTGAAGCAGCCCCCGAAGCCTTGCTCACAGTGGTTGGGGTCTTGCTGGCAGCAGTTGGGGCCTTGCTGGCAGCAGTTGCGGCCTTGCTGGCGGAGCTCTGGGCCTTGCTTGCCTCAGTTGGAGCTTTACTGACTGCACTCGGGGCCTTGCTCGCCTCGGTTGGGGCTTTACTGACGGAGCTCTGAGCCTTGCTTGCCTCAGTCGGGGCTTTACTGACTGCACTCGGGGCCTTGCTTCCGGTGGTTGGCGTCTTACTAGCAGTGGATGGTGCCTTGCTAGCAGTGGTAGGGGCTTTGCTGGCGACGCTCGGTGCTTTGCTGACGGAACTCGGTGCCTTGCTAGGAGCCTCCGAGGCAGCTTGATCCTCCTCTTTTTGCGACCCGGGGGCCGAGGCCTCGGTACCGGTACTTGTAGGTGCTTCTGAAGGTGCGTTACTGTGCTGTGGCTCTGGGGGTGGTGAAGTTATAGTTGGGGTCTGAGACTTTTCAGACCCTGAGGGTTGAGTGTCCTCGTTGTCACTGTTGTAGTCCTCCACGGTGGGCTGTAGTGCGGACCTTACTGACGTGGCGTCTGATCGGCGAGAGGAGAGGGAAACGGCAGACGGTGCTGGGCTGGTCTGTCGTGACTTTTGGGCGGATAAAGCTGGTGATGGAGGAATGGAAGCGGGCAGGGGTGGCAGATTTTCAGGTTTGATGTCGGGGCTGGTGGGCGGGGTGTACTCAGTTTGTCGAGATGCTTTCCTGAAGACCTTTCCCTTGGATCTGGAGTCGCCTCCTCTTTCTAGAACTCTTCGCGTGCGTGGCGAGTACATGGTGAGACGCAATCAGTGGTCAAGATATAATGCAATGAGATGTATCGACTTCTTATCGGTGGATGATAGTATTCGAAAAGAAGTGATGAGATACGGAAAGTGATTGCGTGGCAGCATAGAGCAGAGGAGAACGTCTTTGTACGGATGCTAGATGGGCCAGTTGCTGGCCTGCGTGGCGGAGCAATTCCTTCCCGGGAAATGGATACATGAGTCGAGGCGCATCTGAGCCCATTCGGGCTCCAACGGCCGCGACAGCAATAGAGATGACGGCATTCGGAGGGGCTTACAAGGACCGCGTTGGCGGAAGCGAGCAATGAGGAGCGCAAGGAAAAGACAGGGCTGGGGGCGGCGAGACAGACAGTCATCGAGTGCACATCTGTCAATCTACAACTTGACAGTCGGGCGGTTGCGAAGGTTGCACAGATACGTGTACACCAACATCCTGGCCGCAGCTGTCTTCGCAGGTCGGCGCAGCTTCCGCGGGCGGCGGCAGGCTAATGGGGCAGCTGGGCGGACGGGTATCAGTGGAGGGCTGCGGGGGAGCATGCGCGGCTGCATGACAATCATGCGCGCCCGCAGCGGCGCATATGCGTGGTGACGGTCGGTTGGTCGGCTCCTGCGCCAGTCTGGGGAGGGAGCTTCCTGGATCGCTGCCGGGGCTCCAAATCACACGCGTGGGTGCCGGACGGGACGAGCCAGCGGGCGGGATGAAGAGGCTGGGACGTAAATATAGCGGAGCCAATTGAGGCCAAAGTCGTGGACTCGGTTGGATGGTGGTGGCGCGGGCCGCGAGTGACTGTGATGTGATGGGTTGCGGCACACGTGATACCGCGCTTACTCAGTTGGCCACGACTTCTGCCAACGACGTGAGCCCCAGCTCCCGCATCTCCAATCGCGTCACCTTCTCCGAGTGCCGACGCCTCACGTCGCTCGCGCCCATGCTGCGCCCTCGATCATGACCCCTGCCGTCCATACATTGCTAATTTCGACCGTGCGGCATGCCGCAGCCGCGCTCCACCAAGAGGAAGGCCGTTGTGCTGTCCTCCGACGAAGATGAAGCCCGACCGTCTGCGAGCCCTCCCGCCCGCGATGCGAAGCCGAAAACCCGCGCAAGGCCCTCCACGCAGGACACCAGCTCGTCGCGCAGCTCCCAGCCTCGCGCTAAGCCCAAGCCCAAGCCTCAGCCCAAAGAAAAACCCATCTACTCTTTCTTCAATGCCGCCACGCAGCGCCAGCGCACCAGGAGCTCACAGGACCAGCCCGTCGCCTCACAGGAAGCGCCGCATGCTGATTTTGTTGAGGACCAGGACGACATAATACAGGATGACTCGCTGGACGACGCGCCCAACAAGTCTGGCTTGCGCTCAACATGGCTCAAGCGCGCGCGCGGCGGCGACGCCGGCGGCCCTGACCAAGATGCCCTTTCAAGCGGAAGCCAGAAGTTTCTCAAGACGTCGTCCGGCCAGAAGCCATCTACTCCAGTGTCAGCCTTGACCTCTAGCAGTGGAGTCGATCAAAGGCCTTGGGTCGAAAAGTACGGCCCAGTCAATCTGGACGAACTGGCTGTCCACAAGAAAAAGGTTGCCGATGTCAGAGCATGGCTGACTAACGTCCTAGACGGGCGGGAGCGGAAGCGTCTCCTTGTCTTGAAGGGGGTTGCAGGCACCGCTAAGACGACCACTGTCAATTTGCTGGCCAAAGATGTAGGCTTCGAAATCAATGAATGGAAGAACCCCATGGGTTCTGACTTTTCCTCTGACGCTTTCGTCTCCTTGTCCGCACAGTTCGAAGACTTCATGGGCCGCAGCAAGTTCGGCAGCTTGGATTTCGCTTCCAGCGAAGAGAAGAGCTCTGAGAGTCCCCGGTCTGATGCCAATCGAAAGCAAATAGTCCTGATTGAAGAGTTCCCCAACACCTTTGCGCGCTCTTCTGCGGCATTGCAATCCTTTCGTTCATCAATCGAACAGTATCTCTCCTCATCTGTGCCGTCCCTAGGTGCCATGTTCACTCGCTCCGCAGATGCGCCCCCGCCAACACCCATTGTTATGATCATATCGGAAACTCTGCTTTCCACCAACACAGCGGCAGCAGACAGCTTCACAGCCCACCGGCTCCTTGGACCCGAGATAACGAACCATCCTGGGACTACTGTGATCGAGTTCAACCCGATTGCACCAACATTCTTAACCAAGGCGCTCGAGCTTGTAGTCGCCAAGGAGGCGCGCAAATCTGGGCGAAAAACTACTCCCGGCCCTCAAGTCATCAAGAAGCTCTCCGAAATTGGCGACGTCCGCAGTGCCATCTCGACCCTGGAATTCCTCTGCTTGAGAGGCGACGACAATGCAGACTGGGGTAACCGAGTGACATTCAAACCAGTGAAAAAGGGGGCGAAGGAGAAGCCCATGACGAAGATGGAAGAAGAATCCATGGCGCTCGTCTCCCAAAGAGAAAGTACGCTTGGTATATTCCACGCTGTGGGTAAGGTGGTGTACAACAAAAGGGATGAATCTGCGGACAACTCCAAGCTTCCTCAGCCTCCTGCTTATTTCCCCGAATATCGCCGCCCGAAGGCATCCGAAATCGACGTCGATGCGTTAATGGACGAGCTCGGCACCGATATCCAGACCTTTACTGCCGCTCTTCATGAGAACTACGTCCTCTCCTGTAATACGGGAAGCGAGGAAGACACATTAGACTCGATCAACGGATGCATTGACGCGCTATCGGATGCCGACTTGCTCTCTCCCGACCGCTTCAGCTTGGCCGGGAGTTCCCGACGAGCATATCAAAGCCTTGGAGCAGACAGCCTACGGCAGGACGAGATGAGCTTCCAAGCATCCGTCCGCGGCCTCCTATTCAACCTTCCCCATCCAGTCAAGCGATCAACTCTCCCACCGGGAGCCGCGAGAGGGAGGGGACCGAGCAACGCCAGAACCAACGCTGCCCTGATGTTCTACCCCACCTCGCTCAGGCTATGGCGTCTCCAGGAGGAGATCCAGGGTCTTCTCGACGTTTCCATCCGCCGGTTGCAATCGGACGTTGTAAATCGCGCAGAGGCGTCCGTACAGCTGCCAGCACGAGGTACCGTCGAGTCGTGGAGCAATCGACCCACCAGCCGCCTCGACGACGGTTCCAGAAACAGCAATCACAACGCAGGCGCCGACATCACGCAACAAGACGGCGCCGCCGTCACAACGCCTCTCGGCAGCAGCGGATCTCTGAAACGCGAGATGCTGCTCGAGCGCCTGCCGTACATGGCCATGATGCTCCGCCGCCAGGGCAACAAGAAGACGTCGAACCTCGGCTCCGCCGCCGCGGACGCGGCGAGGCTGGGCGAGGTGGAGAAGATCACCAGTTTCAGCGGCGTTGGAATAAGCGCTGACGACGGCGTCGCCGATGCCGACGACGGCGTCGAGGACGTGCTTCGCGATGGCGAGGTGGCGGCACAAGGCCAAGAGTGGAGCACGGATCGACCGGCGGAGCAGGAGCCTCCATCATCAGCATCCAGACCCTCAATGCTGGGATCGACGAGGAGTAGTAGCATCAGGCTTGGTGGAGGCGCAATCGCAGGCGCCAGCGGCACGAGCACAGGACGACGACGAGGTGGAGCGGCGACGACGCTGCGTGACGATCACATCGGAGAAATTATGATTGGAGCGGGCGGTGAGCAAGGCCTGGCGAATCTGGTGCTGAGTGACGATGACATCGAAGATGATGAGGATTAGGCAGAAACAGCAAAGGGACTCTGAGGCAGAATTGAAGGGGAAATGGGGGCCGTGGCGGGCAGGCACGCAGGGCGGGCGGTTTCATTCGAAAGAAAGGCGCAGCCAATACGCGCCGGGTTCGGGCGCTCTGCGAGCTGGTTGGCCCGCTGTGTAAAAGTACCATGATAAAATCCTGCCCGTGTGACTGGCTGCTTCCCCCCCGGCTGGAAGATCACCGCCGTCCATGTGGTTGGCGCTCTCATGATTCACGTTCCTTGTCGCGCGCTTGTGTGTGTCTGGTGTTGGTGGACCCTTAGATCTGCATCGACACCAAATCTGGCCCGCAAGCGTGACGGGTGGCTGGGCGTGGGCACGTCTTTCCCCTTCCGCTCTGACTTCATGTTTCTGCTTTCCGTTAACCTCTCGTGTGGAAAGCAGGGAAGCGTCACGCGCCTTGCCTGGATTAAGCAAGGGCTCGTGTCTCTCACAACTGCCACTGTCATCACGGCTGCTTGTGCACGGGGTCGTCGCAGGCACGTCTGTCGCGGCTCGTACGCCACCCGCGCGGGATCCTGAGTAGTTAGCTGATGATAGATGGTACAGCCGCAGCTTTGTTCAGCGTGCTAACTGAATACATCATCACCCACCGGATTATGCCGTCATAGATTACCGCGGTCAATATACGGTCCTTGCACCGCGTGCTTTGACTTTTGATGGCTGACCGCCAGTGCGGCCAATCAAGGCAGAACGAAGCATGTGGGGGTATGAGGTTATTTTTGACAGCAGGCCTGGCGGAAGCCAAAGGGTAGCTGTTCGTGCGTGACTGCTCCCGTTGGATGCAATGTTGGGGGTCCCTTGTTACACAAGGTCATCCGTCCACGAATACCTACACCACGTGCTTGCTGTAGCACACTTAGCCATCGCATTATGGCCATGGGTACACCCGCCACGCCATGGAACAGCTGCTCCCTACGAAATCGGTTGTTTACGGTCCGAAGCACATTCCTCTACAGTCACAGGGATATCAATTCAGTTAGCTATTTCTCTTTCATGGGAGAGCGTTTGCGCTGGAGCTAGAGTGCTCAGCACTGTCTTTTTTATAATACAACGTCCTCCCTACATGATGTACCTCGTCCATATCGTGCCCGTGCAAAGCCTCGTCGCCGAGCTGGGATGAAAGCCAAAGCACCGCTAAGAGTCATCAATGACAACAATCTTGGTGCCAGGAATAAAAAAAAGGGGGAATATAAAAAGGCGGTCCAACCCCATCCGTCGATCCGTAGGAAACCGGCGCAATGCAGAGGAAGTGAAGGTGAAGTAGAAACCACAGCAGTGGTGAAAGGGGGTATAGGGAACGGCGCCAATCGCCCTTCTCTCTGTCCGGTGACGGAGTTTCCATCTATGAAAGTTCCATGTCCGTTGCTCCCCCGTGCCCGACGATATGTGCCAAATTCAAAAAGATTCGTGATGCGCTGCCCCAGAGAGTGGAGGGACAAGTGCGTTCAAAATAGTAGAGAAGGGGTGTAACAGACCTCTGGGTCTGAGCACAATCTGAGGATAATCATCAACAGGCGAACACGATCGCCTCAGAAGGGAGAAAATAACACGCTTGCTTATCGTGACTCGTAACCCGAACCAACCGAAAACCTAAGGGGAGCTAAAAAGTAGTGCTGTGAAGGCTGAAAGACGTCAGATCTCACAATTTGCAGGCCGAACAGCCTCCGCCACACTCAAGAAAACACCTGGACAAGCGAATCCATGGTGAGCTCAAAGGCGCAGCGCGGTGCTACGTCGATCGCATTCAACCGTCGTCGTCGTCAATTTCGTCCTCGATATCTTCCTCGCTATTCTCGTCACCGCTCGTGCTGGGCCGCTGCACGGGAAGATTACCGAGTTTTGTTTTTTTGATTGTTGGCGTCGACTGAGCGTTGGGACCAACTTTTCTCTTAGCCGAGCCAGCTGCGCCAGACTGTAGGGACTTTGCGGGCGTACCGGCGTTTTCCTTGTCAACTCCGTCGTCCGCTTCCCCACCATTCTCGCCGTGCTGCTTGGCCTTCTCCATAGCAGCAACCTCGTCGGCCGTCAGGAAGCGTCCTCCTGGTCCTCGCGGACGGCGCATGGCATGGTTGTGGCGCGATTCGTGCAAGTACGGCTTGCGACCCTTCGAAGTCAGGCGCAGGGCCTCCTCGAGCTTTTGACGGGCCATGCGCCTCTTCAGGATGCGGTGGAATTGCTTGGCGTTGACGTAGAGCGGTGATTCCTCAGCTGTGCCTGTGACGATGTCCGGAGACGACTGGTGTTGCTGGACCGCAGGCGCCTGCGGGGGAATCTGCGGTGGTACCGAGGGCCTGCTCACAGCTGGGTTCATCGCCTGCGGAGGTTGCTGGGGCATGGCAGGGCTGGTGATTTGCTGGCTCATGCGGCGCGGTAGCGTCTGCTGCATCTGGACCTGCGGTGGAATATTGGGCTGGCCGCTCATGTTGTTTGGGACCTGCGGCGGTGAGCGAGGACCTCGCGGGTCCGCTTTGACTTGAGCGCCCCCTCCTATCCTGGGCGAAGCACGCGGGTCCTGGCTCAGCTGGCCTTGCATGCCGCCGTCGCCCATCTGGTAAAATGTCTGGCCGGCCGCCGCTGCAGTTGCCATGGCGGCGGCTGCCTGGGTGGCCGAAATGCTGTACTGCATTCCGTAACCGCCGGCCGACGGATACATCGGTTGCACCTGGTGGCCCGCAGCATTGTTCGTGCCTTGCTGCGAGTAGGGATTCGTCTGCGAGGGTAGGAGGGGCGACGTCTGGTTGTGCTGCTGGTGCATCTGCGTCTGTTGGTTCGGCGAGGTTATGGTGCCCTGGGCTGCCGACTGCGAGGGCGTCGCGTAGGCATTCTGCATATGCGATTGGGCATGGTTGTGGGGGTGGTGAGGCTGCTGATACTGCGCGTACTCCATCATGAGTGCGGTCGTGAGGAACTCAACGGCTCTGGGGTGGCAATCTTGCGGACGCGCGCGTCTTGAGGTCTACCGCGTCTCGGACGCGGCGCTAGCCTGTACTGCGGGTCGTCGAGCTGGTGACCGGGCCAAGTGACGGGCGGCGCAACGGGCGCAGCGCGGCGATTGGAGGGCGTGGTATTGCGCCTTCCGCAGAGAGTGGTGCCTGGAGGCTGGGATGGCGCGACGGGGATCGAGGCAGCGCAATTAGTGGCGAAGGAATGGTGCTGAAAGTGGTCAGCGCGTGGTCCTTCGGCCCAATCAAGCTCGGCACGGCGAAAAGCGCGGTTCACGTACCTGTTGCGGGCGTGATGGAGCCAAAGCGTCGGTGATCTTCGTCTTGCGCGCGGACCGCAGTTAGAGGATTTGAGAGAGCCTCGATGTCCCTTGTTGGGCGCTCGCTAGATATCGGGCGGTCTTGAAGTCGAGGGCAGCGCAGGCAAGCCTGAGTCACGTCACGGGCAGGTATGCGTTGTCAATTGGGTGGCCACGGTCAGGATGAGGCGGATCCCGGGGGATGCGCAGGCGCAGGCTGGACAGGGCCAAGCTGACGACAGGGCCTAAGCCGCGATCAGAGCACTCAACTGCGGCGGTGCGCTCTGGACCGGGGAGGACGGTCGACTGCTCGGGTGCCGTGTGGAGAGGGATTAAGCTCTGCCAAACGAGTAGCTAGCACGATGATGTTCTGTTAGCACGACGCGCGACGCAGATTGCGGGAGATCAATTGGGGGAGGATGCGAGGTGGGCGTGCGCTGGCCGGAGGTCGATTGGAGGTGATGCGTTGGCAATGCATGCAGCATAACCGTACCGTGCTAATCAGCTCAACCCGGGCGATCCACGTCGGCTGTCGCAGGCAATTTTTGGACCGCGCCGCTGCCAGGTGACGTTGCCGGCTTACACGCGCGCGCGCAGCAGCCGTGGCTGGTGGTGTCTGGAGCGAGGGCGACGAGGACGAGGTCGCGCGCGTCGCGGCCGTCAACAGCGCAGAGCGGTGCGGCGGAAGCGAGGCAGCCGAGGCCCCGGCGGCGCGCCAACCGGTGGCAGGCAGCAGGCGACGACAGGACCAGCGCGGGCCGCGGCGCAGCGCACACAGCTGCGCGGAGCAGTGCAGTGCAGCGCAGCGCAGTGCTCGTCGACGGCGTCGGTGCGGCGGGATGGGGGGAGGTGCGAGACTGGGGCGGGTGCTGGCTGCGCAGGCCGGGGTGCTTGGGGCGGATGATAGGCGCAGCGAGTGGAGAGAGCGAGAAAACCAAGACGCAACCTACCAAGCTGTCGGGGACGGCGACGTCGGGTCACGAGATTTGATGGTGGTGAGGCGGCGGGCTCGTGGGCGGGCAGCTCGTCGGCGACGCGTGCACGCGTAGCTCAGGCTCCCGTGGTAGGCGGTGCGCGAGTAGTGTGTGGCTCAGGCGCGTGGTAGGCCAGCGGACGAGCACTGCTTCGCAGCAGCTGGGCCGGGCCTGATGGAACAGCGATAAATAGGACTGCGAGGCCGATTGGTGAAGCGCGGGCGAATGAACGAATGAAAAGGAAGAGGCGGCGAGCGAGCCTTTTCACTTGTGGAGCTGACACAAAAACTGCGCCAGGCGGCAGACGCCGGGGCCGCGCTGCTTGGGCCCTCATCAGTTCCGAGCAGCGCGCTGCCCGCCGGCATCGTCAGCACTGAGCCAGCGCTTCGGGATGCCCGCCCAAACGCGCTGCCTTCTGGCGCCCGCCTGCGCGAGCTCGTGCTGCGAGACTCGCAAGCCGCGAAGCTGCTGCCCTCGCCGCTGCTCGCCGCGCGCGATCGTCCAGCCTTGCCGCGGCGCACCCGTCGGTGTGCGCTACTGACGTGTCGCTGTTGCGCCGCGCCGGTTCAAGCTCTGCTCGTTCCCAGCCTGCCCGCCCGCTGCCCGCCGCCTCTTTGCTAGCAGTCGTCAGCGGCGAGCGCTGCGCTGCCCACGCTTGCCACCGGTGGGTTCGCTGCAGGAACAGCGCGCGCTCGACGGCGGCGAGCGGGTCCTGCGCGAGATTGCACGCGTTGCGGGAAGCCGCTGTCGCCCGTTTTCGCGAACGTCACACAGCCGTCGTCCAGCGCATGCGAACCACGAGCGCGCCTCCACGCCATCGCCCCCCAATTGGCCGTCTCCCCCGCCCAGCCCGCGTTTCAGTCGCGCTGAGCCGTAGCGCCCGCGGCTCGACACGCCGCTTCTGCTTCGCCAGGCTGCTGATGCTGCTGCGCTGCTGCTGCTTGCCGGCGCCTCGTCCCCAGCCCTGCCACGCCGATCGCCAGCCCTGGGAAGCGCCCGGCCGCGGCGAGGATTTCACCACGCCCGCATTCAAGGAACATGTCCGACAAGCCCAATGCACGACAGCAGCGCCAGCGCAACCGTCGTCACGGCGCTTCCGCCCGCTGTGCCATGGTACCGGCCGGCGCCTGCACCGACTGCTACGCAATGAAACCCTGGTAGCTGGCACGTCATGTGACCGGCGCGCGCGACGCGCTGGGTGCCTGGTGCGAGGTCGGTTTGCCTAATATTGCAACCAAGTCCAGCCGGCCGAAGACGAGATCTGTCGTGCGCTCCATTGACTCCCTATCCTCGATGCTGCAATGCTAAGCGAGCCGGCCTGGTGAAGGCTGCGTGAGCGAGCGCTGCGTGCTGACGGCCCGCTGGGCGCATTGGCATGCACTCCCTGGTGCCACCTCGAACAGGAGGCCGGGAGCACCTCAAAAGCTGGCTGCCCGCTCCCGCCGCCGTCTCAGGATGGTCTGACCACACCTGCCCTTCATGCGTGCGGTATGGATAAAGTCAGCGCGCGAGAAGGATCGCTCGGAAGTCGCTTAAGTAGCCTCTGGAGTCTGGCTGCATGCCCGGCGATCGGTCGTCACCGCCGGCGTGGGAAGGGCATTAATAGCTCAGGTTACGTCGAGGGTGCGAGGGCAGCCGGGAACAGCGCCGTCAGCCACGCAAGCGCAAGCGAGACGGCCGCCGGGCGAACGCGCATCTACGTAGATGGCGGGCCGCGGACACGGCGGATGGCGGCGTGAAGTTAATGGAACTCCTCATCTGTCGTCCCCACGACAAAAAAGTCCCGCGCTGCTCCACCCACCGGGATCTGCTACCCCTCACGCGGCCGCCTTTCTAGAAGCCGGCCACGCCTCGTTCTCACGGGTGAATCTGTGGCACACGTTGATCCGGATGAATGAGGTCAGCACATGCTGGACGCTGCTCCGTATATCCGGACACCAGCCTAGCCCGCGCGGGCAAACCCGCGGCGCCGTCTCACGCCCCTGGGCCGCTCTCAAACAAACAATCCAGCCCAGCATTACACGTACGCACGCCTTCCCACGTCGTCCAAGTGTTGCATCGGAGCAGCAGCTTCCATGACGTGCAGGTGACACGCGCCGCCGCCCAACGACACAGCCCCCGTCAATGTAACTCTAACCAGCCTGCCCGACGTAAATTGTGTTTGAATTTGGCTCGCAGTCACATGATAGTGATAGCACTATCTACCGGTGCTGTCGTGCGACCATCGGGAGGTTGTAAGGCGGGCGTGGTTACGAAACGGGCCGTGGCTTTCCAAGCATTTTCTGGTCTGCTTTTCCGGCATCCAGCCAATCATCAAAATGCCGTCTGTTGGGGTAAGACCGCATCGACGCATGCCGTGATTACACCTGCCATCATCCTGCGGGGAAATGAGTAAGCAGTCTCAGGTTGGTTCCGGCCAGCTGCGTGACCGATGAACTGGACGGGGATCTGGAGCACCCCGCGGAACAAATATTCGCCGACAGAAAGTTGCGATTGCGGGTGACCTAACCACTCTCCGACGGAGATCCTCGAGGCCCATTGGGAGCTTTGTCGAAGGCATTGCATCCAACAACCCTCTCTCCCGCTCCGAAGCCCGCCCCCCCCCCCAACCATGATCTGCCCGCGCTGCCTCCTCCGCACCGGCTCGCGGGGCCTCCGCTCCGCCGCCGCCGCCAATCGCGCCTTCACCACCACGCGCGCCGCATCCGCAAAAGCGCCCACCACCGACGCCGCGCGGTCCGCCTCGCCCGCGCCGCCCGCGACGTCGACCTCGGCCGCGCAGCCGCTGAGCACGCCATTGACGCCTTCGCCCGACGCCGCCGGCGTCGCGAAGCCCGGCAAGCCCTCCTCCGCGCCCGTCCTGGTGCAGAGCTCCGTGCCGGCCGGCACGCCGCTCAAGGGCCTGAACTTCCTCAAGAACAAGACCGACCCGGTCGCCATGGAGGATTCGGAATACCCCGCGTGGCTGTGGACGACGTTGCAGCGCGAGGGCAAGAGCGAAGAGGCCGACGAGGGTGACCTGTTCTGTGAGTTCAATTTTATCACTTCTATTTTTTTTATTTGTTCAGCTTGCTGATTCCAACTCTTCAAAAAAAACAGCGAAATCCAAGAAGCAGCGTCGTCTAGCAGCGAAGCGCCTCCGCAAGCAAGCCATGTTGAACCCCGACCTACTAGCACCAAAGATCCCCGTCTACGAGCAGAGCATCGACCTGCCCGCAGGAGACGGCACCGCCAAGGGCAGCCTGGAGGCGGACAAGGCGAGAGAAGACCTCACCAAGGCCATGCGGGAGCAGAGGAGAAAGGCCATCAAGGAGGCCAACTTCCTCAAGGCCATGGGTTAAAAAAAAAAGCGCGGAGTGTATGCGGCGCAATTGGGTATATCGGACGTTTATGTCTACATATGTGTACATCACTAGAAATTCAACGACCGCAGAGTGGAGCATCAAAGGCGCAAAGGCGCTGTTATGTATCTCTAATTTATGTTCTCAACACAATCAGTCATATGCATTAGCTTCCTGGCAAACTCCCGGAAGGCCACTGGATCGGTTGCCTCGATATCTTTGCCCAGCTTCGGCGCAGGTACAATCCTGCCTCGAGCTTTACACCCCACCAAACACTGCTCTCCAGATTGCTACGAATCTGGACTAAACGCCCCCCAAAAATAATTACCGAATGTCTTTTGATCCCCCGATCCCCCAGTGACCAGAATTCCGAAGTGAAAGAGAAGAAAAGCCAACTCAAGCTGCAAGAACGTCTCGAAGCATGCTAAGGAACGTCGGGTGGAGCTTCCTGAGCTCGGTAATTGGCGGCTTCTGCGGCTCGCCTGCGGTGCTCTTCAGTTGGTCTCTCTTCCTGCGTCGGCGATTGCGCTCGGCAACGATCGGATCCGAGTCGTCGTCGGATTCTTCGATTGAATCCGGATCGTCGTCGTCGTCCTCGATATTGAGATCCACAAGGTCGTCCTATAATCGAAATTACAGCGTTAGCCGAATCAGGTTCGCTTGCTTCCCGAATGTTATTGGCCGCGTGACCAGGGTTACGGGTACTTACGGCATGGAGACCGAAATCGCTGCTCGTGAATCCTCCAATGCCCATGCCGACCATCTCTCCGCCATCGTCACCTCCTTGAGCCATCTTTTGCCTCGTCTTGTCCGAATGCCACTTCTTGCGAGCTGTCTGCCACTTGATCAAAGAATTGATCTCTCGAACAGCCGTTCGCTGGTCGATCATCCCTGAATCCAGACCAAGTTTGAACAACCCATTCATATCGAGTTTTCCGCCTCCAGGGGGACCCTTTCTCAGGAACTCTAGAATGCCTTCGATCCAACCCATGAGCTGGTCGAATAGCCCATTATCGTGGATATGGACCTCGTGAATGAACTTGTAGAGGTTATCTTCGTGTCTAGCGCAGAGGTCGATGAATGCTTGCACAGTTTGGTTGGGATCGGCGGAGATGTCGGCGCGCTGGGCTGCTTCAACCGTGCGGATGATGTCATCCACGAACACAGCGAAATCTGTGATACTGTTGTAGACGTTCGCAGACTTGTACACCCGAACAAGAGGTTCGTAGAAGATAGTGAAGAGATCACGGAACAGTTGCAGGGTAGTTGGCTATAATGTTGTTAGCACCACATTAAGTACGCCTCATTCAGGAAAACCCTACCTCTTCGATGATCTCAAGCATCATCTTCTTGTCTCTCTGCCGCAGACTGAGCTTCAAGAGCTGTTTGAGATGTGCGAAAAGCTCCGCTCCTGAGCGCATTTCCGCGTCAACCTACATAATTAAAGTCAGCCATGTTTCTCTGCCATCCTGGGTGGTTTCATTTTTCCTGGCTTAACGCGCATGTGGTCTCTTACATTTTCTACCGCATTGTTCCAAGCCACGTACGCGTTGAAGACGGTGCCAATTTGTTCCTCAGAAAGCTCTGGTTCGAAGAAATCGGATCGGAGAACGGCCACGAGTATGTCAACCTGCTCGGACTCTGCCTGTTGGCGTATGATGCCCTTGACCGCTTCATCTGAGTCCGTATAGGCCTTGATCTTGTCGCAAAGGACTGGGTCTTTGATCTTGGAGGAACTCAAGGTATCGATCGTCTTTTGCACAGCGCTGATTCCATCGTTAATGGCCATGCCAAAGATGCGCTGCAGTAGTGACCGGGATCCAAATGGCTGTGCTAAGAATAGATCTAACACTCCGCTCATAACAGCAGCGGGATTGGCGATGCGAATGACATTCTTCATGACGGTATAAGGAACCATTGAGTGGATTCTCTTAAGCTGAGCAAACAAGTCAGGGGAATTGTCCTCGGCGAGGAAAAGATGGTAGATCGTGGCAGCCACCCTAAACGTTGTTAGTAACGAAGTACCTGCGGAGAAGAGCACGGTACGTACTCTATCCTGCACCACTCGGCGAATTTCTGGTACTCAGGCTTGAGGTCTGCGATTTTGTTCTTGACGCGAATCTCTTGGAACAGATGCGACAAGCCGTCTACAGTCCACTGTTAGCGTGCATGGACGACCGAAATGAGTCGGTATACCTACTTGCTTCGACAATCTCTCTCCTGAACTTCTCCATGTGAACGTCGAGCTCTGCGGCCCTCTGACGAGCGATTTCGTAGAACTTCCTCTGCTCTTCTATACGCTTTTCGTCCATCTCCTTGCGCCGCTCAATGTCGTCCATCTCTTCTTCGTTCAGTGAGACGACATTTCCGGTAAGAAATTCCGACATAGAGTTCGAGTTGGCAATCGTTTCGTTCTTCAGGAAAGTGCGAAGGAATGCTCGGAGCGACACACGCTGCTCCTCTCTGTAAAGGACATGACGCTGCTGGAGACCGAAGCCTTCGCCCGAAGCTCTGCGCGAAGGTGAACTTGAAAGAGACGATTTGGAGGCATTGCGTCTGTGGCCACTTCCCGGTAGAGGAAGGTAGCTGCGCAGTCCGCCGCCTCCTCCGCTCCCATTGTCTGATGCACTGTCACCGCCGTAATTTTGGACATCTTGGGTAGACACGGAAGAGAGTGAATCTGAATCCTCATCGTCGTCGGCGCCGGCGCTGAGGTATGAATTCTTCTTGTTTCGTCTAGGAAGCGGAGGAAGAACCTTGCCTGGGAGCTCGAGCCTGATTCTCTTGTGAAGATCAACAAAATCGGACCATTTCCGCCCCACGTAGATCTCGGGTTGGTCATGCCGTTGGACGCGCAAGATGTATTCCTGGAATGAATCGTCAGCAACGCGTAATTTGGCCAGAAATGCGGGTTGCACTTACGGCATGAGTATGGTAGCGAACGTGCCGCTTGACTGAAATGGTGCGCACTCCTGCAACATTGACATCCCAACCATTGATGGGATGGCCTTGGGGCTTGTTGACCACCAGTCCGTTTTCGTTCGCACCTCTGTCCACTACCTCCATTTCGGAGAAGCGTATTCTCTCCTCATAACCAGATGCAGTGGGGATGCCCGAGACCATCATGAGCTCCACGAGCTTCTCAGCCTTCACGGCAAGCTTCCTACGCTTGGTCTCCTCCAGCCTATCCTCAGAACCAGAAATGTGCTTGTTCGCAAAAGACTCAAGAAACTGCGCAGGGTTGCATTGACGTCAGCCTCGACGAGCGCCGACATGGATTCTCCAAACTAACCACTTGTAACTTGTCCTGCCAGAACTCCTTCTCCCTGGCCTGGTCGAGGAAGGGGAAATTGCGAACATGGTGCACGAATATGTATCGTAGTAGCGGAAGCTCCGAGTCTCGGGGAGAGACCTCGCCGGCGTCAGATCTGAAGGGGGCGCCGAATCTTTGGAGGGCGGTTGGCGACGACAGCTCGGCGATCTCGAATTTGGTTTGTTGGGAAATAAGCTCGCGTTTCAAATCTGCAGCGAAGTTAACACGACGGCGCGACATTGCACAGTGCGGGCGCTTACAATGCTCTTGCTTGCCGGTGAGGATTGACCCAGGAGGGGGGACTGAATTGGTCGATAGCTTGGACATGTAGGATGCACCCGACCTTGCAAGCGCAAGGCGCTCCATTCGAGGGGATTCCTCCTGCTCCTCTGGCGCCTCGAAGAACTCATCGATGGTGGTGTCGACCGTGTCGGTACGAACGGGTTTGGGGAATTCGTCAGCGGGGGAGCTGGCCTCAATCCTTGGGGGCCCGTTGGCGGGGTTCGCAGGCGATGTCTGTTCAACCATAGTGGGATAGCAGGAAGCAGAATGGAGGGTGGGAACGGCGGGCTTCCTGATATTTTAAGAACAGCCCTGCCGCAGGGACTACGGCTGCGGCTCGTGTCGTAGGTTCAAGGGCAACGCAGCGATCTGTGGGTCGGAGGCTGCTGCGGACAGCAACAAAGAGTTTCGCGCGAACGAGCGGGCGCAACGAGTCAGCACGGGTCGGCGGCCAGAGGCGCTGTCGGGGAGGGGACAAGGGCGCGAGGAGAGGGCGAGGTGGAGAGGAATGAGCGGTCCGCGGACTGCGAGAGAGAGCAGGAGCAGGTCTGGGCGGGTGTTTGCGATGACGCGGGTCACCGGCACAGAGCCCGAGCGCCCCTGCGGCTGGGCGTGCAGCCTGAGGCTGTGTGGCCTACTAATTGAGTACGCAAGCACGCAAGCCCCAAGCCCACCCGCTCCTAGGGCAAAGGCCGCCCAGGTTCGTTGGCAGCGTCGCGACGCAGTCCTGGCGCGTTCAACAACCAGGGCTTGGTCCGTCACGCGCAGCGGGACGTCAGCGCCGAGCCACAGTCCACCTGCTCAAGCCCAAGCGGCGATCCCCACAACCGCAAAGCTTGGCACCACCAGCAGGCACCTCTCGCTACTCAAATTTGCATTCGCATTATGCTACCAGAGCCGGCCTCCCTTTTGCCCACCGATAACCTAAGTGAGAACTAGTCAAATCCACTGAATAATGAACCGTGTCGCCGCTGACGCCCGAAATCGCCGCCCCGAGTGCCTGACGCCTCTAGGTCCGCAAGCCTCGAACCGAGCGCCAAGCCCCTAGTAGTTGAGCTCGCCGACGCTGCCACCTGCTGCATCCAAATCCTCGTAGCTCTTAAGGCTCCTTCCCTGCACCGCCTCGCGCGGGCCTACCGCACCTCCATCGGTATACCGAGTCCCTGTCCCAGCCCGTCCGTTGCCTCGCGGCGGCGTCAGCCGGCCAGATCCGCCGTTCCACCGCATGTTGCGCGCGTCCTTCTGCTGTCGATCGTACGGGCCCGCTGTCCGACTGCCGTACCGAGACCCCGCGTTTCCCCGCCGCATCGGGCCGGCCGCGTGCCGGTCGTCGTCGCCAAATGCCCCGTAGCCATTGGCCATGCCCTGCTGCCCAAACAACGCCGAGAATGCTGCTTGGTTCGGCGCCATGCCAGGGAAGCCAAACGGCATGCTCGCCAAGTTGAACCCGCGAGGCGTCCCCGTCGGCACGTTATTGTGCAGGGGGAAGTGTCCGTTGCTGTTTGCATCACTGCGAGAGGGGGCAATGTGCGCAGGGTCCAGGACATAGCGGTTGACCATTTCGACCTATCATTTCGTTAGCGGCAGGGCATCCCTGTTTCGGCGCTAGGGCGGACTAACCTCAGACTGCACTTTTTCGTAGAATTCGGGATGTCTCTTTTCCACGTGCTTTCTCCAGAACGGCTGGCCCTTGAAGAGCTTTGTGCACTCGGGGACCTTGCAGCGGAACTTGGCCTCGTCCTCCTGCTTGACGTACTTGATGAGTTCGTCTTCCATCGCCTCTTCCACCGGCTTACCGCCTAGCTTCTTTAGATCCACGTTCTCGGGTTCGAGGATTTGCAGAAGCTTGTCCTCATACGTCTTAACCCAGTTGAACGCTCTCTGAAGCTGCTGTTGGTTCTTGCCGCTAGTCTTGAACGTCTTCTTCTCCTGACTCGGTGATCCTGCTGATTCTTCCTCCGTGACCGACTCCTGCTTTTTGAGCGGGAATGCCTGGCCCGCGGCACTGGCCTTGGCGACCGTCTTCGCAGCAGTGGTGAGGCTAGACCGGGGGCGGCGCAGGTGTCCACCAGGACACTTGCGAGTGAGCTCATGTACTGAATCACTCTCAAAGACGCAGAAGAAGCAGAAACTGAAAACACGACGGAGGTATTCCACCAGGAGATCAAGCTTCTTTTTCTTGACAAGCAGCTCCTCGTCATCAACTTCCTCGTCGTACGCTCCTTCTTCCTCATCATCCATGTTGACATCCTCTCCCTCCTCGATCTCCTCATCTTCTTCCTTCTTTTCCTTCTTTCCACTGGGTGCGGTAACCGGAGGTTGCAGAGCGCCTTGGCTCAAGAGCATCTCAACCCTCTCCTCGATCTTACTCAAGCTGTTGTGCTCGGAACCCAGCTCTTCGTCCAGCTTAGACACTAGGCGCATGGCAAGTTGGAGATCGCGCTCAATGCGTTCAGGAGCAGAAAAGAGATCCCACAACGCTTTCTTCCGCGGTGCAGCAGGAGGCTCGTGGATTCCGACGTGACACGTGAAGTCACCGCGAACCTCGTCCTGAATTGTCTTTCCGTTGATCTCGGCAAGCGCCTTTTCAGCAGTTGAAACACTTGGTGCATCAGCCTCGGACCGTGCCATATCGACGTCTTCGCCTTCCTCCTCGCGCCCATCACCACGCTCATCTTTTGGCGCTTGTTCCGCACCAGGGTTGAGGATGACCCAGCCGATACGGTGGCACTTCTTGAGCGGATTCGGGTCACTTAGACTAAGCCATTTGAAGCCGCCCTCACCTTCACCGAGGTGCTCCTTGCAGAAAGCCTCCATCTTCACCCTACTCACAGTCGGAGCGATAGTCTTGATGAGGAGCGTAGGCTGAAGAGCAGCCTCGTCTCGCAAATCTCCGCCTTTGGAAGGGAGGAGATCGCCAACGCCCAGCACTTCGTTCGCTGCGGTAGTTTCTCCCTCCTCTTTCTCTACGACGCCGCCTGCGCCATTGCTTTCGCTCTTGTAGATGCCTTCCAGGGTAAACTCATCAAAAAGACCGGATTCCAAATCTTGTTCCCACTGGTTGTAGATGTCACGGCGGAATTCGCTGAGATGTTGGCGGAAGATGTCTCTTGCCTCGGGGTCGTAGCGTTCTTTGAACCATTCTTCACCCTTGTGTTGTTGAACAAAGGTCCGAGCCATCTGTACCTGAAGCTTCTCCTTGTAGGCATCGTATGCAGCCTGTATCTTCTCGCGCTCTTGGCCGCGCTCTTCCCGGGCCTCACGTTCACCCTTGAGGCGCTCGGGGCGACGGCCACCGTTGGCCTGACGCTCTTTTTCTTCTTTCACGAGCTGCTCCATCCTCCACCATTCGGCGAACCAGTTGAAGCCAACCTGGTAGTCGAGTGTCAAGGGATTCGGCAGAGGGTTGGTCATGAGAATTGGAGTAGGATCTTGGCCAGGGACGTATCGATCGATTCCCGGTTGCACGGGCGGAGGCGACGAGCGTCGGCGGTGTACATCATCGCGGCCACGGTAGTAATCATCCCTGCCTGAGCGATCGGGCTGGTAACGGTCGATAACCTTCGGAGAGCGAGAGCGTTCACGGGCCGGGCGTCCGCGTCTTTCTGAGGCACCTGTACGAAGCAGAATGAGCGAAGAGTTCAAGAGCTAAATGCCGGGTGCACGTACCAGGCGATCTGCGACGATAAGAGTCGGTGGCAGGGCGCTCGTCACGACTGTGGCCATGTGGTCAGCGATTGCATAGGAATGGGGAGAGCAAAAGCTAATAAAGAGCATTGACAACTGACGCCGATGGGAGTGGGAGTCCAGCATCCGGTTCCATGGCGACGTACCCGTGAGTGTCCATGGTGACAAGTCGCAAGGCTGGGCTGGAGCTGGGTGTTCGCGGAAGACCGAGGGGGAGTGGGGTTCAAATCGTCAGCGGGACCGGTCAGCCAAACGCATCCATCAGGAGGCGGCGTTTGGTTGTGGGACCAGAGCAATCGTCGGAGCTGTTTGCCATCATGGGCCCGGGTTAGAGAAGCACGTCTAGTTTTGGGTCAAGGAAAGACAAGACAAGAGGGGGTTCGGAAGTTGATGGACAATAGGCGCGGGCGCGTGGCGGCGCGGCAACAAAGATGGATTGGATGGGAGGAAGGAATGAAGAAGGCGACGTGGGCGGAGGCGGAGAGACGACGCGGGCAAGGGAGAAGCGGAGAAGAAGGCAAAGGAAACCAACAATTCTCGACAGCGGAGGGCGCCGGTTGAAGGGTGAAGATGGCGACACTCACGGATGGCAGCTCACGCGGCAGGCGGAGCAGCTGCTGGGGTGAGGAAGAGTGGAGAGGGTGACGGGGCGTGAAGGAGAGAGAGGTCTCGCGCGCGACGATCGGGGTCGTACCGGCCGGGGAACGGGCAGCTGGCAACCGGCGGCTGCGGCTGCGCTGCGCCCGCTGGCTTGGCGCGCTCCCCCGTGCGACTGTGCGCTTGCGCCGGCCGTAGCAGCACCAGGGCAGTCCCGGCGCCATGCTCAAACAAGCAATCATTTATTGGCCCGCCGCAAACACTCACGTCACCACCATCCCTCTGCCATTCCCACCTCCAAAATGACCACCTTCGTCCCTGCTCTGACGCTGCCCGCTGCCGTCTTTGAGCGGCCCGCCGCCGCCATTCTGCTGCCCGTTGTCGCCGGCGCCGGCATTGGCTATCTCACGCGCCGTATGTCGCGCATCCGCCGCGCCAGCCGTCGCCAACCGCTAATCTTTCTGCAGCTCAGACGGACAGCACATATAACAAACTGAGACGGCCGAAAGGTCGTCCTCCGGCCTGGGTCTTCGGTCCCGTCTGGACGCTGCTGTATGCTGGCATGGGCTATGCCTCATATCGTGCCTGGACCGCTGGCCTGACGTCGGTTGATCCCATCAAGGCTGATCTGGCCAAGGTAGCCATTCCATGTCTTGCTGCCTCGGATCAATTCTTTACTGATTCAAAATTCAGCAAGGCGCAACTCTCTATACCGTGCAGCTTGGCCTGAACCTGATCTGGATGCCTCTCTTCTTTGGCTTTGGCCGTCCTCTTGCCGCCACTGTCGACATTGTTGCTTTGACCGGCACTGTCGGCTACCTCGCTTACACTTGGAGCGGGGTTGACGAGACGAGCGCCTGGATCATGGCTCCTTACCTTGCATGGCTGAGCTTTGCCAGCTACCTGAGCGTGAGCCTCTGCCGGTGTTGAATGCCGCCGTGTACACCCCGCTAACTGTGCCTGCAGGCTGGCTTCGGTTACCTCAACAACTGGTCCTTCAAGGACCTCGACAAGGCTGACAAGTCAGAGTAGTTCCAGTCAGCCTCAGGACTATGCGTCGGTACGCCCAGTCGAGTATGCTCACGCGAGAGCACGCAGCCTGTCGTATCGACTTCTCACTACAACCACAAGATTTAAGCCAGCATCATATCTATTATAAACTAGGTCATTAATTTTTGAAAAGTTCAACCAACCGTTGCCTGATTGCAATTTTTTTCCTTCCTAAACGCCGGTAAAAGACACTAGTCAATCTATTTGCGAATATGATCAATCGCTGCCACGCACGGGAGTGGCAACCTTTCTTAACACTTCTCATCCTTTTGGACAGCCGGGGTGTCACAATCGGGTTGTGAAGCCTTGCCTTTCTGGAAGTAACCTGCGCCAGCAAGTGCGGCTAGGGTGTTGACCGAGGCGGCTCCGATAAGGCAGCTTCCTGCGAAAATCTGCATTCCCTGATAGCTTCCGTGGTTGTACTCGATCAAGGCTCCGGCGAGCGGGCTCCCCGTCAGGCCGGCGATGCTGCAGATGCTCATGACCATACCCACCCTGACGCCCATCTTTTTTAGGTCGGTGGTAAGGCCTGACAAAGCCGCGCCGAAAAGGCCTTGCAGTCCGGCGCCGAAGAAACCATAGAAGGCGGCCCAGATCATAAGGCCTTTCAGACTGTCGACTGCGGTCCAGCAGAGCATGATGGTGCCCGCGATGGCTGTCAAGAAGATGAAGGTGTTGAGTGATCCGAAGAAGCGATCAGCGAAGAGAGCAGGGAGAATACGACCAGCTACCGAGATGCCGTTCATGAGATATAACAGTGTCAGGGACTTGGAGGAAGGGACATGGATGATGTTATGCGCAAAAGAGTTCACCTGTGCAGTTCGTTAGAGGTATGCTCTCAGCCACACGCCTTCTTAATGACTTACGTAGAAGAAAGCAAGGTAGACACTCCATGACATGAGGAATGCGCCGACGGTGAAGAGCGAATAAGCTGCGAAGCTGTCAGCAGGACGGATGGCTCGGGGCTTGGTCGCACTCACAAGGCTCTTTGAAGGACTGAAGGTCCAAGAACGGGCCGGATTCTCTTGGATTGATCCTGGTTCGCGCAAGAGAAAGCACGACGCAAAACAGACTCACGACAATGAAGCCCATGACCCTCACAGTCCAACCGAAGCCGAGGCGCGGCATGAGCTGCTGGAAAATGACTGGGAAAATGACACCGCCGGTGCTGGAGCCGGCAAGAGTGAAGGCGATGCCGACGGCGCGGCGTTTCACAAAGTAGGTCGAGATCAAACTTATGGTGGGACACCAGATGAGGCCCATGCCCAAGCCTCCACACACACCTTGTGCCAGAAAGACCTGCCAGAAGCGATTACAGAGGGAAGTCATCATGATGGCAAGCACCTCGAGTATCATGCCGCAGAGGACGGTGGGGCGGTAGTAGCCGGCGTCGAAGAGGCGGCCGGAGAAGCTGGCCATCAAGTTGATCATGAAGATCTGGATCGAGACGACCCACGACACAGTCGAAGCGGGCAAGTTGTATGTGGAGACGTAATAGGCCTGAAACAAGCCCCACGAGTTCAAGTAGCCCCAAGTGCAAAAGAGAGAGAGGTGTCCAGCAAGTACCTTTGATCGTTAGTTTTTATAGCGAGGCGCGGCAAGTAGCTAAACTAGAAGAACTCTGCTCAGTCACAGCTCGACCAAACATACCTGCAGCCAGGCCTTCAGACCTCCGTCTGGTGGTGGCTCTTCTCGGAAGGTGGAGGGGGTGATGAAGCGCTGCAGCACATTTGCCGGCCGCGAAGATGTACGCTGCAAATCTAGAGTCTGATGTGTCTTAACTGTGCGAATGGGCTCGATGGTGCAATCATTGTCCTCGCCCTTCTCGGAGCTGGACCGAGTGGGCTCGTGGGTAGAGACGGGGGCGATGTCCATGGCCAAAAAAGACTAGAGGTGGTTGATAGGGCCTAAAAAGGCAGCGAATTCGAAACGAGCGGGTTGGAGCGGGGCAGGAATGCGGAGACTAAGCGGCCTTTTAAAAAGGAGAGTGAAGTTTCTCGTGCAGACCGGTGGGTGGGGACTGATAGCAAGTGAGCCACTTGGCTGGGTGGGCGACATCGGCTTGGGTTGCCGATGCAAATCGGAAAATCGGCCTTTGGACAAGCTTCGATGTGCATCCTAGCGGACGGCACGCAGCTCTTCATACGCCCATCGTGGCCCAGAGATGCACCGTCGCTGCGCTCCCGGCATATGACTCACCCGGTTCGCAGCAATACGCACCGAGACACGTCGATAAGCGGCCCGTGTTCGTGCTGTTTGATCTGCGTATAGTTTGGCGCTCACTGCACCCGGGCCGTGTAGTGCCGTGGATTGGGCTGCTTCACCGTGATCGGTGCGTGATTTATTCGTAGCCAGTCATGGAATTGTGGTTGCAAATACGCGATTAGCCGGTCAAGAAGGTGTACCATCGGTAAACGAGAGAGAAAAAGTTCGGTGACTTCATACCACGGGTGGCCATCGTCGAACCATTTTTTTCGGGCCGCACCACCCAGTCACCTTACTTCTCTTCTTTTCATCTCCAATTTTTCTTCTCGGATTGAGCCCGGCTTTTTCACATCATCGTCCACCAACCCTTTACACAGCGTGTGATTCTGCACCTCGTTGTATAATGTAGGAAACGGCCAGAAAATTTATGGATAGGGTTTAGAATACAAAGCTAACGTCCTGGACAGGGCCATTCACCCACTCTGTTTGAAAAGAACGGAGAATGACAGGGTGGGCGGTTAACCCGTCCATGACGCCCGCTTATAGAACGTTGAAGGTAATAAATAGACCGGGCAGAGCTTAATCTGAAGGAAAGTAGATTACTACTAGGAAGCTACTAGCTGAGCTAATATCACTAATTGCTTTTCCGAAACCTTAGCTCTATAGTGACTCGAGTCTGATTATACTCTAGGGACGTCCAAGCGCCTTTTTTTTTTCCGCGGTGGCCGGTAAATAGCCCGTATATTCCTTGGATGACTTATACCTAGGACTTGGTAGAAGGGACATGGTCAAGCAAGTCCCCAAGATTACCAAGCTTTGGTCGGTCGTGGAGGTGGGGATCCACTGTTGCAGTTGCCATGGGTATCATGCATGCTCAAGTAACCAAGGAACCCTCGGCACGGTGGCCAAGTCTCCTCGACGCGATTAGGCGAGCCCTCGAGACGGTGGCCGACAGCACGCTCACAATTCTTGCAGGTAGGCACGTCAGCGGCTCGTACTGCTGCTTTTTGGGCTTGCAACAGGCTCAGGTGGCGATTTATGAGGGCCAGACGTTCAAATATTACGAAGCTCTGGGCAAAGTGGGGAGAAGAAGGATGAGAAACATGGCGTGTCCGGGATTATTGCTCCAACACCCCTGCATCTCATACACCGTCTCAGGCTGTTTCATTCTGCCGCGCTACTAATCCAAACTGCCGGGAGACGGCTGTGTTTAAACGTCAATTGCCGTCGGTTTCCGGTCATAGACAAGCTTATTGCTTAAAGGCAGTCTAGACATGCAGCGCCTCAAAACCACTAGTCTGTGCCATCTCTCGATTCCAGGTCATTGCACAAGAACCTCTTTTCCGGAAGCAGACCAAAAGTCATGCTCGAGTCAACCGCTTCGTCAAGCACGGGTGCACAGAGATAGTAAGACATATCCTTCCATTGTTGCATTCCAAATCCCGAGCAGTCTGTATGTTCATTGTCTCAACTACTCGAAAATAGGCTACCGGATGAAACCAGCTAATCCTCAGCGTGAGTGCGTAGGTGAAGCTTGCCAAGAATGTTCGCGCGGGCCCAGTAGCTGCGGTAGACCTTGCCCCACACGAAGATGACGGGGGTGGTGAGGATGATGATGGTGGTGATGAGCGACAGGACGTAAAAGACCTGGCCCACGCCGGCCGACGCGGTCCAGTCGTTGACGAAGTAGCTGAAGCTGTAAAAGACGAAGGCCTTGAAGGCGGCGCTCAGCACGAAGATCTCGGACGCCATCTCGCGGTAGGCGTCAACACCATACGCGGCCGTGGACGTGGCGACGCAGATGACGCCGATGACGTCGACGCCGTGCACGCTGGCCGTGGCCCAGAAGCTGACGCCGTTCTGGGCGAGGTAGCCGAAGAGCAGCGCGCCCAGCGGCATGAGGAAGCCGCCGACCATGCTCAGCAGGCGGTACTCGGGCTCGTAGACGCCGCCGTTCCTGCGGCACGCCCACCGCACCAGCGGGTCGCCGATGGCCGCCATGACGACGGCCGACAGCAGCCCGCCCACGAACGGGCCCATCGACAGGTACCCCACGCCCGTCGGCGACAGCAGGTACGGCGGCGCAGAGAAAACTTGCGGCAGGATGATCGACTGCACCACCACCAGCGCCACTGCCCCGCCGCTGACGATGACTGACCACAGCACCGGCAGGTTGATGCAGATGGCGAATGGCATCAACAGCAGCTGGAAGAAGTTGTCGTCCGAGTAGGTGCCCGTGAAGACGGCCAGCTGTTGCCAGTACGTCTTCTTCTGCGGCACCAGCGTCGACCCCGTCTCGATGGACCGGATGCTGCCGCCGTCTTTGGTGGTGATGATCTCGGTGTCGCCAGCGAAGCCCGTCCCGCGGTTGTACTGCGTCTCGGGCACGAAGAAGAACAGCAGCACCGTCTCGACGCCCGTGAACGGAATCTGCCATCGTCAGCCCCGGCACTTCGCGAATCTTAACGAAACCTACTCACCAGCATGTAGAAAAGGTACTCCCAGCCAAGGTTCGCTATGATCGGTCCCGCAACCACCGCCGTGAAGTTCGAAGTCGCCCCGAGGAGGAACTGCATGAGCGCCATGTAGAAGCCGCGCTCGTGCACGAAATAGATGTCTCCGATCATCGAGATGCCAACACTTTCGAACGCCGCGATACTTCCGCCCTGGATGATCCTGCTGACTATCAATCCGTCGAAACTGGTCCACAGAGCGCCGGAAATGGACCCGGCAAATCCGAACAGCGCCGAAATCAGCATCACCGGGCGCTTGCCCCATTTGCGCGAGCAAGCTGACACGAGCGGGAGCGAGCATCCGGCAACAAGGGACTGGTATCCGGTTGCGAGAGACACGTCCTTGAGTGGACGCTTGAACTCTTCGGCAATGACTACCAGGCCGGGGGCAAGCATTGGAGCTGCATCGTGTTAGCGCTAGGATGCGCCGAGAAGCTTCTGCACTCTTACCAATGACAGCAGAGAAAATGACCGTCCCAAAGGAAACGATCGAAGTTATGGTCAGCTTCTTCGCCGGCGAGAAGTTGAGCGGGTCGTTTGGATCATCCGATCTGTCTCCATGTTCAGCTCATTTTTTCTCTTCGCACCTCTTCGAGATCTACTTACGGCTGCGGCACAAGAACCGTGTCTGCGTGCTTGCCAGTGCCATACTTGAGTGCCTTGTCCTTCTCCGGCGCGAGGTCCTTTCCGCTGCTGTTGTCAAGAAACGCCGTTCCGGGCACCTCCAGTTGCCCAAGATGGCGGTCCTCCAGAATGTTCAGAAACCCCATATTTTTTTTTGGTTGTGTGATTAAAGAGAGTACTACTAAAAGATTGAATGACCTGCGCAGCTACAGGACCTGCCTGTAGGCTGGGGAGAGAATTTCGGGAATGGAGAAAAGAAGGTGTGGTCGGATGGTGAAGACAAAGGTCGGGCGAATGCGCGCAATTGTATTAGCCCTCGGCCCCACATCCTTTTTGTCCTCCCTTTTTTTTGCGACACACTAAACATTCTTGTCTTCGATTATGCTGGCCTGATGTGTGTACTTTGTTGACACAGGTGTCGTCGCGCACCCCTACTAAGGTTCTGGGTGATTGGCGATCACGAAGCGGCACCTCATTCGGCTCCATACGCCAGTGCTTCCCCCTTCGAGACACTGAGGAGACACCAACTTTCTTGGACTCCATGCCGATCCGGGATCTGCGCGTCTGCGGAAAATACGCTGATACGGCGGCTGTTGCGGAGTCTCTGCACGGCCCTTGTTCCAGATCCCCCACCCCGGAACTATCAAAGTGTGCCACACAGCCCTACGCGCGCCAATCTCAACACCACGGAATTGTGTGCGCACTCTGCTGACGAATGCTCCTCTGTCGACGGCTTGGCTTTGTGGAGCTTTAGCTTCCGGACGCACCTCAGTTGCCGCTCCTATCTGATACATGCGAGTCGTTGCCCAGCGTGCCCGTCGTCTCCCCGACCTGGCCCTTCACTTCTCAGTCAGCACGATTCCTGCTGAGCTGGTCGTCTATGGTTCTTCGTCAGGGGGAGGCTATGCAATTTGCCTCAATTCGGGAAAGGATTGTGACTCGAGCGTCTTCCTTGGGGTACGTGTACTGGAATCGCCAAGTCAACGGACTATAGCGTCCGGTCCCGTACTTCAATTGCTCGACTTTGGCAGCTGTTCCCTGTACGCGATTGAGAAGGCCTTCTCTCACACCATTTTGTGGCTTCATTAATCATGTCTCAGCGAGGCTTGAGGGTTTAGGATGAGAACATTGTACTCTTCACCGCACTTGGCTGAATCTCCTGGTGGCTTGGAATCAATCAAGTGTACAAGCTCGTTTGCACAAAGTAACCTTGCCTCCTGAGCTCACCGATTTTCTCGTCAAAGACAAAGAGCTTGGTGTCGTACATGTTCTGCTTGTGCTGGTGTCTTGGATAGGAAACTCGATAGTTTGTGCAAGCCAAAAGTGCAACGTCTCCGCCAGAAATTCCCACATCTCAAATTTGAATCCAGTCTATAGGTGTCACTAAATTAACCATCTGCCTCCGAAAGACCGAAAAAGCGAAACGAAGATTGATTGTATCCTTTTCTCCTGTTGTAGGGGCACGGTCTAGCTTGATAAAGGGAGGGGGAAATAAGTACGGGAGAAGAAGGTCGAAGAAAAGGGAAAAGGGCACCGCGGTTTTCTCCCGCGGACATGCTTTGGGTATCAGAAACAGAGCGTTTGCAGCGGTCGCCTCCAAATAATCCTGTGTGCCTGCCAGCCAAATTTGTAGCAAAACATGGAAAGGGAAAGAAAAGTACAAACAACAAAAAGCGGCCATGGACGAGCCGTCCATTCATCCAATCATCCAAATGGGTTTGAGCTTCTTTCTGGTGAAACCAATCGTTACATCTCAACGCCGGCATTTTAGACTCGTACATACACACGGATAATGAAGGAGGGTGTCGGAGGGTTATCCGTCCTTGGTATTGGTGGGGGGTTCAAAGAGAGGTTCGTTAATTTCCGGGTTTATCATGGCAATAGATCTCAAGCGCTGTCGTCGTCCTCCGCCGGCGTGCCGCTTCCGCTGCTGAAGTAGCTCTGATCGATTTTGAGTATCCATTCGATCTTTTCGCGTTCACTCTTGGCTGCGAAGAGGAAGGTGTTCTGCGGCGCGAAGACGGCGAAGACGTTCATGTTATGCCGCTGCAACAACCCAGCCACCGGCGGTTGGTGATCTATGCGCGAGTTGGACAGGTTGATGGCATTCAGTTCGTCGCCCTCAGGCACCGTGAAGATGTGCAGATATGGCCGCCGCAATTCCACGAACCGCCGCACCCACCGCGTGTTGGTATCATCGGGCGTCATGAGATAGCCACTCTTTAGCATTGTTGGGTTCTTCGCCACATAGCGCACTTCTGAGACCAGTGTCGGCTTCGTCTCGCCATTAGGCGGCGTCGCAAAAGCTGCACCGCGCTCCGGCGGCTCGAGGTTTTCCTTCGTGAGAATGAGCTCCCCAATGTCCTTCTTTGTCTGCCAAAGCGCAAGAACCTTGTTCAGAAGTTCTCTCTGCCGGTCGCTGAGCTCGCCATCATTATCAAGGTAAGCATCACTGTTAGCGGTGAGCGCCCTTTGGCTGAGAATGCTCCGGGCTGTCTCAATCTCCGCAACTCTTCTGCGTCGCTTCCGCGTAGCAAGGAAGTCTTTGACGAGGGAGACGCCGCGCGGGGTCCAGCCTGTGAGCAGTTCCTCGCCCTTGACGTAATCGTGCTGAGTGCTCATCCTCCACAGGTCCACAGCTCTCTTTGCAGAGACCGGTCTGATGGCGACAGAGAACATGCCCGTGGTCGAGTGTATGATGCGTTGGCCGCGAAACATGTTGCTGAACATTGACGTGGGGCGAATGTAGGCACGAGAGCGAATTTGCACGGAAACGTCCAAGGAGAAGGTCATTGGCTTCGCCAACTTGGCACACGCGACATCCCAGATGAGAGACACTTGGACTCTGTAGCGATCGGCGGTGGTGCGGTCAAGCATAAGAGATCCGTGCATGCTGGAATCCCAAAGGGCAATGAAAGTCACGTTGCTTGTACCATCGGCATTGTCCTTGACGGTTGGTCGGGCTAGGAGTTTCATCGGTACCTGAGGCTGTGGGGAATCCGTTCCAGCGGTGCGGCCACTTGCATCGAGCAATTTGACATGGCCCACACGGATCGACGAAATGTCTTGCCACTGGAGCATTTGCCCAGAGCTGTGGGTCAGATCAACAACGAACCGGCGCTGAATACCCTGGTGCAGTTGAAAAGCACCTTGGTCGAGAGTACCAGTCTGGATAACGTCGACAGGTTTGTAATTGCCGTCCTCCGCCATTTCCTGGATTTGCACTCTCGCGAAGATGTCATGACGCTCTTCAGCATAGAACTCGGACTCTGGCAGCCGCGAGTTCATACGTTTTACCTTCGGTCTTGGTGCTGAGTCACGCATATCATCCCAGCTCAGGAGCTTGTCTAAATGTGTCACAGTGACCTTGGCGAAAATAGAAATTCGAAGAGACGCCGTGCGCGGGCTGTTGAGCGGCAAACCCATGCTGTGCACGCTTTCAAACTTGATTGGCCCTTCGTTGAAGCCCTTGATCATCTGAGTAGTGGTGGCGCCTCCTTCGTCGGAAATGCCGGGGAAAAACAGTTGGGCATGGACGTCGGTTCCTTCGCGCTCAGGGAAGCCAATCATTCGGTGCATGACGACGTTAAACTTCAGAGTTGATGACGAAGCTTCAGCGAAAGAAGGCTCCAGAGAGAGCCGCAATATGCCGACCACGCCCTCCGTATAGGTCGATGTAACGTCGATCGAAAAGTCCTGGACGCGGGATTCGAAGACCGCAGCCAGAGGCACGTCTGCATCTCCAATTCGAGAGTATTCCGGTGAACACGGCTCGGTAAAGGGGTTTTCGAGGCGGAAGTGTTGCATGTATTCCGGCTTGTTCAGGTATTGGTGCATCTGGCGCATTGCCCTGACGCGCCTTCGGAGCTTCTGCAAGGACCAAAGGTGGATGACGTGGTCTTTGAAGTCAACAACCCTGATACCAATGCATGGCTTGGGGGTTGCCTCAAGGTCTTCGTCATCCTCGCCGGGAACGCCATTAAGCACTAGGTCGTAGGAAGACGCAAACGTGTGGCCCACGTCGACAACACAGAACTGGAACACGACATGCTTGTCCATTTGTTGGCTCATGACCTGGGCTTCCTTCAGCAGTGCAGCGTTCTGAAGTAGCGTTTCCGCCATGGCCACGTATCTGCGCTGTCTCCAGTGCGCGAACACGTTCTTGGCTCGCTCAGCCTCCTCCTTTGAGAGGAAGATGAATGCACTCTTCCCTTCTGACGTCGGTGTAGAGGAGTACTCCTGCAGCTGCCTTTCAAAACTTTCCTTTTGTCGTTGAAGTTCTTGCTGCATTTCCTCCTTGACTGCGCGGAGCCGTTCTTCCATTTTGACCTTCTGAACACGGATGTCTTCAATCTCGAGAGAGGACCCTTCGGCGTCCTTGAGCTGGTCCTCGTACTCGCCTTTACGCTTGTCGAGCTGGTTCTGCATATCTTCACGAGCAGCCCTGAGCCGTTCGTCCTCCTCTCCAAACTGCGGGGTCCCAGGAATTGTCAATGCAGTATCTAAGGAGAAGTTATCCACCGTGCTAGTTGAAGCGTACTTTTCCCTGATCGGAAACGACCCGTCGGACTCTGCATCTTCCTCTCTCTCGAAGAACTTGCTCTCTGGCTTCGCTTTTCTCACCGCGCGCACGCGTTGGAGATCATCGAACAGGACATCCAGCTCGTCATCGGTCAAGTTGGAAATCTTCTGGTCAGGTCCAAGGATGGCTGTCACTGCTTCACGCCGGGCGAAAGACCAATCGGTATCCCGACTGCTCTTATAGGGAACCGGCGAGCCGCCTCGTGGGCTTGGATCTTCGGACTGACCCTGGCTGGTAGTACTCCAGGTTCGGGAGTGAGCTGGCCGCGAAGATGTTCCAGCTGGTGAAGGAACTTGGCTTGCTGTCATCGAGTGACGGAGAAGACTGCCTTGCACTTCTCTCTCGGCGCGGGCTTCCTCAGGATGGTTGAAGCGGAATATGTGGAAATCACCTAGGATAATACGGTAACCGCTGCGGAGTCGCTTCGGCTCTTCAATGCGCAAGCCGTTGACCATAACTCCTGCGTTGGGCTTGGGAACCACCGTTACCACGTTATCCACGTTCTCAAACGTACAGTGCTCAGGGAGGATTTTCGTTCCGTTAAGGCGGACTTCAGCGCCGTTCTGGGTGTCGACGTTGCCAACCAAGGTTGTACCAGGTTTCAAATTGTAGACCAGGCACTCGGCCAGCAGTGGGTCATCGCTCAAGTTGACCAGATGGGGCATCTTCTTAGGGGTGTGGAGACCAACGAAGCCCTTTTCGATGCTAATACCCAGTTCTTCGAGCTTAGCCTCTCGCTCTTTGTGGATCTCCTCTGTCTTCAGCATCTTTTCTTCCCATGTTTGATTGAGGTCCTTGAACAGTTTTTCAGATTGACTGAGCTGTTCGGCAATCTCGGCCTTCGAAACCTTCTTGACAGATCCGTCCGAAGAGGTGATGGAAACGATTTGTTTCTCCAGCGGAGTGTCCGGTGCATACTGCTCCTCCGGGGGTACGCCTGCTCCGCCACCGCCTCCTCCACCTCCTCCACCGCCAAGCTTTGAGCGGAGTTGGGCCAATTCCTCTTTGAGTTCGCGGATCATACGGGCATTCGGATCCTCGTTGACAACGGCGTGGTTCTTGATGCGCTTGGCGGAGTCGGCGTATCGTAGGGTCGATAGAGTTTCGTCGAAGTTGATATCTGCTGGGGAAATTGCAGCAATCATGGCCGTCATACTGTTTCCACCAAGTGAGTCTTTCAAAAGCCAAGTGAGAACCGAGTCTCGATAAGGAACCATTGAAGCAGCCTTCTTCTTGGCTTTTCCGGACGATAAGTCTGCCAAAGCCGCAATGACACGTCCCAGGGTCGACAGAGATCTGTTAATCTCAGCACCTTCCTTCAGACGCGCGCCTGTTGCTCCCGTAGACGTAGCACGTTCCGAACCAGCCAAATCGACCAGACTGATCTTCGCCACCTTTTCCGTATCCATGTTTGTCTCATTGTCATGGCGCTTCTGGGTCAGAGTCAAGGTAAAGACGGCGTGCGATCGAGAAGAGGTCTCGTTCATGTTGGTAGCGGCAACAGTTCTGGCCTTGTTACCCTCGTCCATCAAGTTCTCGATTTCCACAAAGGAGCGAACGACAAGCTTGGCCAGATCTTCGACATAGGGACCGGTAGACGGATGCTCGCGGACCTTCAGGTTGCCCTTATTGGCCGGGTTCAGCAGGTCGCGAACGCGCTCGTTGTAGATCTCCAGGTACGAGACTTCGACGGTGCAGCTAAGCGACGGGTCCTTCTGCATTTCCTCGATACGCTCGAACATGCCCTTGCAAATGCGCGGGATAACACCATATTCCTCGCCATAGCCCATCATGGAGTACGATTTTCCCGAACCTGTCTGACCGTAGGCGAAAATACAGTTGTTGAATCCCTGGAATGCATTGTCAAGCAGCGGGCGGCCGAGGTCGTCGAACAGATTGTCCTGACCAGCGTAGTTAGGAGCAGACTTGTCGAAGGACCAGTAACTCTTGTCGAAGCTGAAGTTCTTGGGACCCTCGGAGGCGGCCTTGTTGCCCTTGGCTTTCGCGTCCATTCCCTTCGGGGGCGACAGGACGGTCTGGTTGCCAGACATCTGCACGATACATTGTGCGTTGCGGTCCTTCTCTGCGCAAGCGTCAGCATGCTCTCCGGGCAGGTCGTGGTTGCGATCGCACCTCTGCTGTTGAAGGGCCTGCATCGCACAACGACCTTGATGTTCCCTCCGCCGGACGCCATGGTGAGTTGGGGGTCGCCGTCAGCGCGGCGGGGCGCGTGGGTGCGGGTGAGTGTATGTGTTCAGTCGGGTTCGCGTTGCGAGGCTATGGAGGCTTCATCGAGGGCGGCGGGGGGAGAACGCGACGCGCGTGAACGGGGGGGCCTCGGTCGGTGGATGTTGACAGGCGGGAGTTATTAACAGGCCCTTGCGGATGGTTGGCAAGCCCGCTGCAGGGCTTCCCCGAAGCTCGATCCTCGCCGGCCGCCGACGCTTAGCCAAAAACACGGCCCAAAATAATTTCCACCCTCTGACGCCTGAGCCTGCGCATCCCCCAGACTGCACCGACTCCCGCGCTGCTCATTTCACAGAGCCCTGGGCTCCTGCCGCTCCATCGCCCCTGCCCCGCGCCCATGTCTGACGACACCATGTTCCGCCCCCCCGTCAATCGGGCCATGCGCACCCTTGACCGCAGCTTCTTCCAGAAGACCTTCCCCATTTCCGCCGCCCGTGTCGCGAACAACAAGGACATTTCGCTCGTGCGCAAGGCCCTGGAGAAGAGCAAGGATGTGCTGTCCGCGCCGCGTCTGCAGTCGGTTCAGGCCGACCCGCTGCCTGAGCTGGCCTCCAAGGGCCGCAAGTGTGTGCTGCTGAGGCCGGACGTCAGGCACGATGGTAGACTGGCCTATGCCCCTGTTTGTGCGGAACGCGTGCTGATGGGAGCAGGCAGACCCCTCCACCTGGTCTCCCACGCTGGCTGAGTTCCAGAGTAAGGACATCGCGAGCGTAGTGCCCTATGACTTGCACCTAGACTATGATTACTGGACATATGGTGGGTCACTTGGGCCCCAGTGACAGCATCCCATGCTGACTCAATGTCAGACGAAATCATGTCTGCGATCGTTCCAGAGGACAACAGGGAAGACGCATATCCCAAGCGCTTCTCCCAAGTCGGGCACATCCTTCACTTGAACTTGCGTGAATCCCACCAGCCTTACAAGAATGTCGTCGCCCAGGTTCTCAAGGATAAATCTCACAAGGTTGAGACTGTCATCAGCAAGATCGACAACGTGGGCGACGAGAGCGAGTTCCGCACCTTCTCGTACGAAGTGCTCATCGGATCGCCAGATCTCAACGTCGAGCTTCACGAAGAGAACTGCACCTTCCGCTTCGACTACGCAAAGGTCTACTGGAACAGCAGGCTGCAGGCTGAGCACCGGCGCATGGTCCAGGCCTTCAGCGAAGGAGAAGCTGTTTGCGACGTTATGGCTGGCGTCGGACCTTTCGCGGTTCCTGCAGGCAAGAAGCGCATCTTCACCTGGGCGAATGATCTGAACCCGGACAGCTATGCATGCATGGCGGATGCAGTCGAAAGGAACAAGGTAAGATCGGCCCCCAGGTGTGCCCCTGAATGCCCCTCACGACTAATTCCGCGATAGGTTGGCCAATTCGTCCGCGCCTTCAACGCCGACGGCCACGCGTTCATCCGCGATGCCACTGCCGATCTCTACAGATCGTCACATAGCGTCACAGTGAAGGCGGCGCCTGGTGGCTCGCGTCGTAAGGCTGGCGGAGACAAAGTACCGGCTGCCGTGGATCCCAAGTCGCTTGAACGGGTCCTCACTCAGCCCCGCACCTTCTCCCACTACGTCATGAACCTTCCCGCCAACGCCATCGACTTCCTGCCTTCCTTCATTGGCCTTTATGCGCGCTCACCAGTCAGCGAGGCTCTAGGAACGGCGGACCCATCAACTCTGTTTGCTCCGCATACTGATGTCAAGCTTCCTATGGTGCATGTCTATTGCTTCGGCACCAAGAGCGACGACAATGTCGAGCAGGAGATTGATATCTGCAAGCGGATATCCGAGAAGCTGGAGTTCGAAATCACCCGCGAAACTCTAGATGGGGAAATCTACGATGTGCGAGACGTAGCACCGAACAAGAGGATGTTCTGTGCAAGTTTCCGCCTCCCAGCAGAAGTAGCTTTCCGCAAGCCTTGAGGGCGATTGTTCAGTTCTGCTGCATGCTTTTGGGGGCTGGTGGGAGGGTTGTTAGGCCGGGCGTTTGGGACTAGGAAAAAGCATCTATGAGCAGGATAGATAAAATTATAGGCATACGGATTGTGGACCATTTCCATTTAGCCTGAACGGTGCTTTGTCTAGTCGTGTCTCATGTCTCGGTGTCGCATGTGTTGGATTTGCACGTGATTCTGTCCCGCTCCGCTCCGATGTCCGGCTGTTTTGTCATAGGTTGCCCCTCGTTGCTGGTGACGCCGGATTCTGCCCCGCTACGCATACCCCGCCACCCGTCTTGTGCACTCTGCAAATACACATACCGCCCAACCTCACAAACGCCAATTCTCCTCTCGCTTTCTGCCGCGCACTATTTCAGGCAGGATACACACATGGCCGACACCGAAGCAGCACCGCCTCAAGAGGCCAAGCAGGTCGTCTACTGCGGCGGTTCGTCTCCCCCGATTCACGCGATCTCCACCTCACGGCCCAAAAGCAGAGAAAGGCTGACAACAACGCATGCGCAGTCTGCACCCTCCCCCCGGAAGTAGGTAGGAGGCACAAAGGGGACGATCCTGTACCGCAGCGAACATCGGTCGACTAACATGATACCTGCGACGGCGCGTAGTACTGTGAATTCGGCGGCACCACCAAGAAATGCGAAGAATGGCTCAAGGCACACCACCCTGACATGCACGGGCAGATCTACTCCGCAGGTACTTCTCTCACCGCACACACTTCCTCAGGATCTTCCCCAATGCTTGCGGACACGTTCCGGAGGCCGGGCGCCCCGCCCACGCATGCAGGATGCTGACTCAACGACTCGTAACCCCCAACAGACGCGATAGAAGCCAACCTCTCCTCGCTCTCGATCGAAGCCCAGCAACGCGCCGAGAAGGACGCGAAGAAGAAGGCCGCCAAGGCCGAGTCGGCGGCGGCCAAGGAGGCGGAGATGAAGGCGCACTCCAAGGTCACGATCAAGCGCATCGAGCGCAACAAGCGCAAGTACGTCACGGCCATCATCGGCCTCGAGGCCTTCGGTCTCGACCTCAAGAAGGTCGCCAAGGACCTCGGCAAGAAGTTCGCCACCGGCGCCTCCGTCACCAAGCTGCCCGCCGGCGGCGAGGAGATCACCCTGCAGGGCGACCTGAGCGACGATGTCTTCGACTTCCTCATCGAGAAGTACGATGAGGTGCCCGAGGACAATGTCGAGTGCGTTGAGGACAAGAAGAAGAAGTCGGACAGCTGAGCGATTTGAACGAATTGACGTATGTTGCAGTCACGAGGAGTTGGCGATGTGGCGTTGAATGCATGCTGGTGCGGGTGGCCAGGATTGTTGAGGTCTGCTGCGATAAGGATGCAGATGCATGCCGTTGTGTATCACGTTTGATGGCGCAAGCGGACTGTTGGAGTCAGAGATTACCTGGGAAAAAAATTATCTGGAGATGGGCAACCTGCTGATGAGGTGTCCAACCCTATGAATGAACGAAAACATTGAGCATTCCCATAGAGTTGAGTATTGCTATTGGTGAGGCGCGGACACATCCCAAAGGCGGAAACTTGGCTCTGCAGGCATATAGATAACAACGCGATGTTTCAGTGGTCCAACTGCTTCTGCGAACATCCATTTCTATTCTACTAACCTCTTCTGTAGCATTATATGCTTGCTTTGTTGTTTGCACATCGATCGGGTTGGTTTGAACGCAATTAGAAGTATATCGTCTTGAGCATTGGCGAAGAAAAGGAGGTTAGCGAGAACTAGGCGCTAAGAAGATGCTTCCGGTTACGAGAATAGCATGCCAAGTTGCCGGCGCAATGGTGGGTATATATATGTACAGAGCGCCGTAACGGCATCAAGAAAGAAAGTAATCATGCTTTTGCAGCTTTTAGTCTGCAGACATCCACCATCCCCCTCATCTCCTCTCTTGACCCTAATACATGCAAGAACAAAGGGAAAAGGTTGGTCTGACTAGGGGTGAGCAAGGTATCCAGGAAAGCAGAGAAATGACAGCACCGGGCGCCCTGCTATCCAACCAAAAGACATCCGCGCAAAATGCGTATGGAAAGGAAATACCGCGATATATAACAACGGAGGATGAAGGACAGGGAAAAGAGAATAGCCATGACCTTCCGCGCAGGGAGGAGCTTATTACTTCGTCGTTACTCGTCACATTCTTTAGGGGTGTCAGAGGAATGTAAAGGTTACACTTCCTCAAGCAGATCCCGAATCTTCGCGTAGAAACTTCCGGGATATTGTCTTATCTCCTCTTCCGTCGGCATCGGCTTGCTCTGATCCCTGAAGCGGTCGGCAACCCTCTGAATGATCTGGCCCAGGAGTGCCTCGGGGATTCTGAGGTCTTCGCCAGCGTCAGGACACAGGAACTCGTCCCTCTCGCTAAGCATCTCAGGAATGGAGGGTCGCCGTGCTGGATCGCGCTGGAGGCAGCGCTTCAGCGTCTTCTTGAGGCCGGTGGGAATGCGTACATTGCCAAGACCATGAGAGGGAAACTCGATGGTGACATTGGGGTTGACGATGGCCATGACACGGTGAATTTGGTTGGAGATGTGCGCAAACGGTGGCCTGCCGTACACCATCTGGTACAAAATGCACCCCAAACTCCAAACATCGCTGGGCTTACCCAGCTTCATACAACGACCGAGCGACGAGTCGCCGTTGGGTCCATGGCGGGCCGACGCGTTTGCGTCTTGCAGGGACTCGGGAGACATGTAGTTCGGTGTGCCAACGTGGGAATCTCGGTGAACGTTTACGGTGTTGTCAATATCGATGGCGTTGGCAATGCCAAAATCGATGAGCTTGAGACGTCCTTGGATCAAAAGGAAATTTGCGGGCTTCAAATCCGAATGGACGATGTCGTACTCGTGGACGGATGCAACACACTCAAGCATCTCCTTCCAATAGTAACGCGTGAAAGAAAGATCCAGGCTAGCGTCTTCAGGATCGATTTTCATGCGCAAAATGCGAGCAAGGTCAGATTCGCCAATGTCCATGAGCTGAGACACAAGTCAGTCGGTGCAATCCGGGATTTCAAGAGACTACTCACCACACTGAGAATCTGTCTTTCCTCGTCCACCTCCCAGTCAAATAACCGAACAACCCTCTCCACACCTTCGAGTTTTCGCAAGAGCTCAATTTCACCCTTGTATCCCCGCACTGCGTTCTCGTCCGCATCCTCGAGCTTCACCCTTTTCAAGGCAAAGAGCTTGCCATTTTCGGCCATCACTCGATAGACATCAGAGCTACCGCCCTTTCCAATTCTGCCTATCTCTTGGTAAGGCTTGCCGTTGACCATGAACGCCCTCCTCCGCTTCTTCTGCTTCACAGTGGATGCGCCGGCTGCAGATGTGGCGGTTTCCAACACCGACATCCTTGGAGGAGGTGGTGGAGCAGGACGAAGTGGAGTATTTACGCTCACTGAAGCCAATGGAACGGGCTTGTGTTCGCCTTTTGAGGATGGTCTGACGGCCGGCTCCGCCTTCATCACCGAGTCCCTCATGAAAGAGTCTTTCATTACCGAGTCAACCTTTGCACTGCTGCTGTTAACCCTCATAGCCGACTCGGCTTTCATGGAAGAAGCAGCGAGATTCTCTTGGTCGTTGGACGGGCTGGTTATGCGGACAACTCTTGGGCTGCCAGAACTGGGTGCCTGCGGGCTTCCGCTCGCCTGAGGACTGGGCACATGAGATGCATCCAGGGAGGACTGCGGCTGTTGCTGCTCATCCTCGCTCTGAGGCGTACGCCTAAGCCTGCGCATGGGCGCGCCCCTTAGAGGCACCCTCTTGATGCGCAGCGACGGCGCAGGGGTGATGGTGTCTTGCATTGGAGTATCCTCGGTGTGGCCGAGAGAATTCCTCGCGATGCGTAGCTTAGGAGCGCCTTGTTGCCTGATTGGAGAGCTGGGTGCGTCCTGGCCGAGGAGCGCACGCGTGTAGGGGTTCAGCTTCATGGGCTGCTCGATCTCATCTTCGGAGCTGTCGCCAATGTCGATACGCTGCATCATGGGAGCGTTGGCGCTAAATCCGTGAGAGTGGCCTAGGATAGAGATGGGCGACTCGCGCCTGTGTTGCAGGGAGCTGTGCATCGAGGGCTGGCGGGACATGCGGCCGCCGTTGCTGTAGGACGATAGAGGAGTAGGCGAAGCTGCGGCCATGGCGTCCGACGGCAGAGGGAATGCGATGCTGAGAAGATCCCGGGGCAATTGTTCGATGTAGCGAATGCCGAGGATGTGCTACCGTTCCATAGGGAATGCTGACGAGGTTGGCGAGATAGTTGCGTCGGGAGGTTGATGGAGTTGCGGGCGTCGAGGCCGCGGGTGCGAGTGGACTGTTTGCGTCGCCGCTGCCACGGCAACCACCTGTGCCTGTGCACGTGAAATTTTGACCCGCCTACCACTGCGCAATGACGCGTGCGACACGATATCGGACGAGACGGGCGTAGGCTTGATGATTCTGGCCGTTTGTCGATGGTGTTTCACCGTCGCGCCCGATGCGCGTAATTTCAATTCTCCGTCCCTGGCCTGCGCCGCTATGATCACCCCAAGCGCCTTAGGCACCCGACCGCCTGCAGCCCTACTGGTAGCCGCTAGTGATGGTACATGTGTATGCATTGTTGCTACAGTTTTACAGTAGTAAGATCCTAAGTCATGCTGCCTTAACGCCCCTAGATTCAAGACAGCCAAATCTACTATCCCGCCAGCGCCTTACCATGCTTTCCCTACCCGAGGGAGCAGCATCCCTAGAGCTTGCTTTCTCTACCATCTTCGACTACAATGGCAACAACAACACAGATGTCGTCTGGCTTTCCCCCATGCCAATTCTCGCCTGGGTAGTACTTCTGCACCTCTTTTGCGAAAGGACCATCCCTCCTGGTGTTGAGACTTGCCGCTTTCGCTTCTCCCGTCACTGCAAGCGCAATGAGTGCTTGCAGCGTGTTGTTCTCGGATTTGCTCAGACCGCCTCTTTCGGTGAGGTTGCGCAGATGAGGGCTCACAACGAATTCCTCTCTGGCATCGATCCATCCGCCAAGAGCAGTCATGTTCTTCCCCACAATGGTGAGCACATCTTGCGGGCTCAGATTGTCCCAGACGCCATCCGTGGCGAACACAAGAACGTCTCCGTGTTTCACTTTGTGGTTCGTGACCGCCGAGTCCTTGGGTGTCTCGGAGTGCTTAAGAGAACCTCCGAAGAGCCTCATTTGGGCGAGTATCAGGGGGGGAATTTTGGACATTTGGTACGGGGTGTTGAAGGCATGCGTCTGCGGCGGGGAGAAATAGCGGACAGCATTGAGGCCAAGATGGATGAAGCCCGAGTCGCCCAAGCTGTCAAAGAATTAGCTTATCCTCCATGCGTGGTTCTGGGAATACTCACTTGGCAACCTCAACAGAACCATCGGGCTCTGCTGCTGCAACGCACGCGGTACTTCCTCCACCGAAAATCGCCTCATCATTGGTCACATTATCATAGCCGATTTGTAGAAGATCCTTGGGATGCAGGGGACCCTTTACAAAACCCTCTGGGTAGCCGTTGGCAGCTACTGCCATGTAGTCGCAAAGGCCATGAGCAAAGTCCGCGGGATCTACGCCAGACTCGACCCAACCGCCGACGCCATCCGCGACTCCGAAAGCGACCGCACCAGTATCTCCGATCTGGTTCACAAAGAACGAGTCTTGTCCGCTTGCCGGTCGCTTGTGTCCGCCCTTCTTCGTCAACCTGACGAAAGGATTGTGGTTGAAGAGGTTGTACTCGGGATTGAACTGATGGCCCTTTGCAGAGTACGAGGCGGATATCCGGTAGGTGAATCTGGGCATCTGGGAGCCGCTGCGGGCAGTTGTACTGTAGGACCGGGATGCGAGGGCAGTCGAAGCAAGCCAGGAGGAGAGGCGGGGAGCCCTGGCAAGACTAGCGTCGCATAAGGGCAATTGCGTACAGGCTGTAAAGCCGGCTTCAGCAGCTTGAGAGAGCTTGGTTTGCAAGACAAGGCGAGGACCGGCGAAGCTCATCGCAATCGCGATTAAGAGGACAAGAAAGGAGATAAGAAAGCGAATGGCCGCACGCATGGGCGGCTTTGGACAGGCTTAAGCTGTGAGCATCACAGAGCAAAGAGCGGAAGCGAAGTTAGGAGAGTTGAAGTGGGTATAGAATTGTGTGTGCAGTGTGGAATCGGGAGTAAAGGTTTCACAGCGACCCGTAAGCATTGATTTCGTCAATGCACCCCGCCGGCGTCTTGGCGGCGGCGGAGCGGGCGGCGGAAGCGGGACCGTGCGCGCTAGGGAGAGCGCGATGGACCAGTCACGCAATTGACGTTGCCTGCATCGCGCGCGGCATGGACTTTTGCTACCAGCCGGCCGCCTCACAACTACGCTTCTGCCCGCCCAATCCTCGCCGCCACAACGCCGCACCCACTCTCTTTGAGCGCGCTTCCAGACCAACCTGTCTGAGGCTGAACCTCAGCGACCAGTAGCAAAGATGATGCACCCGTCGAGGCAAGCATACGTGGAGGAGGAGCCGCAAGAGGTAAGAGAGCTCCGATTTACCTCTTCTTGCGATCCATCGGTGTTTACGAATATGCAAAATAGAGGGCGCGATTCGAGTGCAGCGTCGCGATCGTACCCTCGCGGCGAAAGTCATGAGCAAGGCGCTGATTTTCATGCCTCTGGACAGGACGTTAATATGGGCGGCATCGACCTTGCCAATGTCCGTAGGTCTCCCCACGCTTCTTCTCCCTTCAAGTTGATGCATGCTCACGTATTTCTACAGCTATCGATCGCGACTATTCCCTTCCTTCCGGTGCGGCCGGAATTCCCTCTGAGAAGGCATCGGCCATCCTTGCTCAATTCGAGCGCAAGCGTCTTGCTGCAACCATTGCCGTTCCCACCGACGATAACAAGGTTCGCCTCCGGTTACGAGAGCTCGGCGAACCTATTACGCTTTTCGGAGAGGGCCCTGGAGACAGGAGAGATCGTCTGCGAGAGCTGCTCACCCAGCAGTTAGAATCAGGCCAGCACGATGCGGAAGGCGATTTGCAAATGAGAGACCAGTCAGCCGAGGCCGAGGCTGAGGATGAGGGAAACGAAGAATTCTATACCGAAGGTCTAGAGGAGCTTCTACAGGCACGGAAGGACATTGCAAGGTATTCCCTGCCAAGGGCACAAAACCGCATTGCGTACCAGAAGATGGAATCTACGATACCCCTACGGACCCACGTCAAGCACCGCAAGGCTATCAAGGAGCGCCTGGAAGGGTTCGACTTGTTTGGATCGCAGATTGCTGGAGACAGGCCTGTCAGCATGGCGCGTTTCTCCCCCAGTGGAGAGATGATTGTGGCGGGTAACTGGGGCGGCAGCATAAAGCTACTCGACGTACCCAATCTGGAAGAGAAGGGGGTGCTTCGAGGGCATACTGACAGGATAGGTGGTCTGGCATGGTATCCCGGTGCTACGCTGCCGGACAGCAATGTCTCCCGCTCAACCCTAAACCTGGCTTCTGGCGGCGGCGAAGGCCAGATTCACCTCTGGTCGCTCGAAGAAGACACGCCGATTTCCTCTCTGTCCGGTCATACTGGACGTGTCTGCCGTGTGGAATTCCACCCCTCGGGCAAGTACCTGGCATCAGCCTCCTTCGACACAACGTGGCGTCTGTGGGATGTGAACACCACAACCGAGTTACTTCTCCAGGAAGGACATTCACGTGAAGTGTACACTGTCAGCTTCAACGCTGACGGGTCGTTGATTGCAAGCGCTGGACTCGACAGTATTGGCAGAGTTTGGGATCTTCGCACAGGTCGCATGGTCATGCTTCTGGACAGTCACATCAGCCCAATCTACGGCCTGGATTGGAGTGCGGACGGCTACCGCGTGCTTTCCGGATCTGGTGATGGATTTGCGAAGTGCTGGGATGTTCGAGCCGTCCGTGAGATGGGCAACATCGGTGCTCACAGAGGAGGAGTGACAGATCTGCGTTGGTTCAAGGGAATTGACGGGCCCGCGAACGGATACATGCCGATCAAGGACGAAAGTGGTAACCTGCAGCCGAAGAAGGCAGGCACTTTCTTCGTTTCCTGCGGATTTGACAAGAATGTTAGGATCTTCAGCGCAGACGACTGGGCGTTGTGCAAGACGCTGAGCGGACACTCCGGCAATGTGCTCAGCGCTGATGTCAGTCACGATGCGAGGTGGATTTGCAGCTCCGGCCACGACAGGACAGTGAAACTGTGGGCTAGGGATGATGGAGAAGGAATCTGAGATCACTTGGGCATAGATCTGAGAAATGGTCTCAGCTCAGCACAAAAAAAGGTCTACTAAAGGTACAAATCTCTGTGCCGCCTCAAAGGCGGGCCGTGGAAAGGCAACATGGAGCGTTGCAGCTTCACGGCGGTATTGATACCGGGCAGACGTTGGCTATGAATGGCCCACGCTTATTATAGAACTCAACCTTCACAGTAGCAGTCAACAACAAGAGGTCACTCCACAGTCCCTCATATCCAGATGTCCAACTTCAAGTTTTAACCGGTGCGTGAACATCCGATGTTGGTGGTCACCGTGGGTTTACACGCTGTGCGCTCCGTAACGGTTCGTTCAGATCCAGACGGAGCAACTTTTCGCGAATCCTATCTCAAAGAACTTTCTGGTATCTTCGCGTTATTATGACGTAATTGTTGACATCCCTTGCTGATCCGCACTGACGCGCTATCTTGGCGTTGACAGCAACGCGACATCCGAGGTCCCAATAATTACGCGTCGAAAACAGTGTCAGAATATAATGCACGCAAATAATTCAAGCACCGCTTTTTGTTTCAACGAATAGCACTGACTTCGACACACCACCGATCATGTCATTCACCGACTCTGAGGATAGAGAGCGTGACTCTGAAGAGAGCGAACTTGACTCTGAAGAGAGCGAGCTTGACCCTGAAGAGAGCGAGTTTGACTCCGAGATTGAACCTGACGGTGTGTCCCTTGTATCTGGAAGCGACACCGATCTCAGAACCAGGCATGCGAAAAATCTCTGTGAAGCTTTGGATGCGATTCAAAGCAGTGGTAGCTTCGCTACTTCGGGATCATTGGATACCGCGGTAGATCCCCAAATCCACGTTGACGGGGTTGGGCGTGTTAAGCTACCATTAAGTGAGCAGGATGCTCGTAGCCTTGTTCAAGCCTGCCATCAGGCTCCCTTTGGCAAAGGCAGCGAAACCATCATTGACACTTCAGTCAGGAATACTTGGGAGCTCAATCCCAACCAATTCCACATCCAGAACCCGGCTTGGACTGGTGTCTTGGATGGGCTGATTGGGAGGGTTTCTAAAGAGCTTGGCCTTGTCGACAGTGCGAATGTCGAGGCTCAGCTTTACAAAATGCTGCTCTACGAAAAAGGAGCGATGTTCAAGGCCCACAAGGATACCGAGAAGGCTCCTGGCATGTTTGGAACTCTGGTCATATGCCTCCCTTCTGCCCACACCGGCGGCTCAGTCAAGGTGAAGCATGCAGGACAAGAGAAAACATTTCGCTCGGAGGAGCTGGGGCAATCATACGTCTGCTGGTGAGTGCTGGTGAGTGCTGGTGAGTGCCCAATAGTGTGTGTAGTACAAAAACTTACTGGTTTAGGTTTGCCGATGTTACCCATGAAGTTGCCAAAATTAAATCCGGCTACCGTTGGGTGCTGACGTACAATTTGGTCAACAAGTCTCCGTCGCCCGATAAAGCCAATCTGATCCCGGGAATCGAAAGGCACTTGCTCCGCTCAGCATTACGCGAGTGGTGGGATGCATGTCTCGTCGACCCTACCGAAGAGCGCGCGTATTGCTACATCTTGGAGCACCAGTACACAGATGCAAATCTTGGTTTCGATTCCCTCAAAGGCCAAGATGCGGCCAAGGTTCGAGCTCTGAGAGAAAGCTGCCAGGATGGTAATTTCTGCTGTTTACTCGCCAACCTTCACCGCGAGGTCTGGGGTGCATGCGTGGCAGAAGATCCATGGCCGGGAAGGGTTCACCACAACACAGACATGTCCGGAGCGTTAAGTCGTGGGGACTTCCATGTCATTGACCAAGATGAAGAAATTACTACCAAGCTCAATCATGTTCTTGACCAAGATGGTACATGGGTGGGGGAAGAGATACCAATCTCCGAGGATGCCGAAATCATCCAGTTCAAGCCTTTCAGGAGGGACCCCGACGACGAGGATTTCATGGGATATACCGGTAATGAGGGAGCCCAAGCCACTCACACTTACAGGGACTCGGTAAGCATTCCTGGTCACCTCCCACGTCATATTACTCATAAGCTTGCAGGTTGTTGTAGTCATGCCGCGGCCACACCTCGCAAAATTCCTCCTCGGACGCTACCTTGATGAGTCTCGTTATTGGAAATGGAGTCCCAAGGAGTACCTCAACAGTCCACAAGACGTTCGCTACGTGGTCAATCATCTTCGCCGTCTAGTTGAGACCAATCCCACAGATGAAGCTTGCAGGTTGGATCTCGAAAAGGCTGCTCGCTTCATCCTGGACAAAGAACGAGCTCAGGGGCGCAAAAGCTTAGATTATTGCGTCAGCCAAGCAGTGAGATGCAGTTTCACATTACGCAATTCTAGGCTCTTTGAGGACGCTGCCTTGCTAGTTCGGCAAAAACTTGAAGACGAGGCGATTGACGATATAGTGGCCTGGATAAGACAATCAGGCCTGACGCCACTCGAAAAAGCGTAAGCTAGGTGATGCTCCATACTGTGCTGTGATACTAACGCATAGTAGGCTTGGTCAATGTTTTTCTTCGGAACAGAGGGTGCATGCTCGCTACAGTAACCTCCAGGATTTCCTTCGGCGCGTGCGCAATGTGAACGAAGCGGCAGACGAAGTCAAGGAACTAAACCTAGATGCCTGGGTCGAGACATTCATGAACGACTCGGTTGAGAATTGCCAGGAGTTGGGCGTAGATGACGCTCCTGTCCTCGCTCAAATGGTCAAGACGTCAAGCCAGCCTCAGAAAACACTCGATAGGTGAGTCGCGCGAAACCATGACGAGGCGAAACGACGATCGGAACGCTAACACACGTCAAGAGTGATAGCAGCAGCTATGCGCAATCTGTCCGACACACCATCAATTATGGCTCTGTTAGCCCATCTGTTTCCTGAGGTTAACTCTGGTGGCCTTCCGGTATCCAAAGAGGATGCTTTGAAAGCATTCCAAGACATTCTGGTGAAGATGATACCGTTGTTAAACCTAGAACCAAAGCCGTCCGAGGAGCCACCAGCCCCACGCGTGTGGACAATCTATTCCCCTGAACCTACCAAGCCGCACGCAGGCATAGCGGAGAGACTAAGTGGTCAGACTCTTGCAGAGCTTTTCCATGTAATTTTTCATCTTCAAACCGAAGCTGGGTTGGACCAGATCCTTGAAAAAATCAGGGCCCAGGCTGAAAAAGCAGACGCAGAGATGTTTCATTCAACACTGCTCCCATTCCTTCAAAATCTTCCACCGGTTGCTGAAAAGAACGGCGTCTCCCTGGGTGGGCGCGAGGGCAAATACCGCACGCTCTACCAAACGGTCCTCAACGCATATCTCAAGCGCTACGTCCGCTCCGAGCCAGTACGACCGCAAACATGAGAAAGAGATCCCGCGAAGTGTAAATGCGAAAATTGCAAATTATACCTCAATCACTTTCTAAGAGATCCGTACGAGAGGTGGGGCAGCTTCAGCTTCAATGAGAAACAGCGCAAGCATTTCGAGCAGAGTATCCGCTACCAATCGCCACCCATCGACTATACCTCGAAGACCATTCGAACCCGCATACCCTACACTTTACTTATTGGGAAAACTGAGAATTCTTGGCGCAGAGAATGGGATGCCTGGGCTGAGAGATCCCGGACAGCTGGGGAGAAATTAAAGCAACTTGACTCGAGTATGGACCTGAAGAATGTCTTGGGCGACCAGTACAGCAAGCTGGTGAGCATGGAGGAAGTGCGAGCTCCAGATGGTGTGAACAATAAGGCGGCCCCATGCCACGCTAACACCAATATCATCCCTCGCATTCTCTATAGTGAGAAGTCTGCCGAGAAACTAAGGGCGCATGTGGCTTACGAGCCACCACCACCCGGATCAGAGCAAGTTGTTGAGTCTGCAGCGGTACGAGGCGGAGGAAGTAGTCAGCAGCCGCTGCGAGCAGGCACGGGCAATGCCGGGGTTTCTCGTGGGACCAAGCGTGCTACTTCGCGGGCTAGAGGCTCGGCAAAACGGCGCAAAACATGAGGGTGGTGTTATGCGGAAGTTCGCGTGTTGAGATATATTGTGGGTAAGTGTTTTGTATGTTTGAAGAGAATAGTCACGTTGGATTCGTCCTGCGTGCTGAGCAGATGTAGAATTAAGGTGGGACGAGATGGCCTTATCTTTCCAATTACCAAGCACGTGCGCTCTATCTGATCAATGGTCCTGAATAGCGGGTATCTCTCTCGACCAGCCTTACAGGTATATACTACACCATTGCAGACCATTACGAAATTTCAACCATTCACATTTTCCGTCTTCCATCAGCAGCACTTCCCGGACTAAATATCACAGTTGAATACACCACTTGCGATGATGATTATCCTCCGCGTGTTAATCTTGCTCTAGGCCGCAACTTCTATCACAACGTTGGTTACGAGCACGACTATTTTAACTACATCGCTTCCTCCCACTCCGACTCCAGCTAAAACGACTACAACTACTATTTCTAGCCCCAACTAGATTGCAGCCTAACACTATTTTACGGCCGGGTGGGAGAAACGTGGGCATACACAAATTCCAACGACTCTCGGGCTTTTCCCCCATACTTTCCGGGGCTTTCATGGTGGGGTTTATTAGATTCAAACGTGATAGGCGGATCATTGCAAAAAAATTTCAAATGGGCAATGAGTTTTTCTTGCAACATAGACGGGGAACCTCTTGGTGATTATAGCAACGGGTGAAAAGTGGACATGATTTTGCACGTGCCCGAAGTTGCTCTTGCGATTGCACCTTCTGCTTCAAGTTTCGTGGCCATGAATGGAAATGGCGAGTGACACGACCGATTTGAGCGTGCAGATTCGACACACCCATGCCAGCAAACCCAGTATCGCTTTAAGATGTCGTTACAGAAGATCTGTGTCGACGCCATTCGGTCACTCTATCTTTCCCTCGTTGCCTGTGCCTCAGTTTTGCGCCACCACCTGGCAATCAACATGGATGCAAAGAACAAGTCCGATAACGGCAAGAGGCGTGTATTTATACCGTCATTTCTGAGGCGCTCCGGCATCAAGCTCACGGCAGATGTCTGCGCGGAGCCATCAGAGCAAGGCGCGCCGGTACAGGTCCCTGATCGCAGCAGCAACCCCGGTAGCGAACCAGCAACACCAGATTTGCAACCACACTCGCATAAACCCCAGAGACACTTCGCCTGGAGGCCACGAAGCTTTCTCAACGAAATCGCCACCACGCCCTTGACACGCACACGCCACTGCGACTCGCCCGCCGACACCATGGGCTCAGGTGAAGCGAAAAAGGCAGAGACGGAAAGCGACTACTTCACTTCAGCCACCCGGCCAAGTTCGGAATCAGACAAAAGTACGCGCATGAAGGGAGACGAAAGTGAGGTGCCTAGCGCAGCCGACGACGGTGCCTCTACGACGGCCATACGCGGAGAAGAGGAAGCTAGCAAGGGCACCGGAAGTAGTAGCGGCGCCGGCACTTTGACCCCGCCCAGCAGCGTCGCTGAGCAGATCGACGGCGTCGACGAGGATTCTGAGACGTCGAGCAAAGCCCCTAGCGCCACCGTGCAGCTGTCGTCTGCCATGGCCGCCTATGAGGTGGCGCGCGAGTGAGTACAAGGCGACCCAGCATGACACATGTGCTGACCCTACATGGCAGGTACCAGAGGCGGGTGGATAGAGGCGAGGTGAGGGCTCCGACAGACCAGGACCGTGCCAACTACGTCAACTGGAAGCGCAACTACATTGCTTGGCTAGCAAAGAAGCGAGGAGAGGAAGCGAGAGAGCAGGTGAGTCGGCGCGAGAGATAACGTCCGTCGACCGGGGGATCGCCAGACCCAGCTGGTTGGGCTCTTCTGAATAGCCCCTGTCTGACCTGTGTTGCAGACATCCCGGCTCTGATCACTTCCGACAACCTACTCTGCGGTGCGAATAGAGAGCGGAGAGGTATCCAGGGGCGACGGGATTGGATGGATACTTTGGCTTGAGCATTAGCTGGTTCGCAGTGCGTTGCAGAGGAAGTATGCACTTCGAAAACAAGTCTTCTTAAATCCAGCTTTTGCATTGTTATCCCGTTATTTGATTTGTAGGCGTTTGTTGCGGACGGGTGGAATGATCAACCCGAAGCAGATCTAAGATTAAAGACGCGGGCAGGCCGAGGTGTTGTATGACTTTATCTGCGGCCTAGCGCGGTCGATGACGGCAGGCAGGCAGGTACAAGCACCAAGCGGAACGCTTCCATGATGAGCTGGGACTCCTTTAGCGCGCCGGCCTAAATGGCGGTTCGGGACGCATGCGAGCGGTTCAACGCCAGGCCTTCGACTCCCCTTTCGGCTAGCCAAGTCGCGACGCCAACGGCGCCTGCTCGGAGCTCTTCCAACTCCATTCCACGGGAACGTGGCTGAAGATGCCGCGCAACGCCTTCTACCGATCGCCGTTCGCATGCCTGCCGCCGGGGTTCAGCCAGCCAGTGTCGTTCCACTAAGAGGGCTTAGTCTTATCTCAACGACCAATGCTCTCACTCGGGACCGTGCCATCGTCTCTTATCTCTGGTACTCCCCATCCTTCACGCATCGACCCTCCTCCCTCGCGGCATTGGCAAGCCTCCGCCACGTTTTGCCGCGTGTGCCGATGCACCATTATTTCCAGAGGCTAATTGCATCTCCCGCTGACTGATCCCTCCGATGCGTCGATTCGCCCAGGAACCATCGCCATGACAAAATCGCTCAGGCCGTTCCACGTCAGAATATTCCAGCCTGTGGCCATCTAGCTCTGGATAGGACCCAGCCGTCCGGTTCGTTCCTTAGAAATCCCGAGGCTTGACGAAACCTTGCAGCCGTGTCGGCACCATGACTCTGGCCCCAAAGATCTTCCCTACCCTTGCCGCCCAAAGGCGAGGATCAGGAAAGAATCATGTCGACCTTCATTCAAGTGTTCCGGCTGAGCCGCCAACCTGAGTTCAAGCAGTGTCAGCCATCGTAGCTAGCTCCGGCAGAGCAAACGCCCACCAGCGGCCACCAACACCAGCCTCACCCATGCCCCGGATGGAGCCGACACCCTTGTCGAGCCTAGCTTTCCGTCGGTATTGCCACGCTTTTCTACTTCGGAGCCCTGTGCATATCTGCAACTGTAACTGACAATCTGCGGTGAATCGCGGGTACGGCGCTGCACATGCTTTACTTCTAAGAACATCTTCCCCGGACTAGCCGCTGTCGCTTTTCCTCACGTTAAGCGTCATGTGCCTGAATGGCCTGATCTTCCCTGCCTTTGAGCTAGCCAGGTTGACCTGCAGGGGCCAGGGGCCGGGGCCCAAAACGTGGTAGCAAGGACCATGTGCTCGTTGCCTAGACATTGTGTGTCCCGGTCCGGATATACCTCCCGCTAGCTATCTTATGCCACGCTCGGCCCTTTTCCCTCAGCTCCTTGGTAAGACCTAAGCATGCCTCTCCCTGCTCCCACATTCCGCAGTCTCGCGACTGCATGAGCAAACACCGAGAAACTTTGCAAAGTATATCGGGCGCACTTCTCCCCGAAACTACTTTCGATTTTGCCTTCACCTGACTATTGATCTCTTCGAATCTCTGGACTTGTTTTCCTTCTCTCCATACACTCCATTCTGGAAACCAACCACCGCTTGACCCGTCACAAAATCGAGCCCCGGGAATGTGCCCGCTGAAGGCTGATCGCCATTGACGGCTCACTCACACGCTCCTTTCCTTTTCCGTCATGTCTGTATTCGACGAGGAGTTCCAGCATGAGCTCACCAGTCAATCATGGGCCCTCTATGCCGTGGGTATACTCCTGATAATTTTCAGAATGTAAGCGCCACCCAACAATTCACCAGGAGAAGTTGGCTTAGTATTTCCGACAGGTATGCACGCGCGCACAGAGTGGGACTCTCAGGGCTGGCAACAGATGATTATCTGATGCTCGTGGCAGCGGTTTGTGCAAAGATTTCCACCATGTGCCCGGAACGGTTTTTGCTTACTCGGTCGCAGTCGTGGTACACTATCTTGATCGTCTGTTTGAACGTCATTGCTGGAGGCGGCGGGAGCAACCTGTTCCTTCCTGAGGAATACGCCGAATTCACCAAAGCCGACATTGAAGATCGAATCATGGGATCGAAAATCGTCATCGTTTCCGAGCAGGTCGGTTTCACTTTGGATCTGTATGCAAAACGTAGTAACTGACCAACTTAGGGCATGCTGAATGTCATCTACACACTCAAGATATGTCTCTTGATCATGTACAGCCGCCTGACAACAGGCGTAGCCCAACATCGTCTTGTCCAATTTCTCTTCGCCTATGTGGCCGTGGGATGGCTGGCTACAGAGATTACCTTCTTTGCGTCTTGCAGACCCTTCAACGGCTATTGGGCAGTACCACCTCCGGATCCTCAATGCGCCACTCTGGAACGCTACGCAATCGTCCAGGTTTGCTTCAACCTGTCTAGCGATCTCGGCATCCTAGTGATTCCAGTACCCATGCTCACTAAGTTGAATATGCCTTTTCGACAACGGCTGGTCCTCGGGCTCGTCTTTAGCTTGGGCATCTTTGTCGTAAGTTGACCACATCAGTTTTCGGCGCGTGATCTGACGCAAAGGTACATCTAGATCATCGCCGCAATTCTCACCAAGGTATACAACCTTTCCGATGTTTACGACACATCGTATATGCTGTGGTACACGCGCGAAGCATCAGTCGCAGTATACGTCGCCAATTTACCGATGATATGGCCTCTCCTTCGCGAATGGTTCCCGTGCTTGCGCAATATTTCGACGGGCAAGAGCTACCCTGCAGAACGACGACCATCCGGATACTACGGAGATGGAACACGGCTACGCAGCACGCCGGGCGCGAAACAACACAGAACGATCCGCGATCTCAGGATCTCGCACCACTCGAAAACATTCACGAAATCGAATTCAGGGGGTTCGTTCGTAAAAGGCGACATAGAACTAGGGATCAAAAGTATCGCGACGGTGCGCAGTGGCAGTCCGGCGAGCTCGGAGCGGGCGTTGAACCCGGGAGATATCCGCGCCGAAGTCACAATTGAAGTGGCGCGTGAAAGGCCGGAGGAGAATGATGGCAGTCGGCCGGCGGGAATGAGCCAGGGCGACGCATTGACGTGGACGCATGCCACATCGACTGCGCCCATGACCGAGACCAGCATAAGCGGACCGGAGCGATTTGAGAGATGATTCTATGATGAGATACCTATGTCTAGATTTTTTTTTCTACGTTTGGCCCTTAGAGATGATCATGGAGGCGCAAAAGGGGGATTCGTGTAGGATGATCTGGCGCCTGGCGATTCTGGAGAACTGGTAGAGTCTGGACCGCGCGGCGCGGGATATTTATATAGAGTTCATTAATATGGGGAAAGTACAAGGAGCATTCTCTTGGCGGGGTGGGAGCCCGGAGCCGATGACGTCCTTCGCTCACATGGCGTCGAACTCCCCGCCAGGGGACGCGCTCTGCCCGACCCCAAACAACCATGGCCCGGAACCGCCGCCTGTCGCCCTCCGCCCAGCAACCATGCACCGCTCCGATAGCATCGCCATAGCGAAGCTAGCCCAGACTGGCCGCAGCTCCACCCTCGCCGCCCCCTTCGGCACCAAGCAAGAACGCGACCCGTCCGTCAAGCGCTCGCACCTGTCGCTGCATGGCCACAAGCACCACAGCCATCATCACCACCACCACCATCGCCACGCCAGCCGCTCTTCCAAATATGGCGGCGACGAGAAGGAAATCAAGTCGGCCGTCCTGCCCACCGTGCGCCCCCAGTTCCCGGAGATGAACGTCGTAAAGCCTGCGAACAGCAGCACCAGTGGAGGCAGCGGCAGCGCCAACGACCTCGTCAGCCCTTCCGTCGTTGCCGAATACGATCAGGGCGTGCGGCGCGTGGCCTCGCGCGTCATCAAGCCTGAAGATGTATCTCGTGAGCGTGCCCGCCAGAGACAGCGCGACGAGTAAGTTTCTACTGCTTTCTTATTGATCCTCATGTCTCACGCCTATGCACGTCTTTGGTCACCCACACATCCGTCCTTGCCGCCTTCACTCAGACATTGTCTCAACCTTTTTTCCTCCTTTATCTCTTCTTCCCCAGCACAAGCCCGTGTTGGACAACATCGCTAACCGCTTGGCACCTCACAGACAACTCCGCACCGCGCTACGCGTCCTCGACGAGCAATCCATGGCGACGACGCGGCGGCTCGACGATACGTACTACTCGATCCTGGAGAAGGTGGCGAGCTTGCACGGTACCATCGGCGGGCTGCAGGAGCTGTCGACGCTGACGAAGCGGCTGCGCGCGGGCTTCGCGGCCGACGCGGCCGAGCTGGTCGACGAGGTCGATGGCTCGCTCGACGGCATTGGCGACTTCGCCGCCCAGGCCCGCCTGCTCGAGGAGTTTGAGGCCCGCATCGCCGCAGGCAAGGAACGCGCTGCCCGCCTGAATGAGCGTCTCGACGCTGCCCGCAAGCGCGTCGACGAGCGCGAGCGCATGGAGGAGGAGTGGAGGACCAGCGTGAACCGTAAGTCATTCGCGGTTTTTTGGGTGTTGCATTTGTGAGGGGAGGGTGCTAATCGGTGTGAACAGGCCGTCTGCGAATCTTTTGGAGTGTTTTGGCCGCTATGGTTGCGCTGTTCCTTGTTGGCTACATCGTATACGGTATCCGCACCCAAGGCGCTGGTGAAGCCGTGTCGAACACAACCAACGCTACCGCTAAGCGCAACTTTTCCGTCGACTTGGAGAACGTGGTCGTGCCGCCGCCCGTCCGGGATATCCTTGACAGTGTTCACAGCTCTCCCTCGAGCGCTACCACGCCGTCGCCCCTGACGTCAAACGCTGCGTCGGATGATGAGATATTGCACGTATTCGACGAACTGTGAACCGAATCATGGGGTGTTTATGGAGAAAAATTCCGAAAGATTTTGGGTTAAAGGCACGATTGTGTATTAGCAAAGCCCAAAACATGGCCTCATGGACTTGGAGGCCTTCTTGCGAGTCACAGCGCTCCTTATCGACGCCAAGGGTCTCGCCCGCTATCGCCCGTCTGGACTTCCAAATAGCGCTATCGCCTGCTTCGGTTTTCAGCCACTGATCCGCTGGTGTGTGCTGATCGGCTTTTGCGCTTCGGGCGAACCATGCGCGATTATTCAATATGCTAGATTTTTTCCCCCCACGGACGCGCCCATCCAATCACTAGCTTCATCGCAGCCTAAATCCCGACCAGATCCCAGAGGGATAGACAGGCGCGATCGTCGGGTGTGGAATTCCACTGCGTGTTCGCTCTCAGGGCCATGCGATAGTTGAGAGTGGAAGTGGAAAAAGGGGAAAGATTTCTACACTTGGAATCGAAATTGTGGTTACGGAGGCTTACTATGGATGGCGTAGTTGCTATTCGAGTGAGAGGCAAATAGAAGAAAGGGACCTGAAAATGGCCCTTCATTACGAGTCTAGGTCGAAAGACCGTCCTACTTGGAATCTATTGACCCCAACAGGGCAAGCGGTTACCTGTCAATTTTAGGGGAGGGGTATACAAGGGTCAACAAAAATAGCGCTGGCCTCCACGTTCAAAGCCGAGCTACCTACCCTCATGCCAAGCTCCTCGCCACCAGCTACACCAAGAAAGGCACCAGCAACCGACAGATGGATCTCTAATGCCGGATCTCACTCACTTATGAGGTTTGCAGCAAAGGCCCAAGGCCTTGCTAGCTCATATGCGCAACTAAGGGTCCAATATGACCTCCTCTTGACTCAACACACGCAATTGCTATGAAGAATCAATACCCACAAGACTACTACTGGCAAACGGGAGATCAGCAAAGCAAATATCTGGTCAGTTACCGAAGCACTGCTACATTTCAGGAAGAGCATCGAGCAGGAACGTAAGAAGGAGGAGTGGCTTGTTTGCACTGCTGCGAAGAAGGCGAAGAAGGTCATATCTACTGCCCAGATTGCCCGTGAGCCTTCACAAAGACAACCAGACTGTCTCTCGCAGTCGGAAAGAGAGATGCAAGCATTCATTGAGGAGTTTGACATGGTGGCCGCTGATATGTGTGATATTGCACAGAAGGTTGGGTATGCAGTGACGCAGAGGGTGAAACAGACCCTGAATACCACCGAGAAGCCTTCATTAATGCCTCTCTCATAGAATTTGCGCAAGACGAGGTATCAATGAGGGCAGAAACCGAGTATAATGTCACCAGCGAGGTGGTGGTGAAGGTGGTGACGTGAGCAACTATTGTATCGTATGATACATTCATCCATGGCTTGATCCGTAGAACCTTGTTTTTAATTATTTTTTTGAGCCCAGTGCATTGCTCTTTCAGCTGTATCTTGAGTGCTAGTTCTTGCGTTATGTAAGTTGCATAAATTGGTCTGGAACGGTATATTGACGTTCGTGCAGTAAGTTTGACAACCTGTAATGTATTGATGCGGCGAAGGCTTCACAAATTATTTCGAGAAATTCGCAGGCACAGCTTAGCGCTTGACCGGAAACGATATTAAGAGAGTGAGGGTTGGAAGCTTGAACAAATGGAGGCGAATGGTATATTGCTTGAGTGAATCAGGAGCTGGTTATTTTACGTCAATATTGAGGTTTGTGAGCTCGAGACCGTGTCTGCAATTGTTCCGTCTCGCATATATCTAATTTGAAGATAACTCCTTACAGCCTCCTTTTACCATTGGGTAGCCCATTCGCTTATCCTATGTAAGCTGACGTGAAAGGAGGGCCGGTCCGCACCATCGTCGTTACTATCGGGATAAACCAGTCTTCACTACTACTTGCGGCATATTGTTCTTGACCTACTTCGTGCTGGGCGCTTGAAATAGTCTGATCGTTGTAGGCATGACCGACTGAGATGCACGAGCCTGTCACTCAACAAAACAAAATGAACTGAGCAGCTTAAGGAGGGCAATCTTAGGTCATGATATTCATTTCGGTTGCATATTCTATGTGCATCTTTGCAAAGATCGGAAATCGTCTTATTTGGTAGCAGGCTGCACGATAGTGTTTCCTGGAAGTATGTGTTAGCGTATCAGCTTATTCAACGTCAGGAGCTTTAGATGTTTGCACACCTCCATCTGGGTACACTATTTGCTCATTGTAAAAAGTACCTCCACGGCCAGCGAGGAAGAGGATAGTTGCGGCCATATCGGAGTCGGTTCCGTAGCGGCCTGTGGTTCGGAATGCAAACGTCAGCACCATTCCATTCCACGTTTGAATGGTTACATACCGGAGGGATTTGAAGGCGTCGTTCTCAGGCTGGACTTATTATTTTCGTCGGAGTCTCCGGTAGTCATCTAGAACCGGTCCTGTCAGCGACTGCTTTTTGAATCACTCCTTGGCCAAGGTGTGTCACAAAGTAAGAAGTCACTTACTTCGCTTGGAAACATGCCGGGTGCGATCGTGTTAACTCTGACACCGGTCTTGACAAAAGTCGTAGCAAGCATGCGGCCGACGTGGGTGGCGGCAGCCTTACTAGCAGCATAGGCAAACTGACCGCCGCTGCTGCCCTTCATGCAGCCGGAAATGCTGCTTACATTGACGACGCTGGAAGAGTAATCGGGCACCACCTTGCCGCCTTTGGCAAGCAGCGGAAGGAAGGCCATGGAAGAGAAGAAGATGGAGGTCACATTGGTACGGAAAGTCTCGTCCCAGTTTTCGGGCTGTGATGCGAGGAAATGCTCGGAGATGGCGGCGGGGTCGGCGAAGTCCAGGGGCTGCCCCCTGCCAGAAAGTTTGGTGTGGTCATCCCGAGCGATTCCTGCGTTGTTGACGAGGAGCTGGATGCCGTTGGGCTCCTTCTTGGAGAGCTCTGATGCTAACCGCTGGATGTCGGATTTGGAGCTCACGTCGCCGGGTAGGCTGTAACAGGAATGTGAGCTAATCAGCGACGTAAATGGTGGGGTAGGGACACGCACGCAATGATTTGGCCAGGCCCCTTGTTGTAAGTTTCGACGGTCTTCTCCAGTTTCTCTTTTCTCCTTCCAACGATGTAGACTTTAGCTCCGTTGGTGGCCAGGGCCTGAGTGATCATCAGGCCGATGCCAGTAGCGCCGCCAGTGACGACAGCCGTGACGTGTGACACGTCAAACAGCTTTGAGCGGTCAAAGTTTGCGGCCGCTGCGTTGCTCATAGCAGCCATGTTGCGGTAGTTGGCAATGGCGTAGCTAGTGCGGGCAGAGAAAGCGGCTCTCACTGACGGGGCAGACCGGGAGAACAGGCGAAGCATGGTTTGCGATGTAAGTCACTTGCGGCGGATCTGAAGCTTTTGACGTGGGCGACGTGTGGATAGATGTGGATCTCGCGAGAAGATCATGCACGGTGGATGTTCATCATGACGTTTTCTCCGGGCGGTGGGCCAGACGTCATCAGGGTCCAGGCGACAGATCGTCATAGATTGAGGTGCTGATGGCATGACTGTCAACGATGATTCTGATATCGACACCCTGATCGCTCGGTACCAAAACACAGAAGCCAGCGGATTGGCCCCATTTTGGATGGATTAACCGCAGCCAATGCGGATCCCCGGCAAGCATCAGCCGCCTGTGCTGGGCCGGACCGAAACACAACCTACCAGAGGCTCGTTGACACCCCGCAGCGAAGATGGAAACAACAGACGCAGCAGCAGCGACACGCTGGCTAGGGCCGGAAGGCACGACTAGTGGGGAGGAGCGGCCATGACGCATGCGGCAGGCGGACCGCGACCCCCGCAGCGGCAGTAGATGGAGGCGTTGCCGATCCCCCTCAGTTGTCAGGCCTTGTCAGGCACCGTGCAGCAGCTGCCACATGATGCCGACCCCAGCCATCTCGTGTGTTGCTTTTTCCTTCTGTGCCGTACTTCAACTTGCATTCCTCCGTCCACCGTTGATTCTCCACCCTCGCATCCCGCCCCGACGTGCCACCAGCTGCGTGTCTTATACTACCCACACAACTCGACGCTGATCTCCCTTGCTTCATGTTTATCACTCTCCGTCAAAACTCTTTAAGATTCCACCACACTTGACCCCAAAATACGACTCACCCACACCTATTTCTCGCAACCACCGCCAGCTGATCCTTATATTTCTTCGCTGAACATTTTCACACCCACTATGAGCGGCAACCAAGCGCCCCTCCGGGCCGCCGACTGCGCATCCGCAGGCACGGCCTACCCACCTATCTCCACGCCCACCATCTTGCCACCCAGCAATCCTTGCATATATGGTTATACCTCAGGCGCCCTCCATACTACCTACACGCTTCCCTACAACCTCACTACTGTCCTACCACACATCTCCTCCTTCGGTAACATCGACTGGACCGGCCAGATCGACCCGGACACCTCCTCCGTCGCGCTCAACGGCACCGACAACGAACCCGGCACCGCACGCGCCTACACGCTCGCCGACGGCGCTAGACTGGTCGAGACACTTCTCAGCTACTCTTCGTCGCCGGCCGACCAAGGCACCTCATCTTCCGGCTCCTCCGCCGCGCAGCTCGTCGAAGTCCACAGCATCGCCCACCTGTACCAGCCGCTGGACCGAGACGCCACCAACGTCAGCCTGACGTCCGACTCGGTCGAGTACGCCGCGCCCAACGGGACCTTCGGCTTCTACGCGGCGCGCGACGCCATGCGCGTGGCCGGCGCGTGCGGAAGCAGCAGCGGCAGCAGTAGCGCGGGTCAGGCGGCCGCCGCCACAACGTTTGACTTTTCGGCCGACTTCTGCGCGACTGATGCCGACGCTGCTGCTCGTTGGTTCCGCGCGCGCCATCTCAACGCCATGGCCACGCTGGGTCGCATGCTGGGTGGCGCAGGCGAGAACGTGACGGACTGCGCGAGCCTGGAGGCTGCCGGAGGTGGGGACGGCGGAAGTGCCGGGAGTGCGGCTGAGTCGTCGCCAAGTAGCGCGGCGAGCCATCAGCAGATCAGGATGAGCATGGGGACGGCTGTGAGCTTGGTTTTGGCGGCTTGCATGGCGTTTGCGGCGTTGATGGCGTGATGAGTGTGGTTGGTGTTGAAGCGAAAGGCGGGGGAGGGGCGATGTTGGAAGCGTACTTAGACTGCTAAACGAATGATACCCAGCCCTGATGGGCGCAACGTTTTTTCCACGACACTACCAGGCCCTCTTGCCAAGAATGTGTTTTGCATGGATGTGAGACATGTGTACTTTCCATGCAGGCTATAAAAGCTGAAAATCGCGACGATGCAGCTAAATATTAGGTGTAACTTAAGCCTCAGTAGAACATTCCATGTGCAATGTCCTACTGCGCGCTTGCAATTTCGATATTGCCCATTCTCACGCGCCCGCATACTTTGCAGGGCTAGAATGGAACAGAGAGCTTTGTGAATGCTCTAGTAGATACTGGATAAGACGCGTGTACATGCATGCCTAGTAGCGGGCCTCTACGCGCACAGACTCCCGTTTAAGCAGGCAACAAACAGATGCTCTACATGTCTCTCCTTATATGCGAGTTGCCGTGGCACACCTAGATGAGTCGGCAGTCACGCTCGACAAAATTCTCTCTTACCTGCATTCTCTATCGTTGCCAAAAAAAAAAAAAAAACTGAAGTCCGAGGCGGAACACTCTCAACGCAAGCGATGCATAATTCACTATCAGGACGTGGGCTGAGCACGAGCAGCAAAAATCGTGGGGGCGACCTTTCCCCTTATAGGCATCGGATGCTAAGGAAACGATTTCCGCTGGGGGAAGCCTGAGTCGTAGATCTCCCGTCGTAGTGTTTTCCTGTTCCTGTTATTCTCACTCTAGCCTGGACCCTGTCCTGTGGATTGCGCAATCTTGAGGGGACGAACCGGCAGCTCCCGGCCTATTTTTTTTTTCTTAGCGGGGGATCAAAACATGTATGGAATCTTGCCATCCGCATAGCGATGCGATGGTCGTACGAACAAATTTCGACTGTGCGATGCTGCCTGTTGCTCTCGCCGTCTGTGGCGATGCACACATTTATTCACTGTTTTGCCTGTGCACCATAACCCACATTTTGGACTTTTTTTTCCTTGAGTTATTTACACTCTAGAAGATCTCGCAAAAACGACAAAGACGAAGTAATGTAAAAGAAAAGGACCGACAGACTCCTGACTCGAATAGCCCAAAGCCCCCAAGGCACCCATTACTTTGTTTGTTGTTAATCGATACCCAGAGATGTGTGAGTTGGGCAGGGAAAAAAGAAATAAGAAATGCACAAAAAAGAATTGAGCTGGAGTCTTCGCTTTATGCATGGAGAGATCACTCTCCCCTTCTTCTCTGTCATCGGCGCAAACGCAAGGTCAAGGCTTGGAGAGACGTGAATAGGCAAGCATGCCTCCATGAGCGCGGGGGAAAAATAGAGTAGTCATCCCGCTTTGGGCCAGAAAAGGTGGCCGGTGTAAAACAGCAGAGAAAAAGAGGAAACGACAAGATGATGCAGGAGAGAAAGACGTCTATGACGACACCTGGTTTCGCCTATCGCTCCGAAACTTTGCAAGTCATCAACAAGTGGCGGTGAGAGAAACTCTGCTTGGTGGAGCCCCTGGTATTGACACGCCGTCTGAATCCGGAAACGCGGCACTCGTGGTTTGTGTCGATCCTGTAGGGGAAGAAAAGGCCGACTCGCTCAATGCATCGGAGGCTGGTAGTTGATCGGTCGCCTGGGTCACTTGTTAATTTTTTGGTTTCGAAATTGGTCGCCTAAGAGCCGTTGGTTGTGACGAAACGTGGGTAGGTGACTCAGTATTGCGGGGACACTTACTTGAAGAGAAGTATGTGAGGCTCTGGCTCATGGACCTCGTAGTGCTCCCACCCCAGACTCTGGAGGACGTTGCATTAGTTCTCATTGTGACTCATGGAGGGACCAGAAGGGCGGGCCTACCTGAGTGATTCCCAGAGCTCTCCATTCCTCCTCCCATAGCAGCTTCAGCGTTCCCCTGGAGCCGTCAAAGTACTCCTTCGGTATGACCTTGAGCATTTGCTTGGGCAGCTGGACGTGACGGTATTCATATTCGCTGTCCGAGTACCTGCATGGCATCTCTGTTAGTATGCGACCACGCATCTGATTGGAGAGCGCGCGGACAGGCTGCGACAGCTGGCGCGCTCGGCTGGGGGGAGATGCGCGCACCGTGCGGAATAGTGGATGCTCTCGACAAACTCATCCAGCTTGTCCTTCTCTGACTCAGACAAGGGTCGCGGCTTCTTGTTGCGGCGCGTGATGTCAATGCCCATATCCATGGTGAGATGGTGTTGGTGGTTGTTGGCAGCGAGGGTGCGGGCCGATGTTGACGTGGAGCGGTGCGCGGCGGGCGCGGCGGGCGCGGCGACTCTCTAGCGGGGGCTCGGCTGTGGACGGCGCTGAGTCGGGAGCGGTGGAGGGGAAGGAAGGCGCTGGACGTCGTGGGCGCGGTCGCAGGCGGGGGTCGTGTGCGCGCAATCGAGGGGTGGCAGGACGTTGATGGCGCAGCGGCGGCGGAGGGGTAGCGGGGGATGAACAACAATGGCGGCGTCAGGAGCGCAGCGCGTCGAGTAGATTGGGCGCAACGCGAAGGCCCTGTAGCGACGGCGTGACAGCTGTGGGCGAAACGACTGGCGTCGAGTGGAAGTGCGAGGCACGGGTGAGTGAGTGGGTGCGACAGCTGGCTCTCGGTGACAGCGGCTTCGGGGCGCGGTGACTTGGTTCGCGGAGCGACGGAGTTGAAAACATTGCCATGACCTGATGCACGGCCCAACCCGCCGTTTCTCACGGCCCTGGCATGGCGATCGATGCAGACCGCTTTGCACCCAACGTCACTTTGTTTTGCACCTTTGTTTCAATTTCAACCGTCTCTCTTGCATTCGTGCGGCCCATCGGCCTCTATCTACGCATGCCAAGCGGCAAGCTGTGTGCTATTGCCGCTGCCCTTTCGGGTGCTTCCCTTCCCTTTCAGGAACAAATTCAATCAATTGTGAGGTCGTAAAAGATCGTAGCGAGTGTGAGTGGAAGTAATAGTGGGGTATAGTCGCCAATCCTCCGCCGCTGTTTTGCGGCCTCCCCCTGGCAACGCGGTCGCGTCTCAAGTATGTATAATGTAAAGTCAAGGAAAGTTAGGGAACGAAATTAAAAAATATCAACAAGAACAGATGCAGTGTGTGCAGGGGAGTTGTCTCAACATCCTGGTGAGCCAAACTCGCGGGTGGGGACCACTGTTTGCCTGCAATTAGGCACGTGCGTGGACTGCGGAGAAGTGGACTTTTGAATCCCCTTCAATCCCCGGGCTGGGCGGCCCATGCGCCGTCTAGATCCAGGTGGTGCTGAGCGTCGGCGTGGGTGCCAGTGGTCGCTTGCTGTATGTTGCCGCCATGAACGGTGCGATCTCAGCCAAGTAGTCGGAGGCGCAGAACTTCTGCAGCCCGCGCTCTACCATGTATCTCGTGTCTTCGTCCATCTCAACATCGCGAATTACGCCCCCGAGCTCCTCGGCAACTTCGTTCAGCTGTTCCAATTCGCGTCCGAAAGGGTGGTTCGGTTCCACGCCGCCTCCGCTTCTGAAGAAATCCACGGATGAACGCTGTTCCTGGAGTGAAGAGCTGCGGCCGTGGAGGCTGCTAGGAGGACCCATGCCGCGAATCGATCTCTTGCGCGCCACAACTTCATGCGCCTCTTTGCTGTGCGAGAGCGCCCGCTGCGGAACGTCAGGGATCGATTCCTCAGCCTTTCGGCTGGATTCCTGGGCTGCCCGAATGCTGTCGATTGACCTCTTGGTTCCCAGACTGCGCTTGGCTGGGCCAATGTCGAAAGACCTCTTCGAATCCAGGGAGCGCTTCGATTGAATGTTGTCCATCGAACGCTTCGATTCCAGAGACCTGTGACTCTGGTCGATGCTCGGGCGCGACGAAGACTTGGAGTGCGAAATCGAGTTGGAAGCAGAGCGGGGAGTGCGGGATCTCTCGGGGGCAGCCTTCTTAGCGGAGTCGAAAAAACCGGTCAAGTGGTTCGTCTCGGGCGACGTAGGAAGGGAATCCAAGGAAGATGCATCCGTAGAGACACCGCGGGAGCCACTAGAAGTAGAGCTGCGGTCCGATTCCTCGGAGTGCGTGGTCATATGAGATTCGTTCGAGACTTGGCGTAATCCAGCAATATCGGGAGCGTTGTAGGAGAGCATATTCGTGGTAGAAATGAGATTGACCGGTCCGGAGATCTGGACGCGGTTGATGGAGGAGTTGGAAGCCTTCTTCATGCTGAATGCGCGGCTAGGAGGAGAAGCAATCTTCTCGGGCTTCTTCGCCCGGCGAGTGGTCAGCGACCGAGAGATAAAGTCAGCCATGGCGATGGCGGCGGTATGTCTTCTTGACAGTTGGCGTCACACAACGGTGGGAAGGCGGGCTCTTAAAGTAAAGCAAGATATGAAGAAGCAGCCGGAGGTTGGGGTCGATGGGAATGCCAGGTCGAGGTGCAGAAGACTAGTGGTGCGGGCCTTGCAGTTGAAATTGTCACGAGCTGCGACGTGCTCTGGTCCGGAAGGAGGGAGGGCAGAGGGGTAGTCAAGTGCGCGGCGCGGGTCAGCTGTGCAACCACGGCGAGGTCAGAAGGCGGTGGCAGTGGTTCCGGATTTGGAAGTAGTCGATTCCCAGGGCTTCTGGAGAAACGGTTTTTTTTTTGTCGCGCGGTCGTCCTGCGGTGAGACGCGGTGGATTTAGTGGTACGTTTCGCCGGCTCGCAGCGAAACAAGGCAAAGGTGGAAAGGAAGGTGAAGGCAATGAATGAGAGGGCGGGTGCTTGTCGTCTAAGGAGCGAAGCAACAGAGCACGGCCAGAGGGTTGACGAGAAAAGAGTGAGAAGCGCGTTGCGCTAGGAGGGAGGGAGCAGAGATATGGGAACGGGGGATGCTCGCAGCACGAGAAGCGCCGACCGAAGGTGAAAAGGCGACGGCAGAGCGACCACTGATTCAGCGGGCACGGCACAGGCGTGCGAGATCGCGCGGCGCTCGCGGGCCTGTAATTGGGCCGGCTGCAGACCCGGCCCCTGCTGCTGCGTCGGAGAAGCGCCGCATTGGGCTGGGAAACGACGCATGCGAAACAACCCGGGGCGCCCCAGTATAAACGTCCTCGTCTCAGCTATATGAGGCCTCCACGCGGGAGAGGGCGCGGCGGCGCAGCAGCGCACACGCTTTGCGCCCGCCCTCCCATCCGCAGTCCGCAGCAGACTTCACAGCCACCCGGCCGAGGATCTGTTTGCACGGCTTCCCGCGATCGCTGTAGCCGTTGGGGAGGATCTTCGGGTGGGTAATGCGTGTGGTGCTCGGCAGCCAGCCGCCGCGCTAGCGGGTGGGCCGTGAGCCTTTTGATGCGCCGGGCGTGCAGGGCGCTGCCGCGTGCTGGCCTGCTGGTTCGCCGTTGACGTCGCCGAGGGAAGCAGGACGCCTGGCCCGCGCGATCTGGCCAGGCACCGGCCAGAACCGTCGCTCAGGCTGGCAAGGGCGCGCGGTACGCTAGCAAAAGAGCTTTTCGCACGCTCTCGAAGGCAGCAAGGACCAGCACAGGACCCTGGCAATCGCCCGCACCACGGCGCTGGTCTGCCGCTCTCACGGCGACGTGCAGGGACAGCTCACAGCAAAAGCTCAATACAATATATCGCAGCCTGCGGCACGCCGGACCGCGCTGCTGCTCGGATTTGCCCGCCGCCAGTCCGGCGCCTCCTGGCTGCACGCCATGAACGGGCGGGACGTCGGCATGGCTGAACAGAACAGCCTGTGGTCGCGCGCTGCCCGTTTTGGCCGGCCGCCCTTCCTCCCGCGCATTCTCGGCCAGCCACGAATTCCTGCATGTCCAGCACGCGCGCCAAAACGAGCACTGCCGTGCATTACCGCCGTCCCAAAGCAGAACCGATGTCGTGCGTATTTTAGGATCATCATATCAAATCACGCTGTGAAAGTCTCTCGCTAATTCTCAGGGCCTACGCTTGGTTCCGCCCGTGGTCGCGCGCTCATTACTCGTCGGCAGCCAGCTGACCGGAGGGAGGGTGGGGGTGAGAATCAATTCTGCAACACTTTCGAGGTTGCGCAGCACAACAACTCGGGCGTTGAACTGATGTACGCTCACTGATGTACGCTCAGCATGGACTCGATTCCACTACAGCTCCGCTTCCCGAGGCACTCCTGCCAGGTTGCCTTTCAGCCTTGCGGTCCGCGGATGCCGGCTAACTAACATTAATGTGCCCACTTGAAACCGTCCACAAAGCCATCCGCTCCCTATACTCCCCTTAATGGTATATTTCGCCGATGAAACGCGCCGGCTCTAGAAATTCCGCCGCTCAAAGTCAACTGTTCGCGAGACATGCTTTTTCAGTGGAGATTCGCCTTGCCTTGCTCCGAATTGCTTTGTTTAGTCCCGATCTGGCTGTCTTCCAGGGGCAACGTGACGGATCGAACGCCGATTACGCCGTGATGTTCGGTCACGATACCCTCAGCCTTTTTTTCCTTTTGGGCGCGGCAGCGATCGTCGCAGCCACGGGTGAGTCTCCGCGGCGACGTACTCCGTCGTAGCAACCCCAGCTGAGTGCTCCCGCTTTACTCCTCGTCCATGGATTCCCAACCATCTGGCCCCGCGTCGCTGCCTTTGCCGTCCTCATCTTCATCCTCACCACTGTCAGACTCACTATCCGACTCTTGAACACCAACAAGCCTCTCCTTGACTTCGCCCTCGGCGGGCGCCACTCTGTGGGCAAAAGCGCGTCGCACTGCTGCGTTGGTGGACGTGTCCCAGACCTGAACAGAGCCTTTGCTGCCTGCCACTGCCAATCTAAAACCAACTTCCTTATCGGGCGCAAATGACGTAGAGAACACTTTGCCGACGCCGAGGTTCCTCGACACAACCATGCTTGGTCCCGTGGGCTGGACATTCCAAAGCTTGACTTCCTTGTCCGTCGAACCAGTGGCGATGAAGCCGGGCACCACAGGGTTAATGTCGAAGGACGAGATGGACTCGTCGTGTGCCTGAAGAGTCCAGATTGGCTTTGTCTGCGACGGATCTGAGGGAGCAAGGCGGGCATCGTGGTAGTGGATGATGCCATTCTCAGTTGATACCTAACGACAATCAGTGAAATTCCTAATCCTGTGACACCAAGACTTACGTAGAAAAAGTTGGGATCGTGGGGGTCCCATCTGACTTGTTCAACGTCACTTTCCACGCCCCATCTTGGGACCTTAGCATCCGGCGCCCGCATATCCGCTGCGACGACGGTCCTATCGTAGCTTCCGCTCAAGAGCACAGTCGTCTCCGTCGGATGCCACGCCAGAGAACAAACTTTATCTGTGTGGTAAGTGTAGGACTTCGCACACTTGGTCGTGTTCAGATCCCAAAGCTTAACCGTCTTATCTGCGGATGACGAAGCAAGCAGGTTGCGGTGCGTGCGGTTGGCAGCCAGAGAAAGCACGGCATCGACGTGGTAGTCGTCGTTGGCCTTCTTAGACTTCTTCTTCTTCTTCTTTTTCTTGGGCTTCTCGCCATTGGGCATGTCCTCGGCACCTTGCCCAAGAATGGCATTGGGGTACATGCAGTCCACAATGTCAAGATCCCAAATCTCGATGTCCGGATCCATAGTACCCACAGCGACGAAATTGCCCCTCGAGTTCTCCTCAATCGGGCCCTTGCCTACTGGTGTGTTCAGCCACTCCACCGTGAGAGGAATGGCTGGCAGCATAATGTCGTGGTGGACGTAAAGGTTGTCTGCCTCGTCCTCGTACACATACACTTCGAGATGCGCCATCTCATCTTCTATCCTCGCTGCTAGGACCAGGTTGTCAGAGTCAAGGATTTGCAGCTCCTCTCTCTCAACATCGTCATCAACGTTGTCAGGCATAGTGATGTATGGGTCGTCGTCGTTGTTCTCGTGGTAAACCAGAGACTTGACATTTCCGAAGATACCAAGAGGTTCACCGTCCTTGTCAACGGCACCCTCGTCGTCATCGTAGTGCTCGAGATCGTACTCTTTCAAATCGTCGTCGATTTCGCTTTAGATATCGGTTAGACATGGATTGAACGACGAATGCAAGGCACGCATACATATCATCCTTGGAGGCTGCGATGGCAGCAGCATTCGATTTGGGCTCCTCGTCTTCGTCGCTCTTGTCGCCGTTCTTGGCCGCATCTAGGTCGTCTTTCGCATCGTCCAGCTGCAGGCGCGCAAGCTGCGAAATGCGCTCGAATTCGTCGTCGTCGAAGATATATTTGTGAGGAAAGGGTGCCGCGAAGCCGCGCGGCACCCAGGTGGTCGCCGTGATCATAGACATGTCGAAAACGTCCTGGTGAGGAAGCGTGGATCGCAACGGCAACTTTTTTGCCTGCCGCAAACTGGGACCCTCCAAAAAAGTTGCGAGCGGGCGCGCTCGGGCGATTTCTTTTCCGCAGTCTTGGCAGCTCTTTCGCCGCCTAAACCTCCGCGGCGGCGACACCCAACCTCCCCCGAGTCCCTCGCGCCAGCCCACCGCGTAAGGCCCATCCGCTTCATTGAAAGCTCCGCTCGTTGAATCCGACATGGAAGACGACTACCACATCGCGCCCAAAAGGCGCAGACTGGACTCGTACCAGCCGCGTCCCTCTACCGACCGCTCCTCACGACCGCACCAGACACCGCGTTTCCACGACTCACGGGCAGAAACACCGCGAGGCCACAATGCAGGCTCAACCCCCCGTCAGCGGGAATTTGATGGGCCTGAGCCTCAGATTGATGAAGAGGCTGTCATGGCCTTAGATCGAGACTGGTATGGCGGTGAGGAATATGGCGGACACAGTCTCGGAGACGATACACACAATCCTTTCGGAGAGGACAGCACATGGTTGGATCAGCAGCGGGAGGCGGCAATGGCGGAGAAGAAGACCAGCAAGCGCATGAACGCGCGACAAGTGCAAAAACAGAAAGATGTGGACGCCTGGGAGACGAACCGAATGCTCACCTCGGGAGTGGCTCAACGACGCGACTTCAGCGGCGATTTCGAGGATGATGATGAGGGAACTCGTATTCACCTGTTGGTCCATGATCTTAAGCCTCCGTTCCTGGATGGACGGACCGTCTTTACAAAGCAGCTGGACCCCGTCTCGGCAGTGAAGGATCCACAGAGCGACATGGCTGTGTTTAGTCGCAAGGGAAGCAAGGTTGTGCGCGAAAGGAGACAGCAGAGGGAGAGGCAACAGCAAGCCAAGGAATCTACCAACATGGCAGGGACCGCGCTTGGGAACATCATGGGTGTTAAAGAGGATGACGGTGACAGTGCGGCGCCGGCTGCCCCAGGCCAGCCAGAAGAGCCGGAGAAGAAGGGCGGCAGCCAATTTGCCGAGCATCTCAGGAAGAGCGAAGGCCAGAGCGCTTTCAGTAAAAGCAAGACGCTTCGCGAGCAGCGGGAGTACCTTCCTGCTTTCGCTGTACGAGAGGAGCTCCTACGGGTGATCCGGGATAACCAGGTCATTATCGTTGTGGGCCAAACGGGTTCTGGTAAGACGACGCAGTTGACGCAGTTTCTCCATGAAGATGGCTACGGAAAATTTGGCATGATTGGGTGCACTCAGCCAAGACGTGTGGCAGCAATGAGTGTGGCCAAGCGTGTCAGCGAAGAGATGGAAGTCAAACTCGGTGGCCTTGTCGGCTACGCCATTCGTTTCGAGGACTGCACGAGCAATGACACGGTGATCAAGTACATGACTGACGGCGTATTGCTGCGAGAGTCCCTGGTCCAGCCCGATCTCGACAAGTACTCTGTCATCATCATGGATGAAGCTCACGAGCGAGCCTTGAATACGGACGTCCTCATGGGACTCATCAAGAAGGTGCTCGCTCGACGCAAGGACCTGAAACTAATTGTCACATCTGCCACGATGAACGCGGAAAGGTTTTCCCGTTTCTATGGAGGCGCGCCAGAGTTTTTCATTCCTGGTAGGACATTCCCTGTCGACATTCAGTATTCCCGTTCTCCTTGCGAAGACTACGTCGACAGTGCTGTGCGGCAGGTTCTAGCCATTCACGTCTCACAAGGCCCTGGTGATATCCTGGTGTTCATGACGGGCCAGGAAGATATCGAGTGCACCTGTGAGCTTATTGACGAGAGATTGCACCAGCTTGTTGATCCGCCTAAACTCAGTATCCTGCCAATCTACAGTCAAATGCCAGCAGACTTGCAAGCGAAAATCTTCGAGAAAGCCGCCCCTGGTGTTCGAAAAGTCATCGTTGCTACCAACATCGCTGAGACCAGTTTGACGGTCGATGGTATCATGTATGTGGTCGATTCTGGATTTTCGAAGTTGAAGGTCTACAACCCTCGCATGGGTATGGACACGCTTCAGATTACTCCTATATCACAGGCAAACGCGTCTCAAAGAGCAGGTCGAGCTGGAAGAACTGGTCCAGGAAAGTGTTTTCACCTTTACACAGAGAGGGCGTTCAAGGAGGAGTTCTACATGCAAACTATCCCGGAAATCCAGAGGACGAATCTGGCGAACACGGTCCTTCTGCTCAAGTCGCTCGGCGTCAAGGATCTCCTTGATTTCGACTTCATGGATCCACCTCCGCAGGAAACCATCTCAACATCGCTTTTCGACCTTTGGGCTCTCGGAGCACTCGACAACTTGGGCGAATTAACATCGCTCGGCAGGACGATGACGGCCTTCCCCATGGACCCTCCGCTAGCAAAGCTTATCATCACGTCTCATGAATATGGCTGCAGCGAGGAGATGCTCACGATCGTGTCGATGTTGTCGGTCCCGAATGTTTTCTACCGCCCGAAGGAGCGCCTGGAGGAAGCAGATGCAGCACGCGAGAAATTCTGCGTGCCCGAGTCGGATCACCTCACGGTTTTGCACGTCTACACGCAGTGGAAGGCCAACCGGTATTCTGACGGCTGGTGCATCAAACACTTCCTGCACCCCAAAGCCCTGCGACGAGCCAAGGAAATTCGAGAGCAGCTGGAAGACATCATCAAGCAGCAAAAGCTGACGCTAACCAGCTGCGGTACTGACTGGGATGTCATTCGTAAGTGCATCTGCTCCGGGTACTACCACCAGGCGGCGCAAGTGAAGGGAATCGGAGAATACATCAACCTGCGGACAAGCGTTACGGTGCAGCTTCACCCGACGAGCGCACTCCACGGCCTTGGAATCCTTCCCGATTACGTCGTGTACCACGAACTTATCTTGACGTCCAAGGAGTACATGTCCTACGTAACGGCGGTTGATCCGCACTGGCTTGCCGATCTTGGCGGTGTTTTCTATTCGGTCAAGGAGAAGGGCTACTCGGCTCGCGACAAGCGTGTTACGGAAATTGAATTCAATAAGAAAGCCGAGCTGGAGGCGAAAATGGCAGAGGATAAGGAAAGGGAGGCGCAACGAGTTGCCAACGAGCAGAAGGCCAGGACGGCTGTCAGGAAGCCCACGACTGCGGTGCGCAGGATTGCGACGCAGGGCGCGGTGCGTAGACCAATGACGCCCAGGTCAGGACGCGGGTTCTAGAGGCAAGTAAAGGAGCAGTATATAGCCAGGATACCCCCAATGTAAGCAGCCTGCGGTGCCCTTTTCTGGTCTGTGTCCGGAGAGCATAATGCTACTCTCCGAGCGATAAAAAGCCGGGTTCCTGCGGAGGCTCTGTGCGTGGTCCCACAGGCAGGGTCCGACGTCGCTCTGATCAGGCAACATGCAACACATTTAATGCGGACTTCCCCATAGGGTCTAGCACCACGTGGCGGCATGGGCCCAATGCGTTCTGGGAGCGGCAGGGCATCGCGAAGTGTTGGGCGGAGCCGGAGCGGCGAAGGTGGGTGACGGAATCTCACCCGCCCCGGCGCGTCCCTCAGCTCGCAGCCCTCAACACCTCGAAACCGCCCCCGAATCGCGACTGTGATGCCGACCTGGAGCTGGAGACTGTCGTATTGCGCCGCCCAGCAGACCCCCAAGCTTCTCCGCCGTCTTGCCTCGCCCGCCAAACCGTCGACCACCACTGCCCCGCTTCCGTGGCCGCCGCAGCGCGCCGGAGCCCACACAGCTGCGCGCGAGCCGAAGACAGGGTCGGGTACGACGACGCCAGTACCCGATGAGGCGGCCGCAGTGCGCGCGCGCTCCAAGGCGGCATTCTACTTCGAGGCCGGCTACGCGCTGTATGCGAAGCGGCCGTCGCGCCCTTTCCCGCCGCCGTTCCTGTCCTACCCCTCCGGCTCCTTCTCCGACCCGCTGAGCACGCACAACCGCAGCCGCGACCGCCGCAGCTTCGTCAATGGCGAGATGATCCGCGGCATCACCAACGGCGACGATGCCGTGCTGGTCAGCGACAACTTCATCGGCGCCAACGACGGCGTTGGCGCCTGGGCCGCACGCGAGAGGGGCCATGCTGCGTAAGCAGAGCTCATGACCTCCGGAGGGAAAAGCTAACTGTGAAACCGCCCAGGCTGTGGTCGCGGCTCATCCTGCACTTCTGGGCGCTCGAGGCCGAGAAGGACGCCTACGGCGGCGCCAAGGAGCCCAACCCGGTCGAGTACCTGCACAACGCCTTTGAGCAGACCAAGCTGGCCACCTCGGACCCCAACGAGTGGTTCGGCACCACGACAGCCTGCAGCGCCCTGCTCGGCTCCGATGCCGGCGAGTCGCCCCAGCCCGTGCTGTACGTGACCCAGCTCGGCGACTCGCAGGTGCTCGTGCTACGCCCGCGCGACCGCGAGGTCATATACAAGACGGCCGAGCAGTGGCACTGGTTCGACTGCCCGCGCCAGCTGGGCACCAACAGCCCGGACACGCCGCGCGGGAACGCCGTCATGGACCGCGTGCTGATCGAGGAGGACGACGTCGTGCTGGCCATGTCGGACGGCGTCGTCGACAACCTGTGGGAGCACGAGGTCTTGGAGAACGTCGTCGACAGCATGCACAAGTGGGAGAACGGCGAGGCCGAGCTCTGGGATGGCCACAACAAGAATGATAAATCGCCTGCCGACGGCATGCAGTACGTTGCCCAGGAGCTAGTGAAAGCTGCCCGCACTATTGCCGAGGACCCTTTCGCCGAGAGTCCTTACATGGAGAAAGCCGTTGACGAGGGACTGTCCATCGAAGGAGGTAAGTCGAGCTAGGAATGCATTTCGAATTTTATACGGCTAACGCTCTTTCCGCAGGAAAATTGGACGACATCAGCGTCGTTGCGGCTATCTGCAAGCGCAGGAAGTCTTGAAGACGTTGAAATACAGCATTTCCCAATCTTCCCCCACGAACCAGCTCTGACACCTCTGCCTGCCAAGCCTTGAGTCTGGAGAACAGCCCTTCCGGAACGAATCATGCAGGTATTCGAAAGCCATGTCCAGCTCCAGTAAAGGCCCCAGTGCACAGCCTTTCAACAGTCCCCGTCACTGGAAGGTAGAGGTCCTTCGTCCCGTCCATATTCCCTTATCTGGGATCTTCCGGACCCTAAATCAAAGGGGCAGGCGGCAGCATGCGGAGTACCCAGCTTTTTACTGTTGCTGTGGGCGGGTTTCTCGATGTGCAACTGCGGTCTGTATCCCAGGTCGCGTGAATATCACGTCACGAGAAATTTGACATAGAAGATTCCCTTTTTCGCAGCAAACAGAAAGGCTCAGTTCCCAAATTGGATTTCCCAGGCGCTCGATGAGTTGTCGCATGCTCCTGTGCCGTTTTGTTGAGGAGGTATCAGTCCGGGCGCTTAGGCTACGAATGACACATGTCGTTGTGGAACCAACGTATGATATGTATGGGGGAGCGTGGTGAGAGGATGACTCGGCGCTACAGGCGGCACAGCAAAGCCAAGGGAAGATCGTCGTCCATCGTTGCGGGACGCGAGTGGCACTGCGACAGAGCACGAGGCTGTGATGAGACTCCGACCACCTCTTTGGGACTGCAACATTTCCTTTTGCGTTCTTTGCAGCGAAGCAGTTGGACGACTTGCTTTATTATTTTTTTTTCCTTAGTACTTCTTGTCAGATCCTAATTACCTAAAGTATAATGAGTTGCATTTCTGCACCTGTACTAATCAAGAAACTTTAAGACGGATCCGCTTGGAATCTGCGTTTATATTTTTCTATCGTCCTTCAGGCTTTGCTTAGTTAACTTTCTTACAGAGGGTTGCTGCAGCCGATAGCTAGCGCGAAGGATGGTAGAGCCTTAGAACATAGCGTAAGTATGCCCCAGCTCTGCCTTAGAAAAGTAACATTTGTGGGTAGCTGAAGCTATCGTCCAGACGAGAATGTGGAGTTAATAATTATACGTTCGCGTCCAGACAATAGCTTCAACTACCCACGGTTTGAGCGAAAAATAAATTCATATTAGCCGTCGGATGCAATACCCCCTGTAAAACGATTATACTCTAGAGAACCTGAACGTACGTCACCTGCACTTGGCGGCTATCCCATGTTTTTGTACAACTTGCAATTGGACGAGACGAAGGTTGTTGCGGGCCCTGGACGATCAGCGCGGCACGTAAGCGCCTGCTGTGCCACAGCCAAGCAGGGAGTTCCGAATACATAGAACCCACGCCGCTACGATTCTCCTTCGCTTCTAAAACTCTGTTGCTTTTGTACCTTTGTTTTATTATATCATCAGTTCTCATTGCTAAGCGTTTCCACATCCATGCATTTGCTTTATTCTTTCCTGTCGTCCCTATGGGCACTATTAAGCTTACCCCTCATTCATCAGGACTGTTACCAGGTTCTACAGTGGCAAGGAGATACGACTTCTCCTCTAAAAAAGCACACGGCAGAAGAATTAGTGGATGCGGAAGTAGAAATCCGCCAGGATGACAGTGCCCGCCGTCAACCAGCCAGCCCTCATCCTAGCAACACCAACAACCATCCCCCTGATCCAAAAAGCGATGGAGATGACTCCCTCCCGAATTCCTCAAGTCAGGTGCAACCGCTATGCGCTTACTGCCGCTCCCTTACTCTCTCCTCTCTTACATCCCCCACCGGCTGCGCCTTCCACCAGACCTTGTCCGACATCCGGGCATCCGGCAGCAACGGTTGCCGTCTGTGTGCTTTTTTGAGGAAATGGTCGACGGGTATCTCATCACCGGATTGCGGTGACGGCATGGAATGGACACTTGTGCCATGGGGCCGCTTCAACGGGATTTGCAGAGTCTCCCAGGTTGCTCAAGAACGGCTTTGTAAGCTGCAGAAGGGGCGGCTCTACGCGATTGAGGTATTTGAGGGGACAGGTAAAGGGTTAGTGGGGATGTTTGATAAAAGCCCGGACCGAGAGGGTGACAAGTGGTTTTACTGGGCATTGAGAATCGGCGAAGGAGAAGGTTGCGGTAAGCCATATCTTTCTTTTCTTGCTTTGGTACATGTTTCTTTTGTGGGGGGGG